GTTCATCGCTGTCCCATTCACTTGGGTACACTTATCTTTTGTCCATTGTCTTCGCTACAGCTACACCTACCACACGCTCCCTGGGACTCACTTGTTCCAAATTGGAACTACTCCTCTCCCTCCCTCGTTTGATCAGGTGGTCCAACACAACCAGTCCATTGGTAAGGCCATGGAACTGTCGGATTTGGACTAGGTGGTGGACCAGTGGCTCCAGTTTCTTTTTCTTCAGCAGAACATTCATTTACAGTGCGATTATTTTTGATTTTTGAATCATTTTTATGGACACATATTTTTTTTAGAATGCCTGACTGACAATAAAGGAACTGTGTTGATACTGATAGTGTTTTGCCTTGCCCTTTTTTTACTGCATCTTCCCATGACATCATGATTTTCCTGCTCTCTTTTTGCTATTAGACTTTACTTTATGGCTGTACAAACCTGTGACATTACTCACAGCATTCATTGTTCTATCCCTTTCTTTTCCTTTTTTGACAATCTTATCCTGTACTACCTACACAGGATTCGTCAGCATACATTCCTTCCTTCATGTTCTTTCTCATTCTTTTTGCACAGCTATACTGTGCATAGCCTACTTTTCTTTTACTATATAAACTCCTGTATTTTACCTTGTAAGAAGAACAAGAACTCCAATCCAGACTTCTTCTCTACTCTCAAGTTCACTACTCTGCTACTTGTGATCCAGTGTGGTCACAACACTTCCCACTTCTACCACTGTCAACTGCTGTCATCGTCATTTCCCACTTTTGAAGTCATTGTCATCCCTTTCGATTAGAGTCCTTCTGAGCACTACAGTTTGTGCGTCAGGAGCCTGCTATCACTGGGAACCTCGTCATATTGTCGTTCTCAAACCTACCTTGTGCTACAATTAGCAAGGTAGTGCTCGTCTATACTCGTCACAAAGCCCCTATCCTTCTATAAATTCAACTATCCCTCCTCCTCAAAACCCACACTCATACACCTCTGGGTTTTACTTTGAAGGATCTTTATACGTACCACCCCACGAACAACCAGACCACTCCACTGTTCTAGGAGGCAAAGCCCATAAACAAGTTCCGTGGAATCTGGGAGGATTGTGTGTTAGTTTGTTTTGTGTGTGGTTTTCTAACAGCAGTTCTCATCATCGACACCGGAAAGGTACAAAAGGATGACACTGCTCCCTGGAACACAGACACTAGCACAGATCAGTGGGAGGGACTCATTCCAGATAATGCTCACTATCCAGACCAAAAAACATCGGAGGAGGACGATCCTGACCCTCGGATCCGAGATCCAAATGAATTGCAAATGGAACCACATCTCCAAGGAGATGTTCCACAAGCAATGGAACCATATCAGCATGAAGATGTTCCGAGAGCAGTGGGAGCACCTGATCAGCTAAGACACCCTCCACAACAGTCTCTACAACCAAGACCTGAACACTGGCCATCTTCAGAACGGAAAGCCAAAGTAGAGTTACAGTCAGTGGGAGGACAGCCCCTCAACATACAGCCAGCTGATGTGGAAAAAGTCTGAATACAGCTAGACAGCCTGTCCATTGGATCAGCTTCTGGAAGGCATACAACACCTCCAAGGAGTCATCCAACACCTCCGAGGAGTGATTCAACACCTTCAGGAGTGAGTGGGGCAACAAATACACAAATGCGTCTACTCCCTGGAGTACCTGCACAAGTTCCTAAAAGAGCAGTCATGCCTGCTGAAGTCCTAGGAGTACGCAGAAGCAGTCGCCAGACCCGTCCTGCAGACAAAAACCGAGATTATCAAAGGACTCTAGATGAGGAACAGTCCCGAAAAGAGCAGCATGACAACTCCATGGAGAAACCTAACACTCCTAAGGTTCATGAAGAAACATCTGATACAGAGGAGACATTCTTTGCTGGAATAGCAAGTACCGGTCCATCTAACACAGACCTTCCAAGGACACTAAAGGAAGCCTTATCACGTGTACATGCTTCCTCCAGGGGGTGTTCCTATCCAACCTGGATACTGCTGGAGATCGAAGAAATCCATCCACGGGTTAAAATTGTACATGGAACAAAACTTTTGATCGCAAGCTCCAGGAGCTCAGTTTCACAAGACTAAATGCAGAAACATGTCTCTATGTATTCCGGGACAACAAACAAATATGCTTTGTTGTTGTCTATATAGATGACCTCCTCCTAGGAGCTTCATCCCGAAAATTCATGGATATCACAAAAGCCAAACTTGAATCCATATTCAAAATGCGGGACCTTGGAGAAGCAAAATACATCCTTGGAATAGAAATCCAACGTGATTGTTCAAACAAAACAATATCCCTATTGCAACGCCAATACATTGACACAGTCCTGGAGCGTACTGGAATGAAGAACTACAAACCAGTATGGACACCAATGGCCCATGGATCAAAACTCCTTGCAAATGCTCCAGGGGAAGATATTGTGCAACACGAGATGCATATTGAAGGGCGTCAAGTGTCATACCTCTCAATTGTAGGCTCCCTCATGTATGCCATGCTTGGAACCCGCCCAGACATTGCCTACGTTGTTGGAATACTAAGCAGGCATAGCTCAGCTCCAAGGAGCCATCACTGGGAAGCTGCAAAATGTGTCCTCCGATATCTGAAAGCAACCAGGGACATGGAACTACGATATGATGGCACAGATGTCTCCATGGACATGGATTTCTATGGATATTCAGATGCAGATTGGTCTGGAGACCCAGACACATCTCAATCAACATCAGGGTTTGTCTTTATCACCATCCGAGGAGCAATCTCCTGGACAAGCAAAAGACAAAGCATGGTAGCTTTATCCTCCACGGAGTCAGAGTACATTGGATTGAGCAATGCTGGACAACACCTTGCATGGCTTCAGACATTTTTTGAAGAAATTGGACATGCTCAAAATGGACCTACAACATTGCACTGTGACAATCAAGCAGCTATCATTCTTACACGAGATCCACAGTTCCGTGCTCGCACAAAACACATTCAACGGAAATATCATTTTATCCGAGATGACTTAGTATCAAAGGGAGAGGCAGTAATCAGATACGTTCCTACAGGAGATATGGTTGCAGACATTCTCACTAAACCCCTCACTCATGAAAAACACTGGAAATTCTCTAAAGCTATGGGACTACGGTTGCACTCGAGTGGGAGTGACAAAACCGGATAAACCCGGTCTCTGCCAAAGCAGCCATTGTTCTCCATGGAGCATAGCCACCACTCCATGGAGTAACCATTGTTCTCCTAGGAGCACAATTGTACTCCTAGGAGTCATTATACTGTAGCGAGTAGCACCTCTGACTATAAGTAGTAGGGGGTTTAGTATAGGAATACCTCAGTCGTTTCTATAGCCTCTCGGGCAGCGGCTGAGGTATGTTACATTACATTTATTAGAGATCACTTTAAACTAACATCTATTGTAGTTTCACTTAGGTAAATAATAAAGTCGTTTCTATAGCCTCTCGGGCAGCGGCTGAGTTTCACTTAGTTTTATTAGTTTCTGCTAAATACAACTGCAGGGGAGGTCACAATGATACCCATAATTGACTAAGTTAAATATATCAATAAATTGAAAATAAATCTTTGAATTGAGAGCATTAGTTAAGAAAACAAATTGACTGAAGTGAGGAAGCCTAAGCACAAAAGCAGACAACACAAGATGCAAAGTCCAGATCTGCCCTGGAGGGCAATAGTATCATCAATCACCTACAATAAGTGTTACGATTTCATCTACACCCTTTATTTCTTTTCTTTTCTTTTATCTTATCTTGCATTGCCACACAGACATTCTATCTTCGGACCTCTTATCCCATTGGACACTAATGTCTTATCAGCTATCTTTAGCTATTCTCCAAGAATTCTCCTATCTGTGCTTCTCTTAGATCATACAACCACCCTTTGATCTATCTTTAGCCATTTCTCCTAGGATTCTCCTTATAGCTCATCATATGACTATAAGCCCTTATTGCCATTGGTACCTATTTATATCTTACCTCATGGACACCTCATGACCAACAGCCATCATCGCTATTAGTCCATTGTGTTACCTCTTTCGTACTTACCTGTTTTCTCTCAACTTATCTACAAGCCTCCCTGAAGTAGACTAACAGTATATATACCACATGTATGTAGCATAGTTCTGCATCATGAATCTACCTCATTATACCCAGTAATGCCTTGCATGAGCTAGCTCCCATATTACCTTTAGAATCCCTGGCAGCTAGTGGAAGACCAACTTCTCTTCCCAAGAATGGTGTCATACACACTTATCATCAGCAGGAAAGCACCAAAGAACCCGATGCAGGCACAGGCCACACGGAGGTTCGTAACAATAAGCTCAAGTCAAGCTCTTGTTGTCAAAAAATAAAGTTTGCCCTACTGAGTCACTTCTGAGCTCTGGCTCTGGTGGGAAAGTGTCTGTTACGAACTGTTATAACAATGGATGTTATTTCTCTTCTCAAGTAGCTATGTACTGCTACCTACCGACATACTCCCACATACTATTGCCAGTTACTGTACTACCCGTCTCTGTTTGTTCAACACAAACACCTGCCCCAAAGTAGGAACTATATATATACGCCTGTATTGTAGTTACCATCTCCAATACAATTGTACACTTCAACAGTGTCAACTTGGTATTTATCAGGCAGAATCCCATCCTTCAGAATACATCTCAAACCCATTCCCAAACAGGCTTATTGAAACCTCTTATACATCCAGAAACCCAGTGTTACCTGGCTTGCACATTACAAGCATAACAGCGTCAACAACCTGTGTTATTGACAGGCTCCTACACACCACCCTTACTATGAAGCAGACCCCATAAACATAGATATATTGACTATCATATATCTAGATTAGGTCAGCTGGAGACTACAGATAACCCTCCTGCGCAGAAATGGAGTTGGGGATTATTATTAATACCACGTGAGGCGTGAGAAAACCGCGTCGAGCGGTTGACAGTGCGAGAAACCTTGGGGTACACCTAGTGGTTGGAGTCTGAGCAAAATGATGACTATTTTAATGACGAGGTATTACTTGAAAATTCTTGTCTGTAAACTGCGAGTGATTTCAATCCTGGTCATAACTCTGTGGCTAATAGCGATAATGGAGACATTATACAAAGACAGGTAAGAAAACAATGTTATGAATTATGTCTATCCCTCGACAACTTCCTAGTGGCCCTTCACGCTACTCGAATCGTGGTTAGCATATAGTGTAGTCGAAGAGCTGCCTGTAATCACCTGATATCTCATTCACTGAAAGAGCTTTCTGTAATGCTCGGGTAGCAAAATAACGAACATCTGCGTCAGTGTCATTTTTCTGGTGCTCCAAAGCTGGTATGATCCTCTGTTGCACTAGAGCATGACCTTCGGATGATTGTCCGAAAGTCGTTGCCAGTACCTCTAATGACTTGGCGACGTTGAATCGAATGTTGGGGATTGCATCCATTGCCAGCTGAAGTAAAGGCTCGATGATCTCACTTCGAACTATGGCCAAGGTCAATGAGGGAGAAATTGTCTGTCAAAATTTGATTATCATATGAATTCCAAATAAGCTGGAGCACGGTACCGTTATGGCTTGCACAGTAGTCATCCTGTAAAGGTAGTTGGGATGCTGTCCCATCCCCATAACTTTGGGTACGATGGCCACTTTGGCCCACTCAACACCAAAGACTTCGGTCAACTTCTTCAGGTTGATAGTCGCAGCCTCGCGAATGCTGAAAACCGTGTCTCCCAACCAAGACATACATAAGTTGCCAAGCTGCTCATCAAAGAACTCCCGTCCCAATTGAGTGGCAAGGAGAGGTATGTATTCGATGATAGCTTGGCGAACTCGCCACGACTTATCTTCAGCTAATTCAATAATGGCCGGAAGAAGACTCTCCGCAAGGTATTCGATGCCGATAACTATGACATTACGTTAGATTGCTTGAAGTAACGACAACGTACGCGTGACAAACCATTATTCACCGTCTCAAGCTTGCTGATAATGTTTAACCGAACTTCAGGAAACTCGTCCTTTAGTAGATGCAAGAAAAGCGGGAGAAGATTCTCGATAGTCGCGTCTCTACCGAGTAAAGGCGCCAATCCGCTGATCTGGTTTGCTAGAGCCGAACGAACATGTTGGGACGTGTCATGTGACAGATCTCGTACGCAAGGAATGATTCGTGCAAGGATGACTTCTTTATCAAGCAGCTTCGAAAACCCTTCAGCATGAATCAGAACGACCAGAATACCGTAATGGAAAATAACCAAGAACCTGGTATTTGCCCCGAGCCAGCCGTTCGTACCTCTGCTTCGTTGTCCTTCAGGAGCTGCACGTACAGACCCATAAGCTCCTCTCTCACTAATTCTAATCCTACTGCTGCTGCAAGCTTGGAATTGTGTCAAGACAGGATGGCAGCATATTCAGCCAGGAGTATTACCTCGTTAAAATGGGTGGCAGCCATGTATCTCACGCGCCAACTCTTGTCAGAGATACTATGCCTTATTTGTTTCAAAAGTTGTTCTTTTATCTCGGACGGCGACAGCTGCTCCGCTATGACGATGAGATCTTCTACTGTTAACAGACGAACTGAGTCTTGATCATCAGATTGAAGCCTGCGATATATCGGCAAGCCATCCGATAGGACATACTGCTTCGGCAAATTCTTCACAAGTGCCTGGGAAAGATGATTAGGCCAAAGCCCCGGGAACAGAGACTGAAACATACCCCAAGCCACCTAGCAGCAGCCCGCCTCACCATCGGCGTGTCGTCGGACCCCAAGGCTGCAAAACCTTTTCGTAGGTGCTCTTGGGTCGCAGGCGAAACCTTCGAGTACACGGGTGGATACAGCGCAGCAGCAGATGTGCGCGAGGTGAACCATTCGCCTTGAGACAAACGATTTAAAAGCGGAATGTAGTACTCCTCTATTTGTGTGTTGGACAAAACCGCAGCTACTTTGACAATGGATTCTGCAGCCTACATAGAAGAAGGAGATGAGGAGGACACATGATAGAAAAAAGGGACGGGCTAACCTTATCTCTAACCAAAGTTTCCTCTACCGCGGCAAGATTTTCGAGCGGGCCCAACAAGACGTGAGCGTACTGTTTTCCTCCAATATACTCCTCGAAATTTCTCCCCAGTTCTTCCGCCAAGGCCAAAAGTACCTCATCTTCATCATCGACTGAATCTTGTAGAAAGGGCACAAGCTCCTCTCTTGCGCGATCGTTTCCCAGAGCCAGTGCAATGGTTGGTATACTGTGAATTGCATTCAACCTCAACTGGACATCTTCCGACCTCAACTCGTCCATGAGAATAGCGATGGGGGCAATCTGGCGAAATGATGAGCATCTCCAGACACCGATAGACTATCCACTAACGTCTTCCATCGGAAATCTTGTGTCCATCTTGTGCATCAAATAAGTGATCATAAACAAGATATCGGATTTGACTCGAACTCACAAAAATCGTATTTTTGATACTGCCAGAGCGTTTCAGAGTGAAGATGTTCTATATTTCAATAGTATCGCGACTAATGCCCATCCTTGTTGGCGCGACTTTGGACGTCGCTTTGTCATCAGTCCAAGTGTGGCGTTGAGTTCGTAAGTGATTTACCACACTACCTGCCAAGGTATTATAGCCAAATGTAGAACAACAAACCAGAGTTCTGTCTACTACACTCACCACCTTTGTTTTCCATTAGCCTAGATATGAATGCATCTAAGCCATGGGAAGGCTATGCACTTATATCCCCCACTCTCTGTTTCATTCACAATTTCATGCAAACTTACAGACCTAATAAGCTGTCTACACAGAGCCTCTACCCTGGTGAGGCCCTCTCTTTATATGGGGGCTTGGTGAACTGTTGGATTTGGACTAGGTGGTGGACCAGTGGCTCCAGGTCCTTTTTCCCAGCAAGACATTCATTTGCAGTGCAATTAGTTTTGATTTAGAATCATTTTTATGGACATATATTTTTTTAGAATGCCTGACTGATGACAAGGGAGCTGTGTTGATACTGCTGTTGTTTTTATCTTGCCTTTTTTACTGCATATTCCTATGACTTTATGATTTTCTTGCTCTCTTTTTGCTATTGGACTACATCTTATGGCTGGATAATCTGTAACACTATATATGCAGCATTCATTGTTCTATTCTCTTCTTTTCCTTATTCTAATAATTTTATCCTGTACTACTCACACAGGATTCATCAGCACATTCCTTCACACTCTTTCTCATCCTTTTGCAAAGACATACTGTGCATATATAAACAATTTGTATCTGGGTGCAGCTGATAAAATCTGGAGTCAAAGTTTGAGCATACCAAAAATGTGTTTAATCATGTTTTGTGCTAATGCACAGCACAAGAACAACTCACAAGGGTTTTGAGGTTTTTAATAAATCTAAGTGAAACTCAGCTGCTGCCCGAGAGGCTATAGAAACGACTTTATTATTTACCTAAGTGAAACTACAATAGATGTTAGTTTAAGGTGATCTCTAATAAATGTAATGTAACATACCTCAGTTGCCATTACAACCATGCCATTGGTAAGGCCATGGAACCGTCAGATTTGGAGTAGGTGGTGGACCGGTGTCATGCACCAAAGTTGATTGGTAGCATGGACAGGTGTCAATAACGAAGTGAATATTCAAAAAGACTCGCCTTTGCGCCACACAGGCACAGTGCCACGTGGAATAGTAATTAATATTGCCCTTTTCGAACTTGTGGCTGATCAGCACCACCTCTATTAGGCAATCCAGTCACGCTCACCTTTGCTTTTCCATCCGGTACTTTTGGCATTTCGGCATTTCAGCAAATTTTTGCATCGCCACTGGCTACACATTGCATTGTGCCCTCGCTTTTGTCGTTTCCTTCACTTCCCTTCCTTTGCCTAGCCCCACCATGGGTCCCTTACTCTCGTTTTTATTCTCACCCGATGGTCGTTTCTAGATCCCCATTTTAGTTCACCTTCTCGTCACCTCCAGCCTCCTCCTCCTCCTCATCTTCTTTGGTCCCCCACCATTTCTGATGTCACCACTTCCTATCCGCTTCCGTCACCGATCTGTTGAATACCACATGCCACTGCTGATATCAGCAAAGCCCTGGCGGCCGGTTCAAATAGGGCAACAGGTCCATCTTTATGACGTCGATCTACCATCATATACTATCAAAACATTGGTTGCTCGCCTTGCCTGGTTGGAGCGTGGGTGGGTAGTTTTTGAGCTGGAGAAGGTTCATCCCCTTGCGTTGCCCATGTTCATTGCTGTCCCATTCACTTGGGTACACTTATCTTTTGTCCATCGTCTTCGCTACAGCTACACCTACCACACACTGCCTGGGACTCACTTGTTCCAAATTGGGACTACTCCTCTCCCTCCCTCGTTTGACCAGGTGGTCCAACACAACCAGTCCATTGGTAAGGCCATGGAACTGTCGGATTTGGACTAGGTGGTGGACCGGTGGCTCCAGTTTCTTTTTTTTTTAGCAGAACATTCATTTACAGTGCGATTATTTTTGATTTTTGAATCATTTTCATGGACACATATTTTTTTAGAATGCCTTACTGACAACAAGGGAACTGTGTTGATACTGATATTATTTTGCCTTGCTTTTTTTACTGCATCTTCCTATGACATCATGATTTTCTTGCTCTCTTTTTGCTATTGGACTTTACTTTATGGCTGTACAAACCTGTGACATTACTCACAGCATTCAATGTTCTATCCCTTTCTTTTCCTTTTTTTGACAATCTTATCCTGTACTACCTACGCAGGATTTGTCAGCGTACATTCCTTCCTTTATGTTCTTTCTCATTCTTTTTGCACAGCTATACCGTGCATAACCTACCTTTCTTTTACTATATAAATGTAAGGACCATTTTATTATTTTCTTATCTTCGCTATGTCTTGGTTCTCGAACGCTTTTCCCATTACACCTCTAGCTCTAGGGCTAGAGGTATCATTTGCCATTTTACTTCTCATAGCCCTCACAGGCTTTCTTAACCATCGCTACCATTTTATATCACAGATCAGAGACTGGGTATCGCTCCCACCCAGCCAGCACACTGAGTAGGGACTGGTAGTAGGCATCTCGCCAACCAGCTCCAAGCCCCAGTAAAGCCTGGATATACTAATAAACACTTTGTTCAGGATCGTACCTCATCATGAGGATACGGTTCCTGAACACGCGTAACAAACCTCTATTATTAGTACAAATCTCTCACCGCTGATTAATCAAGTTAAAAGTTGTACAATAGTTGTTCTCTCTCTTTCTTATTGGCCGATTGATTCCTCAGACCACTTTTTGTATATTCTCCTTTCGGTCTGAGGAATGAACAGTTCACTATATAAAGCCTTACCTATTCATGTATGGCTCCTTAGTTTTCTATTACTGAATTTACCCGCTTTACTCCTCAACGGAAACCTTTGAAGCTTACCTCTCAAAGTCCTCTACTCGCTATATTTACTAGCGTCTGTCGACCTCAAGCTCATCGAACCCCTTACTCCCTGCAAGTGCAGAAGGAGACAGGTTTCGTTTTTGTTATAGTTTATCGTTGCCTCACAATAAACCCCTGTATTTTACCTTGTAAAAAAACAAGAACTCCAATCCAGACTTCTTCTCTAATCTCAAGTTCACTACTCACTACTACTTGTGATCCAGTGTGGTCACAACACTTCCCACTACTACCACTGTTAACTGGTGTCATCGTCACTCGTCACTTTTTGAAAGTGATTGTCATCCCTTTCGATTAGAGTCCTTCTGAGCACTACAGTCTGTGCATCAGGAGCCTGCTATCACTGGGAACTTTGTCACCTCATCACATTGTCATTCTCAAACCTACCTTGTACTACGATTAGCAAGGTAGTGCTCGTCTATACTCGCCACAAAGCCCCTATCTTTCTATATTCCAACTATCCCTCCTCCTGAAAACCCACACCCATACATCTCTGGGTTTTACTTTGAAGGATTGTTATATGTACCACCCCACGAACAACCAGACCACTCCACTGTTCTAGGAGGCAAAGCCCATAAACAAGTTCCGTGGAATCTGGGAGGATTGTGTGTTAGTTTGTTTTTGTGTGTGGTTTTCTAACAACAGTTCTCATTATCGACAACGTGACTTGGAAAATGAAAGTAAAAGTACAGTAAAAGTAAAAGTGTAAAGTAGATGCTGGTGTGGCTATTGTAACAGTAGTTTCCAGCTCAATGATACTGACATTTTGCCAAAAATAACATGTGAACAAACAAACAATGGAACAAACAGCACTGTCAAATTATTTGCTTACCGTTCACTCAAAGTTTGCTGACTCCTTCTGATAAAGTCTCCAGTTGTTTTTCCAGCAGGACATTCACCCATCCTCAACATCAATTTGCAAAGATGATGGTCCGACAATACTCGCTGCGCAGGCCCACAGGAGGTCCTACGTCACAGTTGGTCAAGCCACTGCCTCTCAGACATCCTTCGGTGCTGAGATCCACCACAGATGGCAATAGAGAGGATTCAAATTCTGAATGTGTGTTCCATTTTGTTTTTTGTATTTTATTTCAATACTAGAGTGCTCCCTTTACAGTGTGGTGGTTCCTACTTCATGCCTCTTGATATCCATGCTTCTATTCTGCAGCAAGACCATGCAAACTGTATTTGCGAGCTGGAGAAGCAACTTGGTATGAAAGATTTTGAAGTAAGTCACAGTTTTAATTGATGACAGCAATTACTGACACTTATGAGACAGGTCAAACTCAAAGGCCAAATCATTGCATGTCTACTGTCCCCTAGCATCACAGATTATGTTACAATAACACAATTTTCGGACCTTTAAATTTCATTCTCCTCTTTAACTTTCTTCTATAGTTTTCACACACTGTGCCATGCGGCACTTTCCTTTGTTCAAACTCCCCTTTTCTCGCGCTGCACTGCTTTTCTTTATTTATAGCTACAAAAACTCTCACGCAGTGGAGCTGGTCACACAGGCTGTACCCCATGACATCATCAGCCACTGCTTCCATCAACTGTATAGTACATATGTACTATTAACCTGTAGTAATATAAATACCCAATAGATCCAGGAGACTCCTCAGCAAGTCCTCCTGTTGTTTACCCACAACTAACTTGGTCCTATCCTAAAGGGTAACCACTCCCCTCACTACCTTTACAGCTTTGTCTGAGTTGTGCGCCAGAGTATACAAAACTCTTGGTTGTTACAGATTATGTGACCAAAATGCACGGACATGTTATGGTTTGCCCCCATTTTCTTTACACGTCATAAGCTTACTCTTTTTTGCAGACACTTATTCAGCAATATTGTGAACTCTTCAGAATTGATCCGCTGGTCTTTGAAGACAAAGAACTGTACAATATTCTAAGCAAGCTTCCGACAAAGATTTTGTTGTCCATTTGAGGAACAATTAAGAAGGATGTAAGTTCAAACATTCTCCCCATCCGTGACCTACTAATATCCTATCAGTTAATAAAGTCAATTGAAACTATCCATTATGGATGCTATCAAACAATGACACTTTGTAGTGGGAAAAGGATCGCTAGCATATCTTGCCAATATTTCCCGGACATAGCCTATTTAAGATATCACTGATGTGGTTTACCCAACTGGCCGTGTAGTACAACTAAGTTGGAACTCGGTCTAGAGTATCACATTCTGGCTACACTAGAATAGCTTGGACAGACACCCACTGCTAAACAGTTTAGGATTCTGCTCATTGGCAGCTATTGGAGGGAGCTTCAAGTAACAGAATAATGCCAGGTGCAAGAATTAACAAAATGTTTTCAAAAATATTGAACCCGACCCGGATTGAACGGATGACCTTGTGGAACTTCCCGGAAAAATCCGATATCTGGAATCACACGCGCTACCTCTGCGCCACGGGTTCCTTACATCAGATTATGTGCTGACATATAAGAGAGGAATCACGAAACGGCGTCACTTCACATGACTTCCTACTGCACGACGAAATAAATGCACAACTTTATGTAACGCTAGCATCATTGGATTCTCGTCCACCTTGAATCTCTTCGCGTGCTTAAGTATACCTCCGAATCAATATCTTTATTCATCCAAGCAGGTTGCTGCGTTGGCTGCAAATTGGTTACCTGCGAATGCAAAGTTATAATCATCATTCCGAGGCCCAAACTGGGAAAGGTCATTCACCAAAAACTTCTGGCCTTCTTGGAATGATCCTGACTCGAAGCCTTCTGTAAAGGTCAAATTGAGCACATCCCACACTGTCAGCTGAGCTTTGCGGTTCGGTGGATGCTTCTTGAAATATTCATCTTTGACAAGAATCACTCGAAAATTGTGTACTTGACGAGGAGGGCAGAGGATCTATAATGCGATGAGCTGCCGCGAAAGGTCATGAAATTTTTATGTACTCGCCTGCAGTTCCTGTTCAATATCATCTGCGGCCTTCAGTCTCTCTTGTGTGCATCTTTCGCGAATATGTTGGGCAAGCCAGCCTGCGTCATGAGCGCCCAATGTGGCAAACACTCTCTTCGCTTGTGTACCATCTTCCAGATCATCATAAAGATTATCGATGTGACTTGGTGGAGAATCTAATGGCCATGAAAAAACGAACCACTACTACAATAGAATAGAATTATATTCACCGTCATCTTTAGGGCGGAATGAAGGGCCTGCCCTTTGTTCCAACTTCCTCGCGTAGCTATCCATGGTATCCATCCGCTTCTGGAATATGGACCATAATTTGGACATTTGATTCTCTCGTCTTGCCTAGCACTAGCATTAGTAACTATACTACAGTCAATACACAGACTAGCACCTTCCAGCGCGCGTCTACTGCTGCTTCGTCCTTAGCAGTGCGGGGTCCTTCTCTTGTTCTTGAACCGTCGTCCTCATCAATGAACTCGACGAATGCCACAGGGTGCACCTGTATGCTGTAAGTTGATTATAGTATTTGTGATAATGATAATAAATATTCCACCTTAATAACCACAAAAGCCATAACAGCCACATTACCCCCATCAGCAGTCAGGCTATTCAATGTGGATATCCAAGGACTTCTCTGAAAACCTAACTTGGCGTGCCACGAAGCGAGGTGAGATGAGTTCCCAGTTATCACCAACGAAGTGGAATTGTAGGCTTCTAAGACTTCCACAGGTTCTTTACGTTCGGATGAAAGCTGAGAATCGTAATCAGTCCATATTCAAAATTTACAGAAGAAAAATCAACCCTAGCTCCGGTGACAGCTATTTTTCTACCCACTCGAATTGTACCTTTCCGTACGGCTCTTGCAAGGGCTTGATCAACGCGAGCCCTGAGTCTATACCACCCATCTGTGACTTCAAGTTGAGGGTGCGACAAAACAGGCGCACCGCCCTCGTCGACGTCTGCCTCAGACCAAGTGATTCCGGAGACGCATAGTACCATCGGAGAAGACGCCGGAGCATCCCCTGTGGTGATCAATCGTAGTGCCGGTAATGACGCGTTGTTTAACTCGCGCTCATACCTGTAATACAGAGTCAACCAACGGTACAGCACAGCGGAAATTGACAAACAAACCGATATAAAAGTTGGCGGCAGAGCTCGCGCCAGCACCACCTCTGCTTATTCGGATCAAATTCTTGATATGGGTCCAATGCTACCATTCCGGCAAGTTTCCAGAGTATCAGCGACCAGTGATTTTCTACCCACTGCTCAGTTGCTAAGGAGCAGCCTCTGGAATGTAATTTATTGAGAGCGTCAGAAGGGCCAAGAAAACTGGTAGTAGAAGACTGGCAGTCCTTAGACGGTCCGGATGATGGATTAGATGAAATACGAAAACGATATTCAAGGGCTGTGCTAGGCGTAATCCCACAGATTTCTGGCCCATTTCTGAAACCGATGATCATTCAAGGTAGAGCAGAGAGAAAGAAACCAAACAAACATTCCCATATGATTCAGCGCCTCTATACTATGAGTTTGGGGGATCAAGTTGCATGAAATCAGTGTAGCTCTTCCTGTAGGCGGAGCTAGATACAAGTGAATAGTGCACCCATAAGAAATGAGTTAATTGGTGTATTTATATTAGGTTCCGCGTCGATCATGTACGTTAACTCACCCAATTCAAATACTGTCCAAGAAGCTGCTTTTGGCACTTTGGGCGAAGGCACTGTTTGCGAAAGGGCCCGTGTTTGGTTTGATAATTTCCTGCTAAGAGCTGTAGATGCTGCTTGTTCCCTTTCTGCTTCAAGAATCTTACGTCCAGGCTCTCCTGGTCTCATACCTTCTTTAAATGGAGTTACGAACCTGGGCTTTCCTGTTGTACCTCTTGCATGAGTGCGGGGTGTAAGGCCAAAAGGTCGCAAAGGCGTCATAAATGGAATGTGGCCAGTAGGTACACTCGAAGAAGGAAGCTGCATAGGAGAGCCAGGTACAGGACTGGATATATGCGGCTGCTGAGGCCCTGTGAGTGGAATTGTGCGCCGACGCGGATTGACAGGTGTAGGTCCAGGTCCAGAGCTTGTTGATTGTTGGTCTATGCCCGGTTTAGCGGTGGACAAGTTAATGAAGGGCGACTTGAATCCTTTCATTGGAGCCTTGCCTTTGTTGCCGGGTGCAAATGAAGGAGTAGAAAATGACGGAAGACTAACTGGAGGGAATGGTCTTCCGCTCTGAGCAGCTGGCGTGGGGGTATCTAGGATACTACCTAGAGTGCAAGAATTCTCCATGGCCGCAAAGATTGGCCTTCGAGGGGAATTGGACTTGATGTCGGGAGTGGGTACTTTCCACGAATCATCGACTGGGGGAGGAGTGGAAGCAGGAACAAAATCGTCAGCTTCCCAAAGTCTCCTTCTTTCTTCTGCTTTACGAAGGGCTTCTTTGGAAGGCATGATAAGCCCTCCGGATGGTTTCGTAAACCCGGGAGTGATTGTTGGGACTGGGGCGGAAACGTCGGTTCCTCTTGCTTTAAGTTTAGCTGTTGTAAATCCGATCGATGGAATGGTAGGAATCGGTTGAAACCAGGCGGAATAGTCTAATTCAGAAGGGGCTTCGGGAGAAGGCGAGCGAGGAGCATCCTGAGAATATATATGCGTGGCAAGTGCAGAAGCTGTTTGAAAACCTATGAGCGGGAAAGTCGAGAAATCCGGTGCGACCGACGCATGTATGGCAGCATCATTATCGTAGTTTCTGGTGTTGACCTGGAAAGATGCATTGGTAAATCCTGCGCTTTCACCTCGTATTTGAAAAGGATTTTCGTCGTTATCACTCTAAGATTCTGGTCAGCGTTCTAGCGTCTTAATAAGTCTGCCCTGGTCGAGCGGGACTAAATTAGCAGGCATACTTACCGTGACCTTTGGCAAGTGATGAACAGCTGATGTGACCTCTGCTCTGTGCGAGGGCCTGGAAGGTGAGCTCTGGGATAGTTTTGCATTGATATTATCGAAAGCATTGATATCATCCGCGCTTAAGTCTCCGATTTGATCGTCATAAGTGGGGGATGATAGACGCTGCCTCTTCTGAGCTGGAGAAGGAGATTCCGAAGCACGATAAGGCATTAGAAGTGCAATTTCTCTTTTTTATTCTAGGAACAATCATATCAATGGTTCAGATACAGAGACAGATACGACTTACATTATAACACGCACACACGCGTTTTGGATGATGGTGGTTCTCTTCAACGACGCGTCTTCGACGCGATTATGGATTGGCGCCTACTGTGGCGCGTATCACGTGACACTTATATTATGTAATCGTAAGGATTCTGTCCCATTTCACGGTGTTGTGGTAACATCGATGTACTGGCACACAGCAGACTCTCTCGTGCACTAGCTCACTCCACTTTGGATTTGCGCCTTGCACGCAAAATCTCTCTCCTGTGGGACAAATACTTGTATGGACGTCGATATATGCTCTTGGAGGAACAGCACTGTGGGCAAAACTATCTGCGTAGGGTTATAACAAATGATCTCACCCTCCACGGATCAAACTACCGATTGTACAGGAGCCTCGCTGGGGATTGTCTTCGATTGATTTCTCAAGCTTCTTATAACCTCTATCCGTCGATTGGACGATCTCGCGGTTGTTTTCCCGGGTCTCTCCTTCATATACCTTCATTCACTTTCTATATATCTCACTACGCTATTAACGATGTAATAGCCGTTTGAATGAGCTATTGAGCCTTTGACAATGACATATTAGAGTTTGCAAGTGTGTCTGTTCATGGCTGTCGAGGCTCGCGCCGGCTGCAGTAAATGAGTGCTATACCATCCATAACGTTACCTCAGCAAACCAGTGTTAAAAGTCCTCATTCCTGCGTATTGACCTGCTTGGGTGAAAGAAGTCCACATAAAAATTGCATTGGGCCGCGCGCTGGCATTGTGTACCCGTGCAGTACGCAAACAAAAGCCTTTTAACTCTCTCCACGCCTCTGAAACATTGGATCATTCAGAATCTGCATTCCTTGCATTCCTTGCATCTCCTGCATCCCTTTCAGGTCACCCACATCCACTCGTGCGACTTCCAGAAATCCCGCAAACATGAATGGTGCAAATTCCAATATACAGAACTCGTCTGTACGAGTTGCAAAACCACCTCCGACTGGTCCTGCCCCTCCTGCCCCTACCATTGCTCCTCCAGTTCCACCACATAATGCACATAGCGCACACCAACCGCCAGTAAACCGACCACCTACACATAACAATACATCTACTCCAGTCAACGGCACCCATTCCCATGTCCAGAAAGGAAAGAAGAAGAATGAACCACCCGTCGATCCTGCCGCCATGTATGAGAGTCTCAAGAGTAGGATTGCAGCCCTGGAGGAAGAGGAGGTCCTAGAAGAGGAGGAGGAGCGAAAGTTTGGTGTGTGTGATCTGGGTGATTGGCTTTGTGGAGCAACATTCATGCCTCTTTCTAGCTGAGGAAGCCGTCAAGTCTGTCAAGGGCATGGAGGAGAACGCCGTTCACGCGAAGTACATCGAGCTTGTGAGTCGATCACACGAGGCAATGGTTAATTGTCGGGTGGCCGCTGACCAGCTACCTCGTACCCGTAGTTCGCAGAATTGAAGCGGTTAGAACGAGATCATGCTAAAGAGAAACAGAAACTGGTTAAAGACAAGGATGCAGGTCTGTGCTACGTGTGGTTTAGCTTGCACTCTCGCACTTCCCTCACCTATCCTTAAACTTCCCTATAGCTAAAAGTCAATTGACGAAAGCAAACCAGACTAAGACAAAGATGGAAAATCTGGCCCGCGAACTACAGAAGGTAAAATTAGCTGTTTTGAACAGTGATCTGTCACTGAATTTCTCTCTCTAGGATAACAAAAGGCTGAGAGTGCGCAGATATCCATAACCAACACTTATAATGTGTCGCTTATCTTAAGTTCAGGAAGATAGCAAGCGACTGGCCCGGTGTGTGGAGGATGCGCAAGACGAGGTACTTATTAGAGGCTGTTTCTTCTTCTGGAGTCTTCGGTGATGCAATGTTGCGCATAGATTTTACAGATGAAAAATGATCTCGCCAAGCGAGCGGATAAGGCGAAATTACAAGACATCAAATATCGCGAGATGCCAGACATAGTGGTAAAGGTAGTTTGCAGATATCGAGCTGAGCTTTTCTTCAAGATTTCGAGGAAAACAAAGTTTTCCCGGTTATTCAATGCTTGGACCGACAGAATGGAGAGCACGGGTGGGAAGAAGAGTGAGGGGAAGAGTGGGTCTGGTGTAAATGCACAGATGAATGGGTCTGCCAAATCCGATGCAGCAAGCACGCAAACTACTGGACCGTTGGTCTCATCATCCATGCAATTCGTCTTTACGCATAATGGAAAGACGGTGGATTCTGATCAGACACCAGAGGAAGCAGGAATGGAAGATGGAGATGAGATTCTTGCTGTCGAGTTGATGGATTTGACTGAAGGTCCCGGAACAGAAGACTGGGTCAGTATAGCGTCCCCCTGGAGACATGTGAAGTTGACGATCCTAACGAACGATTTGTTACAGGATGAGTTGTCTGAACCGCGACGCCAGAAGTTGAGGAAGAACTGGACAGACAGTCCGCTTGAGTAAGTTATGACCGTTGCTACACATACCTCATTAACATGTCGTTCAGGGCCAGGCGGACATTGGAAGACATCTTTGACGGCGTGTATGTTTTCCGATACGAGTCGTTATCAGATACTAACCCTTTGCCCAGTGTACGAGAGCGTCTAAAGGAAGTGCTCCGACAGTACGAGCTTCGTGAACGACATTTTGAATGCGTCATCCGTTCTAAAGAATTGGAAGTGTTACTCTCTCGAGCTAGGGCTGCAGAACAAAAACAGCTAGCCGAGGGGGAGAAGACACGCGCTGATAAAGCTGAAGGCGAGGTAACATCAAGCTGCTCCTCTATTATCTCACGATGCTGAACATTTACAATCCCTTTCTATTCGTCGCAGAACCATCATCTTCGGAAAGAGCTAGAAGACGCGCAAAATGGACAAACTATGCTTATCGATAAGCTTATTACCTGCTGTAAAGAGGTGCGTGCAAAGAGACTCATGTTTTACGCGTTTTTGATGGACTTTGCCCTGATATGCACTTGAAGCCAAATGCAGAACGTACGCAACGCCTATTTGCCTCTTTGCGGGAAGAACTTGAGAAGAAGGGTACTAAACTGGCCGATGGTCCTGTGGGCGGTTGACACCGTTTCACACTATACCCCCACTGGATTAGATACTTGAACTGGAGGCTATCCTTGTGAAATGGATGCGAAGTACAAAATGCCACGTTCAAAAGAGAGAGACAAAAACAAAAGAAAATTAACATCGTCCCAGGTACTGTGCAAATGAGAGTAGAGTCCAACTAATACTAGTAATGTCCGATCCGAGTCCAGAAACTAATGCTACAATCCTAAAGTAAAGTGTCCAATTCTTCCAAACTCTGCACATGCCCAGACTTGGTAAATGTCTTGCCTTTTACCAGCTCCAAGCCTTCGCCCGAATAGCTGAGGGATGGCGAAATCTCAATCTGTACACCATCTTCGACACGAGCACCAGCGGCCTCCAAAAAGCGACGGTGCTGAGCGAGTAAATCGCGGCGGCTGGTTCCTGGATCGTCCGACCCAGTCCCGGGAGCGTTTTTGAGTGGACTAAATTCCTCATTTCGTGCAACCTCCAACACGGCAAATCGTTGAGTGTATGGGAACACATCGAAGACGAACATCTCTAACTTCATTCCGTTTGGCTTGCTAGGCTTAACAAACTCTCCGGTCTCCAAGTCAACGAAAGGAATCTTTTTGCGAGCGATGTGGAACGCGAGATCTTCTTCAAAAGACTCGACGGAGTTTAGGTAGCTGGTGGTGTAGAAGTGGTTGGCAATATTGGCAGCTCCGAATGCTAACTCGTTGTTGTCGCTACGCATATTCGCTTGCTCCTGGGAGATCTCCGAATATTCCACGACACTGAACTTGTCGCCTCTGCGAGCAACAACACCCACTGATTCTGAGGGAGAAGCTTTAGGTACAACCTTAGCCGCGCAGTCTGCTTGTTTGTTGATACAGTATCCAAGGAACACTGGATCTGCGACTTTGACGAGACAGTTATCAACGCAATATGCGTGAACGTATAGGACTTTGCGTTTCTTCAAGTCAGAAAGCACAGAATGCGACTTGTCTTCCTGCGAGAGAGGAGCACGAGTGGCAGCGTAAAGGCCACCGTTACCGTCAGGGGCAACGGCTATGTGAGACGGACTGTCAAGCACGATTTTCCCTTCCGTAGTTAAGCATGGCAGAGTTCCTAGAAATCAATTGATCGTTCAGATACTAATATTGATATATGATGTGAAATGGAATAACCTTGTTCGAAGAAAATGACATTTTTAGCGTCCAATCCGAAGAATTTGTTTTTCGTGAAGTAGTCCTCTGTTTCGCGGCGAGTCGGGCCACTTGTCATAACATACCATGGGATGATGACAGAGCCAGCTGCTTTATTGCACTCCTTCTCAGCTACAGCCTGCAGACGAGCAATACGCTCAGCCTGGTACTGAAACAGAGACTTGTGGGAAGGGAGGCCTATGTCATAGCAACCTTTGGGTGCCGTACTTCCCAACCTCGTTCCCTGACCGCCCGCCATCAACAGAACTCCAACCTCACCACTAGCAACAGCCTGGAGACCCCTACTTCGCCATTCCTTCTCTTTGGCTGGATCACTAACGACAGACTCACACGCTCCAGCGGGTAGAGGTTCGATGGGGTCTGCCTTATGATTTGGGTCTGCGGCTTCTTTCTCTGAGGTGACTGCCTTCTTGAATATGCGGTTTACGCGCTCAACATCGATTGTTTCAAGCTGGCGGGTAAGAGCTTTGCGTTCGGAGTCTGAGAGGTCTGGCCAAAAAGTGAAGAGGTGGCCTTGGCCTGCAATCTGGTATTTCTGGCGGATATTATCAATGGCCATGGGGACCTGTATAACGTATGATTTGTGAAGAAAGAAACAAGAGATGGGGAGCGAGAGAAAGAGGAGGATGAGGAAAGGATGTTGTGAGGGTGAAGTGGACGCGAACTATTTATTGCAATAGGCAATAGGCATTTCTGAACCGGCAAGAGCCGAGCCCTTACTGCCTTGGGTCGCCATCCCCATAGCCCTGCTATTTACGAACATAGCCTCACATACGGTGTGTTTAGCCCTCTTGCTCAGAAAGCTCTTCTTGCTACAGGCACAATGTCATTATCGTGGTCGTGGCTTCGGTTATCCAACGTAACACTGCAGGACGACAGTGGCATTGCTGCAGTCCTTTTGAGCGGCCTTCCAATGGACAACGCTCACCGTGACGTTTCGAGTGTCAAAATTTAATCGCCACCATCAGCGATGAGTTATGATGTGACCCGGCTTTTGAGGTAAAAAGGATCAGCTGCAGGCTTGTTAGACCCATCGGTGCGCAAAGAAGTAGGTCCCATTACTCGTTTGATAATAACAATATGTGGCTGGCCGCATCACGAGTCAATGGGTTGTACGCTATACACTGAAATTATATTCAATCCAAGTTTGTCGCGGTACTGTTCTTTAACTGCGGGTGGGGTAATTTTGTACCTTGTCTTTTGGGATATAAGATACTGCGTCCAGTTGATTTCGCATCTTAGTTTACCCTAGAAAGGCAATTTATTTTTCAAGTTGGAGCCACTTACTACTTATTCTACTACATTCTGACAATCTTCATCCAGCTATACTTAGCTTACTAACTATAACGATCACTTGGACAGGAAGGTACTGAAGGTACGTCTGCAACACGAGTTCCAAGTCTCCTTTACCTGATTTAACCCAAGGTTGGTCAGGAGAAATGGCATTACTGCAAGTCGGATGCTCAACACGTGAAGGTGCAGCACCGTAACATCGCATGAACCCTGAAAAAAAAAACCTGCTATATTGAAATATTGGTCTTCTTCGGCACAAGTTCTAGTCCAAAGCGTTCCATTTTTGACGGACCCGAGTCTCAGACTCGCTTAAAAGGATGACACTCGGGTTCAGCTCTACTCCTCGTTCCCCCTGGAGGACAATTAATACCATTCTCTCGCCATGCCATTCCTTCGTCACGTCGCATTTGCGCTCCTCGGTCTTTCTCTCGCTCCTTCAGCTCTCTCCTTTAGCCCTGGTTTTCCATATGGGTCCCAGAAAGTGCGCGGAGTCAACCTCGGTGGTTGGCTCGTTCTCGAGGTATGCGACAACTTACCCTTTAAACATGCTTGTCTGACGTTCTGCAGCCTTGGATCACTCCTAGTCTTTTTGATAACACAGGAAATTCAGCAATCGTGGACGAGTGGACTTTTGGCCAACATCAGAATCGTGTGGTAGCTGAAGCCACTCTTCAAACCCATTGGAACACATGGATTACCGAGAGTGACTTTGCCAATATTGCTGCAGCTGGGTAATTATATCACTCTGGAATGTTATTTGTGTCTGATCATTTCCGTCGTAGGCTCAATCATGTACGACTGCCCATCGGCTACTGGGCATTCGAGGTTGGCCCCGGAGAGCCATATATCCAAGGGCAGCTTCCCTATCTGCAAAAGGCAGTAACTTGGGCTGGCAATCATGGACTGAAACTCATAATTGATCTGCATGGTGCACCTGGAAGCCAGAACGGGTATGTGATAATGTCGTCATGTCTGGGCAGCCACACCTCATTTGAAACGTATGTACAGCTTTGACAACTCCGGGCAAAGGATGTCGTTTCCGCACTGGCAGTCTAACCAGACTAATATTGATCGAACCAACGCTGTCATGAAAACTATTGCGACTATGTTCACAAGTAATCCGAACGTTATCCCTATTATTGCTCCTCTGAACGAGTTGAGTTGCATATGTTTTTGACGAAAAATGTTAACCTAATGAATTTGGATAGGCCTGCAGGATTTGATGGTGCAGCTGTACTGAACGCCACACGTGACTATTGGGGTAGCTCATATCAGAGTATTAGGTACCGATCTTTGTCCACATCGTCCTCATGTTCTCCTCTGATACTCTCTAGATATCCTCATGGACAGTCACAGTCACCAAGTAACATTGTCGAGTTGATCCATGATGCTTTCCAACCTCCTAGCTATTGGAAAGGCTTCGAGGTAGCGCCCAACTTTCAAGGAGTAGCTATGGACACTCACATTTATCAAGTTTTCTCTGATTCTGTTCGTCAATTCTACTATTCATTCACGTTACGGCCTGATGATTTGTTATTTTTAGGAAGTCGCAATGAGCTATCAGCAACACATTAAAACGGCGTGTCAAACTCAGTCAACCCTGTCTAGCTACGACCTGTGGATTATTGTTGGCGAGTGGGCCAGTGCCCCAACTGACTGTGCAAAATATTTGAACGGACGTGGTGTTGGCGCGCGCTACGATGGCTCGTACTCCGGCTCCACCAAAGTGGGTAGTTGTTCTGGGATGACTGGAAGCGCGTCATCATTCAGTTCAAGCTACAAAACTTTCTTGGGGCAGTTCTGGGAAGCGCAAGTGATATCGTACGAAAAGAGTGGCGATGGATGGATCCAGTGGACGTGGAAGGCTGAGAACGCTGATGATTGGTCCTACGAGGCCGGCTTAGCAAATGGCTGGATCCCGAAAGATCCAACGAAACTGCAATACCCCAACATATGCAACTAGGCGGTGGATATTGTCCGTGCATAATAGAAACGGGATCCAACTACGAACACTACTAGCTGATTATCATCACTGCCTAACTGGTCTCTCTGATCAGCTATACAAATAATTAATTTTTGTACCATAATGCCAAGTTGTACATAGCATGGCTTGCAACACAGTAATCCATCAGTTGAGCTAAAATAGACAGGTTGGGTATCAACAAAGGTCAGCGTCTGATCTGATCTAATTGTCGCGGTGGCAATTATTGAGCGCTTCTAGGCTGGTACCGTGACCAGAAATGCACCCGTCCGACTGCGACTGTGCCGCCCCAAACGATGCGGACGACGCTACGCGTTGGACAGAGAAGTATTGAAAGTTTACATTTGGATATTATTGCGGTGCGTTTGTTGATATGAATGGGGGTCTTCGTGAGGTATTAATGGTCCATATTTAGACTTTTCAGGCTGGATGAGAGCAGTGACAGAGTCATCGCCCCTTTTCGGATAGGGCACCATTGCCAGCATCAGATATGATACGTTCTATTCGAGAATTGAGTAATTGTGCGGAGCCCGTTGAATGTATGATGCAATCATGCGGTACAAGATGGTGTAATGGCAGTAACGATTCAGATGGATAGTGGAAAGGAGGATTGATTCAGTGGCGCCTTTGCGTACTGGACCAGTGTCGCGGCCGAATAGTATGGAACACAGACAGTTGATTCCATTCTGGTTTGAGCCTTGCTATTGTGCCGACCTGGCACTGGGCCTGTTCCATGTCACCCAGTACGTCCCCTTTACACGTGAGGGTCTTGCCGTAAAAACATGTTCCACTAGATTACCGCAAAAATAGAAAGACCCAGTTACGATGTCTTACAGAATCGCAGGATGCTCCGTCCTTACAGGGATCCCTGGGCTTACTTTCCGCCGCGAACACGTGAGGGTGAGCTGCCAGGGGACCAGATCATGAAAAACACCCTTTCGATACCAATTATACACCATCTCCATCAGGCGTTCTAGATGGTATGCATTCATATAAATTCTGCCCTCATCGCATCATCCTGCCCTTCACATTACCGTGATGTCTTTCTGCTCTTTTCTTGCCACTGCACTCCTTGGCCTGTCTCTTACTCAATCAGCTCTTTCCATATCGCCTGGTTTTCCTTATGGGTCTCAGAAAGTGCGTGGAGTCAACCTGGGCGGATGGCTTGTCCTCGAGGTAAGACAATGTATTTCCTTGTGTTCATCGCCGCGTCACTGACTCGCATTCCACAGCCGTGGATCACTCCTAGTATATTCGACAACACAGGGAACTCTGCTATCGTCGATGAATGGACGTTCGGGCAGCTCCAGGATAGCAACACGGCCACCAGTGTGCTTCAGAGCCACTGGAACACATGGATCACGGAGTCTGACTTTGCAGCCATCGCTAATGCTGGGTACTCTACGTCCCTGTTTCACCCCTAACCTATCTTTTCTCATGCATATGTCTATTTTTGATACCAGGTTAAACCACGTACGTTTACCTATAGGGTATTGGGCTTTTGAAGTTGGGCCTGGAGAACCATACATACAAGGCCAACTTCCCTACTTGCAGAAGGCGGTTACGTGGGCCGGCAATTACGGTTTGAAGGTCATAGTTGATCTTCATGGCGCTCCTGGAAGCCAAAACGGGTATGTTACTGTACCTTGACCGTACCTATTCACGCTGAACGTCTTACAGATATGATAACTCCGGGCATCGAATCAGTTTCCCTGAATGGCAGTCTAACCAGACCAATGTTGATAGAACGGACGCCATCATCAAGACCATTGCTTCCATGTTTGACGGTCAAACAAACGTTGTACCAATCATCGCTCCTTTGAATGAGTGAGCATTCCATCAGGTGTTAGTTCACGCACTCTCTTAACGGACGAACAGGCCAGCGGGATATGACGGTGAACAGATGCTTGAAGTTGTTACTCAGTATTGGTATGACTCGTACGGTAACATCAGGTATTGACACACCTAAGCATCCTGATGTTTATAGCTGACTATATTCCTCATGGCTCAGGTATCCCTATGGAACATCGCAGGAAAGCAACACAGTCGTACTTCTCCATGATGCTTTCCAACCGTTGAGCTATTGGGACGGCTTTCAGACCCCTCCTAACTACCAAGGAGTAGCCATGGACACTCATATCTACCAGGTTTTCTCCGATTCAGTAAGCTCCTTCTCCTTCACTTGCAAACGATTATCTCATTATCCAATAGGATGTTGCAATGAGCTATCAGGACCATATCAACACTGCATGCGCAACGCAATCATCTCTTTCCAGTTTTGATTTGTGGACCATTGTCGGCGAATGGACACCTGCCGCAACTGATTGTGCGACCTATCTTAACGGACGCGGCATCGGAGCGCGTTACGATGGTTCCTATCCAGGTTCAACCTACGTCGGCAGCTGTAGCGGTTTGACCGGTTCTGCATCGTCGTTCAGTTCGACCTATAAGACGTTCTTGAGACAATTTTGGGAAGCACAAGTGATCTCATATGAGAAGGGCGCTGGCTGGCTTCAGTGGTTATGGAAGGCAGAGAACGCTGACGAATGGTCCTACCAGGCTGGCCTCGCCAATGGCTGGATCCCTCAGGACCCCACTGCACTGATGTACCCCAGCATATGTGGGTAGAATAGATAGCCTATCTTTTTCCTTTGTTCATTATTGGGTGGTACCCCTTGGAGGGTAGGAAAGGCGGTGTACTTCCCTCGTTTATACCCGGTTTATACCCTGTCGGTTTAATAATCTATATATATATTATGATTCGGATATAGTTCACTGTTGGCCGATAAGCATATGAAATGTGTAAGGAATCCAGAAGGCTGGCTGTACGATACACGAATAAGTGTCCTCAAGCTCCTCCAGCTACACCGTACTTGCGAAGCACGCTCTTCCAGTCACCGATGTCTCCACGGCCCATAGTGACGATAGATGCCTTATTGGCAGATTCTGGACCAAACAAGCGGTTTGCAACGCGACGCACCGATTCGGGGGTCACCTGGTCGATGGCTGCAGTCATATCCGTAATGGGAATCTTGCGACCATGCACTAGGATCTGAGATAGAAGAACGTAAGATGCAGGGTCCTCCTCCTAGACAGCATCGGTAATGACTTACTTGTCGACCGAGGTCCTCAACTTCCACGGCCCTGCTCTCTAGTGCCATCATCAAACTAGATTTTAGCTGGTTCTTCGCCCGCTCCAACTCAGCTTTCGGCACTGGCTGGTAGATCAGCAAACTAAGTTGGTGGATGAGGTGAGGAAGGATCTGCGCAGGGGTGTTGCCACGTTGTCCTGGAGCGTTAGGGACGAAAGACGCAAAGAGGCCAAATAGTGAGGAGTCGGTGTAAATGTGGTGGAAGGAGGCGCAATGATCAATTTGAGGGAAATGGTTCAGTATGTGAGTGTACAGTCGGGAATACATGCCCTTGCCGGGACCACCTGCCCATGCCAGTGTGAGCAGAGACTTTGATTAAATAGTGTACACTTACCAGCAGAGAAACTGCCTCCTCCGCCTAGAAGGACCTGCATGGTTGCAAGGTCATAGATATCATCATCATGGATACCGACACCCTCATAGCCCACATAAAGCTGGTCAAATTCCAGAGTCGTGCTGGGGATGTGACGGAATCCACCAACATAACGAGAATGATAATCGATAGGTGATGCGGATGGGTCTGACGTAGGATAAAGGTATGATGATGCAGCACGAGTCAGAGACTTGTACAATGATGGAGAGGTGGAAGGAAGAAGGTGAGGAGGGACTGATTGAGAGGGAGTCGTGCGTGCCGAAGGGGGTGCAAGGGGTGGAGAGCATTTTAGTGAGGAGAAATACTTGTCGACCAGTTCGACCAATTGTTCATGCTGCATGCCAGCTCCCGCAAAAACCATGCGCTCAGGCCGATACCAGTCTGTGAGAGTGTCGCGCAAAAGATCGGCATTAATTAGGTCTATGCGTTCCTCGGAACAAAGTAGAGAATTTCCGAGAGCCTTTCCCCCATAAGCTACGTCGTGTAGTATCTCGGGAAGAATCATTTCTGGCTTTCCGTTGATCTCGCGCGTTTCATAACGAGCTGCGTCTCGCTGTACGTCGATTTCTTCTTCAAGAAATGCCGGGTTAAGAACGGTATCGGATATAAGGGATAGAGCTAGAGGTGTCGCCTGGTGGAAGTGAGATGACTGGTACATCATGGACTCCCTGGAAGACGAGCACATAATTTGGCCACCTAGAGCGTCCATGGCCGTCGCCATATCAGCATCGGTGCGAGAGCGTGTAGACTGGGTGAGGATAGAAGATAAAGCACATCAATAACCAAACGAAATGAGGAAACATAGTACGGCTCACCTTGAACGCCATTCTATCTAGGAAATGGCTGACTCCCGACGTTGTCAAGTCCTCATACCTCGAGCCAGCATCGACATACAGTCCTACTGAAGAAAAATGGCCTGGAGTGGACTCGGTCGCAACCCGTATTTTGTTGGGCAGGGTGGTTATCTGCGGCTGCAACACTTGCGAATACTGCCGTCGAGACACACCATGGCTGCGACGAATAAGCGAGGCTGGTGCTTTACGCATGAGGAGTAAAAAGGAAAGCTGCAATTCGTGGCTGCGATGGCAAACCTTCGGGTATAAACCCAAAAATGCTTCCACTATGTGTAAGCATGGCACGCGTCCGCAAGGGCGAAAAAGGCAAAAAGTGAGACACTACCGTGGTTCGAACACGGGACCGCACGATTTGCAATCGTGCGCTCTACCACTGAGCTATAGGGTCTTATGGAAGTGGGTACAATACACTGCACTTATTCCTTGCTGAGAACCCATGTGCACAGTGAGATCAAGTCATTAGTGCTAGAAAAACTATTCAACGTCGCTGCTACCAACGGTCCATTTGGCAAAATCAATAACCTCTACACCCCCTTCCTCCTGGTCCTTTACCAGACCACGGTCGAGAGCCCACTGGTTCAACACTGTCCGCACAGTTTCATTTGCTGAGTCCCCACCATACATCATAAACGGCTGGTCATAGAGAGCCGTTCCGTCTTCACTGCCATTCGACCTGATCGACAGAGTATCAAGCCCAACAATTTGACGAGCAATGGCGCGCTCCAAGCGTTCCAATTCTCGCGTAAATGGCTCCGACGCGAAATGAGTAGATAGATTAGGTGACTTGAGAGCCAGTAATGCAATGGCTCCTATTTTGCCTTGAGGTGCCGAATTCACGGCGCCGTGAACGTACGACGCGAGGCGAAGACCTAGATTCCCTGACTGGTCTGATAGCGGGTTCTGAACCAGTGTTATAGCCCTCCTTAATGACACTTTCTCCCCTACTTTTGCCATGAGATCCCGGATAGAAGTAGACACGGTAGATGAGGAGTGGGCCTGGGAGCCATTTTGAGATATCAATGGTGCGTCGTTTAGGACATCCAGCGGACACGGTATGATCAGATTATCCGAGTCGACGGGTTCTGATATGAAAGCGGCAGTATGGGCGATATCGGCCGCAAGCTGCGAGAAAAGTTCACCCCGACCCACGAAATCCGTTTCGCAGTTGAGCTCGACCATAGCCGCACGCACAGACCCTTTTCCCAATCCTGCCTTGGCCGCGTTTCCAGCTGACAAGACAGAAATACTGACAAGACCCTCACGGGCCACCCTCCCCTCCAATTTAGCCGCTCGTTGAGCACCGGAAGCGACCATATCTGCCTCTAGCCATGCCAGTGCGCCGTTCACGTCGTTGTTGCTGGCAGTAAGGGCTTCCCTTGCCTTTGTGATGGACACTTCGGTAAGTTTTCGGAGCTGTGCAACCAACTGCAAAGTTGGCTTTGGAGAAGACGTGGAGTAGCACCTAAACCTTGTAGAAAGGAAAAATTCTCGTGATTGTCGCAAAGAAGTGGGACGAAACATGTTTATGCCTGCAAACGTTATACTGAATTTCTTTCTGTGCAATTGGTGTCAGTGAAGCGGAAACACGGAAATTTTCTGCGACGCGATCGACAGCACGTGGCTGAATAATTTTTGACTTTCCGGGGAAAAGCTCTTTTGGGTCACGCCCTCCTTTTCCAAACGGACACTCATCCTATGTTTATGTTTTAGATCCAAAGCTATATCCAACATACTTATTCAAAATGAACATTCCCTTTTTTAAGGTCCCTAATCATGTCCCTCAAGACATACTATTAATTCAAGATCTCGTTGATGTTCCACCCCCACCCAGCTCCATTCGAAATGTGTTGCCCGGAGCTACTGAGGAGAATGATGACTCCATCGCTAGTTCAGGTAGCGAGCTTGACAGTGAGGAAGAGGTTGAAGCTGGCCTTGTTGTCCCAGAAGATGATCAAGGCCATCATACACCGTGAGCGAATCGCCTCTCCCTATGTCTCTATCCTCTTACTAACTCTGCCCAGAACTGTCTTATCTGACTCAAGTTCAGACTCTGAGAGTGATTCGGAGCCCGAGCCTTCTTTAAAAATGGAAAGCCCTGATGAAAAGCCCTTGCGAGATAATAATATCACAGTCGATATCGATGACGATGATGAATCCGGGCCAGGAGCGACTTTAGCTTATGTTCAAACAAAAAATGAGGTAGTCGATGCAGACATTTTGATCCCTCCTGTCACGACTATCGGATCTGATGAAATGTTGGAGAAAGTCGGAGAGATTACGAGTATCGTGGGCAATGTCGTCATTGTCAAAGGTGTCGCTTCTGGGCTCATGACAAGAGCCTCTGAGAAAGCTCTAGACGCTGATACTCTTCTGGCATTTGATGATAGAGAGGTGCTAGGCTATGTGAGTACTCTATCGTTTTAACCATTCTGGTGATTTCTGAGGATGCCTGAGCTTTCTAGATCTATGAGACATTCGGTCCTACTTCCCAGCCGTTATACCAAATAAAATTCAACCAAAAGTTTCCGCTGGACCCAGAGAAAGTTCGGGTTGCTCGTGAAGTCTTCCATGTACCACAGCAAAGCAATTTCGTATTTGTCAATCAACTAAAAAAGCTGAAAGGGAGTGATGCTAGTAACATAAACGACGAGGAGCCTGCAGATCATGAATTGGAGTTTTCTGATGATGAACAAGAGGCTGCACATAAGAGCCGCAATAAGAGGTATGTGACACTGGTTACTTAAGTATATAAATGATAACATATCATTGTCCAGGCGTTCGCAGTCTGTTGCATCTTCTAGGGCGTCGACACCTGCACATTCCCGGAAGCGTGAAGAGGAGCTCACGAGTGTCCCTTTCTTTGGAAGCAACCCATACGCTGAACATGGCCCCTACGATATGGATTTCAGTGTCCCCGGTCCATCTCGCCCACCACCTATCCCGTACGATGACCCATACGCGGAGGAATTCAAGGTTGAAGAGTTGAAATACGAAGATGATCCTTCACCTGAGACCTTGCGCAGCATGATTCGCCCGGTCGACCAAGCTCCAGATCGCTCTCATCACGAAACACAAACCAGACCGGTCAGAGGTCGGGGACGTGGGCGAGGCAGAGAAAGGGGCCGTGCCAAACATTCAAATTGGGAGAGTCGTACTCCACGAGAAAACCCAGGACGAACCTGGGGAGGACGTGGGCGTGATTCTCATCGCCGGGGATCAGGCTCATGGAATGAGGGACAAGGAGCTCCTCAAGATTTTATGGCACAATCTTATCAGCCATATGATCCGTACGCGCCTCAGTCGATATCGCCGACATCCCCGGTTGTCGATGGAGCGACAAGCTCCCAATTTGAATCATCTGCTGGTATGGCCGGCGCCGACTACCAATCCATGCACGTTCCTTCATCTGCAGCGTCACCTTGGGCGTTTCCGCCTGAAATGTATGACCAGTCGTATGTCCAGCCGCATATTAATCCTCGGTTTGCATCTGCATTTGGTATGAATTTCAATCATACGGCTCCATCGTGGCGCGGGCCGCCGCAACAAGGACAGTATAATCTGGGATATCAAGCCGCGCAACCTCCTCAGAACTGGTCTGATGAATGGACTGTGCACGGCATAACATCCCACGAACCCCATGGCAGTAATGATTTTCCCACATCTGGAGCATCAGAGCGCCCAGCCCCCGAGGAAGCAAGGCAGGGCACTATGCCTCCCTAGCTTTGTAGGATGATAGGGGGGGAAAGGTTGTTTCTTCGCAAAAGACCCACTAGTATGGGAGGTCGGGACACCTGTGATGCTGAATTTCATCTCATAAATCACAGTGCATGGCAAGTACATTGCTGTATCATTGCTGTGTGGTTTGGCTCTACAACACGTGTAGATCTTTCACTGATTGGCAGCGAACTTCTAATTATTGGAAGCAAGCTTCGTAGACTGACAATAAAAGCTATTCGCCTGAACCTGGGAGGGTTTCAGTAACGTCTGATGCTGGACGCGACCTGATAACACGTGAATAAAAAAAGTAGACTATCTTTGACATAACCGGGGTCGTCGAGGAAGAGGCCAAGCAGTTCTTCTTGGCGCCGGAGCATGCATCATGATAATACTAGTACGCGCGGGCTTCACCGCGGTAGCGTGGCGGCACTGAACATGTACCGTAACAACGAAGCACAAACACTGTCTTCTTAGCCTCTGAAGCGCATGCTTTGCATCAGGACGCATATGGACCATTCAACGTTCGCCCTCGGTTGGCTGTAAATGTGCTATAGATAACAGGGTTGGTGGTGACTGATTGGCAGGAATTATTATTGTTTTGACATTTACACGCGGGTCTTCAGGATGTCGATTCGGGCTAGAATTCTTCAAGCTCCAGAATGGAACCAAAGACTGGTATAAAGGAGCATCGCTGGGAAAAGCACTACTTTCTACACCATCTCCTGTAGTCAGTATGTTGTCCACCTTGGTGCTCTCCACACTTTTGGGCTCTGCTCTCGCAAACTCTGTCGACTTGAACCAGTTGTTCACCAGTGATATCAGCTCTAATTGCTCTACCTCTGGTGCTGCATCCTGTTACAACACCACTGCTGTGGACACCTGCTGCACCGAGTACCCTGGAGTGAGCAGCTCAATGCAAAACACAAGCTCGATTTTTGTTCGCTGACAGGACTGATCTATCGTAGGGCCTTTTGTTGCAGACCCAGGTATGCACAAACAACACTTATTCACGACAGACCCAGTACTGAATCAATCTACAGTTCTGGGATACGGACCCCTCCACTGGTCCCAGTGACAGTTGGACTATTCACGGTAGGTATTCCTTGCCTTTCAGAGCAGTACCGGATACTGATATCTGCATCACAAAGGATTGTGGCCTGATAAGTATGCCTACAACTGTTTCGCTCAAGCATAGCGTGTTCACATTCAATTTTCAGCTGCGACGGCACTTACGTAGAGAACTGTGACTCCTCCCGCGATTACACCGATATCAGTTCGGTATGTTAATGTTCATAGCTATCCTTGAGCACTGTAGCTGAAACTAAACATTATAGCTCCTTACCGATCAAGGAGCCAGCTCCACCCTCTCTTACATGCAAACAGTTGGTCATACTTCTCATTCATACGTATATGTACGATTAATGATTTTTGCAGCATTGGGTCAACATCAATGGTGACAATGAAGAGCTTTGGGAGGTATGCGTCACTACATATTAACTTATGCTGTATTTTAACTGACATCTGGATTAGCATGAATGGGCCACACACGGCACGTGTATGAGGTATATGACCATGAGTTATGGTCGTTCTTCTTTGACACTGACGCTTTTGTAGCACCCTTGAAGTGGCTTGTCTTCCCAGTGGAAGTCCCAAGGGAGCTGAGGTATGCTTACCATTTGTTATGGGCGTGACTTGTCTGACGTATAATTCACTTCAACAGGCAGTCGCTTTCTACGAGACGGTCGTGACCCTCTTCAAGGTACTGCCAGTTTGCAGACATACACTAGAACCACAACTAAATGTAACATACAGACGCTCCCCACCTATACCTGGCTCGAGCAACAAGGAATTACTCCCTCCAACGACGCAACCTACTCTCTGGACGACCTGACCTCGGCCCTCCAGACTGCATCTGGGGTAATTATTTAAGTTTGTTTTGATGATAAGGTCATGAACCATCCCTATTCGCAGTATATCCCCGCGCTCGGCTGCAGTGGTGACACTCTCGATGAAATTAGCTGGTACTTCAACTTGAAGGGATCCATCATTGACGGCACTTTCGTACCAATTGGTAAGTTTTTTTTGTGACAGTAGCGCTATGTCTTCTAACTATTTTGTCAAGATTCTCCCGAATCATCCACTTGCCCAAAAAGCGGTATCAGCTACCCTCCCAAGTCCTAAATCTGGTCCGGCAGCCCCACCAGTCCATCTGTTATGAATGATGTCGAATGAATGACGTCTGTAAAAGATCGTGTCAATGACAATTTTGCTAGCATGAACAGACTTTCTGTAGATTTTCTGTACTGGAGATGTTACTCAAATGGATATTCTTCCTTGCTCTTTGTGGTGTGTTGTATCATTGCATATCATATTTGCATCCTAAGCGCCGAGCTTCGAATTCAATGCGGGCCTACTCTAGTGACCACTTATGCTTACGGGCTTGGGTGGACCGACACTGAGCAGCGGGTCTGGCTGAAGATAAGCTGCTAATGATTTTCTTTACTCGCTGTTTGAGCAGTATTGCCATATAAGCAGATGCAACATTGGGTGCAAATGAGATGAGAAAATATCCGGTCTGCTGCAGTTGCAGAATTCTGAGTGCGAATTACTTTGATGCCTCCTCCTCTTAACCACCCATGCCTCCATCTCGAGCTGTTACCACAAACGTTCTTCGTCAAGCAGCTGCCCGCTGACGCAGGCATACCTCCCGAGATTTTCAACGAGCTGAATGTTCAGGGAGGAAGTGATATACATAGGCTTTTTTCGGTTACCCGGACTGCAGAAGAAATATCTATTGTAGGAGAGTCTGCGACTGAAGAAGGAGGGGACTGGAGATGCATCAAGATAGCGGGACCGATGGACTTTGGTCTGATTCTCGCCATTCCGTAATGGATATGATTTAATATGGCGATATCATTAGGTTTGACGGGAGTGGTGAATAGCTTCACGAGTCCTCTGAAGGATGCTGGCGTGCCAGTGTTCGCTATATCCACCTGGTAAGCTGCTTGGATAGACATCAAGATATCTGGACGATTTATGGCTCCTAGGAATACGGACTATGTTCTGGTCCCCAAGGCGCAGGCTGACCGAGCAGTAGCGGCCTTGTGTGCTGATCAATGGACGTTTGTTATTTCAGTTGAGGAATGAACACTGCACACGTTCCCATAAATGTTCAGTCAAAGAGCGGTGATGATTAGAATAGTCAATGATAGTGAAGGAAAAACATAAGAATAGAGACATGCTAAAATTACTGTAAATTGACGCGAATTCAAACGTTGCATAACCCGTTCTCTGCAATTGCTACGGAGACCGTGCATTCATGTGCCATTACACTTTGCTCTAAAGACGTCCAATACTGCAAACCGCCTGGGACGAGCTCTCTGTTCGCTTTCGCTCCTACAACGGCATAGGTTGATGGCAGATGTCACCAGCGCAGCAATCGGTTCTGGGGTGAACACCCGCCAGAAACGTGTCCTTCCCTCGCGTTCTCGCCGTGGAGGGCCTGGAATAGGAAGCTGTGATGTCGACCTTATGATATTGGATGCTCAGAAAAGAAAACGTAAGTTGCACTTGTGTCTTGTTGCAAAATGACACCGCGCATATCTTACACACTCGCACCTATCTCGCTCCATAGTCGAAAACGAACCCCTCATTCCTGAGAACACCCAGTTTTTGTTGACCACAAATTCAGGGGAGCTCAAGCAGCCTTCGACGTCTGCGTCCTCGGGTTTTGAAATAAATAACCATGCTTATCAGCGCTACTTCGATCGTCCAGACGTACTTAAGGCTTACAGAGAGCAATTGATTATACAAACACCCGAATTTTCTCTCTTGTCGGAGGATGCCAGTGTGGGTGGGCGGTTCAGACCAAGGAGCTCAGAAGAGGTATGTCTCTCCTTCATCTTATCAGCAATTAATGATGTTGACAGCTGGACTCGCAGGAGTCGACAGATACGTCCGACGCAGCTTACGAGAAACGACACCGCAAGTATGAGACATTTGAGAAGAGGCAGCGTTTACGGGAGAAGGAGAAGCTTAAACACGAGCACTATAAACTAAAGGAGCGTATCGAGCAGTTGAGAGCGCTGGATGGAAACGCATTCCTTGCCCTTCCTGCATCTTCCTTCTCTGCACCACCTGGCGTCGAAGAGGAATTACCACTCAGCGACCTTCCCGGGGCGCACGTCAACGGCGCAGCTGTATACAACGAAGGAGAACGGCGACGGAAGGAGATGCTCGATGTCGCTTTTACGCTGGATGAACGATATAAGACCTTGCTACCCTCTGAGCGGAAACAGACAGAGTCGAAAAAGGACACCAAGCAATGCACACCGGGAGAGTCAGGGATACATCCTCTGCAAGAATCGGTTATAGGCGGAAGAGAATGTGCTGCTGACACTCCTCCCAGAAGTAATAAGGCATTGAAGCTAACGATCAAGCTTCCTCAACCAAGACAAACGCCACGCCTTGCCCATTCTCCGTCCAACCCTGGTGCTTCTCCGAGGCTGAATTCAACAACGCCGTATTCATTCTCTCACCAGAAGACTCTAAATCAAAATGTATATGAAACACCTGTCAAACCATACTCCTACAACTCCTCTTCGATACACACCTCCCGCGGGCTTCGGTACGACACTTCTGACACGCAGTCAATAGGTTCCACGCGACCATCGAAGCGTGCAAGAAGAGATATGGACATTGTGGACAGCTCACCGGCAAGCATCCGCCTGAAAACTCACCACCCATTGAAACCACATGAAGAGCCTTGTGTTTTGATGCTTTCTGCTATTCGCAATTCTGCTGCACCAATGGCAAGGAAAACTCAGAGGAATGCTACAGCTTTCGGCGTCAAAGTCCCTCAGGAGATAGAGCTAGTCCGCGATTTTGAAATCCCACAGTGGATACGCCGGGCTGACACTGTCTTCGAAGATGACGATGACCAAACTATGCATTATATGTATTCATCTTTAGGGGACACACCGCCTCCTGACTAGTTCTTACTATGGCAGTACCATCCAGCTCATTATTATTTGAAGTTGTAGTGACGTTCTTTTTGCCCTTGAAATCTTTTGTTCGCATTACTTTAACTTTCTTTTTTTTTCTATCTTTCTCGGGGTGAAATTAACTCAGGCTTATCTTATGGTTATTTTGAATCTGTATTCGTAGTCGGCGTCTTCGCCATGATTGATGTCCAAAATAATTAAATTATGCCACAAGTTCGTCCGTCATCCCAACCATCTTCTGGACTACTTCCAACCCATGGCGCCTAGTTCTCAAACCTGCCTCTCTCCTGCGAGCCAGAACCAAGGCTGCGTGATGGACAGGACCCAAAGCACGCACGCCCATCGTCTTGACCAGTTGAGGTGGGAGATGACGCGAGTAGTCACCACCTGCACGCTCTTTGGAAAGCTGTATGCGCAAAGCTATCTTTGAACTAAAGGTAGACCTGGCTTCAGAGGCAGCATGTACAGCACTGGAATTGGCAGGGGAAACTGGCGGAGTGCTGAACAGTTGTGTAAGGTCCGTAGTTTGGAGATCGACTAAGAGGCCCCGAGGGGTCTTAGGAGGCGGTGGTGGGGAAGGTCTCTGTCGTGGCGTCCTTTCTCGGTTCGACCGAGATTGTATCTCTGCGACTGGTGCCTTTTTCTGCTGCTCCGGACGCTTGGCCTTTGCTTGAGCTGAAACAGATGGTCTCTGCTGTTCCTGCGAGTTTCCTCGCTGTGACTTCCATTCTGTTTTCCTCTCCTGCTGCTTCCCGTTTCTTGCTTTTCCCTGTCCCAGCTCTTTGAAAGATTTATTGAGTTGAGATGCTCTGGTGAGCAACTGACCAGCTGCGGGTAAATCCGTGGAAGGGGCAGGAGGAGAAGTACTGCCTTCTTCATCCGGTTGCCTTTGCGCATACACCTGCTGAGCCCTCCTTTTCGCAGCACGGACTGAAAAAGAGGCACCCGTTTGGTCGTCTGAAATCCATTTAAGCGAAGGGCTATAATCCTTCGAAGGTGCACGGTGCGGAATGATTTTTGGCCCATCGGCGGAAGATGTACGAAAGTTGCTGGCTATAAAAATAGCTATGTCAGTCCCAATAGCAAAAAAGGTTATTAATTTAAACAAACTTACGGATGACAATGTCCCCCAGAGCACTTAATCTGGGCGTCCTGCGAGTTTTAGCAGGTGACGCATCTGAGGTCGCATCAACACCTGTGGTGAATTCTGCAAATGATAATTTGGGTGCTGGTGCACCCGTGGACTGAAACCGTATTTGATGCCTACAGCACTTTATGGCATCGAGGCCGTGCAGTGCTCTGGACGACGAGCGCTGCATGTTATTGACGGGCACGGCTGTGGTGAAAGTAGTAAAGAAACCCAGTTCCGTCGGGTTTATTCCGAGTCGCGGGCGGTGGCGGGTGCGTGTCACCGTAGCGGTTTACTGCAGACTTCCACTATAACTCCCTACAAGTATCGCTGAGGACCTTACCTTCACGCATAGTAAATGGGCCGTCTGTGGGGTCGCGTCATTGTCAGCCTTGTTACTGGTCTCATCTCATTTCTCACTTTCTCCCCACAAATATTCATCATATGGCCATGGTATGGGCGTGAAATCACTGTCGAGCTCTTGACGCTCCTTCTACCATTCAAGTAAGTACTTCAACCTCACCGATGTAATGTTTGGACGTGACGATTGTATAGTGTTCTGATATTCATGCTTTTTTGGAATTATTATCTGTGTATCACCGTAGACCCTGGTCGGGTACCAGACTCATGGGTAAGTGCTATACTTGCACGTTCCTGGCAGTGCTAAACAGTTCATCTACTAGCAACCTGAAGGAGAGATAATAGAGGTGAAGAAGGTGACAGGTGGCCCAAGATACTGCAGGACCTGCAAAAAATACAAACCACCAAGATCTCATCATTGCAGAGTGTGCAATCGGTAAATATTCCATGAAATATTTGATTACCATTCACTAATTTCATACTTACACGAACAGTTGCATTCTTCGAATGGGTATGCCTATGAGTCGTGCGTTGTGACATAGTACTAATCCCTGACAGATCACCACTGTCCTTGGGTGAACAATTGTATTGGCCACTTCAACTATGGTCATTTCATCCGTTTTCTTTTCTATGTCGATTTGGCATGCTTCTATCACCTTTTCATGGTGACTCGCAGGGTGTTTGACTGTATGGGAAAACGTCGTTGGGTTAGCAATTTCATGCTTAGCTTGCGAATATACTAACACGCTCTTCAATGAAGGACGAACCATCTGGTCTTGAGCTAGTGTTCATAGTTCTCAATTATGCCTTGTGTATACCAGTGGTGCTGGCCGTAGGAGCATTCAGGTGAGCTTATGTAGGTTCTGTGTTGTGTTTATTACATTTACTTATACTATTTGCTTTGACCATAGTCTCTATCATATCTACAGCATGCTTGGAAATACCACGACAATAGAAGGATGGGAAAAAGATAAGGCCGCCACCCTGCTGCGTCGGGGAAAGATTCAAGAAGTAAGCTGTACTCCTTTTGCATAGCTTTTGTTGCTAACCTCGACTTTGTCTGTTAAGGTTAAGTTCCCATATGTACGTCAAATACATTTTTGCGATGAATTTGGCTTATGCCTATTCAGAATCTGGGTGCTCGTCGCAACATCACTTCCGTTCTCGGCGACAATCCACTACTATGGTGCTGTCCCACTGTTACACCTGGAACTGGGTTGAAATATCAACTGTCAATAGGAGATGGTGAGTGGATCGAGATCTCGACGAGCCAGAAACGTCAAAGGGTCAAGTGGTCCGGTGGGGAGGCATAATAATCAAATACGAAAAATGTCCGTATATTGCATAAGCTGTAAGCAGTTGTGCCACCCATGCCTTCTTGCAGCCGTCATTTGACTCCCACCATGCTTGTTTTTTCACCTTCTGTATTTTCTGGCTTATAATTGACGCAAGTTCCGTTCTTCTGCTAAACAGATATAGATGTGCAAGCCTCGTGGCCTCCGCGTGACCCCGCTTTGAAGGAGCAGGAGGATAAACCGTTTATACTTCCTGACAGCCCTTGGACATATGAGAATGGCAGTACTAACCCGAATCTCCGTCCATCAAGCGGTGCACGTCTGCGTTCTAATGTTGCAGGCAAGCAGCAGAAGACCAGACCTGTTTACGCTGGTCCACCGTATCAAATTGATCCAGAGAATGAGGAAGAAGAAAGAGGCTTGGCGTCACATTCTCGCAGCTCTTCGCAGGACTCTGACTTCGTGTACACTGAAGAAGGGTACCGTCAGGGCGTTCAAGTACGAAGAGGTTCAGAAGGCTATGAGGTCCGACCTGTTGATCGAGAGGAGTTACTTCAGCGGTTTCTTCATGATCAAAATGAGGATGTTGATATGTATCAGCGCTATGTTCCAGAGCCCTCATCCGATGATTATTCTGATGAGGAGGAGGACAACGCAGGAGAACAGGCGGATGGTGTACGAGCGGCCGAGTTATCCTCAGGGATTTGAGTCGCTAATCAACACATGGTTAATGGACTATACTCTAATTGACATCGGACAATGGGTTATTTATGTTGTACCGCAGACTTTACACCTGCATTGGATTAATACATGGCTAACATTAGAAGCATGACACCAAGGAGTACCAAAACGAAATCGATAGAATTTAGTGCTACAAGTTAAAAACTATTAGACAACCGACATCCTCTCCAAAAATATCTTCCACGTCGCCCCACCTTTCTCACCAATCTCCAAGACATTCGAGCCGACCTGCAGCTCCACGTGCCATTCACCTGATGGAGTAGCCCTTTCGTTCACAAGCGATCCATTCAAGATGACTTGTACGTTCTCTCGTATAGGTGTGGACGTTTTGTGAGGCTTCTGGACACGTACGACCTTCGGCTTGGGGGCAACTTTTTTGGGGTTTTTAGGAGGTCGCCCTCGACCTCGCTTTTTCTTAGGTACAGGTTCCTCTTCCTCCTCTTCCTCCTCTTCTTCGTGGGGATGATTATGAACTCCGTCTTCGTCGCTGCTTTCCTCTTCCTCAGTACCTAAAAATTTGATATCGGCCACGGATATCGCCTTCTCTCCTTGTCCGAGTCTGATCGCCCAGCTTTTTACGCCATCACGATAGTCAAGTAAAAATGGCCTCCCTCGAGGTCGAGTAATCACCGACATTCCCCTTAGTAGACGGGGATTGTTAATGGGAGCCGGTGACTTGGATGTTGATTGCACTGCCTGAGCGTTGATGACCCGTGATGTTGTTGTGACTGGTGTAGATACATTAGAAGGAGCAGGAGAAGAGTTGACGGGAGGTTGATATGTAGCATTAGGATAGTGTGAAAGTTGAGTAGTAGATTGATAAGGCATTTGTAGAGTTGGCAATGGTGCTTGTGTGGGTTGTGGAGCTGGGACAGGCGTAGAGGATGCCGGCGGAACTGGCTGGGGTATTGACGAGGCCACAGCCATACTTGGATTTGATTGAGGTAACGGCGACTGTACTGTTGCAGGTGACGGATTTGAAGGGAGTACGGGCGTCGTAGGAGCGGGAGTCGCTGCTGATGCAGGCTCAAGCGTGAGGGGTGTAGATACTGCTGCCGCTGCAGGGCCAGAAGCAGGTGTAGGCGCAGAACCAGAATCTGATTTGGGAATAGGTGTAGATATAGGAACAGGTAAAGGTGTCTGCGCGGGCGCAGGCATGGAAACCGATACCGCTGGAGCCTGTGCAGGCGCCAATTCCATTGATGGCTGTGATGCAGGGGCAACGACTTGAGCTGCTGTGACAGCTACGGAGGGTAAACTTGAAGTCGACTGCAAAGGTGTTGTATTGTTTTGCTCTGGACTCTTGTTTAAGCCATTGGCAGGTAATCGAAGCATAATCCCACCCGAGGGCGAAGGGGTGACCAGATGCACTGGAGTTGCTGGGGCCAGATGAGCAGGAGATGGTAGCTGGCCGGGAGGAGGTATCGGTGCAGGAACCTTAAGCTTGATCTTCGTCTGATATGGTTTAGAATACTGTGGAAGAGCATGTGGCGGCGGAAGGTCGGACATTAACTGACGAAAGTATTCCTATGCCAGTAGATGCGGAATGAGAATAAGAAGCGAAGAATGGAAAGAGAACTAACACGAAGATTGGCTGCGTCTTCCCATACTGGGCTGTGTTCTTGATTGAAAGCCAAAGCATTAGAGAACACAAGTTCAACATCAGCGGCAAATTCTCCTGTGGTGTGGTATTCCTTGCGCTTGAGATGTTTCTGTGCTTCCAATAAAAATTGGCCCAAATATACAAGAATCCACGAAACTCACGAATATATTCTCGAAACACTGAGGTCGTTTGATTTCCTTGTAATATGTTGGCCAGTCTTTCTTTGAAGGTAACTCCATAAATAATGAGGAAAGTACACGCCCACTGCAGAATGAAACGCTTGATGAGTTTCATTACGCACTTAAAAAGTATGTGGCGCTTACTCTTTATCAGTCTTATCTACTATCTTCTGCAGCCTTGTCTTCAGGAGACGATTCATGTTCGGGGGCTTGTTTTTCTTCTTCTCGTCATCGTTTCCATCATCTTCGTGTCCCTTGTCGTCGCCATCATCGTCGATATTCTTTCCATTCACTGCGGAATCCTTCCTGCCAGTTAATTTTGCATATTCTTTGAGAATTTGTTTCTAAAAGCAAGCAAAATGAGAAACGTATGTTGGATGAGAGGACATCGAATGCACGTACGTGCAAAAACTTGGCGTCCTTCCAGATGAGGCTATTCTTCATGTTGTAATCTTTTGCATTGTTGAAGCAAAGTTCAAAATCTAATTTTACCGCCTCAAGAGAGTTGTAGAGGCCATCTTCGAGTTTTTTCTTTATGTCGTCCAAGCATATGGGGTGGTGGATGACCTGGTAGTAGTCAGGGTAATGGCGCTTGGAGGGCAAGCGCATAAATGCAGGAGAGCATATGAATCCCCTATGATGTCCAAGACAAAAACAACAAAGGTGATTAGAAAGGAAAGATCATATGCAGCCGCGGTAGCTCAAGTTAGTCGCGCTACGCACTCTTTATTCACCGCTTCCTTCACTGTCTGCCACATCTGCAATCCATGCTCCTTCACTGAATTCTGTCCAGAACCTCCCGCCTCGCTGACCTCCATATTCGCACTAGCATTTTCTGTCTTGTCCATAGCCACTCCTGCGCCTTGTGAAGCTGGTGTGGCTGTCTGCGTCGTTGGTGTCGCTACCACCTCTTTCCGTCGCTTCACTCGCGGGCCATCCAAGTCCACATCGTTCGCCAGAAATCCAAGCTCTCTCTTCGACATCTCTCAGCAGCTTTGTAAGAACGAACTTTAAGAATTCAAGCTTAAATCGCTCTGTATCGAGGACGACAGCGAGCTCCGTATTATCTGGATTCAGCGTTTACCGTCATTCCTTTCTTGGCAAGTGGCGCCATGGTGGTCACGTGACATTCAGTCTAAGTTATGTGTTTGTGCCACAGTTATCTACTAGTCGCGATTTTCACGCAATTCACAGAGCTGCAGCTGCAAAGCTTCAACTGCATATATGGCATAACTACGCTATTCTAATACATGCCAAGAAACGTCAAAGCCTTTCATTCGAGAAGGCGAGCAATGCGAATCTCACGCATTCGTTTGACTGCGCCTCGTGAATGATTGTTCAAACCTCCACCGAATGCCCAAGACGCGTCTCTCCATTTCTGCTTTTGCTGGTCACCCAACGCCAATTCATTCAGGTTAATTGAATATGCACGTAGAATGGTTGAGCCACCAGGCTATATCAAATGAACTCTCATCAAATGACTTGCGCATTGAAGAAAGCAGACACATACATGCTCTCCCATGTATGCAGAAACATCGATGACGAAACCGTCGACTACCACTAGACATCTACCACGTTCTTGTAGCATAAATTCTTTGAGATCGGTCAACTTCCACTCTGGCCCATTCCATGAAGGGTCGTCTTTCTTTCCTGCGACGTGATCGTGATGTTTATGTTGCATATATTCTTTAGCATCGACAATGTCTTCTTCACGGGCACGACGGAGGCCTTTCACCAAACCTAAATAGTGAAGAACAAGTATTATCCATTTGGATGGGTCCCATTCCAGAGTAGATGGTCCCGAACGATAGTCATGTGGAAACGCGTGCTAGTGAAAATAAAGCTACAGGTTGGGTCGGATATGCAGGCAATTCAACTTACATGCTACGAATCCTCATCAGTTGAGCTTCTATGGTAACGGAATTGGTGTTACTCACAAAGTTGTGGTTTCCTTCTCCGCCTGTCAAGAGAGCCAAAAGCTGGAAGGTATAAGCGCGACAGAACTAAGATATCGCGATAGACTTATACATACTAGATTGCCCCTAGATGTATTTTCGTCGGTGTACGGCTGCAGTCCATCCCAGTGTGCTAGTCTGTTCGAGTCACCATGATCAGAAAATGCATGAAAAGGAAAAGATAGGAAGCACTCACGAGTTCACTAAAAAGGTGCAGTGCCATACTAATGATTTGGTATCATTATCAGGCACCTAGCCCGCATATAACATACTTCTTACCTGCGACTGTAGTAACAAGTCCACCCCATATGAAGGAACCAAGAGGATCATCCCACAGGATCCCTAACAATGTTGGTAAAACGAGCCCAAAAAATAGAGCCAAGGGAACTACAGCGCGTCAACTCGATTTATTTCTTTAACTCAATACTAACGGAACCACACACCATAATATTTGTGCTGAAAACGAACAACTAGTTTTTGGTGAGCACGTTTTGGTAAATCCTCAAACAATACATACCGGAATCGTTCTCCAGGTCGTCGCGATCCACAGAATTTAGACGGTCGTACTTTGGTTTAAAGAATATCCACCCCATATGAGAATACAATAGACCTCGGGTGGCAGCATACCTTGAGATGTGTAAGGCACCAACGAACCCTGGAGAATCACTGAAAACTCACGGATCATGGAGGGGATCGTCGGTAAAACGCTGGACCAACGAGGCTTGCTTCAGTAACGTAACGGTGCCATAGCTAGGGAGAATGGATTTGCGAGCGACTTACGTGATGGAGACGATGTCTCAAACACCTGATGAGTCGTTAGCTTTCTGGGTAGGTGATAATTTCATTCGAGGAACACACACCACCACTACGGGTATGGAAGGAGAGTATATTGAGCTCAAGGCTAATGGATAAAAGGCATATTTACCTTGATAGAGCCTTGAAAGGCGCTTGACCCAAGGATCGCCAAAAGGAGCCTGACAGAGAAGCCAGCTCGAAATGCACGATGGGCATATAAACGGTGATAACCAATGGTAATGCTATCTCCCATAGTAAGTGCTAGTTAGTCGGATAGACCGTCGAACCACTCACCCAAACTCGGCCGCCTGCCATAAGAGGAAAGACATGAAGAGAGTGGCTCGTGGAAGGAGATTCGGTGGCCTGTGATAGATACCAATCACAGAAGCAACATGAATGAAGACAAAGAATATGGCATTGCTCCACCATACAGTGGCCGGCGGCGGGGACTTCGTTGGTGGACTCATGTGGGCTGTAAAACGTGAATCAAGGAAAAAATAAATGCACCTGAGGGAGTTTAAATATCTCGATTCGTAGTACGGCTTATAGTTTGCAAAAAAGGCATACAAATTCCATTAACATCGAGTTATCCGAGATGCGGCTGCCATTGAGCTGACAATTGCCAACAAAGTTCCGTCGGACGTAGTGTGCCATCGATCGAATGGGCTCTATATCGAATGTATTCAATGTTTCCGTTCAGCATCGAGATCACCAGGAAGTCTTGCTCATTCATACACGGAGGCCCCACGGGACTAGCCGTAAACAGGAGAAATCAAAACACATGGTACCACAGAAGACGCAAGAGAGGCGCGTGTACTGATCCCCGAACCTACATGCAAAAAATTCGAATTCCCAGCCTGTGACTAGAGTGATATTGGTACGCACAGGCTGGTGGTCACAACGAATCGAGAAACGTCCTAACTGCTTGTACGGACTCCTCGCTTGTCCTCCATATAGCCCATTCTCTATCACCACCGGCTCCCATGCCCATGCCCCCTGGTCTAAAAGCCATGTTGCCATCTATCCATTGTCCGCCGCTGAGATGCACCTCGCGTAATCCTTGTGGCAGTAAAACATCGCAGACCTTCTTAATACTGGATGCGTTTATACCCGAACCGGGAAGGATTCTAAGTTGTCGTAAACCGGGGGTCTCGGATTGGCTTTTGGCGCTTTGCATCAGGGATGCCAAGACTTCTAACGAAGCTGGTGCTGATACTCCCTGACCACTAATAAAAAGAGCCACTTTCGATGAAACACAGAAGTGAAAAATAATAGTAAGATTTTACCTTGTTAGGATCCTCGTTATCCCTGAAATGGAAAGGATATCTCCAAAAGCTTAAAAAAAGTCAAGTCGAGTGCCTGAAGGGAGCAATGGCAGCTTGCCTCGGTACACATCACCGGTCAAATCGAATGCTCTGTGAAAGCAGACTGCACAGGTGTCACGGTTCAGTCGATGATGACTCAAAATAACACACTTACCTTCAAGGGGCGACGCTTCTCCTACTAACCTGAAATACGAATCAATACCGGGGTTCTCCAACACCGGAAGATCAATAATCGGACAGTTTAGTCTTCTCAACATCAATGCTGCCTTCCTCAGTCAAAACACCAAAGACAACTCCTTGCACGCTATGTCGTTTGAAAGCCCGTATATCCTCCAACATGACCTCAATTTCGGACGTAGAATAGAGAAAATCTCCAACTCGAGGACGAACCATGGCCTTGCAGAAAGGTATAGGAGTATACACAAAGCATCACCAAGGTGGCCACATGACTGTATAAGCTTGATAGACTTTTAAAATATGAATATGATACAGACCATGATGGGAATACCAGGAGTAGCACTTTGAATACTTCTGAGCAATCCGATGCTGGGCGTCGTCCCACCTCCAAAACCCAAGTTCCCACATACCTCTAGTCTATCTGCTCCTCCGCGAACTGCTCTGTAAGATCATTGGATCAATATGTGTTACAGCATCAATCAAGAGAAGGGACCACGAACGCCAGAGCTGATTCAACAGAATCAACGCATACCTCAAGGAGGATTTTCACTTTAGAGGTCGTGTCAGCTGCCATCCTGACTGTGAGCGACTGTCGTAGTCCAACAAAATCAAGACTATAAATGGAAATACATGTGCTGATTTTTATGGCTTCGGGAACAAAACATCTAAGCGAGTACTAATATTCGAGAACTGTACACAAAACATTACAGACTCTGGTTGTGCAAGATAGAACATACATATTGGTCCATAAAATGACATATAATAAAAGGTGAAGACAGTTAATCATCCAAGACTCTCGTAAAACCCCACCATCTTCCTTACATCTGGACAAAGTATCAGCCTCACCCGCTCATTATCCTGCACGATGCCTCTTCCCCTAAGCTCAAGCCACGCTCCTAGCCCACTAACAAAACCTCCAGAGACTCCGGTCCCAAACGCGCCGCACGCACCATCTCTAACCTTTTTTGCCAATCTGTCCCTGTCCATACACCACTTCAACTGATGCATGATGGGTAAAAGTGAGCGAGAGACAGAAAGTGAGGAAGACTCGATATCTGGCAGTACGTGTAATGTGTGCAGATCCTTGAGTGCGTGAGATACGGATGCACGGCGACGAAGTTGGGATGATACAATAAGGCTAGCACGTCTACGTTGCAGATGGAGACCCATCTCATATTGCTTGACCGACTGGAAACAAGCCATAGAGGATCAATACAGTCTTGAACGGAAAGAAATAACGCCAACAAACGTGTGCAGAGTGGAGATAAGACCCCATGCGCCATCTTCTTTCGATATTCAAGCCACGCAATACATATCTCTGCACAAGGTCACCAACCGTAGGCCTGAAAGGTATTCCTTGAGGGCTTCGACCAAAAAGCAGGTGGGAGACCCGTGAAGGAGCTACAACGCGAAGGCGATTACTGTGAAGAACGGGATCTACAGCTAAGCACGCCAGTGACGAACATGTTCGTGAGAGACACGCTAGGTCAGGAATGTCAAGATAGGAGACTAGTGTATAACAGGCGCGGTAAGAGAGAATATGCATGCACTGGCATAGATAATGGACGTACGAATGTGGAGTAAAGTCTCTGGAGGCATATCCAGTAAGCCAATAGATGCGTCTGGGTTGCTCATCGTACTAGTTTCAATTAGTAAGAATAAGATAATCTTCAACCGCTACATGAGTGTGCTATAATGCAAGGGAACAAAGTCGGGTTGCATTCAAGTTACTGTCCAATAATAGCAACAATCACCCAGCCGCAGCGTCAACTCCAGTACGACCGCTAAAAGCCGTGATTATTTAAGCTCCCGCGAATATGACTACACTTTCCTATTTTGGGCTCTTAACTTGTATTATATTAGACAGTATCCAAGTAGGTCGGGTCGGAGAACTGGTGTAAGATCAACATCTTGCTCTAGCCCGACAATCGTAATAGTAATTATAAACAGGAAAAGAAAATATACTATGCATGGCATCATTTTGAAAGTGGACAGCTTGGGAAAAAGAGCGGCAAAGAACACTCTGCTAGTCCAAATTTGAATATGAGAATACAATAAAACGATACTTGCAGCATAGTCTACCAATTTTGAACAATGATTATGAATGCAACAGCTCTTCCTTTGAAACATGATTCCAATGCAAGCGATCCAGAAATAATGAACGTCCCTTTGTGAGGTTATTCTGCTTACATGGTGGAAGTGGTCTTCTCTATGTCGACTCGGATTCCGGAAACCCCTCCATCTTCGCTGTGGTCCGAAGTATGGAATCCCATCTCAAGGGAGTTATACGCTGGTGCCGGAGTGGCTCGAACGCTCTCGTCTAATGCCTTGGAGCTTTCGTCGCCGAACCCCATGCCTAGTTCAAAGTGCATGTCGTCTAGCTCGACGTCAGCAGCTTCCACATCGTGAAGACTCCCAATAGTACTGAGTACAACGTTTGAGGTAATTGTAGATGCTTGTCCCCGAGCTGTCCTAGTTCCGAGGCCCCTACTTTTGCCACGGTGACCATTGGAACTTGTGACGCCAGATTTAGTGGTAAATGCCGCGATACCCGTTCCTTCAGAATGGGATACAGTTTCCGCACCTCGCTCGCGGAGATCGAGAATCTAAGAAAAGTGCATGGCGCCATGGTGTATGTTAAGTAAATCTAATTGAAGTAGAACAATGTGCGTACAAGACGACAGGCGAGCACGGGTGCCATCATCACGCTCAGGGGTATATTGATAGCGGATATGACTTGACGAGGCCTGTGAAAATGATCAGAAACAGAATTGTACCTATAAGATTATAGCTTACTGCAGATAAAAGATCCCGTTAATCTTGAAATATATGTTTCATTTAGCTTCTTAAAAGAGATACGGCGCAGAAGTTCACCAGGTTTGCTATGGAAATCAGAATGTAGTAAAAGACACCTGAATTATAGTAAGGAAGAGAAATGTACTGGTAGTTTACTGAGACGAACCTTCACGAAGAAAAGTTTGAATGAGTTTGCTACTCGGGCCACCGTTGCGGCGGCGGATAGTGAAAGCTTTCCAGATGGTCATAGACGTTACGATGGTGTCAAAAAGAAGCGGGGCAATCTAAAAACATCTTAGCTCGGAAATTTTAAGCATACATAAGAGTGACCGCACGAAAAATCCTATAAAACGGATGAGCATCAGCATATGTTTGGTTGAAAGCCACGCTCACCTAGGAGATGAGCGGAATGAGGCTTGGATGCGGGAAAGCATGGGCCTTGTTGCTGTATAGTACGAGTGAGCGTAATTCTGTGCAGCTAAAAGTGCATTTAATACTTACGAATGGAGGAGTGACGAATCCAAGCACTGTACCACAATAGTTAATATGTCACTGAACCTGTAGACAGAAAGACAACGTACAGTCCATTTGAGAGGTGTCGACATAAAGCTGGTAAGACACAACTCCAGAAAGTGCGCATATAAGGAACGTGAGGATATAAATATTGCGATTGAAGAAAGCGTAAGTGCGGATGAGCAAAACCGCTAGTATATGATGCACTCAAACGTGAGAAAAAGATGAGACTCCCAATTCGGAGGGGGTTACTGACATTCAGAACCGACTTGATTCCACATTGCAAGCGCTACGGGGATCTTATAGATCCGTCAGCAAAGTATTACATCAAGTGAAGATAACGCTCACTCTGTATATTTTGGAGCAGACTTCCTGCGTGTGATTCATGACGAAGGCGAACAATAGGTATGGGACAACTGCTATGACCCAATATCTAGAGTCGACGTAATTTTGAATGATGTTATTGCCTCGGGTATGAACAACGATGTGATACGTACCGACAGAAAAGATAAGCCACCTTGACAGGGGTCCAATCAGATTTCCAGATCTAAAATAAAGGAGGTTAGTGGCTGAACGAGCGAGTGAGAACCAAAGCTAGTCACAAAGCGCCATTCTCGAGGCAAACTAATGACCCAGTCCCATATAACAACGGCGTCTATGAAAAATATGATTTTTGAGTTAAGATGGTCGAGTATATACGATTTGAAGTGGAGCCCCTTACACATGCCTTCGGTGTGGGGCGAATGAAGTGATCAGTATTACGCATATAGCCATTGAAAGAGTGGGCACATACAACAAAAGTAAACTTGGGTACTGTGAATCAAAAAAATCAGTCCAAATACTGTGATGAGCGTGGATAAACATACACGTATATAAAATGCTGTGCAGTTTCAAGAGAGTCGGCCATGATGATAGCGTGATAAAGCAAGAGAGGAGCGCAATAAAGATTGATGTTATGCTACTGAGGTGGGGGGAGGTGCTTGAGGGGATAAGGAGAAAGCTTGGGGGATGATGGTTGAAAGAAAAGAAGGAATGCAGCAGGGGTAAAAACATGTGCACGCGTCACATTTACGAAGGACAAACGCGACACCACACAAAGTCTGACCGAAGCAAAGCGACTCCCCGCTGATTGCCACTCGTATTTCTCGTGGCTTCTCTCCCAAGAAGTGGCCCCTAACTGGAACATTTTTGACTTCAAGCCGGCTTTGGCTTGGTTACTTCCTCACAGAGACTTCGTTTCTGATAAACCGCGGACACAGGCAGACGGGAAGACCGGGGAGCACTACACCTTCCTTATTTGGTGTTGCGTCGCCCACAGAGGCGGTCAGAGAATCAGCATATAGCCTCTCCGTCGTACCTTTTTTGCGATGGTTTCGCGGCAACGGCTACGCACCCTCAGCATTGAAAGCATCGACATCCATCCGAGTCCGGGTTCCGAGTCGTGAGCGCAGGTGAGCTTGTTTAAGCTGTACGTAAACAGCTGAAATTCAAGTTTGAGCTCAGGCTCAACTTCGGCGATCAAATCGCATATCATATATCATAGGTGCTAGACGATTTTGGGCTTGACACTAGCGTAGGACCAAGTCCATGTTGAATCCCGCGCGAAGGCAGCGGTACCAGATAGTCACCATACTGTCGTTTCTTCAAATCGAAAGCAAGCGACAATTTCCGAGGTCCGATCGTCAAAGTCACGTGACTTCTAGGGCAGCACATCGTAGAATACCGGTTCGGTTGTATCCTTTCATCTCAAACTCTTCGATATACCGTATTTCTACTAAGAGCTAGGTCACATAGACACGGTTGCAGTCTTTTCTGACTGTAAATTGGCTGTAATGGCTTCCAATACACAAACTCTGCGTCTCAGGCGCCAAGACACGCCCAAATCCGCACCTCAACCTGCTCGTCATGCTGGTATACTTCAAGATCAGCTGCGCAGGTCAGCATTTATATCGTTCTTACCATTTGGTCTTTTAGAAAAAATGCGTCTAGGTCCGCTCGGAGACCATGGAACCCTAATTTCTCTACTGCTATTCGGATATTACTCCTTGTGCGTGTAGCTGGAGCTATGTATTCGAACATTCAAGACTGTGATGAAGGTGGGGCCATCTCCATCTATTCTAATGTGAACATAACCTAACAGGGAACCAGTATTCAACTTTTGGGAACCTTTACACTATCTGGATCGGGGATACGGATTTCAAACTTGGGAGGTTACACCTACGTACGCCATCCGAAGCTGGGCTTACATTCTACTACACTTGTTGCCTGCTCGGTTTGCTTTTGCAATTGGACACGGAAAAGTAGGCTTCTGTTGTCTCACCAGCAACTTGTTCCTTACTTTCATTTTCAGAGGCCGGCATTCTTCGCTATCCGGATACTCCTTGCTGTTATGTCTGTGATGTGCGAAGCCAAGTTACATCGAACAGTTGTTGAGAAAATCAATGAAAGAGTTGGCCGCTATTTATTCTTCATGCTTCTACTCAGCGCAGGGATGTGGAATGCTTCCGCGGGTTTGTACTTGTTTTTTTGTTCCTTTTCACGCATTTCCCGCTCACGTCCTTCACATTTATGCGACAGCATTTCTTCCATCTTCTTTCGCGATGTATGCGAGTACTTTGGCGTTTTCATACGCTGTAGAACCTGCCAGCATTAAAAACAACCGAAGGACTCTATTTGCGACTTTACTATTCGCAACAGGAGCAATTGTTGGTTGGCCTTTCGCACTCGCGCTTGCTATTCCATTTGTATTTGAGGAACTATTTATATACGGAGCGGACCGCGTGGAACCTAGTTCACGTAGTCCTTGGATGGTCTCGCGTTGGGTGCGGTTACTCGCAGCTGGCTCAACAGCGGCCCTGATTTTTGTAAGTCACTGCGATATACGGTTTGGCACAGACTATTAATTTTGTATGCAGGTACCGGTTATAGCATGTGACAGTGTTGCTTATGGTCACTGGAGCATTGTACCATGGAACATTATACGTTACAACATATTCGGTGGCTCCGAAAGAGGACCTGACCTATACGGGACCTCTCCTTGGTACTTTTACATCTTTAATCTCCTCCTGAACTTCAACGTCCTCGTGATTTTGGCTTTATCTTCTCTTCCGGCCCTCTATATAACGTCTAAAGTTGATCGTCACCGTCTTGGTTTGAGGAAACCAGCACAAAATCAAAGTTCACCTTTCACTTTACTTGCGCTACGTCTCGCTCCAATGTACGTTTGGATCGGTATCTTGACTGCACAAGCCCACAAGGAAGAACGCTTTATGTTTCCGGCATACCCGATGATCTGTTTCAATGCTGCAGTGGCACTTTATTTAATTCGCGGATGGATGGAAGTAGCTTATGTTAAACTTACCAAGTCCCAATACCAAGTAGGTGCACCTTACTTCTGAAAATTTGACTTTTGTGACCTACCTTATCTTGTAGGCATCTAGATCGATCATGTTCAGCAATATGACTTTATCTGTTATAGCAACCTCTGGACTCCTGTCCTTATCTCGTCTCCTTGCTCTCTGGAACTATTATCATGCATCACTTTCTGTCTATTACCGTTTCGAGGCTGCTGAACTTCCCCGCCTGCTCAACGATACTGGCCTTATTTCGTTGCCTCCTCCCAACACTGAAGAGAGCGAACAATTTGTCGTTGACCTTTCCCCTGTGAAGGAACTTAACCTGTCACTATGTATCGGCAAGGAGTGGCATCGGTTCCCTAGTCATTATCTCGTCCCAGATGGCGTCCAAGTGTATTTTGTGAAGAGCGATTTCGAAGGTTTACTACCTGCTCATTTCAAACCTAGTAGTAGGATGGCTGAGAACTGGTGGGATCGAAAGGGGATGAGGAGTACTCCTACCGGATTGAATGATCTTAATAAGGAGGAAGTCAGTTATTATGTGTGTTACATCAGATTTTTACTCTAATTTTTTCTTCTGACCATTTATTATTCTACCAGGCACCTATAGAAACATGCGACTATCTCATTGACCTGGACTATCCTGAGCACCCATCGTCCTCGACATACGAGCCTCGGTATGCCATGGACGAAGGAACCTGGGAACGCGTTTCTTGCCTACCGTTCCTGGATGCCGCAAATTCCCCACTTCTCAGCAGGACCCTATGGATGCCTGGAGAGACATGGCGTAATTTGAATCAGTATGGGGACTATTGTTTGTTAAAAAACAAAGCTCTTGTAGGAGCCAAAGAGGCTGCTCGTAAAGTGTAGAATGAATAGAATGTATGGGAGTAATGATACACCAATAGATAGCATTTTGAATCTTATTTATTCTCACTTTCACGAACTGTTTCAGGTGGAGGCGCGAGTCGGACTTGGTATTTACTATCTTTATACCGCGACTTTCACCTTCGCTAGTCCATCTTCAAGCTTCCAAGGCAAGCTTGGAACATACCCTACACATAATCCTTCTTTTACGAATAATTTGTACACGCTATGATTTCAGCACATATCAGGCTCACCCGCACCTCTTCAGATTTACGAGCCTTGCTTTCTTTGGTACCACCATCGCCGATACTGACCCCAAGTCAACTGTCTACAACGTTTAGCTCAGGGGATATTCCAATAATTCTCGATTTCTCTATGGATCCTTTTACTTCGGCATGTTCAGTACAACAGCCTGAGATCCATGGACACGATAGCTTTTTGAACTTGCATGCTGATGACAGTATCACAACCATCAATACGATTGGCACTTTTGGCCCGATGCAGGATCGCTTTCCTGATAGGTATTCCTCCGCTTCAACAACTTCTTTCGGTTTGGGCCTCCATCATAATGGCGGTATTGCTTCTCTTGTGGGCGGATCGGTTTTGGAGATACCTCAATTGTCCCGATCTCGCGTGAATTCTGACTATAGTCTTTCTACTGAAGCCCACCCCGTAGTGAATCAATACAATTCCACAGGAGATGAAGTTTATACTGATGGTAGATTTCCCATCAGCCCATCTGGAAATCAAGTCCCGGAGCATGCGGATTCGCATCGTGCCTTTGGTTCGTCCTCTGAAGAATCGCTGAGAAATACTAGTAGTGCCTTTCCCCATAACATCAAAGACAAGGAAGGACAAACATTGTTTCTGGCTCATTCTCAAACGATCGAGACGTTCTCTACTTTGCCTACCCCCAGCTTCGCGCCACCAACATCCTCCTCGTATGATTCATTTACTTCACCTTTTCCATCTCATCGGCACAGAAATCGCCGTCCACTCGAGAGGGCAGGAGCTATTCACCAGCGTCACAGTTTTACCAAAGCAGGAAATCCTGAAGGATCCCCCCGTTCTTCTTCGTTTTCGCCTTTATTGAAAGCGAGTTTCTCTGGATCTTGTTCGTCCCCTCCTCCGATAACTCGGGGGTTTTCTGCTGCACCTCATCATCGTCGCTCTGATTCTGCCTCTACGGCCACGTCCGCATGGTCCTGTCCCTCAGTCCTGGTCAATGTAAACGAAGCTTCTTCCGAAATGGCCCCTTCCTTTTCAAAATTTGGGCTGCTACCAAAAAGTTTGTCGTGGTTTAAGGATATCACCATAGACCTTTGGATCGATCAAGAAGGTTTTCGAGCGATTAAACCCTCTTTTAAGTTGGTTGGTTATTCTCCACGAGGACGCTCACTAGAGCCTTACAGCCCTGTATTGGGTGACGGAGGCACAGACCCCACCGCTGGCGTTGCTGAATTCATGCCAATCAAACGGGAGACCTTTGTGTTCCATTATGCAACGCTCGATGGCGCGCCAATACTTCGTAGACTTACCACAGGGGGCGATGAAGCGCGCGATTATATTTCCCGCCATGCTTCTTTGAACATGAAGACTAACGGGGTGTACACAGTCCGCGGCTTGGAATCATCGTCTTTACCACCGGGAGGCTCTGAGAACAATGGTTCTAGATGTGAAAACATCAAGCTAAAATGGAAATTCGATTACATCGTGGACGATCGTCGCGTGGATGCCACTAAGAAAATCATGCATGGAGAGAAGACACTAACACCGTTAACGTTTTCTTGTTCACCGCTGCTGCTTCATCCGTTGCAGGGCAAGAAGATAGGATTGATGCACATCGTCAAGAAATCTGTTGTAGCGAAGGTTGTAGCTGAAAAAATACAACCTCCCAAGTTCCCTGGAAAGGGAAAAATGCCAAGCCCTCAATTACATCCAACGCTGAAGCCTGATCTATTAATTCGTACTCATAGTCGATCTTGGTCGGACGCTCATCCTAAAGCTCCCTACAGTGGAAGGCCATCTGGAGCTGGCACCCCCATGCTGGGCTCTCCACTAGGCCCGAGCATCGATGGTTTCTCAAAGGTCATCGACGGTAGGAAGCAGATTCAATATACTCATAGGCGAAGGGCTTCCTCTGCAGGCGAACGTGGTACAAGTGGGACGAGCCGCTCAATCAAGCCAAATCCTACAGGACAGCATATTGTATCTCCCTCTCGACTCACAGAGCTACTTGCCTCAAACAGCAAGGGCACCTCCCGGTCTGACCTTGGAATGAAGATGCTTAGCCCTCCTAGACACGGTAACCCTAAACTCGTGAGTAGGAGAGCATCGTGAAACATGCCACTCTGATAGTTTATTCTACTCTTTCGTTGTGGAACCATATATATCGTTTTGTACCGATATTCTATAACATGCCTAGTCCCATTAATCATTGTAATTTCTGGTTTGAGAAATACAAGTGAGCATTTTCGGTATGTTTTCACGGAGCAGCCACCGTTCATGCACTAAACAGTGATCGTCTTTCTTTGTTTGTCGTCTTACAACGCTTCCGGCGTAAGCACATGCCGGGCCGGGGTTGGGTTGCCCTCTAGGAATACAGAGTATTGTCGTAGTATGAGCCTTAATACCAGAAAAAAAATGGTGGCACTCTCAAAGACGAGAATGAAAAGATACCAATACCAGCACAATAGTAATACATTGAATAATATCATACAAATAGAGATCACGCTCCAAACCCGTAGAGGGTACGCCCTGAGCGTTTTAGGGCATACACAACGTCGAGAGCAGTAACAGTTTTCCTGCCCAGCCATTTAGTACAACACTAGGAAACGGATCAGGGAGAATGGACATACCGTTTTGCATGCTCAGTGTAGGTCACAGAATCACGGATGACGTTCTCGAGGAATATCTTCAAAACACCACGCGTTTCCTCATAAATAAGACCAGATATACGTTTTACACCGCCACGACGTGCCAGGCGTCGGATTGCCTTCAGGTTAGAAGTTAGACTTGGTCTTAATAAAGACCGCAGTGCGCACTTACTGGTTTTGTTATACCCTGAATGTTGTCACGAAGAATCTTGCGGTGACGTTTGGCACCACCCTTTCCAAGGCCCTGTTTTCCCGAGAACGTTTAGCTGGGTGTTTCCATTGACAGGTAGTAGGGCATAGACAAACCTTTCCACCTTTTCCACGTCCAGACATGTTGTTATTAGATACAAGATATACGCCAAGGAGGCACTTTGCGACTTGCGCTGATGTGGTGAGACGGAAAGAATGAAAGACCAATCCAGCCACAGTCAACGCGCCTTTAAACGCGTTTGGTCTTGTTTAGGCCAGTCACGTGACATTGTGCCTAATTGGTCATTGCTTGACGGAATGTCGTGAGCACAGCTTACCATCGCCGACTCGGAACCTATGCTCAGGCTGTCGCCAAGCGTCTCTGCCTCAACTTCTGTTCCTCAACTTCTGTTTCCTACAGTCAACCATGTCAATAACCCACATAACTTCGCTTTCCCAGCTTGATGGTTTCTTATCTGGAAATAAGTTATCAGTGAGTGTTTGTTACCTGCTTTTATAAGGACAGCACACTAAATCTGACCCGAGGTCATAGACTTTCATGCTACATGGTATGTCCCACACACAGTTCTTCTCATGAACATTGCTGTTAACCATAAGTAAATAGGTGTGGACCATGTCATGCGATTGCCCCTACATTTGAATCCCTATCAAAGCAGTATAAAAATGTCAATTTCTTGAAATGTGATGTCGATGCTGCAAGGGATGTCGCCAGCAAATACTCAGTATCTGCTATGTTAGTGATATATTTATTTCTTGTCCGTTCTATTTATCAACGTACGGACCATCAGGCCCACGTTTATATTTCTCAAAGGGACTACGAAAGTCGATCAAGTCCGAGGAGCCAACAAATCGTGAGCATTTGTGCCATTGAAACATTTGCCAATGCTAATTTAGTCGCTTATATAAAGTGGCCTTGAAGATGCTCTGAAACGTCATTCTTCTGGTGCTTCTACTGGTGCTGCCTTCACTGGCAAAGGTCAGACGTTGGGCTCCTCGTCGAGCTCCTCGTCCCCGTCTGCTTATCCCAACGATATCACATCCAGCGCATACTCCGCTTGGTCTGACTTGGATCCCAAAATAAAGATTCTTCTTGGTTTAGTCGCAGCATATATTTTCTTTTGGTTAATATAATCTTAGACCAGGATAACCCTATTTATTGCATTGTGTATGACAATTCCCGTAGCATGATCCTGGATACAGGATATCCACAATATTGATATTTCATGTGTTGAAAAATATACAGTCCCCATACATGCGTGTACGGTCAAGGCGATTATCATCGGCTAGCATCCTAATAACTTTGATATTCAACTAATGGGTAGGAATGTGATACATGCCCATCCACTCGGTCCAATGGGCATATTTCCACGTATTCAATACCTCGAAACTAATTTGTGCCCCATCCCATAGCGTGAAATGCCTGCTTGGCGGCCTCTTCCTTAGCAATTTTCTGATTTTTGCCTATTCCGCAGCCCTTCTCTTCTCCATTAACTATAATGTTATGTTCAGCGAATGTTCAGATCGCAGCCTGTGAGGTCACATACCAACGCAACGGACGATCCACTGAGGATTATGTGATGGTCCTGACGACTCCGCAGGATAGTTCACGGGCAATCCCATTTTATTAGCCGTTTGGTTGAAGATAGCTAAAGTGCCTGCAGACGCTGGTAGTCCGGGCGCGGAAGACCCGCTGAGGATTGCGGATGTCGGATAGAGAGGTGGTTGTGGCATTCCAGGAGCAGGGCGTGTCTGATTTAAACCGCCTGGTAACACAGGAGGCTCCACCTCTGGGCATATGAGACGGCTGATCCAAGGACAGACCTCAGCCATACCCTTCGATGTATACACAGCTCCAACGTACGAATGAAACAAAAAACGCGTTTCCTGTCAAAGCATGAGAAGCAGAGAAGCAGTAGATAATTTTGTCGTTTCAGACCTCGGGAGTATCTAATACTGTTGAGGTGGCGCATCGTACTTTGTCTTTAAGTCGATAGGTAGAAACCCATGTATTGAATGTTTCATTGGCGAGTAGCTTTTCTTTCTCTTCCTGTGGCGCGGATTTTAAAAGTACGTAACTTCGTAGGAACTTCAATACATACAAGTATCTCTGAAGCGCTCAGCATGGGCCGTTTCGTAAACAAGCAAAAAGTGATGGTCATGCGTAGCACATCTTCTCCAAGTCTAGCGAGCCTGTCCGTGTTGCCATAATCTTCGTTGTCGGTATGGTTATGAGCCAGGGACCTATGGGTGAATACATCGAGCATAAGATCACCATCGATCTTTGGTAATGCCGGGAGGTTGTTCATGATGGTATGTCGTAGGGCACTGGGTGACGATTGTGCATAACACCTTCGTTAAATACTAGTAAATCCGCCAGTGCACGTGTTTGGACCTACATATAAGGACACTCAGAGAACTAAGGATATTATTATACAGCACGTTCCCCGTGGAGCGCTTTAGGATGTCACAGTGCCCTAGACGGTAAGAATACGGTAGATCGGCGACGATGGCAAAAGGATAAGCAACTTCATATTCAAAATGGTGGTATGTTTCTTGATTTCAATGATTGCTTGTATGTCTGGAAGCAACAAACAACATACATTCACTTGAACCTGAAGTTTAACACATCATGAGTTGCCTCACTGGCAGATAAGAGCACTTACCTTATATATTATTACTTCAAGCTGTGTATGTACAGTTATAGGGCCACGGTTAGACTCGCAGGAACGAGCTTTCTCCGTGGATCGAATGAAGGTTTCAGATAGTAAATGGTAGCTGATAAGAACAAAGGTGTATTCAAGTTTGCGATTCGCGAAAAGTGATATAACGGTCACGTGCTCTTCACGCTTTCTTGCATAGGCGCTTAAAAGACACTTGCACCTTTCTTTGCTTTCTTTCGGTCGTTGAGAGCAAACCAACCATTCCTCGAACGCATTCATTCCGTATTACTTGGAAATACTCAAGGCTTTGGTCAGCAACATTGGGCTGCACTGACGAGCCAGCCGAAAATGGCCAACAAAGAGCAGCCACCTCCCGAATCGCGGCCTCTAATACCAGAGAAACTTATTGATGTTCCTTCTCAACGACTTTACTATCTTAGTTTAGGACTACTAATTCAGGTCAGCGCCAGTGGAATACCACAAGATACAGTATCATACTCACCCTAGCTCTCTGTCAGGCCATCAAGGTCTTTGATTTCTTCCAATATCTTTTTACTCCCGAAGCAACTGCGTATTATGGCGTGAAGTGGATGTTGGTTGATGCGGCCTATACTTCCATTCTCTCCCAGCTCCGAATACCGCGCTTGAGATATAGCAAGGCTGTTGTCTTGCTTCAAATCATATCATTTTGCTTTTTGGACGGTTTGTTGTTCGGAGGGATCAGCTTGAATGTAGGCAACAGCAGGTCTAATATCGACGACTCAATGGCGAGGCTCTCCAGTACGCATTTAATATGTCCTATTCATATGCGAGTATACGACTGACCGATTATTGCTCCCCTCAGATTCACCAGGTTTAACATCTACGCCAGAACCGTTTCGTCTCACTGACCTCCTTGCTTCACTGAGCCTTGGCCTTCTTCCATTTGGTTCTGGAGATGGTCAAAAGGATCCTCATCTCCTTGGTCAACATACTGTCCGCATGTCGCCCATTAGCACTGCCCAGCTTAATCCGAACGGACACGCTTATTGTTTGGCACCTCCTCTGAACAGCGTTCTTGTACCCATCCTCGTTAACAATACTGTACCCACCAACGTCCGATTCTCTCTTACTCCTCTTGGCTACGTGGAAGGCGTTTCAGGAACAGGTCGTGTAGAGTATATCGAACTAAGTGCCAAGGATCTGAAGGCAATAGAGCAGGCCCGCGTTGACAATCTTCGAGTTACCCGTTCGTCCAGCTCGTCGAATAGAGATGTTAACGAATATGACGAGTATGACGACGATGACGACGACGAAGATGATGATTTGGATTCAGCACACTCGCAGCTGCAAAAGTCACAGTCACTGGCTCACATACGCCTCACAAAGCCTGGAACAATACGCCTGGAACGCATATCAGATGGATCAAACGTTGCAGTTCGGCTGGTACATCCTGTAGAAGTCACCATCGTCCCTTGTCCTTCCGCACAATTTGTAAAGGATTCTCAAATCCAGGATAAAGACAGCGTACGCTGCGCTGGAAATAATCCCGATTATGAAATGGCCATCGACATCAAAGGAGTGCCACCGCTGAGTCTCCGCTGGTCTAAAGAAGTAAACGGGAAAAAGGAGCACTTATTGGTAGAGGGAGTCGAAGGCAGCCACGAACAGGTTCACTCTTCATCTCATGAATTAGGCAGAAGGAGGACAAGACTCTCTCAATCACTTAGAGTCCCTTTGACCGCACCCCTGGAATCTCTTGGGAAACATACGTATACGTTAGAAGGCGTGATCGATGGTATGGGGAACGTTGTTAATCTTGGCTCTACCGTGGCTGTTGATTCGCAAAGTCATGATACATCTATTACTAATTCTAAGATAACACGTTCGCTGACGGTGCTTCGCCGACCAAGTGTATCTTTCAAACACTGTGGTCCCGGGCATCCCACCCCCCTCCTCATCGGTTCTGAAGCTCCTCTGACTATTGCGCTAAATGCTGTCGACCAGTTAGACGCACCGTGGGGCGTAACCGTCAAATATCAACCCATCGACGACGGCAGCAAGGCAAGTGGCAAAAGATACAAACCGTGGACCAAAACAATCAAGGCCCAGGAAGATTATAAAGATTTAACTTTGAGAGCCAATGCTCCTGGAGAGTATTCGATTACTGGCGTGGAAGGAAAGGTACAATTTTCGTAATACATTGCTTATTCCCATTTAGACGAATCATTTTGCAGTGGTGCGAGGGCGAAGTAATGGCTCCGGAAACTTGCAGAGTCGTCGAAAAGCCGATCCCCACTGCCGAGATTGAGTGGAGGAAAATTCATGAGTGGTAGCTCATTCGCATCTTTGAGTTGTGTACTTCTTGCTCATTTCCCGCCCCATAGCTCTGGGGATACTGGCGTATCAGCCTCCCTTGTTCTCCACGGCACTCCCCCTTTCCAAGTATATTATCGCACAGTACGGGATAATGAACAGCCTCGCGAGCTTGTCAAGACATTCAGCAGCTCTAGAGGCGAATTAACGCTACAACCGGAGCGGAGTGGACATTATCTCTACACATTCGTTCAGCTTAGCGATGCGAACTACAGAAAGGTGGATTTGAATGGCCCCAGTATCGACCAGATTGTCCATCCTCTGGCTGCGGCTGATTTTAGTCACGCTAGTTCAAGTGGTAGAAGTAAACGGATGGTAAATAGCTGCTCTGGAAACTTGGTGGATATTGAAGTAGATCTTCGAGTGAGTAACTTCGCCAGCTGAAATAAGCAATATTTTTAATACCCTCTATCCATTGATTAGGGCACTGCACCTTGGAACCTTGAAGTCCAAATCGTCGGTTCTAGGAGTACAGAGACGTTATCTATCCCAGACATCGCTACATCCCCAGCAAAATTACAAATACCTATCCCGAGCGCAATAGATAAAGAAGGTGGTACATTCGACGTTGATCTTGGTATGTCAATAGCGCATTTTATACTTACTGGTGTCTTAACATTTGAGCTAGTGAGCGTGGAGGATGCGTATGGGTGTAAGCGTTCTATCACAGTTCCAGGTGTCTCTGTGAATGTCAGGAGAGTGAAGGTATGTTTTTGCATTTATGTAAAGCCGGACAAGTTAACACAAGAAATAATACAGCCAACGGCGAAATTCTACGGCAAGGTAGATCAACGGCAAGTCACAGTGAGAGAAGATGAACGTGCAGAGCTGCCCTTGCGTCTAACTGGCGATGGAGTGAGTTTGTTTGTTTGTCTCATTTTGTATCTTACACCCAACCACTTAGCCATGGCGAGTCAAATACCGACGAACTGAAAATCCTGAGCATGTGCAATCTGTAACATTGAACTCACCGAATGATTACATCCGCGTCACGGAGAAGGGTACTTATGAATTGATAGATGTAAGTAATTTCGGGAAGTCTTGCAAAAAAAAAAAAAAAAGTGCTCATCTGTCTTCAGGTACTGGATTCTCAATGTCCTGGCTCTGTTATAACTGGAGAGGAGTCCTTCATCGTACATTGGGTGCCAAAACCTTCTGCCAAGTTGTTACCTCAGACAACGTCCACTTTTGACTCCTTCAATCGTTCGCACATCCTTCCACCATTATGCCAAGGCCAAGATGACCACGTTGACCTGGAGCTGAACGGCACGTATAATTTCATGTCACGTCAACCGGCCGTTCTTGTTGTCTTACTAGTATTATTCAGGTCGGCCACCCTTCCAAATTATGTATAATATTGCGCGGAACGATAATACTGGTGGTACGATAGTTTTGGATCAGCCTACCTTCAGCAGCATACAGCCAAGAACTCGATTCCAGCTGCATACCTCGAAGCCAGGCCGTATGTACTACGAAGTGAAACAAATAGGCGACGCCGCCTATCCTCTCGCTAAGTACAAAAACGCGGTGATACCTCGTTCCGAACGTTTGGTGTTCGAACAAGAGGTTCTTGGACGTCCTTCGGCTCATTTCAGAAGCAACAACCGCATGTCATACTGCCTCAATGACGCCTTTGTACCCCAAGACGCGTTTTCTCTGGATAATGCGATTCACTTGGAAGGAACACCACCTTTCCAACTCCAGCTGTCTATAAAGAACCTTGCCACTAACAAAGTACACAGGGAAAAAATTGAGATATATGAAAGTTTATGGAGGGTAGATCTATCATCCTATCGCTTCATGTCGATTGGACCGCACCTGGTGACCATTGAATCCATCCAAGATGCATCACGATGCGAGCAAGCTACCTTAGACGCGTTGCATAGGTCTATATGGGTCGATGTTGCTGAAACCGCGGCTATAATTCCTTTCGATAAGAGGGAGGACATTTGCGTTGGCGAAGTCACTCAATTCCAACTTGAAGGCACGCCTCCATGGACAGTTGGGTCAGTTCGCGTTCTTTCCCAAAAACTTATCAAACCTAACCTTTTCTCCTTGTAGATACCGCATCAATACCAAATCGTATTCACAGGAGGCTAAGTTGTCGCCGTTTTCGTTACTTCACCAACAAGCGGGTGAATTCACCATTACGTCCGTGGCACACCAGCAAAAAATGTGCAAGGCTGCCGTTACAGACTTGCGCTTTACGGTTCATTCCCTCCCATCTGCTCAAGTTGGCAATGGGAAAGGTATCATCCAGGATATACATGAGGGTACGTCACCACGAGCGCTCAATTCACAATGAACCTAATTTATCCAAACTTTACAGGCGATCAGGCCGAGATAGCGTTCACCTTGATTGGCGAACCTCCTTTTACTTTCACTTACCAGCGGTCTGAACCCAGTCCTAAAAAGGGAGGCAAGCCATCTAGAGTTCTAGAAACACATACAGTTTCTGGTGTTACGACAAACGAATACTCTATTTTCTCTGCGCTAGAGGGTGAGTGATTTTCTTAGGTCTGTTCTATTTCTCATTATCTCCACACTACCCACAGGAACCTGGACGGTGACGTCGATTTCGGACCGCTATTGTCGTTACCCCGCTCAACCAGAAGGAATGACCGAAAGGTCGAAGCATTAAACCCGCATTAACGGAACATCATCCTTATCTCGAAGTTCAGGGGCTCTCACCCGCCATGTAGAAAATGTAGCTCTAGTTCATTTTTACGATAATCTTACAACACACCCGAAAAATTACGATCCATGACCGCGGAATACTCTCTGTTATCTTTGCTAAAGGCTTGTTTGTTTTGCGAATTTACAAAGACCTAACCGCAATACGTGATGAAACTAAACCTAAACTTGAACCGAGGATATATAGAACCATTTCGAAACTAACGTAGACAGCAAGTTAGTGGGAAACCAATGTGAACTATATGCCCATTCTTACCAGAAGGTTCGATAGGAGCAGGAGGCTTCCTCGAGTCTTGAGGAACGTTGACATAAGAAGGGTCGTTTCGAGAAACAAACCCAGGAGAACCCTGAGTGGTGATGTTGCGGCTAGAGCTCAAACATTAGCACGATATATGAATTGACGTATTGAAAGAGAGCATACATAGAAAGGTCATACGACGGGGTCTTGGCAGGACTCTCGCCACTAATAAGACGACGCCATGCTTCATTGCATTCATGGATGATTTCAGTGGCATATTTTTTGTTCTTGGCTTCACCAGAGAAGGCGAAAGCATTCTCGCCTTTACCATCGGGGATCTTGTAGATCCTGTATAAAGTAAGACCGTTAGTATATGATATATTTGATATTTTTTGGGGCGGTTCACGCTTACCTGAACCACTCATTGGTAGCTCTGATCAACCCGGGAAGATGTCTCTCAACGTCTTCGATATCGTTGAGTTTGGATGCAAGGGGATCTTGGACATCAACCACGATGATCTTCCAGTCTGTTTCTCCCTCATCAAGCAAGGCCATGATGCCCAGGACCTTCACCTGCTTAACCTGACCGACATACCCAACCTGTTCACCGATTTCACAGACATCGAGAGGGTCGTTGTCGCCTTTGGCCTTAGTCTCTGCATGCATCTGGGTGGGGTCTTCCCAAGTCTACGATTTAAAGTAGGATGCACGTGAGTGAAGTTTTTCATGCAGTACAACAAGAAGCTTTACCTGAGGGAAGGCACCATAGTTCCAGATGTACCCGTGATGAGGGAAGCAGTTTCGAACGTAGCGCAAACGGCCTTTCTTGACGTCCTGTTTGATGGGGTTGAAGGCCTCTTCCTTCGAGATCTCCATCTTGGCGTTGGTCCATCGAGGAACCTCGACAATCATGTTGAAGATGCCATTGCTCTGGTCGGCGAAAAGAGGAATATCATGCCAGGGAGAAACGGGGTTGCCATTCTGCTCGATGAAGACACGATGTTCTGTATAGATGATTTGATGAGATGGGCGTCTTCCAAGAGACTAACACGACTGTACTGACCAAGTGTGTTTGGCGCCCCGATGAGACGGGTGGTGTACTCTGTGATACGTGTCAGTGCTGGCAGCTACAAAAAAAGCTGAAGTGTTACGGACGGGCCATATTTACTCTGGTGGATAGGAAACGGACTTGTTGGGAGAGACGATTCAATGCTGAGGAAGGCCCGGTCATATCCGCCTCAGATGCTTTATAGTCTGGATTACAATGCCTGGAAAAGGCCCTCTGCTGATTATCATCCCATCGCGTAGATACCAACTAGATTTCTCACAATCGATCTGATCTTATATCTGTGCAAAGGGCAATTGCAATGCATTGTTGAACAAGGATACAGTAAGCTACAAAAAAAGGTATATACACATCCGCATACAGGCCTATACTATCAATCCTCCTTGCTTCAGTATCTCCTCTCCTTCGCGATTAATTTTCGGTTTTGAAAAACCACCGTTGAAGTCGAGACGTAGTAGCAGTCGCTCAACATGGCGGCGCACCTCACTTGTGTCCTCGAGCCCATTAATACCTTTTGCTCGAACAAACGTCCTTTGGAAGGTAGATGCATTAGCCATACTGGCATTCATGAGGATCGATTTAGAGGCATCGCCCGTCGCAGTAAAAGGCTGCTGAGACGCCGAAACTGAAAGCTGTTCATAGAAAGAATCTAGTAGAATGTGGAGTATCTGTCAACGACGTAGGTACCCATAAGTGTCAAAACATCCGTAGTTCTGAAAATAAAGTAAGAGTACCTTGTTGATCTCGGAAACGATACCCCATCGTTCCTGAACTAAAGCGCCGACTCTATCATCACCTCCTATACTACCCTCGAATAATAGTGCTGGCAATATATCACCTCCCCACCTCTCCACCTGCGCAACAAAACGCTCGCACACTTCAAATATTTGCCGAAGTATTGCAGTAAGGGTCGGATTAGAGAGCAAACACCCTGTCACTAAACGCTCGAGATACGTGGCGTGAATGTTTCTCAACGTGGAGAAATCCAGGTACGAAGTGGACTCCTCTTCTGATTGATGGCCGTAAGATCTTTTGAAATGCGACATGGGCGGGTTCCCTTTCCCCATGCTTTCAGCCCTGCTTCGCTTTGGATTACTTAAAAGACTCTTCAGCCTCCGATACTCCACATCAACAACATCGACCATCACATAGCCTAGGAGGGTGTCTAAAAACCACCCCATGTCTCTGACGACACCCCAACCACATCGCAATAGCTCCTTCCGAACTTCCAGGTCCTCGTTTGTGCCTCCCTCGCCTAGTCCTGTCCAACGTCTCCGAGCACGTTGAGAGTTGGAAAGCGATGTCCAACAAGTGTGAATGCGTGTATGCGTCTTGCGCAGTGATGACAGATAACTAAATAACGCGGCATATATTTGTAGATCTGATGCATGTAGGAAAAGGTCAAGTGGCCAAGAGACGTTGTATGCGAGAAGTAGATGGGTGCCCAGTAGTAAATCGTCAAAGGAAACAGGATCGGCAGGATTGGTGTTCAAAGATGAGGATAAGGTCTTGATATCAGTGTTAGATAGCGAAGGGAGCAATGGTCTAAGAGGTCCCGAAGGTAGTTGAAAGCGAAGGTGCAAAAGAGATGGATCATGCTGAGCTGAGGTACCCAAAGATGCTCTTAGCATCGCAAGGTTAAGATCTTGTTCACGAATCATGGAAGTTGCACCTGATCGCGTGGTAAGACGGGAGAGTTTTAGGCGCTCGATCTCTCGAATCAGAGCAAGACTGAATTCTCCATTTCGTAGTAGAAAATAATTGGCCCTATGGTCATAGCGTCAGTAAATAAAGAGGGCGTTTGATCTAGTGAACATTTACAAGGACATAACTGCATCTTCGACATCTTTGCGAGTAAGGACATTAAGCCACAGCCATTCACCCACATTGGTTCGGATTTGGGAGATGACACGATCAAAATCGAACTGTTCTTCAGGCAGAACAGCTTCGAGCAAAGTAGTGTGTTCCAAAGCTTGTTCTCGCGGTAGTTGTTTCTGCCATTTCTTGGCCTTGACAATGCTCATGGCCCGTCCGATATAAGCAATGGAATCGCGGGATAGAACCGAGATACAGGATGGTATGGAGCCTTCAAGGAGAGTATAAGAATCAGAAGCCAAGGGATCTTCATGGGCCAGAGATCCATGGACCAAGAACGCGATTAGCTGTGCTCGCCATACGCGCTGAACTGCTCTTGAAAGCCGCAAAAGGATATCAGAAATTCGATGAATTCCACTTTTTGAGCGCGCCAACAACATATCGATCAAAACTCCAGGTGGCCATTTGTCTTGAGCTTCAAGTTGGCTTGTCAGAGACTCCAAAGCCACAAGAGGGGCATCCCATTCAGAGAAAGTCGCTCGTAGAGCAGACAAAGGAACGAATGAGCCATGACCAACCAGACTGGAGTCTCTGTTTAGCACTTTTGCTTCTGTATCGACGACAAGAGTTTCGTATTCATCCTTCAAGATCTGGTTCAATGTTGCACATAACGCGCATATATAGCGAGAAGGTGACCGAGATAAAGCACTGCTCGCGTCCTTAATTTTTCTGTAACGAAACGCAATTTGACCCAAGGCCTCAAGACATTGTTGCTCTCCTGGATGAAGAAGTGAGCAAAAAGCAGGGTGTAGGTTGTGATCTGACGGAAATAAGGACGATGAATGGCCCGCAAGCACCAATAAAACTTCTGCAATCATATCGCGAGGTAATTCTGTGTGTCAGTTCATCCCAAAGGATGATTTTCAACAAAGCAAAGTTTCTTACTTGGATGAGACGCGTTCGAGCGCCCTGTAGGATATTGAAGGTAACCCAAGACTGATTCAAGAAGGGTAACGAGCGCGTTCATGCAGTGCTACAGCTTACATAATCCATTAACATATGCGGGGTGTCCAATGCCGTGATAGCAAGGCATCTTTTGGATTTAGTACCAGTACAGCCCTTACTTTCGACCATTCCCCAAAACACCAGTACGCCATGGCCAGCGATGCTGCAGAAACAGCATCGCGACAAGTTGGCAAAGGACTCGAGCCCCGTTTCAATTTCGACGATGCCTTCGCTGACGAGGATGGCGAAGACGAGATTTTCGAGTTTAGTTCCGCAGCCATTCGGAAACAGCTGGCGGAGAACTATACAGTGTCGGACGATACACCAACTGAGAGTGGTTCTGTTATTCTGGGACAGGATACATCTGTGTCCACATTTGACCTCGATGGCAGCATAGCTGATTCGAGGTCGAGGTCGCTTTCCCCGTCCGAGTCCCCGCAGCCGCGAACTCCAGAAGAGCTTGACGCAGAAGATGGGTTCTCGCAGGTATCGCTCTCAGAAGGGCACGCGGAACTAGAAGCCACAGAAGAGAAGCAGATAACTTCCAACGGAGATGCGATCTCCACAGACAAGGAAGGGGCATACCCTGCCGTCCATATCGATGTCTCAAAGTCACCATCCAGTCGCGTGGAAACGGCCACAGACATAGAAACAAATACACGTTATACAGAAACATATAGCTCGAATGATAAGCTTCCAAGCTCATCGTCAATTAATCCCGTTTCTCATTCATTTGTAAATGAAGTCCATTCCTCCAATTTACCTTCGTCTTTGTCTCTTCCCCTGTCGATAGGCTCTGCAAGCTCATCTTTCAAGCATAAACCAGCCCGTTCCACGGGACCCAGTGTACTTCAGCAGGTAGTCAGTAAAACAAGACCACCATTTTTACCCCCTAAAAGTCGTGAAGAAGATAAAAGGCACATGGCAGACTGGGAAACCATGATGAAGCACAGCCGAGCAGCAGGTGAAAATAAACCCCTTGTATATGCTATATCGTTTATTTTGCTTATTGATTGCAGAGGAAAAGCGAAGAAAGGCTCTACAAGAAAGGCGATTTGCTCGCGAATCGAAAATAGAGTTGTCTATCCCTATCTGGGAGAAAGAGATTCTACCGGACTGGCGGGTGGTCAGCAAAAAGTCCACGCTCAAAAATCTCTGGTGGAGTGGGATACCCACTAAACTGCGCGCTAGCATGTGGGAACGAGCGGTCGGTAATCCTCTTGCTTTAAGCAAAGGTAAAAATCTTACCGAGCAAGTGGATGCCTCTAATGCCCCCATTTACTAGATAACTACCGCACATGTTTTGCAAGGGCAAAGCGGGCATTGGCTTCTGGCGTGTTCCCTTCAGAAACTATACATCTGATTGAGGAAGATATATTAAGTACTCTTCCTGCTCTTCATATTTTCCACCCGGAAACAGGACCGCTATACCAGGATCTCAAAGATATGCTCTGCGCCTGGGTCGTTTCCCGTTCCGATGAAGGCCTCGGATATGTCACGGGGATCTCGAAGATCGCTGCTATGTTTCTGATTAATATGCCTCCTCATCAAGGCTTCATCGTCATGCGAAATCTCTTGGAGCGACATTGCATGCGTTCTTTTTACGGTGGGGCTGCAGCGAAAGAAGAGGTAAAAATTCGTCTATTGTCTCATCTGTAAAGTCTAACTAATATGATAGCATCCAGGTTGAAGCATACTATCGGTAACTTAATGACCTGCCTACGCGATATTAATTCTTACTCTTTTCTGATAGCATTTTTGATACATTGTTGGCCGATGGGATGCCAAAGAGTGAGTTTGCATCTTGTAGATGCACTCTCTGAGACTGAATCGCGATACAGTCTATTTCAACTTCAAGCAACATCAGATCTCTCCGTCAGCTTATCTTCCAGATTGGCTAATCCCACTTTTCCTGAATCACTTGCCATTCGAAGCTTGCGCGCGTGTCTGGGATGTCTTATTACTTGAAGGAGATTCCTTTTTGTTTCGTGCAGCTCTCGCCATTCTGGCCGTGCTGGAGCCTCGTCTATTTTTTCCGGACCGACGAGAACTGTTGGAACTACTAAGGTAAGGACGCAGCGATGTTGCTCGTCGAGCAATAAAGCAGGCATAAGCTGACTGATTTGTTTCAGGGGAGAAAACAAAGCTGCGCTGGATGTAGCTAAACGGGATGCTCGCCCACTAGACGGCGGTAAGTATGAAATTTACGGCGTCGACGAGGAAACTCTTTGGGAAAGAATCGAAAGCATGGAGGAGTGGTGGAGAGAGAGCACATGGAAGCGACTGATACAGAGAGAACTGCCGGACTTGTGATTCCTGTATGTGTATACATGTACGATGTGAAGCTACTGAGACCCCCGAAATCTGGAGAAATACCCCGGAAATAATGTAGACGACCTACCCGTATCATTGCCCATCACTACTGTCACCATCTTCCACCGCGTCTTTGTAGAAAGCATACATTTTCCGCCGATTGGCATCTCTCGTGTCTTCTTCGCTAGCTATTGTAAACATTTTTTGTAGAAGAGCTTTTCTTAAAGGACCGTCCTGCGATGTTTTTTCCTCTTTGGAGCTTGACAGACAGGCGTTTGTGATAAGAGTGGGATATGTAGAGGTCAGGCGAAGCTTTTTGCGGCTCGGAGGATCTTCTGAGCGAGTTTGTTTTAGGGCGATAAAAAGAGGTTCAACAACGGTTTCCTGTATGTGTTTGTACGTCGTTTTGGTTGTGGGGGTACGTGCTGCCAAATTGAAGAATGGAAATACTAGCGTGTAGAGTGGTGCGGGATGAGAAGAAGAGGATGAAGTCATCGCCTTTTCCAGCTCTTCAAGGTATATATCTGCGAGATGGAACGGCAGACTAGAGGGAACACGAATATCGCTTGGACTAAAATACGCATGTAGCAATTGATATTAGTATTATGAAGACAACCGTTTTCGGTGACTTACCATAGAGGCCCACCCGATTCGATCAATATAGAATTATACTCTTTGCAGGTATCATCGTCCCACTCTGCTCGAATGAGGAGCCTAAAACTTGCGTTGGTGAACCTCCGAACAAGCATGTAGTACTTGTCCATCCTATACGCATATATGTCTAGATTTCTGAGTGCTTTATTCGAGAATAGCGTAACTTACCGTAGACGATCTATTCCACTCCATTCACGGACTGTCATCATCCAAAAACCTCTCAGAAATTTCAGCGCTGATGGTGTACTGGTGATGGTTAGCACGAGCCCAGCCAGCTCGCTCGCTAGTGCCTGTTGTACGAGTGGTTTATCTGACATCCAAAAGCCTACATCGTGCATTCAGTATATTCTAGCCAACTTCAGAGAACTGAAACATACAGTAAAAGATGCCTTTCCACAGCTTCGCCATTTCAAGCTCGGATATAGCATTTTCGGAGTCATTGGAGAGGAAGATTGCTAAATTTTGGACGGCCTTGTCGCGAACTTTTTTATCTGTTTTGTTTGTATTTTCTACCACTGCTGGCTATCATAGATAAAATTCGAAATGCGCACCTGTAGATGCGAGATATTTGGCCAGGGGAGGTGCATCTGTAGCGGACGAGGCAGACATATTCAACTTTTCTGAACTCCGCAAGCATTTCCTTCTTGGGTTCTACCTTACAGTCGTTTGCGCCACCCATACTGTATACTAGTAGCTACGCACGACAAAGAGATATTAACACTCAATGCCAGCTGGCTGTCTGTTACGAAGTGCAAAGATAAGACTCACGGCGGAACCAGGCAGCACTGATATCGACATTGAAGACTCGACCTCAGTATTCCGATGGATAACAACATCAAATAGGTTGCAGACGGTGACCACAAGCTTAAAATACTCAATACTGTGTTTGTACAATTATCAACATCACTTCGGTTTTCTGACAAATAAGGGCGGCCTCCTGACGAGCATTATCTGCGTTGTTTCCCGTTAATGTATCGGATCCAAGGTTAATCGTGAAAAACCATCATCAAATCTGTTATCCAAGCTAATGTCCTTCTGACTTAGATCTTACTGTGTTCCTTCTCAGCATGGACATGAAGGACTTGAGCGTCAAACCTGAAACAGCATTACACTTCTGGTCATCGAGGCATCGCACATTCTCTACCCAGCTTTGTCCCTTCAGTGTAGTTGCATTGCAGGCCGTGAGCTGACGTGGGTTTAGTGGAACTTTTACACCATATCAAATCATCTCCACGAGTTCCCCTTCTCAATTGGCATCTCTGTCTGCTTCGTGCATGTATCTCCTCTATGTCTCGTATATCTTTCTCATTGACCATCGCTGTCTATCTATCCCCAATCGGACTTGGGTGGTGTAGTAGACCTAAAGCACCTCAAGGCACTTAGGTAGGTCTCACTGTTCTTATCAGCTTGTTTATCCATATGTATTGTGTCTGTGTATACAAGTTACTCACAGCATAATAGCTTTTGCAGATTTGCTACATTGCATCGTCATTCAAAATCGAGATGTCACGGTATTTATAATTGGTTCAAGGTTGCGATCCACGAGCATCTACCAGGTCAGTTGAGACCTAGACCATATATATGCGCGTAAGGCTATCTGCACTTATGCACACTTGCTAGACACCGCTAATAGAGTTCACCATAGTATTCGTTGTCTCCTATGGCTTTCAATGATGAAAAACTGTCACGTCTGTCAACTCGATTTTTTTTTGTCGGAATGTAGATACAACTGAGTCATTACAATACACAAACTAAACAAAGCCTGAACTGAACCACACTGGTTTGTGGCCCACGTATTTCGCTTCACAACGACAGCATTAATTTGTTTCTTGTAGATGGTCTTTAGCGCCTTTCCTTCCGAGCGGAGGGTAGGGACTGTTGGGGTCTCGTAATGGGTCTATCTGGGTCTGGTTGGGGTGTAACAGCGACGGACCGCGGACTTTGCCGCATGGATGACCGGTGCGGTGTAGTAGCTAGCGCTGACCCCGGTATGACAGTGGTAAGGCTGGGATTGTGTCCAGAAGTGGTAGAAGTTTTCTCCTGTGGCAGGGGCTGACGGTGTGAACGTTGGGTGACTGGAATGAGCATGGTGTTCCTCTCGGGAACAGAGGTAAACATGGAACCCCCATGTCGATTGGCCCCGGATGATGTACGGAGCCCTGGAGAAGCCCGAAGAACGGGGATTCTGAATACTCCACTCGAGACTAACCTCTGAGGCACTGCAGATGGTTGGCGTATAGTCTTTAGTCCATGCTTATGCAATGCACGGACAGGAATTTTGGATACATAAGCTTGAGAACGTCTCCCAATGACTATACGTTTATCGGCATTGAGATTCTTTTCATCTTTTTTGTAACAATGGGAAATTTGAATAAAGCACTAGCTCACTATTCATAGTTTGTCATTTTGCCCATTGAGTGCCATGTACAAAGAACTCATATGAAATGCGTCTTTCTGGTGTACCAATAATGCAAGAAGTGTGAAAATCACACCAGCCTGTGTGGTGTGACGGAGGCACTCAATAGAACAGACAGTTGCCATGAATCAGAACCCAGCCACTCAAACGGTGGAGCCACGTCACTTGATATTTGGGACTGCCTGAAAAAACTTCACTCCTGGCTGTTTGAATGGTGGGACCTGATCCATCTGTTGAGACTGCAACACTATTGACCCAGTCAGTGCGACCCTCAAATGGGTCAGCCACCAACCAACCACTGGCAGCATCCCAGATCCTGATTGTATTGTCAATTGAACCTGAGGCCACCTTACTACTATCTGGTGAAAATGCAACACTCATAACACAGTTAGTGTGACCCTCAAATGGGCCAGCCACCAGCTGACCACTGGAAGTATCCCAGATCCTGACTGTTGTGTCAATTGAAGATGAAGCCACCTTGCCACCATCTGGTGAGTATACAACACTTAAGACAGCTTCAGTGTGACCCTCAAATGGGCCAGCTACCAGCTGACCACTGACAGCATCCCTGATTATGATTGTTTTGTCAGCTGAAGCTGAAGCCACCTTGCTACCATCTGGTGAGAATGCAACACTATCAGTGAGACCCTCTAATGAGCTAGCCACCAGCTGACTACCGGCAGCATCCCAGATGTCACGACTTGAGCCAGAGCGCTAGTTTCTTTTTTCATTTTCTTTCATTTTTCTTTTATATCTGATCACGTGACAATCACGTGACAAGAACACAAGATCAGTAGTAGTTAGTTATATCTGATCACGTGACAACCATGTGACAAAGCCTAGACTATGACGTAAAACATCAGTCAGCGCCTCATGGCTGACCTTCAGAAACATATATATACCAACACTCATGTACATACTTTCTTCAGTTGTTGATTACTTCTTAATCCAGTACTTCGACGCTACTTGTTGATCTTTGAGACTTGTCCCTCTGTGAGGCAACAATAAACTATAACAAAAACGAAACCTGTCTCCTTCTGCACTTGCAGGGAGTAAAGGGTTCAATGAGCTTGAGGTCAACAGACGCTAGTAAATATAGCGAGTAGAGGACTTTGAGAGGTAAGCTTCAAAGGTTTTTGTTGAGGAGTAAAGCGGGTAAATTCAGTAATAGAAAACTAAGGAATCATACATGAATAAGTAAGGCTTTATATAGTGAACAGTTCGTTCCTCAGACCGAAAGGAGAATATACGAAAAGTGGTCTGAGGAATCAATTGACCAATAAGAAAAAGAGAGAACAACTATCGTACGACTTTTAACTTGATTTATCAGCAGGTGAGAGACTTGTACTAATAATAGAGGATTGTCACGCGTGTTCAGGAACCGTATCCTCATAATGAGATACGATCCTGAACAAGGCGTTATTAGCTTTACTGAGGTTTGGAGCTGGTTGGCGAGATGCCTACTACCAGTCCTTACTCCGTGTGCTGGCTGGCTGGGAGCGATACCCAGTCTCTGATCTGTGATATAAAATGGTAGCGATGGTTAAGAAAGCTTGTGAGGGCTATGAGAAGTAGAACGGCAAACAATACCTCTAGCCCTAGAGCCAGAGGCGTAATGGGAAAAGTGTTCGAGAACCAAGACATAACGAAGATAAGAAAATAATAAAATGGTCCTTACACCCTCCGTTAACTCGGCATAGGGGATAGGAATCTTACACAATCAACAACTGAAGCAAGTACCGTCTATGAACGTAACAACAGCTATCCTAACCACCATCATCATCCTTACCATCATTATCCTCACCTTACTCAAACTCCTTTACAAACCTCACACTCAACCCATCATCCCACTAAACAACACTCCCACTCACCCCGACACCATCGTATCATTCTTCCCAGCAAACATCTCCCCCTCCTCCTCCCAAGACTCCTTTGTCACCATCCCCCTTTAGTTACAATTATAGCAATATAATTCCTTTGGTGTGGAACCATAGGAATTTTATCGTTTTTACTTAGTTTCAATTTCGCTTTCCTCTGACCAGGCCGCGCACTGGCGTCCGCCAGTCGGGAGAAGAACCGAGAGCTTAATAAGCCGGTTATAACTGGACAACCGTTCGGACCCAGTCTTATCACGATAGCTTTTACATAAAATTCGTAAAAAATACAAAAATAGTTACAGTACCTACACAGTCAGTGGTGAACTGAAGAGGATCACCTTGACTCAAAGAGGAAAAGATAGACTACCGAGATCTTAGAAAGCGGTGTATAGATCCAGCTTATCACTGGGGAACTCCTTTTTATGCTCAGTAGAGAATTTTATATCTGGATAGGAGAACAACACATTTTTTCCAGAGACTACGTTTTTAGAGGACAATTTCCTCTACCAGAAATCACACCGATCAGAAACCCCTCCCCTGTAATCAAATCCGAAACTCCCCCACCACCACAACTCGAATTCAGAAATGTCCAATCTAGAATATTGAGATCAGCCAGAGCCATCCAACAGCACGGACAGCGCGTTTACTTGGGAAATGATGGATTCATTGCCCCGAATAGACACTCCCCCACCGAAAAAAGTATCATTAGAAGCATTCGTAAAACAAGAAGTAGAAAAAGCGATCAGAGAAACACGACTACTATATCAATCCCAGCTCGACGAGGCGCTCAAAGAAGTGAGCATCTTAGAAAAAAGACTAAAGAAGAAAACAGTACCACCTCCAGAAAAGGTGGAAAGAAGTAGAACAGCTCTAGAGAAGCCAGAAAACTTCTCAGGAGATAAGAAGAAGTACCGGGCCTTCAGAGAGTCCCTACTTTTACACTTTGAAGATGATGCTGTTTACTTTAATGATGACAGGAAAAAGATAAGCTTCGTGCTATCTTTTATGAAAGATGGAGAAGCCGTGGCTAGAAAACAGGGTCGATGCTCAGCAATTAGGGCTCGACATTACACACACATACGGAAGTTGGCCATACTTCGCCGACAAAATGGAAGAGAGGTTCAAAGACAGTTTTGAAAAAGAGACTGCCAAGAATGAGATATTGACCCTGAAACAGGGCAATGAAACCGCCCAAGCCTTTTTTGAAAGGTTTGAAGAAAAGAAAAGATGGGCGGGATACACAAACAGAATGAACAAAGAATTCTTAGTTTCATTACTGAGAAGAAACATGAACAAACCACTAGTAGACAGGGTGATCTACGGTGGACACATTCCTAGAGACTACCAGGAATGGAAAAGAGAACTCATCTGAATGGACTATATTTGGAGAGAACGAGAGAAGGAGAAGAAAGGTTCCGAGATTGGAAAAAGAACTAATCCGGAACAAAAGAAAGAAGGAGAAAAGAAGAGAGACGGAACCGGTTATACTTATACCGGTAACGGAGAAAGAATGGAAGTAGATAAAGCAAAATTCCGCATGGAAGGACAATGCTACCAATGCGGAGAGAAGGGACATAGAAGCTTCAAGTGCAAAGTCGCACAAAAAAAGAAGCCACAGTTCAATGTCCGAGAATTCTTAGAGAAGATGACAAAAGAGGAAAGAGAAAAACTCCTAGAGGGTTTTCAAGGAGGCCAGCGGTACCGCATCAACTGGCTGTGCCTAAAAAAGACGTTTCAAACCAATTTCTTCCTTTGACTGTAGATACGTGTAACCCTGAATTGTTAAGCTGCTGCTTTAGCGCGGATAACAATAAAATTATTAAAACACAGACAAAAAAAGAAATCAGAAATGAAAGAGATGCAAACACAACCGCAGCAAGAGCGGCACATAGTGATGAGACATCCGCAGTTTCAACGGCGGGCGAATCACTAAAAAGTGCAGCATTAACGGTGGATGTTAAGATTCCTACACCCGATGCGGCGAACTCTACGGAGGAAAACGCAGCAGAGACTGTAGAAGAGAGGTCAGGAACCCCTCTAAAAAACCTAGAAAGAAAAGAAGTTTGGACCCCAGAGTGGGTAGTGGACAGGCTAAGAGACCAAAAAGAAGAAAGATCCATTGGGATTCTAAGCGCCTGGACACACAAAAAGAGAACTAGAGAAGTAACCCGGGAAACGATAAAAGAAATCAACCAGTTACCAAAAGTAGAAGCTATACAAGCGATCATAGAAATTGCCTCCCCTAAAAAGTACATTAGGGGCACCCAAGGCAATCAAATGAACGTAAAATGTAAGCTTACCACACTAGATACTCTCCAAACAGAAATAGTCGAAGCATTATTGGACAGTGGATGCACGGGGAGTTGCATCGACTCCCAATTTGTAAAAGACAAAAAATATGAGACAAAAAGGATACCTAGACCTATTCCAGTCTATAACGCAGATGGAACTCTTAACAGAAACGGAGCCATTAGTGAATTTGTAATGCTACTCATGGAAATCGACGGTCACATCGAAAAAATACATTTAGCCGTAACCAACCTGGGTAACAGAAAAATGTTTCTAGGACATGAATGGCTAAGCAAACACAATCCAAAGATAGATTGGAAAGAGTCAAAGTTAATTTTCGAAAGATGTCCCGAAGAATGTAACCCAAGAATCCGAATCTCTGATCCAGAGGAAGATCCGGAAATATTCTTCGAAGAACTTAAAGCGGAAGAGATGATGATACAGGTGAATCTCCAGAATTTCGAAGATGCCACGATCGATGATCAATATTACCACATTAGAGCTCAAGGCACGATGGCACAGAAGCTGGCCGAAGCCGCAGGCAAAGATCAAAAAGAAGGAGGATTTGAAAAGATAGTACCAAAACACCTTCATCAATACAAAGACGTATTTGATAAAAAGGAGTTTGATACATTACCTGAAAGAAGACAATGGGATCACGCAATCGAACTAGTACTGGGAGATCACTCCCTAGATTGCAAGATTTACCCATTAGCGAAAGGAGAACAAGAAGAACTAGATGCATTCTTAAAAGAAAATCTAGAATTGGGACGAATAAGACCATCAAAGTCCCCATTCACATCACCCTTCTTCTTCATAAAAAAGAAAGATGGAAAGCTAAGACCAGTTCAAGATTATCGGAAATTAAATGATATCACTATCAAAAACAGATATCCACTTCCGTTGATTGGAGAACTCGTAGACAAGCTGAGTGGAGCTAAATACTTCACAAAACTAGACGTAAGATGGGGATATAACAATATCCGAATGAGGGAAGGAGATGAACCGAAAGCAGCATTTAGAACGAATCAGGGGTTATTCGAACCATTAGTCATGTTCTTTGGACTGACAAACTCTCCTGCCACGTTCCAGACGATGATGAACACACTCTTCAGAGAGTTGATAGATGAAGGATTAGTAATCATATATCTGGATGATATCATGATATTCACAAAAGACATAGAAATGCACAGAGCAACAATGCGACGTGTATTGGAAATCCTTAGAAAAAACCATCTCTATCTTAAACCGGAGAAATGTGATTTTGAACAAACAGAAGTAGAATATCTGGGACTGATCATCTCGGAAAACGAGATTCACATGGATCCAGTGAAAGTAGAAGGAATTAGCAAATGGCCAGAATGCAAAAATAAGAAAGATATACAAGCATTTTTGGGCTTTGTAAATTTCTACAGAAGGTTCATAGAGGGCTTCGGGGAAGTAGCCAAACCATTGACCAAGTTAACGGGAAAAGAGGACTTCATTTGGGGAAATGAACAACGCAAAGCATTTAACAACTTAAAACAATGTGTGGTGTCAGCCCCAGTGTTAGCTCTCCCAGTACCACATGGCCAATACAAAGTAGAAGCAGACAGTAGTGACTTTGCAATGGGTGCGGTCTTATCACAAAGACAAAAAGATGACTGGAAGCCAATTGCATATCTCTCCAAAGCGTTGAATCCCACAGAACGCAATTATGAGATCTATGACAAGGAACTTCTTGCCATCATGACGACACTCAACGAATGGAGACATTACTTAATAGATGCGGAGGAAGAATTTGAGATATGGACAGATCATCAAAATCTGTTGTATTTCAAAGAACCAAAGAAGTTGAACAGGAGACAGGCACGGTGGATGACGGAGTTAAGCCAGTATCACTTTACGATACACCATATGCCTGGAAGGAAGCATATAAAGGCAGATCTACTCTCAAGACGATCAGATCATAACAAAGGAGAGAACGATAATGAGGACATTGTACTACTAGATGAGAAACTCTTCGTACGAATGACCCTTCCATCGAAACAGAGACAGGCAATAGCAGATAGTCAGGAAGAAGAATTGGTGATTTCAAAATGGATCTTAAAAAGGAAAGGGAACGTAGATGATTTGATAACAAAGATGAAAGGAAAGATAGAGAAGAGAGAGGATGGATGGTTCGAGGAAGACGGCTACGTAGTATTCAAAGGCAGGATCTACGTACCAAAAGATGCCAAGTTAAGGGAAGAAATTATCAGACAAAACCACGACTCTACCGTTGCAGGTAATCCAGGAAGATATAAAACAAAAGAGTTAATTACTTGACAATACTGGTGGCCCTATATGGACAGAGATATCACAAGATACGTAGATGGATGCAAAGTCTGCCAAAGAACCAAGACAGACCACAAAAAGAAAGCAGCACCGCTCCATCCAAACGAAATCCCGGATAAACCTTGGCAGATCATATCAGTAGATCTGATCAGACCACTACCAGAATCAAACAGATATAACATAATAATGGTAGTAGTAGATCGATTTACAAAAATGATCAAGGTAATTCCCACACAAATGGAGATCACATCAGAAGGAGTAGCACGACTATTTAGAGATCACGTATTCAGAAACTATGGCATACCCGAAAAGATCATCTCTGATCGGGGACCACAATTTGTTTCTAAATTCATGAAAGATCTACATACGCTTCTTCAGATAAAGGCAAATCCATCAACGGCATGGCACCCACAGACGGATGGACAAACAGAGAGGATCAATCAAGAGATAGAGCAGTATCTCAGGATCTTCATAAACCATAAACAAGATGATTGGGCGGAATGGCTTACCTTAGCAGAATTCTCATATAACAACAAACAACACTCTGCAACAGGATACAGCCCATTCTATTTAAATCATGGACACCATCCGAGAACACAGGAAGTAGTGAAAGTGGAGGTAAAGAACAAAAATGCGGAAGATTTCGTAAAAAGAATGACAGAGACGAGAAAGAAAGCAGAAGAGTCACTACGAAAAGCAGCCGAACAGATGAAAAAACAGTATGACAAAAAGAAAAGGGAAGCAGTGGAATACAAAGTAGGAGATAAGGTATACGTGGAAGCAACCAATATCTCAACAGATCGACCAGCTAAAAAACTGGACGATAAGAGACACGGCCCATTTGAAATTCTGGAAAAAATAGGTGAATCAGCCTACAAATTAGCACTACCATCAACATGGCGACCTATTCATCCAGTTTTCAACGAAGTAAAGCTTACACCATACAAAGAACCACAATTCCCTTCTCAACAAAAACCCAAACCGATACCACCGGTGATAGTGGATGGACAAGAGAAATACGAAGTCGAAGAAGTTTTAGACTCACGTCTCAAAAGAGGAAAATTAGAATATCTAATACATTGGAAAAACTATCCAAAAGAGGAACGCACATGGGAACCCGAACGACACCTAACCAACTCACCAGACAAAGTAAAAACATTCCACAATAACAACCCTAGTGCACCCCGACGGATACAATTCCAACTACACTTCCAACCTTTCAAAAACTTCACAACGACAAGAGTCCGAAAACAATTGTTCAACTGGGAAAACGGAAAGATGGACCCTTACTTTCGAGATGAAAGTCTTAAAGAGGGGGTAATGTCACGACTTGAGCCAGAGCGCTAGTTTCTTTTTTCATTTTCTTTCACTTTTCTTTTATATCTGATCATGTGACAATCACGTGACAAGAACACAAGATCAGTAGTAGTTAGTTATATCTGATCACGTGATAACCATGTGACAAAGCCTAGACTATAACGTAAAACATCAGTCAGCGCCTCATGGCTGACCTTCAGAAACGTATATATACCAACACTCATGTACATACTTTCTTCAGTTGTTGATTACTTCTTAATCCAGTACTTCGACGCTACTTGTTGATCTTTGAGACTTGTCCCTCCGTTAACTCGGCATAGGGGATAGGAATCTTACACCAGACCCCGACTGTTTTGTCACCTGAACCTGAACCACCTTGCCACCATTTGGTGAGAATGCAACACTGTAGACATAATGAGTGTGATCCTCTAATGGGCCAGCCACTAGCTGACCACTGGCAGCATCCCAGATCCTGACTGTTTTGCCACCTGAACCTGAAGCCACCTTGCCACCATTTGGTGAGAATGCAACACTATAGACAGAATGAGTGTGACCCTCTAATGGGCCAGCCACCAGCTGACCACTGGCAGCATCCCAGATCCTGACTGTTTTGTCCCATGAACCTGATGCCACCTTGTCACCATCTGGTGAAAATGCAACACTTACAACCCTGCCAATGTGACCATTTAGAACAGTTAAGATAGGAGGCCAGTCTATATCTTTTCCTCTGGAAACAGACAGAGTCCTGTAAAACTGTGGCAAATATGTCCTGGACACCAGTGAGTTCTCTGGTGCAAATGGCAATGCAGACAAATATATATGTGGCAAGCTCTCTGAGAGGGGAGTATTGAAATTTGCCATGAATCTTTGTGCATCTAGTGCAAAGTCTCCTAACTCTTTAGAAATAATCTGTGTGGCAGACTGGTGAATCCCTTGATCCATAAAGACCATATTAGACTTACATTTAGTTGAGGACCTGCCTCCACCATGACTACAAATGCAGTAGACAAATCATGCACCAAAGTCATCACTTCCAGCCAATGTAGCAAGTGAGTTTTAAAAAGGACTACAAGCACCCTCAGAATTTCATTGTTGTCGACAACTTGTTCCATTGCATCTATTAGGTGGCCTCCCCAATACCCGACTTGCATACTGCAGAGGTGGTTTTATATGCTTTGCGATGCGCTCATCCATGTCAGCCACATCGCAATTGCGAATATACGAAGTCTCTAACTTGCAGATATTGAATGTCAAGCCAATGTGTGGATCATGCATGACATGTAAACATGCAAGCAATAAGTCAAAGCTTTTACTGCTCTTTGTTTCGGGGCGAATACGGAGCAACTCGTGACAAAGGTCCGAGTCGAGGAGAAATTCCACGAATGATAGATGGCTAATGCGAACATAGTCATCTGCATCTACATCGATGACGCATTTCCATTTCCCTAGAATCAGATCAATCGCTACTTCGTCGACTGGCTCCAGCATGAATTGTGCAAGGTCCTTGCGCTGCAATGGAGCTCTCGAAAATACCAGTGCGCCGAAAAAAGACTGGCACGCAGTGCGAGCGGCCTTGCTACTCTGGATGCTTTGTACTGCTTGTGTAGCAACTTGGCTATAAAGCCTGTTAATATTATCCCGCACCAAGGCGGATTCTCCGGAGAGTATCAGGTCTAAGCACTCCGTTGCCAGTCCTTGTTCCATGAATCCTATAGCAGTCTCTGCCCATATGAAGAGGCCAGCTGCACGATCTGTCAGCTCCTGTATTTTACTCTGTCCTGGCCAATTAGTACTATCTAGCGAAGGATAGTCTCCTCGCAAAGCACGAAGACGTTTCTCAAAGAACGTATAGATATCCCGTGAAACTGCCGAATCCAAATCGGCTTGCTCTCCTGTCTGGAGGACAATCTGCTGACAAGCCTGGCGTAAGATATCTGGCACTCCATCATCTCGGCTTGTAACGATTAATTTCAGTCCCTTATGAAGCGTAGACCATTGCGTGATGGTATCAATGAGTACCCGGCATTGCGCTATTTGAGACGAGTCGCCACACTCATCCAGCGCATCTATGACAATGGCTGGGTATCTATTGGGCGTTGTACCCAGTCAGCGCATATATTTTCTGATGAAGAATGTCATTCCGTACCTCTGTTTTGACGCGAACATGGGTTCCGCGGTCTTCAAAGGATCTTTAATCAGTCGATTAAAATGATCTTGTATGTTAGGCCTTTCGGAAATGATCTTCCCGCCCTTTAGCGCTTGTACGATTGTAGACGCGATTTTATCATCAAAGCGTGAGAGGTCATGCGCGACGGTCCGCCACATAGCAGCTGGATCAATCAAAGTCGCGTCGCCTCTACGAAATACAAAACTACCCCCAAGACGACCTGCGTTTCCTAGCTGCGAGATTAAACTAGAAGCGATCGCTGATTTCCCGGCCCCAGGACTTCCTTTGATCGAGAGTATATTTTTCTCTGCCCGATGATCGTCGAGCCAGTCATTTACTTGTTTGAAGATGTCCATTCGGGTGCCATCCATGCATGGTTGTACGTAGTGGCGATGGTGGTCTACAGGATTCAACGATGCTAGAATTGCATCGTCTCCTGACGTGTTGTTGATTGTTACATCGTTATAAACATCAAAGGCAGCCACAGCACGGGCTCCATGTTGAGTGAAAGGCATATTCTTGCAGTTCTTTTCTGAAGAGTGTGGGGAATCTGAGAGAAGGGTGAGGAAGAGATTCGTTATCGATGGGCCAGAGCTATTTGTACCTGTTGTCAGTGATAATATGGATCTGTCACATGGTACGTAACGTCCAGAATTAATATGACTGTCACCAGGTCTCCTCTTAGGTGCTCCGCTCCGAGTCACTGCGTATTGCAAGCAAAATTCGTCGTATTCTCTCAAAAAAGGATTAGAAATACGCTAGCATTACTCGCAGGTCATCGTCTCCACTATCGTCATCAGCATGTCCAAGTCCCCAATAACCTGTCACGGTATATCGTCATGCAGCACCTTAGGACAGGCTCCGTACTAACTTTTACAAATGCAAGTCCTCGATGTCTCACTAGGAAAACCAGTCGCAAATATCGAAGTCAACCTGCAAAAATATCACAGGGGTAATAACAACATAGATGTATTCAATCCCTATGGTCACAGGTATAAATCTCTGACATTATTTAAAGATCATCCTGCTCATTTCCTTTACTCCAGTGTAACAGATTCTGATGGGCGTTGCACACTCCTTCCTCCATGCGGCTCCGATGAGGCTAAATTGAGACAGAAAGAACTGACTGCAGGGCTATACAAGGTCGTATTCAAAACCAAGGAGTATTTCGAAAAGACTGGTGGAAAATGCTTTTATCCTTGGGTAGAGGTATGTGCTGGATTTTCATCCTGCGAAATCGCATATTTTCGACGTTGAATGCTGTCTTATCAGATCACCTTCGAAATCGAGAACCCAGAAGAGCACCATCACATTCCTTTGTTGATCAGTCCCTATTCATTTACAACTTACAGGGGAAGTTGAAACTTTAAAAATCCTCCTAAGGTCGTACATCCTTGCACTATTCACTGTTGATTTGTATCCATTCTGTCACCACCATACTGTCATATGTATCAGTACAGAAATTCATTGTCGTCTCCATCTGGTATTCAACATTTGCACCTGGCGTCGCTATCGTGAGGGTTAGTACACTGTTCGCAGACAGGAACTACTAGAAAAAGTCTGTGTGTACCATCCGGTCTCCTGGCTGCAACAGGAACAGCGCTGCTATGAGAGCCAGATGAGGCGGAGAGCTGGTAGAATTAGTAAATGCGGGGAATCTACACAGTACGTGAACGACATAAACGCGTCATTCGAGTCATCATTGCACGATCACTTTATCGTATTGTACACCTTTGATATTTCCTCCCCGCATTGACGTCTTCACAGTGTACAAAAACTGTTCCCGGTTCTTGCGCAGCTCCTCTGCAGCCTCTGTCCAAACAGACATTAGCAAGATATTCATACTTGTATAGACTTGTTCTTACCCTTGTTTAAGGGATCGTCTGCATTTGGCTCCAGGAATAGATATTGGAGACCAACCATGACGGAGTTCAGATTTAGTACTGGCTTCCAGTCTTCACGCAGAATATTCAGGCAGACATTCCCATCGAGGTCGACATTTGGATGATATATCTATTGAGATATGAGCAAAATCTTTACAGGAATACCGAGGACGGGGGCATACCGTGTGAGTGCACTTCACTTTTGGCGGCTCGTGCGGGTAATTAGGGTTGATGGTGAATGAGAAGTTGAAGGATCCGCCCTTGTACATTCCTACATGGAACATATCAGACAATTGATATATATTAGAGGTCGCATGAAGCACCTTCGTCTGGTACAATGGTAAGGGTGAAGTTCAAGAGATCTGCGGGATCAGGGAAATGCGTCTTCATCGTTGATGGGAGATCAAGTTCGGTCAAATCTGGTTTGAACTTCGTTGTCAGCTTCTCCCTTCAACCATAGTTTGGTGCATGTATTTTACCTTTCTGTACACGTATCTGAGCAGCACTGGTCTTTGGTTTCTTCTTGGCCGCTGCGTCCTCGTTCTTCTTCATACTCCATATCTGATATAATTTCGATTTTAGCTACGATTCGAGGTTGGATATTGTGTAACGAGTACCTTGATCATTGCGACAGAAAGAAATGTGTGATTATGGTGATAGTTATTGCAGGAGGAAGCTTGAGGGGAAGTATGAGATATGTACGGTAAAGCGCCAGTATAAAGCACGGAAGACGCCGAGAGCTCGGAATGCGCAACAGGCGAGTCAGGCTTACACGAGGCCTATCATCCCACTGAAAGAGCTCGGAATGGAAGGGCCACCACCGCAACCGCCAACGTTCTCATACCGTCTTATCAAGAACTTCCATCATGTCAGAGTCTTTTCTATCTGAAACACTGCCATTAATCGACGTCGACGTCTTTCTGTCAAATCCACTTGAATCAGAAGTTGTTCTCGAGGAATGTAGAAAGGCGAGGCGTTTAAATTTCACGTTTGATCCAGTAATCTAACCGAGAAACCGTGGTATTATTATTCTCATTTTTATAGGCTGCCGATGCGCTGATAACTTACGGCGCGCTGCTTTTGCACGACTCACGAGCATTAGAAGACGACAACGCAGCTTTCTTGGACCTCCTGGAGGACTATTTTGACCAGCCTGACGCTGAGTTAAAGAAGGATGAACGTCCTGATATCATGTATCAAGTTGGTGTCACTCTGGAGAATACGGAAAAGCCCAAATGTGCAGCAGATGAGCCCTGTTTACAAATCATAGCTCGTCTGGATCCTGCAGAGAGACCCTTAGACATTTCTGGTCACCACCCGGACCCAAAGTGTCGTTTCTTTTGGAAGATGGGGGCACCTCCGCCTTACGAAACGCAGTATCCTGCCTTGAATGCCCCTAACGTAGTTCCACAGGCTCCTCATATTAACGATAAGTGGGAGGAAACGCTGGAGAAATGGGGGACTGTTCTGAAGAATGCGTATGCTCTTGTCCAAGCTCATCTATAGATTCTGGCTGAAAGATCATTTAGCGTAGAGAATATCGCGGAAATGTCAGCGATCGGGCTTGGTTTGCCTCTTGAGACGTTTAAGGATGCAGGAAAATATGGGTATATTTTTTTGAATTAGAATCAGGCAACTGTATATACTGACGACCCGCTATGACCAGCCCTCATCTTCTGGGCCCTACTGCCTCTGATCTCAGGAAATATGGCAAGAAAAACACGATATTAGCTGGTTTCCATACGGACCTCAATTGTTTCACTATCCACGGCCGGTCTCGTTATCCCGGTTTACACATCTGGGCTCGTAATACTGGTAAACGCATATCTGTCAGATTTCCTCCGACTGGTCGATATCTACTCGTGCAAGCTGGTAAACAGCTGGAGCATCTAACAGGAGGGCTCATTAAGGCCGGGTTTCATGAGGTTGTGGTCAACGAAGCGACTGTTCAGGTTGGTATCTTCCTTGCACCCCTTAAAGTCAGTGCTGAGATCCCGTGCTTCAACTTAGACCATCGGGAAACGTAAGATAACCAATCCTGGCCGTCCATGTATCCGCATATCTTCAACGTTTTTCTGGCATCTATCGTCGGATTATGATCTGGCTCCCATTCAAGCATTGGCTGCACGAGCTCGACCTCTGCTCTCTGATAGCACCGTTTCAGGGGCGGTGGAGTCTTACGAACCGATGAAAGTTGGTCAGCAAGTACAGAAGTATGCTCATGGTCACTCGAATTCTGACAGTACGCTGATGTAATTCAACCCAGTGAACTAAAGCATATCGCGCTGATGGCATGATCAATTTGGGACATATCCTGCGATGAGAAAGTAGAATATGGGGATCTTCCTATAACTCCAATGCTCATACTTCGAATAACAAGACTCGACGAGAGAGCGATGAGCATTGGTATGCATCGGAAATAGGATACGTTACTACTAGTTTATCTGGGATGGCAAAGTCTGTGTTTCCCGGTCCTTTCGAATTGGAAAACCAGCATTCCCATGCATATATGGATTCCAGTGACCTACACAAATTGTCAACCAGTCCAAAATTTCCGACGTGCTCGCCTTGCAACCAGTCGTGATTTGCGACTTGGTTAGACTGTGATTCAGATGTGAACATGAATGAGGGCGTGAATTTATCTGGAAGCAACCGTCCGCCACCCGCCGCACCAATTGAGGCGCCCATCACCCACTTACCACTACCACTGTGACAATCCTACCAAAATTATTGCTGATTGTTTGCATAGAATATGTGCTGGTTTAGTATTTTTGTCCTGCTTCAAGAATCCTGTCTGATGGTCATAAAGTACGTCGGAAGTCTCCGCCCGCGCGGGAACGCCGCACCAAATACGTGTGGCTGCACTGCGACTGGTGACACGGTGCATTTGGACTCAAACACTTCCCGGCCAAACATATAACTGCTAAAACCGTGGAACTATAAGGTATGCTTGCTTGCCCTGTCGTGTGGTAACTATTTAATGATACATGGGCTTGACATAGCCCACGGTGGTTGGCATCTTTGCCCGACGTCAACCTGACTGTCCATGCTAAGGAAAGTGGCACATGTTTACAGGCAGCCTTTCCAGCAAGCCGCAGTCCACCGCGAACGCCATAAATATGTACTCCTTCACCGCACAATCTACCATTTCATTCATACCTCATGTTCGACATCCTCAGCGGCAGCCTCGCGATCGCACCCTGTCAACCTCGATCCTTCTCAGCCTTCTCTAAACAATCGTAATGCTCAACCTGCAAAAAGTGACATGTCTAATGCAGATACCAGCTCTCTTCTAGCGGAAAAACTTCCTTCTCGAGGCACCTCACAGATCAGGCAGAATGACATCCTCCAACAGACATCGAGCTATCCTATAGAGGTCCTTGAAATTATCGACGCATTTTTTTCATGGAAGACAAAAACTGAACTCAAAGAGGGACTAGATAAAATCAACCACTCGCCACTCCTTTCACGACATTTTCGCGACAGGGATAATGCCAGGACATTAGCGGAAGAAATGGCTGGCACCGAACTACCCCAACGAGCATATCGCGTCCTTGTGGTTGCGAATAAACTCGGCTGTTATTTCAAACCAAATCACTACGAATCTGTCGTCCATCGACTAGCGTCCTCGAAACAGTGGGCTTTTATCCCACTGCTGGTCTCGCTAGGGAAAAAGCAGTGTGGGCGGACTTCTGCTCGACTAATGGATTGGAGAACGCGCGCCTTCGTGGAAAGCTTTCAGTATGCTCAGCTAGAGAACATCCTAAAGGATTACGAGAACGAAAATATAAAGCCAACTAGCAGAACATACCATCTGCTGATTTCCGGTCATCTTCGCAATCATAACCTGGTCCTAGCAAAGCAATGCATGCAAAGCATGATTGAGGCGGGACATCATGTTGACGCATCGACGCATTCAGTCATTGTTTCTGTATATCGCTCATTAGGGCCAAATATCGACGTGCAAACTCAGGCTCTCGACGTACTACATGAGCTAGACAGACAAGCAGCTACCATCGTCCTCAACAGTGTCATACAGCAACGGCTGGATGTTCAGGATCTGGATGGCGCTATTCGTTACGTTAAACGGTTTTATCAGCTTAGCCCATTGTCTGCAGATACTCAGACTCAAAGTCCTGTTGTCGCTGGAGAAAATCCCTCCGTTCAAATCCCACCACCCACCCCACCTCATTCGACATCTTCATCACCCTCATGCTACCCGGACGCTACTACCTTCTCTATTTTCATCAAGCACATGGCTCAAAGACACGACTTGGCAGGTGCTCTGCAAATGCTAGAGCACATGGTCTCGGCACATATTAAACCAGACCCTGGAACTGTGGCTACCCTTGTGCAGGTCTATTGTGCCACTGACCATCATGACTACGCAACCACCATGGTTGCAAAGCTATGCAAATCTCATGATATCTCTATCTTCCTGTTCTCTTTACTAGGACTGCGCTGCACCAGTACGCTCCCCATAAATATCACTGAGGTACCCGCTACGGTGGAAATCTTCAACTCCCTTATGCACAGTCTCCTTAGATACCGCGGGCTCAATGGTGCACGTATCGTCCTTCGAGTTATGCGCGTCAACGGCATCAGGCCTAATGAAAGTACAATTGAAGTCCTCATGAATTATCTCGACAAGGTGGAGCATGCTCGTCCTCGCGAGCTGGTACGCGTCTTGCGCCATCTATCCTACGCCTCGATCCAACCGACACTGAGACACGTGCATATCATCCTGCGATCTATCCTTCGGCGCGAGAAATTCCTGCTACAGGGAAGTGGGTGGAACGTTACGGCGGCAAAATTATCCTCTCGACGTCAGGACAAGTCTCACTATCCGACTGGTAGAATATCGGACTCGTTACTAGATTTTGACCCGCTAGCAGGCATCCAAGTACCTCGACACCTGCGGTATCATTCATTATTGCGTCCCCTCCTACTATCACTTTCACGTCGTCGTATCAGAGGTGATAGAGCTACGTTTGCCTTACGTATGAAGCATGAAGCGGTGAGTAAGACAGACCTCGAAACTGCAAAGGAAGTGTTTCGATTCATGGTAGCCCGAGGCTTACGGCCAAACGAATACCATTACGCTGCACTCATGGAAGGATACGCGCAACAGGGTGACTTGGAAAGTGCTGAAGATGTCATGCACTCCGCTGCGCAAGCTGGTGTCAGACCTAATGTCGTCATGTATACGATTCTCATAGTGGGACTTGCTCGTCAAGGCAAACCCGAGTTGGCTATGAGGATGTTTCAAAGCATGATTTCTGCCGCTATCAGACCCGATGTTCCATCTATAGATGCGGTCACCAGCGCCTACTTTGCTGTCGGGGCATACAGGCTGGCAAGGCAATTGCTTGTGGAACTGTGGAGTCACATTCGACCTTTTCCGAAAGAGCTGCGGCGTGTACCGTTGAAGGAGCTGGCTCGGATATTCAGGTCGTACCACGAGACTTCATCGGATGAGAGTCTGAAGACATTGACGAAGCAGCAGCAGAGGATGCTACGCTGGAAACTACAGCGCTTGGAGCGGTTATGGGTTCGATATTGGAAGAGGCCTGATGAAAGGCGGTGGTCGAGGCGACTGCGAGCTTCAGGGGAGTCCAACGTGGGCAGGTCTTCAGATTCAAACGGACGGCGTTAGTAAGTGATAGTAGAGATTGGATGCTAGATGTTTACATATATGCATTATATTAATGTGGTTCTGTGATACTTGCTGTGATGTACAGAATTTATTGTATCGTGGCTATTATTGTAAACGGTCTCATGTATACCTCAAACATCATATCCTTCAACTGACAACGTTTGCAGGATTCAACGCTATTTTGTCCAAATTTATCATCAGGCAAGTCGGCAGATCCTCATTAGTGCTCAAAGTGGTAAATGTGATAGTGGACAACTTGAATGCATTTGACATCGCTAGTAAGACTAGACGTCTAAGAACAAACCAAACGAGAAACTACCGCTTGAAGTTGAATTCAATACTGATACAGTGGAGGAGGAACTACTATGTGATACAGAAATAAATATCACCGACCGTTAAATTATGACCAAATATATTAATGCGGTTTATTTCAGCCATCAATTCCCTCGTGGTGCGACGGCACCAAAAACACGAAGCACACTTTGAAGCTTCACAATCATCTCCTCCCATTCTGCGTCAGCATCCGACAAAGCTGTGATGGCACCCCCGGCTCCAATGACCCACTCTTCATCTGAAGATTCCGAATCAGCGCGGTCGCGGTCTTGGCCAAGCGTATGGATGTTAGAGGTATGATGGTCGTCATATTTGAAACAGCTGCGGATGGTGACTGACCAGTCACCACCGCCCCCAACGCACCAATATCCGAAGACTCCAGAATATATGCCCCGTTCGTCATCTTCTAGCGCCTGTAAGATTTCAACGCTGCGTTTCTTTGGAGCACCCGTCATGCTACCTGTTGAAGAGGGAATTTAAATTCTGAAACGTGAGAGTACAAGAATTAAATACCTGGTGGAAGACTTTGCCTCAAAACCTCCCAGCCCAGAGCTCCGTTAGCCCTGTGCTCTTGAGAGTCTTGCATTTCTTCAGCGGGTTTGCCTTCGATGACGCTGACAAGCTGCCAAACAGTCTTGTACTCCTCCACCTGACAAAACTGCTTGACTTGCACGTCCTCTCCAATGACACCGTGTAAATCGTGTCGAATGAGATCAACGATCATTAAATTCTCGGCGACTTCCTTAGTGCTTCCTGCCAGTGCCTCTTCGGCGATGGCGCGAGTGATGCCCGGACCTTTACGGATTGTTCCCTTGATGGGTCGTAATTGGTATGTAGGCTGAGGTGCACGAGTGAAGGAAAGAAAACGCTCAGGGGAAGACGACAACATGGTTGTGGGGTGTAAGCGGAGGTATGCAGCATGAGGGGCGGGATTGACTTCACGCAGACGCTTATAGCGTTGCCACGATATTGAATGAGGAGACGTTTTTGAAGCTACAGGGGAGCTGAGCTTGACTCGGGTGCGGGCAGTGAGACAGAGCTCGTAAGAGTCGCCAGCGAAGAGATGCTCTTTGGCGATATCGATTCGAGATTTGTAGGTTTGTTGGTGAGGTAGCGAGACAACTGAGGACTGTAGTCGGCCCTTCGTTGAGGAAGGTAACACGTTCTCTGTGCAGAGTACGTGTTTCTGAGCGGTGCTCTGCAGCAGACCCACAGCTTGCTCAAGCCATAGATCATCGTCCTGGATAAGGGACTGTACATATATGTTGTTTGTTGCAGTATCGAGGACAACACTACGCTCTATAAACACGAAGTTCACGTCTGGATGACGTCCTTCGTGGGATGCTGGCTTGAGAGGAACATGGAGGGATTCAATGCCAAGTTCGTAGCTGAGGTAGCCAACTAGACCACCCCAGAAGGGAATATGCGGCGATCCACCATAAACCTTTCTTTTATTCATGAAGGAAGCAAGCCACGACCATATGTCGTGCGATCCCAGCCCAATACAAGAACACGAGCCTGCCTCATTTAAGTGGACAGTCGAATCTCCTACAGAATATGTGATCCTAGGAGAACTTGGAGTAAGGCAACCGATGATAGAAAATCGGCCTGGTTGAGAGGCCGAGTCGAGGAGAACAAACGGTGAAGACTCGTCTAAGGCACCAAAGAGCTCGCATATCGCTGTTAAGTGGAGGTGTGGAAGATTGAGGACAGTTGTAGTGACCGCTGTTGAAACAGTCTGACGGGGAGAACGTGGAGGGGAACGTAAGTTAGGCCAGGGTAAACCAAAAAGACTGGTAGCTTGGGTGTCCCACGGAAGAATACGTCTTCCATGACTGTTAACCCAGTTCCTAGCGAGACGCCAGAAGTTGAGCATGACCTCGATCCCTCCTCCTTCTGTGAGAACAGATTCGGGATGATACTGAACAGCCCAAAAGGGCTTTGTCTTGTGTTTAATGGCCATAACGACATCACCATTTTCATCACCATCCTCAGCCCAGGCTAACTGTTCTATTTCTCCGTCGGCTGCGAGCTCAACGTGCAGCGAATGGTAGCGAACGGCATGAACCTTGGTTACTGCCTTGAAGATGTCAACGCCGGTATGCTTTATTCGAGAAACCTGCCCATGTTTGACAATAGCCAATCTCTTAAGTTGTGCACCGTGTTCAACGGCAAGACTTTGTAAGCCAAGGCAGACACCAAAAATGGGGATGAGATGCTCATCCCCGATCCTCCATAAATCTTTTACGATGCCGATATCCTCTGCTACTTGCGGTGAGCCTGGCCCTGGTCCCACAATAATACCTGAGAAGTATCCGATGTATGGGATGATTTCTGATAAAGATAACTGGTCGTTCTTTATAATGTGGATGCGACAGTTGGGAATAGATCTCCTGCAAAGAGATGCAAGACTGATACGGGTGTCAGTATTTGTTCCTGACATGTACAAAACGTTACTCACTTGTAAGTGAACGAGTCATACGAATCGATGAGCAAAAATCTATGTGGTTCCGTAATCATTCTAGAAAAGTATAGGTCGAACTTGATGTGACTGATTGGGTACCTCCGCCAAGAGATGGCTAGGAAAGAGGCCTTGATAAAGCCTAACAGAAGAAATGGTGGACGTTAGGAATATAGAAAGACATGAAGTTAAAAGTAAGGCCGGGTGAGTCTTAAGTCTACTGAATTTAGATCCATCCGTTGTCCATGCTAAGATTTTCTGGTGTGTCTTTTACTTAGAAATGGTATCACGATGGCGTGAGAAAACAAGGCCAATGCCAGACTGGGATGAACTACATACAACTTTCTGAATAAATATCCAGTTCTTGTGAACGGATGGCTTCCACAGCGCCAGATTCACAGGATTTGTTCAGAAAGGTGATCTTGCAATGTAATATGCTTTTCTTTTTCACTGACAAGACGTCTTTTTCAGTTAAAGCCCATCTGTGTGCCTATACTAGAGAATGCACTATTGACACCATCATCAATTCCTAATGTTTCCAAGCTATTGTCCCAGCTCGTGCAGGCCCTTCAAGAATTTCGCGAATCTGGTTCTTATCTCACTCAGTCGTTAATATCTTACACCTTCTTCCCCTTGTCTTCCATTTTACGGCGTAACTCCTCATCGTCTATTCCAGACCAAATTTTGGAGCAGCTTCTCAATGCACTAGGCATCCTCTGCGACCAGTGGTGGTGGAGCTGTGACATGACAACGTGGGGCCAAGTCTTTATGCTGTGCGGCTCAGTGATAGGAGGAATCGAGGGAAAGGGAAAAGGCAAAGATAGAGATGATGAAACCAAAGAAGCTGCCGCGCGGTGCCTGTGGTCACTATTGAGAGAGCGAACCTCCCAGGACACGCCTCCAGGTCTTCATGGAGATCGTGCTCAGACGCGTCTCGTAGAGTTTTGCACGCACTCTCAGACAGAGCAATTTATTCCAATTGTTGGACAGACCTTGAACTCTCTCCTTGGTTCAGCATTGTCTCCCCATCTACCGCTGCAACGCATCTCATTGCAGGTACTTCGTGTCTTAATTGCCCTGTATGCCCCAGAGTCTTTTGTACCCTCTATCCTCCCTGGCGTTGTTAGCATCACCACCAAAATTGCTCTAGGCATTTCTGGAAACAAAGGGTGGGCAAATGGGGCTATTGTCGCCCTTTCACTCGCAGTTATGCAGCAAGTCATAGTAAGGTCTATCGGCGATGATGTCTGTCTAAAAGAAGGTGCGGTGCGCAGTGTTGTTGACCTTGAGGACTTCGCTCAGTTCGTGAAGCCCCCTGAAATGGAGATCAAGTCAGACGAACTACCCCGTTATTTCACCGCTCGAACTTCTACTTGGCTACGGGCTTCGACTTCGCAGTTGCATATAGCTCTGAACACGCTGACGCCGCTTGTGACACACCCGACAATAGCTGCCCTGCTCGGATTGTGCGCATTTGCAGAAACAATCCTTGCGTCCACTTCTCTTACACTACCACAATCCCAACCGCTTCTACTGTCGTTTCTTCTGTCGCTATCTAACTCGCCATTCCCCAAAGTGTCACAAACTGCACAAGAGTCATTTTCGAATCTACTGTCTCCCACCAACTCAAACCGGCACTCCTTGATACAGACGTTGCTACATATATCAAAAGAAAACATCTCGGCCTTGCCTCGCCTGATTTCCTCACAAGCTGATGCAAAGGTAGACCATGCTGCAGGCCAAATTGAAGCCATCTGTCGGTTGTCTGGATCACTCTCATCAACACATAAAAACGTTGGTCTGTCCTCGGTCTCTGGAGGAATCGACTTGCTCCTTGGTCCAACAGGAGGCATCGAAAAATGGGGCTGGAGCTTGCTCGCTGTTCTGGACTTTGTCAGCCCCGCCATCGCCATATCTAAGGCTCCTGTCGCCCAGCTACTACTAGAAGACAACTCTGACGGCGCCAACCGTATTTCTTTCCCCGAGGTCACGTTGAAGAACGTACAGTCACGAAGTGCCTATGCAGCTTTAAGTCGAATGTTCCGTGCACTTGGTAGTGCAAGCAGCGAAAGCTCTTTTTATGCTGTGGAATGGTTTATCAGTACTGGTTACAAAGGGCACACTAGCAGCGCTGTTGCGGCATTGTGGTGTGCGGCACGTCTCTTAGAGGGCATCGGAAATATCTCGCTTGATCATGAGGGCATTGCTGATCCTTCGAGTCAGCCACGAAGAAAGGCACTGGAAAAGTTTGTCAGAGGTCTTGCGCGGGATATCGCCGAGTCGTGGGACGATGGCCACGACGAGCAATCTGACAACGTCCCCGAGGAACCAAAGGTTGACAACGATCTACATACTGAAATCATCAAAGGTGTCAATCCTATTCATGCAACCCTACAATTAATAAAACCTCATAGTTCATCAACTCCCAAACCCACTACTCAGCCTCTTTTGCATCAGGTTCTTTCTCTTCATCTACTCTCCATATCAGCTGGTATCTTGCAAGCACGATTTACTCCCCTGCTAATTCACGTCCTCTATCCAATCTTGCGTTCCCTGGTTTCCCCAGTATCATACATATCATTGACTGCACTGGCCACGCTAAATTTCATCACGGATTATACGTCGTACGCATCCCCCGCTAATCTTCTATTGTCACACTTCGATTATGCTCTGGATGCCGTTTCGCGGAGGTTGACTCACAGATGGCTTGATATTGAAGCAACCAAGGTTCTCGCCGTCTTGGTTCGTTTAGTAGGAAGCGACGTAGTTCAAAAAGCGGGAGATGTCGTCGAGGAATGCTTTGACCGCTTGGATGAATTTCATGGCTATGAAGTTATTGTCGAGGGTTTGGTGGAAGTCCTTGGGGAAGTTTTGAAGGTTATTGAAATGGACGAAACATTATCACAGCCTACTCAAGGAAAACCACAGCCAGAGGGAGTCATCCCTACCTCGTCACTCCAACCACTATTTGAATGGGTTGCACATAGAAAGGATCCTCCCGAAGTAGACGATACGGACTACGGTCCAGCTCCTCGGGGACCATGGGGGGAAAATACCGTGCCAGAAGATGAAACAAAGGAAGAGGACCAGCCAATAAATGCTCCATCACAACCTGAGGCCAGCGACGATCCTCCACCGACGCCAACACAAGCCTTAACGAAGCAAATCGTCTCTCGATCCATCTATTTCTTAACTCACGGGTCTGCTGTGATTCGGGCTCGAATCCTAATGTTGTTGAGTTCAGCAACGCCCGTATTACCAGAATCGGCGCTGTTGCCATCGATTCATCAGGCATGGCCATTCATTCTGAAGCGGCTCAGCGACAAGGAGCCTTTTGTCGTCAGTGCTACTGCCACACTCATAGAATCGCTAGCCAGCCACGTTGGTGATTTCATGGGAAGGCGAATATGGGATGATGTCTGGCCTCGGTTTCAGAGTATCCTAAAGCAACTAGACAAAGCAGACGCCCAAAATGCACTTGCTCGCCGCGGTCGTAGTGCCGTTGGAACTGAATCTGCATATACTCATTCCCATCGTTTATACCGCTCTATTTTGAAAACAATGATTGCGGCGGTCAATGGCGTGCATATCCAAGATAATGCTATTTGGCAAGTCATTCTCGCCTTCAGGCGTTTCTTGCATAGTCAAGTACATGAAGAATTACAAGGCTATGCGACGGAACTTTATATATCTATCGGCAGAAATAACTGGGACGCAGTTTGGCTGGCTTTAACGGCCACTTCAGGGCGCTTGGAGGGAGAAATGGTGTTCATGAAGGAGGAAATTTGGGATATAGACCGTAACGTGGGTGTAATTCTGTCGCGTGAGTAGTTAGGTGAGATGATAAATCTGCTGGTATAATCAATGATCACGATTTTGTTGACGGAATATGTCTACGAAGTTCTACACCTGCTTCCCTAAAAAGCTTGGCGGAAGCTTCATCTCTAAAAAAGAGTCAGAACTTACGGAATTAATGTTGATGGTAGAGAGTGCACGTACACTTTATAGCTAAGATTGTACACGACCGTCTTAACATCGCTTTGTATTATTTTAATTGTACATCTCAAGCACGGACACCTTTGTGCAGTTTACTACCAGTTTTTCGTGAAAGCATCAAACCACTCACGTGTTGCAATATAAAATAGCGTTGCAGCCCACTCGTTCTCTCCCAGCCTCGAGGAGAGCGTTTTCCTCTGCGTGTAGGCAAAGACACTCGAGGGAAAACCCATCAGAGGGGTTTTTCTTATTACACGATGCGCAGCCACCTGTTTTGCATAAAGGAAGATGATGATAACAAACCGCAAGATGGTTCACCTTCATTGCAGTTGGTCAAACCACGAGGGGTACCGTTATAACTATAAAGAGCGTGAACATGAGAGGTGAAAACGTTGGGGGGTTGCACCGAATTAATTCACCCTGTGGCAACTATGCGGTTATCCCGTACTAGGATTGCGCCAACACGGCGTTTCATACAATTCGAGCGCCTTGAAGCCAAATCTGCCAGTGTCTGAAATTCCTTCAGTAACGCATGACGACGAATGGAAGAACTGACCATAAAGTACGTGTCCCAGGCGGGCCTTAGACGGTCTTTGTTCATAAGATCCAGGGAATCCAAATGGGTATGAAGAGCTGATATAGACGAAAATGCGTTCACTACGCTGATTTTCACCAGACTGTCCAAATCGCGCAGTATATCGAAGTTCATCACTTCTTCTTCTGCTGCCGCTTCTTGTCTAGCTTGTCGAAAAACTAGCTGATCATGCTCGCGCACGAATTCCTCTAAAGTCATCGTGTTTGAACTTGGTCATGAATGAGGTGGCGCTTAAGCAGGATGACCGGTCATGAGCACTCACGTTACTGCTCGGCGATATCGTTGAAGTAAAGGAGCATCAACGTAGATCACCATAAAGAAAGGGCGTTTTGCAAAGTACTCAATAAGACACTGCGTGTTCAGCGCAACAGTCACATAATTCGAGCGCCAATTTCGCGTGACATGATCGAGTAAGGATGCAGGAGAGGTGAATGAGATTGACGGAAAACGCTGTGAGACAGATTCGAAAGGCGTGATCGGGGAGCTCATTGATAGAAATGAAGTGGAGTTGTTGGGCAGTCTTTGAGCAAATGTTTTGAGTGAACTTGATAGCGGTTCTGCAGTATATGCACCAGGGGTAACCCCATTGGGAGTTCGATCCGTATCACTCTATAAACGTATTTATACGTTGAGGTCCTTAATCATAGCGTCAAGCGAGTTATGATCAAGATGAAGTACCTCAGCCTCAGAATGTCTCTCTTCCCAGTCCAGGCTAACAGGTGTAAAGCCCTTCGACACAAAATAGTCCTCGATAGTGGATTTTCCCGCATAACGCGTACCAACGATAGCAATGAACATAGCTCGGTGCTATCGTCCAGAATCAGCCTCCAAGATTGTAGATATAGTAAATTACAGACCCTTGAAGTTCACTTTCGATTGCAAGTTGCAGAAAATGATCGGGCGCGCTTTCTCGAACACGTGACTCTAATCTACATTGATTTCTTATTACCGTGACAGAAGTGAGCAGTTTTCATAGTAGACTTCATCATGATAACATGTAAAACTAGAATGTGTGCACTCGAAGGTCTATGCGGATGCAAGGTTGTCTGAGCAATTCCGCAATTCCTTATAGTATCCCAAACCTCTTCTTCGGTTATCTACGAGCATGGGCATCTCGTGGACCTACTGTATTATATTAGCGTAAGAGGTCCCACATTGATTATGATGATAACATCAGTTAAGGCAATGAACTCTAACCATGAGTAAGATGTTAAGGGTGATACCTCATTAGTTGGCTTCTTTACGCACCTTCTAAAGAAGTTATCTTTATGAAGCTCAATCCCCTTCAGCGTCTGCTACGATGTCGACTGGAGTGGACAAAACGACCTTCTTTTGCTTATCTTGTAGAGCAGACGCTTGCCTTCTTTTCTTGGCCTCAGCTTTGGCCGCGGTCCTAGCTATCGCCCTGTGCTCCTTAGCGGCCTTCATATCTTTTGGAGCAGAAGTACGCGTTTGTTTAATATGAGTAGGAATTAGCTGTCTGTGAGTGCCATGAGGCACTAGCCAAGGAGCGCTGACGATATCAACGGAAGGTATGACATCTTCTAGTATCGCTAACCCTGGAGCATGACACTGTAAAACATTTATATCAAGCGCTCTTCACAGCAAGAACATAAGCAAGTGCTCACATCCACAGCCAACGCGGCGGCCCTTCTCAGGCCCAATGCTGTAGCTAATGACAGTTCGGAACCCTTCGGCAGTGTGACCAATCTAATGGGGCTGAAGTTCCTTTTGGCGGAAGCGTGAAGAAGAGCAGCGTTGCATGCTGCTACTAGATGAGGAATGTGGTCAATGAGGATTGGAGGGTCAATGTCGGTCCGACAGATAAAAACCCATGCGATATGCGACGGGACAACTTGTGGAGGTAAAGCAGTGTCGGAGGATGACAAAGTGATAAAATTTCGAGAAGCTTGCACTTGGGCTTCAAGCTTCCGAGTTACTTCATTGATACCAATAGAAAGATGCTGAAGGATAGTAGGACATTTTTTACCGTCTGGTGCAGTAATCGGCACGGTACTGGGGGTGACAGGTCCTTCTCCTCCGGATGGCGGAAAAGCTGTATGACCTGGATCTATTCCTGAGTCGAGAGATACAGCAAGTTCATGGCCTTTTTCTTCCAGACCTTTTTTTCGACTGCTGAGTTTTTTTTTCGATTGTTCTAGCGCATTCAAGTTCCGAGAGCGCCTGGACTCAGAGACACCGTCTAGAATCGAAACGAGGCGTGCCAAACACAGGTTTTGCAGATTCACGGGAATGGAAGGCCTGTTAAGTCAGTAAAATCGATAGTAGGGATGGTCTGCGATAGATAATTACCAGCGAACGTGAAAGGGATTATCTAGGACGCTTTTGAAGACTGGCTTGCGTTCGACAGTTGCTCTATTTTTTGCACGGTTGGAGACGTGAGTATGCGTCCGTGCAGTTTTATCGGACATGAGTGCAGAAAGCAGACGGTGGCTGTGTGGACAGCCGGCTTAGCAGAGAACCTTCGCAGTGCGAACTTGACGGTACAAACTACCATCTTCAGTCAGTATATTTCCAGAGGCACTTCATTCCATATCTTGCTTATACACTCTCATATGCCTTTTTTACTCGATCCATTCGAATTCATGTCCGCTCCTCCACATACATAACATAGTGGTGACATTTTCAGTTCTCGGACCGTCTGGTGTTGGCGACAAGCGTCTATGTCAGCGCTGACATTTGATCGTGACTGTTATTCGTATTTCTTGGACAGTAAGGTCAGCTGCCATGGCTTAAATTATTTACCTACTATCTGACGTCCTTCCTTATTTTAGCTAAGCCATCTGCCTTCCTCGAAGCTGGCATGTCGGTAGATTCTTGCTCTGGCTCCATTTTCATTTGGAAAAAATAGGTGGTGATACTTTTGATGCGGCGTCTCCGTTAGCGCGCTGCTGGATCTGGTGAGATCCTGGCACCAATCGTCTGTCGTATAAGAAAGAGTCAAGCAGTCTGGTCTTTTGGATCTGTCCTCGTCTCCTTCCCTTCTCTGCTTCAGCTCCTCATTTTCGCGATTCTCCATCATGGTTTCAATCGCTTCTCTATTCCCGTCTCATCCGGTAGCTATTAGAAAGCTAAGAGATCGCGAAGAGAAACTGTCCGGATACCCGCATTGGCGACTACAAGTTCCTCATGATATTATTGACGTCTTGAAATACCCCCTCACAAACCTCACGGATACCGAGCGATGTATCGTTCACTGCGACGCCACCGCACTTGCAGATCTGATTCGCAAACGGGTGCATTCTGCGGTGGATGTGTTAACGGCTTTTGTCAAGGCAGCAGTAGTAGCACAGGATCTCACCAATTGTCTCTCAGAGATTTTCATAGAAGAAGGTTATGAACGTGCCAAGCAACTCGACAGGCATTTATTGGAGACTGGTCAAACAGTTGGGCCGTTACACGGTGTCCCTGTCTCCATCAAGGATCATATCAAAATCAAAGGAATCGATACCTCTACTGGTTATATTGGTTAGTATGCGGTTTTCAAACAGATGTTTCAGGGAGATCCAGGACTTACAGATTGACATAATTGACATAGGTTGGGCATACAAGACAGTTGCTGATAGTGATGCCGTCGTTGTGGACATTTTGCGCAAAGCCGGAGCTATTCTTTATGTCAAAACTCAAAATCCACAAACATTACTTGTGAGTCTTCTATATTTTTCAAATAACTGGAATATTACTAACCTCAGTCATCTAGTCGTTAGAAACAAATAACAGTGTATTTGGACGAACTGTGAGCCCTTTCAATCGGAATTTGACTCCTGGTGGAAGTTCTGGAGGCGAAAGTGCCCTTATTGCCTGTCATGGTAGTCCTCTTGGTGTAGGAACGGATATTGGTGGCAGCGTCAGAATCCCAGCTGCTCACTCTGGATTGTATGGTTTGAAGGGGTCTGTTGCCCGATTGCCGCATGCAGGGCTTTTAGGTACACATGACGGGATGGAGGCTATCGTAGGTGCTGTTGGGCCTCTCGCAACATCAGCAAGAGATCTCGGGTTATTCTGTCGGGTGATGCTAGACGCGCAGCCCTGGCTGGTAGAGCCTCCTTTATTAGAAATGCCCTGGAAGAGAGAGGTTGCTAAAGGAGAGGGAGTCCCAAAGAAACTATCAATCGCCATTCTATTTGACGACGGGGTGGTTGCACCGCACCCACCTATCACGCAAGCTTTAAGGAAATACAAAGATGCTCTGATAACAGCTGGCCACGACGTAATTGAATGGCAGCCACTGGACCATCAGAATGGATGGGATCTAATTGTAAGATGCATCTACGGATTGTCAGCATATATCAGCTTACAGCCTTTTTTCCAGGCCAAGTTATATTTGTTGGATGGCGGTGCAGAGTACCACGACACCATTCAAAGTGCTGGAGACACGGCAGTTCCTCTGACCAACTGGATTTTAGACCACGCACAAGGCCGCAAATCTTACACACCAGCGGACATGTTCCGCCTGAACTTGGAGCGGGACGCTTTTCGGGCCAAAGCACTGGTTCACTGGAACGAGACCCGTCATCGCACGGCTACAGGACGTCCTGTTGATGCGATCTTGTGTCCCGTTGCACCTACTCTGGCACCACCACACGATTCTACTGCATGGTGGGGATACACGTCTCACTGGAATTTACTGGACCTGCCAGGTGTTGTTTTCCCTGTCGGGAGATTCGCCGCTGCTGATGCATTTGCAGTGGAGCCTTTACCGCCAGCCCGCGGAGATGTGGAGACCTTTATTCACGGACAATGGAACCCAGCCACATACGATAACGCGCCTATAGGTTTGCAGCTAGTTGGTCGTCGGCACAACGAAGAAAAACTGTTAGCAATGCTAGATATCGTGGAAAGCAGCGTACCCGGTCATACTTCGTTGGGGAGTCTACATAATGGAAATGCGTAAGTAATATATATACCAGCGTACTTACTGTGCGAAACGAATACCTACTGCTATAGTATGGGGATAGATAGGCGCTTCAAGTGCCGTATATATCAGGCAATTACGGTAGTTCGCTAGTCTCACATTTGATCGATATCTATGATGAGCTCTTTTTCTTGTTTAAACATTGCGTTTAGCACTGCTTTCTGCTTGCTTTTATCAGAAATGTCATCGGACCTTCACGCTTCCGTCATTGCTTTGGATTACTCGGGAGGAGACCGACAAGAGAGGGTACGGCGCTCATCATGGTGTTTTGGCGCTGGTATAGTACCGCGGTCGAACTTTGCAGGTGACTCGACATGGTTCATGAGTAGAGCTCTTAGCGGTTCCGCAGGACCCTACACGATACCCATCATTCGTTGCCCGTAACACTTGCCAGTGCACATGCAGCGTAGCCCAAGTCGGTGAGTCATCACTATAGCTAGAATCGTCGTACTTGGTTGCTCAAGGAATATTCACCTGGAATGCACTTAGGAATATATAAGCGCCACTGCTTCTAGAAAATATTGGCTGTACGCAGTATTGGCTGTCGAATCATGGCTGTATGCACTGATGTGAAAGCTATTGCGAGCCTTTTCTGGAATATCTGCACTATTTTTTTTGGTTTTTCGCTGGTGAGTCTATGAAGCTATCTACACGCATGACTTCTTTTAGCCGAGTCTTTCGTCCTCATCTCCATATTGTTATTATGTCACCGAGGCACGGTATCTGGACCGTACGCTCCGCTCCGCTCCCTCTCCCTCCTCACCCTAATTTGGATCCTGCTATGACTCCAACAAATACCAGTATCCTGTGCATCAGCGGTCTGGAAGATTCAAGAGTGTCGCCGCCCAGTCATTTTGATGCTGCAAAGAATCCAGTTAGATACTGGATCTACAGCCCCGGACAAAGTATATAAGGCTCGAGGAATGATAAGGTGAAGGATATCCATCCAATCCCACATCTCATACTCCAACCTTCCAGCTCAAGATGCCGACCAACGCTTTCTATACTATCAGCGTCTACGACGGAAAGAACAGATTTCCGGACTCGGTTTGGGCCACCCTACGTGCTGATGCTGGTGCTGCAAACCTGATCCTCCCTCATGCTGAAAAGACTTTCAGGGAATTTTCGACGGGTAATCAGTTCTGGATCACTTGCACGTCGCCAAATTCTCAGGAGTTCGATTTCATTCTCGCCTGCACTGAGGGACCACTAGGTCCCTACCCCATTTTTATCTATACCCCTATCCCTTTCCGCGCGCTGAATGCAGGCGAATATAGTCGGCCTATATATCTTCTTGCTCAGACCCTCCATGGGAAGGTTCCAGTCACCAGAGTCTTTTCCATCTTTTCCGTCGAACCCGTGACCAGGATGTTTGCCGAGGCATGGACCCAACTCACTAACATCGGGTCCATCCAAGAGCCATACTACAAGGCCAAGTTAACCTACTGCACAAACGGCTCACTCATCGCGTCCCAGCCGTCCGCACACGCTGACTTGGTATTCGAATTACGACGCGCTACTCCCGACGACAAAGATGCAATCGCTAAGTTGTGCTATGACTTCGCCAAGACCTCAGTAAGCAAACTTATTCGTGATCAGTAACTATATATTCTGAGACCTCTGTGTAGGAGCCTTTCGTGCTAACCAAAGTCGAAGCCTTGCGAGAAGCAGAGCTTATGATCGCGAAGAAGCAAGTCTGGGTTCACACTATCCAACGGGTTAGCGGAAGTCAAGTCGAGATCGCCTCTATAGTTGCCACGACGCGACAAACTGATGTTGCATCCGCTATATCCAAAGTGTACACCAATGATAAGTGGAGGCGGCTTGGGTGTGCGGAGCGCCTTGTCCGACGCGTCACGAAAGAGTGAGTGCCGAGCTCTCATGCAGAAACTCTCCACTGACGCCTGGATCATATTGCCAGACTGCTCAGGGGTCCAAACGAAAAAGTCGTTCTCTATGTAGCCGACGATAACCCCGCCGCTTCCAATGTTTACGACAAAGTTGGATTTGTGGGTCTTTCCAGAGAGGGTCCCCCCGTTCAAGGTGTCGACACATGGCTAGAACTCGGATTTGATCGCTCTCAAGTCACGCTTGGTCACTGGTAAATGGTTATGGTTATATCATCTTCCATCTTTCAGCTCCCGTTCCTATATAACAAGGACTTTCAACTCTTCCCTTTCCTGATCCTCGTATACCATCTCCACTCAATCACAGTATACGTCGACCTTGATATCTAATCTGTAGCGATAACTTTTTTTGGATACCACTGAATGTATATCATAGTTAGGAATTACAATTACGATAGCTTATACCATACGTACCCACTACCTACTACATGTTCATATTGCCCAAATTAAATTCAAATAGACTGAGAGTATCGGAAGCAAGATAATTGATCTCTTTTGTGCACTTGAAAAGTTGTCCAATTACCAGTCGCATCGAGTCACAAATCAGAGTTGTTGGAAGCCTACAATCTTACAATAAGAAGCAAATATACAAGATACGTAGATCATACAGTGTTAGTCCTCTATGATACCTGTTTTTAACCACTGTTCTGCCACACGATCATCTTCCGGATAAGCAAGTTGTAGTTCAGGGGCCGGAAGCAACCTCGCCCTCCCCTTTTCATCGGCACTCAACCGCACACCTTCAAAAAACCTTTCAATCATTGGACACTTGGAAAAATATTCCATGATACTCGTGCGGTCCAAAACGTGCGGCCCTATATTTTCTTCGGCCACATCTAGTGAAACGAGGCTCAGTGAGCGCCCCCCACATCATTGTATCAAGACACTTACACCGTGTGGAGTTATCGAAGATGACTGTATAAAAAGGTTGGTGCCGTCCTCGAGGAAATGCATCAACACCCCCCTGTATAATCCAGTCCTCAGACGCCATGCAAGTCGGCTAAATGGTAAACAATTGTTTAGATTAGATTGGCAGAACCAAGGAAGTAAATGAACCTACCGCCCATCCAATTATACATCCGACATAGGCAAGTTTTATATGCTTGAACATCATTCCAACAAAGAACTTGATGTTTTTTACCTGTTGCGAACGTAGTTTAATTGAGGTCGAAGCATTCTCTTCGCTTCGAAGAAGTTCACCACAATGTGTGATCAAGAGCTGACGAGTCGCTGAGTTGAGAGAGGGTGCCAGGGAACCAACCAAGACAGCACAAATGTCAAGAGGAAAGCTGTAGTCGGTGACTTGGTGAATTATATTGCTAACCATCCCGTCATCATTCGTAAAAATGAGGTTAACAATGAATCCCGTGTAGATAGCGTTGATGAATGGAAAAGAGGGTGATGCCAGGATATTCCGTGATGCACGGAGAAGCATTGAAGCAGATGATGCAGGGGAAACATACCGCATGATTGAGGCGGTCGATTCACCTGCTGCAATGAGTCGTGATGGAATGTCTTCCTTCAAAGAAAGAAAGAACTGGGAATTATAACCATAAATGTCTAAAAATAAATCATCGAATTCGGGATTAGGTGACTTCACGATGGCAATGACTCTGGTGGGAAAATCCAGGGGGATGCACATATCCCTAGTCTCCGGGCTATGCAGACAAAACAATATACCAAAGAGAATGGAATGTTCTTGTTTGAGTTCAGGAAACGGTGAGGGAAGTGGTTGTATATGTCATGAAAAAGGCCTACACTCGGCATTAAATCAACGGAGCAGAATTTGTAGCTTTTCACTCACTGCCTGTGGGTCCAAAACCTTGAGTGCTCATAAATTCACAGATACCGAAGCAAACATTCTTGAGTGATTCAATATCATTGAATCCATCTGGGTCCAGTGGATATTGCTTTTCTGAAAGATAAGCACGGCACTGAGAACCGAGGGCATCTAAGCTGGATGATATCTTCCCTCAAGAACGTAAGTCTATAACGAGCTGTTTGGAGTGAAAAAATCACCCACCTGCGTAGGCGTGTATTCGAAAGACGTAGAGAGAGCAGCAAATGCTGTTTCAAAAGAGACCATGTCCTGCGTGATTGGAACAGGACGTAACTTAGCCCATAACTTGACCGCCGCACTTCTTCCAATGACGCCCAACAGGGTCTTGGCCCAGAAACGTCTCGGAATCGCATGAGGTGCGATATCCCGCGCGTTCTGGTGAAGTCCTTCTAGGATTTCGGCTGGAGTAAGTCTGGTTTCCAGCTCGAGTGCATTCCAGACGTCGTAGGACAACGAAATCGCCAGTTGCGCTGCTCTTCCTTGCCTACCAGTCCTTTCCATCAAAATCCCATTCAAGATATCCACAGCTTGCTGATCCAAGCGTCGTCGGTACATGTACATGAGCCTGAAGTCACCACCTGCAGCTTGTTTCCTTAACTCTTCTTCAGCCGTAACACATTCGGTATATCTAGCTTTATAGTGGGGTTCCCATACTTTGGATAAGGATGCGGCCTCTCGAAGTGTTGAGTTAGTTCGTAGACAAGCAGATAGAGTTTTCACGCTATCATCTGAGTGATCCGAGACAGGAAACTTCACGAGTATGTGCAAATAAATATCAAAAGGGAGTAGTCTGAACCCTGAAGTCATGGTGACACGAAACAGCGATAACGTTCAAATGTACACGCGTGAAGCGCCGAAGGTTATATACATGGTGAGAAAATAAGATAATCGCTATCCGCCATCGTTGGTTGGAAATGTAAAATGATGTCTGAACTACAAAGGTATAATTGGACTATCTACAGTAACTTTTATTTACATATCAGATGTAGGTTGACTTGGACTGTCTGAGCTGGAAAGCAGGAAAAATACCACAATAAAATAAAATAAAAGCACCCGAATAAGTTTGCGACAGGTCGATATATCAGCGTTGTTCGTTAGATGCTTCATCAATTCACCATCAACTCGTCCGTTGCTTGAAGGATATTTTCCCAAAAACGCTCCACACAAGCCTTCTCAAAACCATTCTCGTCGTAACCGAGACTGATGAACAGTTTCCCTGCAAATGTATACGAGAATAATAGCATGCCACCAGAACGCTGACGAGATCCAGTCGTCAAGGAATTGAACTGGATTTCCGGGTATGACGCATACTTGTAGATGCCATCCAGATTACCTAGTAAAGATAAACCCATGAGGGCTGTTGAAGGGGCGCGAACAGCTTTGACGTGAGTGGTGGAGGCAGGCGGTGGGGAGACGAAGAGGCCGCGATCCTTGTCGTCATCCTCTTTGGCCCAGATGCGAGCTCGGAGGCCCCGTTCGGAGGCCATCAGACGACTACGTGATACAATCATAGGGTTCTTGGCAGCTCGAGTGCTCTGTTCCTTCGCTATTCGCGCACGATGCCAAAATACGGTGGAAAGCTCGACGGAACGAGGAATGAAGGTAGGAAGAATGACGTTAAAATAACCCACAGCGAGGAACCAGTAGGAATCGTTAAGGGATGTCACAGTAAAGTGCGGGCGTAAATTGACAGCAGAATACATCATCCTGGATGAACAGAGAGACACTGTCAGTATGATTCTCAAGCATCTCGAGACGCGACCTTACGTGGGCAATTCTTTCTTCGCCTGGGAAAGCTGCGCCCAGGCAATATTGCAAATAGCAAAGAGGGCGGCAGAAACAGAAACTCCGTGTGCCTTACAGCGCTTGAGAATTGCCTTTGTACGGTCCACATCATATGATACGGTCTGTACTGTGGTATGCCGTGGTTGCTTAGATCGCCGAGGGAATGCTTGTCCGCCCTGTTCCTATCTTAGACTATATAAGGTAGAGGAAGATTAATGTGAGACGCACAATCAGTTCATCTTGGCTCCTTTGGAAGTCCACCTTTCCTACAGCTCGACGAAATTTGCTGGTTTCAGGAGGGAAACGATATTCCATGGATTCGGGAAGAACGGAATCCTACGAAGCGGGTAAGAATATGGACAACATCAGCATGAAAAATGCACACTTCAGCTATAGATCCTGCCCAACGCGCTTGCCACTCTTCGTTCAAAAGTGCTTCAAGGTCACCTTGGGTCTTTGAGCTACCGAGAAGACCAAATAAGTCGTTTGCAAATTGATGCAATGCCATGCCATCACCCAAAAAATGAGTGGCGCATATCATCATATCATAGTTTTTCAGTGGTGCCTCTTGCTTATCAGAAGTTGGTGAACTTGGATGAGGCGTCATTGGAGGACTGGGAAGGAATGTTGAGGCTTCTGACTGGGAAATGATGAGATATGAGGGGCGGCTATCGGATAATATGCGTGGTCCGTTAAGATAGATATCGAGGAGTTCTGGTAGAGTATTTTAGATGATTACAGCGTGAATAAAGTCACGTTCCTACCATTCCTTGTGGTATTAGATTTATATTCTAGGTCGTTGTCTGCACTTATTAAAGCATCTTCTGGAGACTGTGGTGGGGTATAGCTTGATATAGAGGTCAATAAGCAGTTTGCTGTAACACGGTCTGGTATTTCTTGCTTACATGAATCTCACATCGTTGTATTCATACATGTGCACCCTTGAGGCAAGGAGAGGATGGCGACCTCTTAGGATAGCCCATACCATACGAACGCGAGCATGGCGAAGAAGATGCTCGGGGGCACGAAAATCCAGATGAAGATACCTATGATCATGCAAATGAAACACATTAGCGGACATACTTGGATGTATGCCAACAACGGATGTTCACATGTCATTTACACCTGTAGCTCGCGAAGGAAGGTAGTAGGACAGTTCGCTCTCTCCAAGTCGTCTCTCGTATTGGACAGGTTCAGACGTTTTGCCATTTGACGTTGCTGACACTTTCCCTATGTCGACAGTATGGTTGGGTACAACATTGCTCTCCTCAGCCTCATGTACCAAGGCATCATCCGATGACACGGGAGAGGGAGGGAACTGAGCAGCTGCCATGAAAAGAAATATAGCCCAACAGACGCGAAAGCAGTAGCAGAAAAGATGGATGGCGCTGAACCAGCATCTTATTGAGAAAATTGATTTTGTAAGAGAACCGAATGGTAGCGATGTGTTAGTAAATGAGTAAAGGGCGACCCGGTTCGCGTGGCTCAATTCTGAATAGTGAAACGAGCTCGACAGATCTGATCTTGGCCATAGAGATTGCGAAGCCTGTCTCATAAAGGCGCATTGCAAGGCCCCGGGTACGATAGGACACGTTGGGCAGATGTAAAGGGGTGCTAATGCCCGTTGAGCCCAGAACCTAGCCTGTGATCGTGATCACGATCCCCCAGGTCAGCTACAAGCAATTTACAGTAGAGATTAATAGCTTGTTGGGCTCACTGTAGCAACTTGCGCTCAACAGTTTGAATATTGTATCTCTGTAGTGTATGTTGATCGGTGTACGTGTATTGTGGAGTAAAGTAACCCTAGCTGAACCAGTTTGCCGCTGTCCGTTTCCATTGTAACAACGCAAGACTTGAACAAAAAAAATATGAGAGCTCCAACGCCATCACATTATTACCTGGCGACCGGTTGCATTTGTTGGAGCTCGTCTGTGCATATACGTTTGGATGCCAACATTTTGTGGAGTATTGTGCATGGCGGTCACGCTTGTGGGAACATTTGACGGGGGATTCCAATCAACCCACGCCATCTTCTTCCCACTATCACTCTCAGCACGGGCGGCCCATCAAAGAAGAAAAGCAAAATTGATAAAGTCGTTATCAACAAACCCATCTAACGCTTCAGAGACGGGAACCTTACTGAACCTTGAAGGGGAAAATGCTAGTGGGCGGAAACACGGTAATCTAGAGCAGTGCAAGGAACGCTTGCCGCAATGGAGCAATAAATCCAAGATTAGGTCTCGAGGCGCCCGATTTTGGTCCTAAATGGTACACTATGTCCTATCTTCAAATGCAGAGCGGCCCATAGAGAAAAGTCTGTCCTGTTCTGAAGCTGGATCACAGGGGCAACAGGGTCAAAATGTTCTTCCTCCGTCCTTCACGGTCGCAAAATGTCAATGTAGTTGCACTGTCATAGTGTCAGTGGTACTTGCCGGTACCGTTATCGCCAACCTATCAACTTGTTCAAACTCATCTCTTCATTTGGCTTGTACTGGGCTACCTACTACACAAATAACACGTTGGATCGATCCAGCCTGCACAGGCTGGTCAGAATTGGCATTGACAGGTGTGAGCATCTTCGCCCCCGTCCCCCTCGCCTGCGCCTGTCAAACTCAGCATATTCCCAACTTCGTCGATTCAGTAACTGACCTATCAGCAATTATAGGAGTTACAAGTATGATTCGCTTCGCTTCCAGTCATCCTAACCTACTGCAGTATTACTCTCGATATCCATTACAATTTCTATCCTCGATTACAAACAAGATTCCGTGATTTATCCATGACCCGACAACCTCGTCATCGAAATCTTGATTAAATACCCATTATATGCTGCAGTTCTAAATTTGGACGAACATGAGGCAGACGCCTGCCGAACACTATCGAGTCCATTTACTCCTTAAGTTCTTTCTCAGCCTCGAAAGCAACTTCCATGTCCCTGTCAGAATCTTCTGGCCGATTGCCATTTCCAACGGCTTCCAGATCTATATCCCGTCGGGGAGGGGGCGCCGTTTCAACGGACTTGACCCAGGTGTAATACCTAAGAAACCGATCAAGCATGCACGATGAACATGGTCGATGATGATCAATCAGTTCCTAGAGTTTGCCCAAGATGAAAGCTTCACGTACATCGCTCCTAAAAGAATCGTCCCAATGGATGATGCTCGGTTTCTGAGAGGCAATACAGTACGTCAACACGTTCTCTTCGTCAGGCAACGGAAACAGATGGCCGAACGATTGTACATACACAGTCATTATATCTTTGAAAATCCACATGCCAAGCAGGGTCTGAAGTACAGATCGAGCAGCCTGCGGGGATAAGGGCAGATGAAGTTAGCTGAAATGTGGAATGATATCTCGTTAACGCTGTAAGTGAACTTATCATGACTGACACTGGAGAACATGTGTGTGATGGGACTCGTAATCTTGATGCTCAGCAGGCCCGCAATGCAGAGAAGGAAACCGAATACCCCTGTAACGAAGCTTCCCCAGATGAACACATGCCCATCCCAAGTGGAGTCATGAATGAGATCTTCAAGTTTATGTGGCTCTCCGGTCAAGAAGACAAAGGGGAAGAGAAAAATAGCAGACCCTGCGTTGGTCCAATATGCAAGCTGTATGGTGGAATTAGCACAGTAAGGTAGCGACATTTTGATGAGCACAGCGTGGAACGCGATGAATAGTGATGAGAAAAACCCGTAGAAGAGCGATAGGTTTGAGGGCGCGGCGCCCGCTGGGATTCCGGAAGATGGAGACACACCCAGCAAAAAACCACAAGTGACAATTACAGTAGCAAAAATGACCCGGATGGAAGGCTTGGAGCGTGTATGGAGGGAAGATACCAGAATTGTGAGAGGTAAGACAAGTCCTCTTGCGATCTCGTTATCATACAAAGTATTAATCTATGAAAATCTTATTAGATTAGATAACACCATACCTGGAAGAATGAAGCGTCGACATCACGAAGGCAAAGCGTATTGAATACGAGACCAACGATATTAACGAGGACAACGGGGGCGAGTTTCTTGGCGGCCTCCAGATCCCATTCTGGTATTTCGACCCGGTCGGTCACAAGTGCAGCTATGTGCAAAAGAAATACGGCAATGATCAGTTGAAGGAAAAGGAAAAGTAAAGGTAAGTCGGGGGATCCAATGAGAACCGCCTTGTTTCTGCGTAAGATTTTTGTGCTCGTTTTTAACGGGTGCAAGGGAATATTTAGCTGACTTACACGAAAACCATCTAGAAACGCACATTGAGATCAAGAGTCACTGTGATGTCAAAACAGGATCGTGCTCACCACTAACGCAGCGGACATGTAGAAGACGACCACGGCTGCCACCTTGAAAGTGTGTGCATCGTATTTGCTAGCACCCATGATGGACTCGGTCACTTTGGGGAAGAGATTTTATGAGGGTGACTTGAACGGCTGCGAAACAACCAGGTTAAGAGCTCTCGGGAAACGAACGTTGAGGCAGCCTGGCCAGAAGTCAGCTGAGATGGGTCTAGGTTTTTAATAAAGGCGATGATAACGGACATACGTATGGAGAGCAGAACAGGGAGCACAGGGGTTGCGGTATGCATCGAGGCTAAAACGAAAGCGAGCTGGGTCGGTTTCACCTCGACCTGGTATGGCTCCAGATTAGGCAATCAAGACTATCAAGGCAACGAGATCTTTCGAGATTTCCACATTCGGGTTCGGAGTGGCGTCGCCTAATCACAGCCGGCATTACACTGCACATGTCGATGGAAATCCCGAGAAATTATTCAGATGGATTACCCCCCGAGTCGTGTGTAACATTATATGTCGTGTAACACCTGGGTAACGCTAACAGTAACGCCTTTTCCGTTTTCACAGTCCAACCATCCTTTCGCTTTCGTTCACTTCTTCTCGGCCAGCACCCGAGTACGGCCTATGCAACCCTCGTTTACTTAGCATATAGCTCGATCCCAAGGAACTCAGACAGACAATGGATTCGAGGCGGGACAACTCGTCATCGGACGAACTCTTACCCCCGAGTGTGAGATATTTCGACAAGGAGCCAGACAGACCTTTTTCTCCTATCTTCAGGCGACTTCACTCAGCACCATCAGCAGGCCGTCGATGGGTTCTTGGTGTCTGCGCTTTCTTGTCAGTTATCTCATTGGCAACCCTCGGTCTACTCGCATTATACACAGCAAAATCAGACCAGGTCACAGATATCCATGATGAAGTAGACATTCTCGATCCGCATCAATATGTCATTGGACATCCTACAGAGAACTTTCGAGGTGTGTACCGATGTCTTCTCCAGTGGAAATCGTACAGTCATGAACAGCCATTTATTTCAGATAACCTGCGAAATGATACCAAGTACATCACTTCGTGGATATCTGCTGGTTGGAGTAAGTCACAAACTACCTTTGAGGTCTGATGGGGTAGACTGATCTCACCTAAATGATTTCTTCAGCAAACGACGTTATGACCTATGTTCGTTTCTCGCAGACTTAAATGGCAATCTGACTGACGTTTGTCTTTTCTTAGGGAAATTTACTATACCTGGCATTGCTGACAGATCGCGTTCCTATAATCCCAAAGTTCATTCCATCACATATTGGTAGTCAAGTCGCTCCAATCTCTTTTGGAGAAATATTCGATGTTCCACGCCTGAGTAAAGCCCTAGGGAAACCCATACTGGAATGGCACCAGGTTAAAGATGTTGACAGTAAAAGTTTAGACGATCTAGGCTGTTGGAGTATATGGGAAGCAGTTCAGTTCACTGAACATAGTCCTCGATTTAGCTTTCTCTCTCAATGGTTGAAGTTAGGTACGAGGTCTGGCTCACAGCAGTTATTCCTTATTTATCTCCTCGCAGATATATCATATACGCCTACACCTGACTGGGTAAAGCTAACGCCTCCGGATGTCGGAGACAAGCATAGCTCGTTTTGGTCTCTCGCTTCTCTTGCATTTCCAGAAGCTCGTGAAAGCAACCTTCGAGACCCGTATCCGTCGCCAGAACATCAGCTTTCACTTCCTCCTGATGAGCAGCTCCTCTGTTATGATTACTTGTATTATGTCGGGGCCCATAAGGTATGTAACACTTTCTCAACCTTGTATGGTATGGTAGGAAATTAACCGGTGTCATTTAGCCTTTTGAATATGACCTTGATTATAGCCCAGCTTGGAGATTCGTTGGTCAGCACATGAGATGGTCGTCTCGCTTAACAGACATAACGGACACATACGTAAGGCGAGCATTGAATATTACTGATAATGAAGATACGCCTCCTGTAAGTGTATGTCTTTATGGTGTCTTTTGAAGGTCTGATAGCCTTGGCAGTTTATCTCTATCCATATGCGCCACGGTGACTTTAAAACATATTGCAACGATATTCCATTGGACCAATGCTATGCGTCCTTACCTGTGATTGCACGACGGGTCACCGAAATCCAACAGGAACTATTAGAACGCAAAGGCCTAGACGTCAAGCATATTATCATGACAAGTGACGAGAAAGATCCAGGCTGGTGGAGTGATGTTGCTTCTCTGGGTTGGACATGGATTGATTATGCTGCGGAGAATACGGAAGAATTATATGGCAAATGGTAAGCTCATGATAACGATCACATGTTGGCACGGTGATACTGAAGTAATCAACTGCAGGTATCCGGTTCTTATAGATGCCGTGATTCAGTCGTCTGGCGCTGGCTTCATAGGTACAGACCAGTCAACGATGTCTATTTTAGCTCGAAGAAGAGTGGAGTCATGGCAGGACGGCGCCACGCGGATTGTAAAATGGGGGCACCCAGGCGCTGACGATCATTAGAAATATTATGCTCAAGTTTGCAGATTGCATTGGCGGTGTGTAGTAACAGGTTGGCACTAGGGCATGGGTTTTAGGCATGTACATAATTTATTAACCACTTTCTTTGACATACCTTTGCGGAAAAGCTTCTTACAAAGAGTGTGTGGGAAGTTCGTATGTTGCTTATGTTCACAGCTGCTACAGCATTTGGTCTATAGGGATTGCCCCTCGCATCTTGACCAGATTAAGCAGGACAGTAGTTGTTGGCATAGGGACGTTGTATTGGGTTCCGAGGCCTAACAAGTACCCGTTCATGAACTCTACCTCTGTTTGCCTACCCTTCCGAACATCGGACAACATAGACGATATGTTCCCTCCTGTGACTTGCGCAACGCGAAGAACTTCTTCCATCAGTCGCTTCCTCCCCAAAGCAGGAGGAAAGCGACCTAAAGGTACCTGGCTTTTGTCAACCTCTACTCCGAGCGTATCTAGCCACGTCTGCGTGTCAGCTTTATATTGAGCCTCGAAAGCAGCTGCAGCCTCCACGCATACGTGATGCAGGATTCGAGTTGATGCGTCATCTTTGAATAGCTCGCCGTTTCTACATCCCATGATGGCTGTGAGCGGATTGATAACAGAGTTGACCACGACTTTCCGCCGCATGGATACTTGCACGTCTGATATTGGTTTCCACTTCACGTTGAGGGCATCCAGCGATCTAAGAACTGCGACAGTGTGTCGTAGTGAACGGTAGCGCTCGTACGACGGATCATTTGGATGTGTGATGTCATCCAGCTGTAGTTCGCGGTTTTCTCTTGGGACACTCTCATTCGACAAAGTGGCCTCGTAATCACGATTTCGAACGTCAGGTGCGATCCCAAAATCGATTTCTCCGACACCAGCATGTACGACGTTGTAAAACCCCTTGAGCCAGGCCCCATGAGTGTTGGATCCCAATATAAAGTGTGGTCTTTCGTCTGGATTGCGAAACACCTTTTGAATAAGGTCCTCGTAGACTCCCATGCCGTTTTGCAAGAGCACGATGGTGCTACTTCCTGATAGTCGAGGAAGGAGGCGCTGGATAGCCACTGATGTAGCATGCGCTTTGGTCGTGATGAACAATGCCTCAATGGGCTCTCCTCTCTTTTGCTCCTGCGTTGGTGTCTCGTCGTCGGATGAAACTTCGCCTGTGACGGGTAGCATTACCATCCCGAGATTGCTCCTTGGTTCGAACACTTCGGCCTCGAAACCCTTTTGAGATCTGAGAACACCTTTGTGCTCGACAGAAATGGCACCTCCTTCCGCTCTGGCCACTTTTACCTGCTTCTTCGACTTGTGGATGAGTGTGATGGCATGGTTGCGTGGCAGAACAGCGCGTAGGTTGTAGGCAAGTAGAGAGCCTATTGGTCCGAGTCCTAGAATGTAAAAACGCATATCGATGGTTTCAGTATGCTCAGGTCCCGATAAACAGCTCTTGAACAGATACGATCATGAAAAAAGGAAATTCGCAATATAAGGCCGGACGTACTTGGACGTGAGAGCTTTCGTCGCTATGTTTCTCCAGCTTTCCTAACCAACGTCTAAAGGGAAAAAAGTTATATTCTGCCCTCCGTTAAGTATCCCTGGTATTCGTCCTCCACCTGTAATGCTTCCAGTGCTGAACGCCTTTTGGTTAGGCGCCTAAAGAACAAACGTGAATGTTGGCGCAAGAAGGATAAACATCGGATATTATGTCTCTCTCTCTCACGGTTCCATAACAGGCAGTCAGTAATGATCCAAAGGCTCACCGATTCCGTCTTGTTTTTCCCGAACAGATGCGATCAGATTGAAGCTATAGCACGATAATCTATATCTGGGATATCAAAGTCACGAGAGACATTCTGACAAAGCCTACAATCCCACAGTGAGCAGGGTTTTTCGGACCGTCTCATCAGGATTGCATGACTGAAAAATAGAAAAGGAGCTCTTGGATCCGTCGAACTCTCCCAGCTTCGCCTTCGTGGTAACTAGCCTCTTATCCCACATATTCACTTGGAACTCTCTCAGCAATGGCCACCGTCGTATTGAAAAGAACTGGTCAAAAGGTTATTCCCCCCTCCCTCTTGTTTTGGATTTGGTTGGCTGATCTTAACCTGTCGATCTTAGATGCCACTGGTTGGGTATGTGCCTTTGTTTAACATGTCAGAGATTGACTCATGATACCGCCGTGCAATAGCTTTGGACTCTGGAAGGCAAGCTTTTCCCCCTCGTCAGTATGTTGATGATATCAGCGCTGACGCCCATATCGCCCACAGGTGACCAAGGCGACCTGTGCAGATGTAAGTTCCGAGATGATTACAAGCTGTCGTCAGATTCTGATGCAGCCAAATGGAACAGACTGTCTACAATGCCATCAAGGCAGGTTATCGTCTTTTCGACGGTGCAGGTGATTACGGAAATGAGAAGGAGGCTGGCGAAGGTGTTCGTCGTGCTTTGCAGGATGGTCTCGTAAAACGAGAGGATTTATGTGAGTAGCAACGGAAGTCTCACGACGTTGACTCATTATTGAAGAATTTGACCGTGTCACTTTAGTTATCACTTCAAAGGCAAGTTTGACGCTGGTGACATCATCCTGTCAAGTTATTCTTATCGTGTTTACTAGCTTTGGAACACCTTCCATGCGCATGACCATGTAAGTTTGCCTATCCATAGTTCAATTAATATTGTCTTACATGCGTTTACGTGATAGGTCAAAAGTCTCGCAAAGATGCAGCTCGGTCTATGGGGCATTGATTACTTTGACCTCTTCCTGGTTCATTTCCCTATCTCCTTGAAATACGTTGATCCTTCTCACCGCTACCCACCCGAGTGGTTCGGTGACGACGGAAAGGTATACCTCCGTAAGTATTATGCATACATCTAGCGATCATGGCGTATTTATTCAAACTATTCAGAAAATACTCCCATGCAAGAGACATGGGGCGCAATGGAGGAGCTCGTTGACGAAGGTGTGGCTAAGAACATTGGTCTTAGGTTCGTTCAAAGACGTGACAGAACATCGATATATGCTAACGGACCTTAAGCAATTGTCAAGGATCTCTTATCCTTGACGTCCTTCGTTATGCGAAGTACGAGCCGCAGGTGCTCCAGGTTGAACTGCACCCATACTTGACCCAAGATGCCCTGGTGGATCTGTCGAAGACCCTGGGCATTGCTGTTACGGCTTATTCATCGTTCGGGCCTCAAAGTTACGTTGAGTTGGGTATCGACAAGGGCATCCCAAGTCTTCTCCAACACAACTCCGTTGAAGCACTTGCAACCAAATATAAAAAATGTGAAGTTGTATCACGTAGTCGTTCTACGTTCTCTGATTGATTGTTTGCGTAGCGACTGCGCAGGTCCTGCTTCGGTGGGCCACTCAACGTGGTATTGCTGTCATTCCAAAAAGTAACAACCTGGACCGATTGGTGGCCAACCTGCAATGCAACTCCTTTGATCTTACCGATCAGGAGCTTAGGGCGATCAGCTCTTTGAACGTGAATCTGAGGGTACGCGCGTTCCTTTGTGCCGTGTGTCTGGATTGCGATATTGATGCTACGCATTTCCACAGTTGAATGACCCTGCTGCGATCGACCCTCGCATTTCCATCTTTGCTTGATGTGTGAGTGAACATGTACGAGTGGGTGATGACGCGAATGAATTGTAAATGTATTTCCTCTTGCAACTGGCGACGAGTGTTTTTTGCCATGCCAATACAACGATCCTGTTACACCAATGCAACCGTCGTTGTAGTAGAACAAAACTATGACTCGGATTCCTTGTGATTTTCTGCGCCGCAGGGGACCTGATTGCGTAAGCGAGAAAGTTTGCACAGCAAGGGCTTCCGAATTCCGCTTCGATAACAGTAGCAGCGGGCGCAGTAATTGTCGGAGTTTAAAAGCGAGGGGTATGAACGAAGAGATTGGAATTGACCTGCTCTAATCTTGACCACCAACCACGATGACCACCAATTTCAAGCTCTCCAGGCCAAGTGGTCTGACGCGTCGTGTATCTTTTCCTATGAAACCAAACTGGCAAAATCTCTCTTCGAAAATCAGCTCTCTTTATTCATTCGCAGTCGACAATGTTGGTGTATCTTACGTCGATAATGATGGGGACGAAGTTACACTCAGTTCCGAAGAGGAACTGCAGGACTTTTACAGATCTTCCCATCAGCACCGTGAGCTGATCAAGTTCACCGTCCAGGACCTCAGCACCTTGAGATCGTCCCACGAAGTCTCCCCCAGCGCCCGCTCCGCCACACCGCAGCAGTCGAACTTCCGCAACACTTTCGGAGGCCACGAAGCGTTGCCTATGGTATTTGAGGTAGAGGACGAGTGGCAGCGTCTTCATGGTGACTTTGGACGCATATTCATGCCTAGGCCTGGCTCTGAGAGCCCTCATGCATTCGTAGAGGTCCTTGAAAGTGACATCAGTGCTTCGAAGGGCTCCAACCAGGACGACGACTCTGTGGCAGACCGTTCCTTGATGTCTGACCTCATATTCAGTACTCCTCGTGAGGATAAAGGGAAAGGGAAAGCTCATTCTTTCATGCAGCCTAGCGTCTCAGACGACGTCTCGTCCACAGGCTCTGTCATTGCTGACGATCTTCCTTCCAAACCACCCGTTCATGTCTTCGATATGAATGATGACGGAATATTCGGGAATACGAAGTCATCCACTCCTCCCAGTGGGGCCGTTACTCCTGCCCAAGCAGAGAGTACACCTGTTATCTCTTCCCAGATTCCTCTGTCTCCCCATGAAAAAGATTCGAATAGTGAGAAACTTGAGGCTGAATCATCGGATTCTGCCCCCGATCCTCCCCTTCCGGATTTACCTCCTGCAGCCAGCAATGTTTCTCTATCCAACGATATTGCCACAGTGTTAAACACCATCTCTGCTGTTGTTGCATCGCACCCAGAGTTATCAGAGGGTATTCGTAACGTTGTCAACAATGCTACCAATGGGACGTACTGGTCTGCGCACCGTGAGGCCCTTTCTCGGGCGGCTGGGGATTTTCAGCGTACCGCTGCGGTAGAGACCGGTAGAGCCTTCGAAGATATACGCAACTCCAACGAACAGGAGGCCGGTGCCCGGGTTGCCGAGGCTATTGGTCGAGTGATGCGTGCATTCGGCGAGACCTTCGCAAATACAGGCAGTGGTAGTAACCCTCCTGAACAGCCTCGAAGCGCTGCGACCCCCACTGCTCAATCCACTCGGCCAAATGGTGATCGTACGCAGCCGGGTGGCTATGCTCCGCCGCCTGTCAACCCGTGGGCGACGTGGTCGACAGTGCCGCCCCCTCCCCCGTTTGCATGCGCTTTCCCTGGAGGGCCTCGTCACCGAGCGTCATGGGCAGGAGGACGCCCGATGCCTCCGCCGCCCCACGTGCCTCACAGCCCATGGCCGGGACCACCGCCACCTCCTCCTCCACCCAGAGGCGGATGGGGTGCGCCCCTCATACCCTGGAGCGGTCCTATACACCGTCAGTTCCCTGGACAAGCTAATCCTTTCCGAGACATTCATGCAGTTCCCGACGTTCGCCCTGAAGTTCCGTCAGTTCCCAACGGGCGCCCCACTCCTTCCAACGATACTTTATGGGCCGGGTTCAATGGGAGTTCAAACCGTGGCAATGTTGACCATTCACGATGTGCACCGACTTCTGACGAGCTCAAGGCTGAGGTTGAGAGAGCTAAAGCAGATTATAAAGCGCGGAAGGAAGCCTATCGTCGAATGAAAGAGGACATGAGAAAGGACCAACAGCGTAAACGAAACGTATCTCAGGAGAGGTGAATATTATTCTTCTTATATGTTTTATACAATATCTGACCAGAAGACATCCAAGTGAGCCGAGGCTATCGGAAATCGCGGAAAAACATCTGAGTACAGATACTCAAGCTTCTACCATCCGGGTAGCTGGAGAGTCCTTAACTGCTACGACTGAACGCGCGTCCTCCTCTGCTCACCAGCCTGTTCCTGTACCTCCGCCTGGTGGTCCAGTCACTCACATAGTCAGCAATGCCAGAGGCCAGTATCCTCAGCTTGAGATGTTCAGTGTGCCCCGCCACAACCATCATCGTAGTCACACAGTAGGACATGCAGGTCATATCCGAGAATCCGAGTCCGACGAAGCCCGCGCTATTCGTCGTATCACCAGGAAGTTGGCAGATGTATGTACTCCATCGGTTTGAAGCATGCTTAATTGACACTAACCATACAAATGCAGATGGGCTTCACGGAAAGTACTCATCCTGATCTCCCTGCCAAGGTTAAGACGCATGTACCCACAAGTGGCAAGTACAATAGGGAGATTGAAGACGACATTGTCACCACTCTACTCGAACATTTCCTCGTGACGGCACCGGCTGCTTCAGGTGATGGTCCTAGCAGCGGGATTCCAGGTGCTTGGCACTAAGTGATTTTCATCAACAAACATATTATCTTCTCAATTGCTATTTTCGGCTTATGTTCTCTGTTCTTTGCCTATGCTGTAGGATTATGTATGATAGTGTTTAGAACTTTGGTTATTCGTATCAGTTTCTATATTGTGTAGTGCTTCGACTGTTTGACTGTAACACTCTTCACTCCTTAAAAAAGATAATCTCCAATACTTGAATCGACCGAGTTTTCGGATGCAGGGCGGCAGTTATTTTTGGTTCTCGGATCTCAGCACAAAAGAAAACGTGATGAACTGACGGTAGTTGTCGTGGTAATTTTTAGTTAGCAGTCAGTCAGAACCATTCAGTGGGTTGTTATAAGGCGAACTTTAGCCTAGATCCTGTGTAGTGATGAGGCTGACATGACTTTTATTTCTCTAATGGATAAATGAACAAAAAGGCAAGGTAGAATTTGTGCCTATACAACCTATGACAGAGTTTGTTGTTGCGTTTGTAAAGAATGGGAGAGGGAAAGCTGCCACCATTCTCCTGCGGCAAGTAACCACGACATACAGCGAGTGGCATGTTTGTGAAGCCTTGTTTCAACCGCATAATGAAGTCAACGGTATCGAACAGGACTTAACTCCGCAGTGAATAGGTCCTTTAGCACGTCACCGATCGCCATTCCGTTAGCGAGAGAGTTGCCTAGACTAACCAGCAAGTGAAACCGCTTGATCAAGACAGAGATTAAAACCAGGTGCGAAAGCGATGTTTCAAAAAGAAAGAAAGAAAAGAAAAAGGCCTCGTGTTCGTGCAATCATCCGAGTCGAGTCGCTAAGCCTTGATTAGGCTTTCCAAGGGGTCTTCTAGAGACCAAGGAGAACACTGGTCCACCCATGTGATCGTGCAAAAAGCCGGGGGGAAAGAGTCCAGGGGCGGGAGGCCGGTCAACCCTAGCCAGAGTGGGATATTAGGGTTGCCCTTTTTTTCTCATATGCCATACGAGCTGTGGCCTCGTGCCAGACCAACTGAGCACTCCCTGTGCCCAGCGTGAAATTTGTGAACATCGTGTTGAAGCAAATCTCCGAGTGTGTTAAGCTAAGGGGATGGAGATGTCCGAAGAGAGCCGTTCCGAGACATTATCCAAGACCCGAGGAAGACTGTGGAAAGAAGTGGCGGGATGTATCAGTATGAAACCATGGGCTCGACTGATTTCAATCTGCAATATTTTCCACGACGCCCAAGCTTTAATGAGCCTGATATCGCAAGAGACACAAAGCGGATGGAATTCGCTGAGAATTTTTAGAGGCAGTGATTGAGAAAAAGCGGATGACGCTTTTGGGTTGATGGGCCAGCGACTCGAATATCAAATCCAGGCGAGCGGAAGCAAATTTGCCGCGCGAGACGGAATCAAAATGTTCCTTTGACTTTGTTTGAACCGCCAAAACGACCCGCGACCCATATCATAAAGAAAGGTGAAGGTAGATTGTCCCCCCCCCCTCTGTGCTTGATCCATCCCTGGTCTAACGATCCCTTCCTATCACGACTAGAGAGGCCCTCGTGAACGGGAAAACATAGGTGTACGCGGCGTGGGCCGCTCGATTGGAATTTGCCAAATAAAGGTTTTCGAAGCCTGCCGCTGCTGCTTTGTCCTGCTCGTCACTTTCCGTGGCGAATTCCGCTGTAACATTTTGGTTAGCCCCTTGAGAAAATGATGGGATTTGTTGCTGCTCGTATCTGGCCTGACACGTATAAAAAAGGCTCGTCGGACCTCTCCGCTGTCGTGGAACGCACGACGACGGATACTAGGCGTGGTTGGTCCCCCTCATTCTTGCTTTTTGCGGAGGAAAGTGCAAGAAGGATCTGTAAGCCATATGTTCTTATGCAGCGCTTAATGGAATTGACCCACGTATATAATGTGCAGGAAAGGACGGTAATTCTGCGAGCATCTGACCGGGAATGAGCAAGCGAGACCTGTGCTGCAGCTGTGGTTCAAACGCTGGGCATTGTGGCCGAACGGGTGAGCGATGGTTGGCCTTATTCTCTGCATGGATACGTTTATAAGAACAGAGCTTAAAGACGGTGTTAGTGGATCTTCATCGACAAATAAGGGGTTTGCTGCGCCCACAAGGACAAACAAGACTCTTTGGTACCGTTATATCTTTTACTTGACCACATATCGATTGCCAATGATCTCCAAAAAAAAAGGTGCCACTCTGTCCGCTATAAAGTCCCACCGACATCCTTTTCTCTCCGTCCTCCATCCTTGTTCCATCGGCCTCTCCTCCCGCTCCTTCGCCTCCCCGCACCCACCCTTACGTATCTTGTGGGCGGTCCTCTTACATCAGTCCTTCCAGAACGGTATATACCACAGCTTTGTACTCATTTAGACGCTGCTCACGCTTCCCCAGCTGCATTCTTTACCTCACACGCATGTCGGATCCTCAGCCTCCTTCCCAACAACTCCAACAGCTAGAATACCCTCCAGCTATACACCCAGTCGCCGGGGCTCTTGCCGCGCGCCAAGAAGTCAGGCTTAAGCAATTCCTTTCTAGCCTGTCTGAGCCTCAACCACACGATCCCGACAGGTCGCAGCATGTTCGCTACGTTACCTCGTGTTATCACTCTCGAATATATGAAGTCGAAGGATACAAGAATCGCGTCTCCCCTGAAGCCCGTATTAAACTAGAGTCTATCCTCTCCGAGCTTCGCTTCGACAGAAACCTCATATACTGGCGCTTATTTCGCATCAACGACCTGCCCCCCGAAATTCTTATCACCATCCTTCGGTATGTGGCCTGGTCGACGCCTATCCAAAAACAGGGTGTGAAGTACCGACTGTGGCTCACGTGGGTCTGCCGGCGCTGGCGCTCACTCATGCTTGGTGATTCCACCTTGTGGAGCGCAATTTGGTTCGCGGATCCCCCTCCGTATGCGCGATCTATGGCTTGGTTTGAGAGGGCTGGGACTGCGCCGTTGGATTTGCGCATCAACGAGCGGGACGAGAGGTGGAGTAGTAACGAGGACGATCATCGTTTCACGGGAGAGCAAATGTCTGATTTACTTGACATGTTGTTTGTCAAATTGTCACAGATTCGCATGTTGATCGTCATAGTCGATAACTGGCCACCCGCGCTAGTTGTACTGCACAAACTCCAGGAGGCTGGAAGGGCTGGCCTAGAGATCAATATTACTCGTTTCGAGATTCACAGGGCCGGGCGCCCTTACGTTTGGATCGGGCCTGGTTATCAACCCGATACCCATCGCAACCCAAGCGTTCTCTTTGGTGGTCAAACACGAATGCTAGATTTTCTCTGCCTAAACGGCATTAACATCGACTGGAACCAGACGCCACTAACGAACCTCACCACAATCGACCTACGTAGGTTGGCGCTAGATGTGTCTCCTTCGCTGGCTAAATTCACCCAGCTGCTGCGCGACTGTCCCCGTTTGCACAAACTTTCACTGGATGGTGCAGGGCCCGCACCGGATGCGAGGCCACTTGTCCACAAGCCAGTTAACCTGCTCCACCTTAAAATCCTCGTACTAGGCGACTTTAGCCTCGTATACTTGCGATACCTACTCGCCCAATTCACTGCACCAAACGTTCTCGATTTGACTCTAATGAACATGAACGGAGAAGATTATTCGCCTCTTCTCGCGATAATAACACCGATGTTCAGAGAAGTGCGATTACTGACACTATACGCCATCGAAGTGGGAACCATTCCGCAGTCGAAAAGATTGCTGGTCAAGTGGTTTGACTCTATGAATCGTTTGGGTCTTATGAAACTTGCTCAGATCAAACGTCATATTCTTGAAGCGTTGCTCGAGGATCCACAACAGTACGACGAGCACCTACCGGGGACCACAGACAGCCCGCGTCGTGTTTTATGCCCTAATTTTACAGCACTGGAGTACCAAGTAGTACAGGCGGACGCCGTTGTCGCTCTAGGTCAAGGTCGGAAGGAACTTGGTGTTCCGCTGAAGAGGATATATGTGAATGAGGTATGGGTGCCCAAAGTGAGAGGTGAAGAGCAGACAGCGCTGCGTACAGTCGCGGATCTGTTCATTGCGCCATTGGGTGCGAACACAGTGGAGGAACTTGAGCTGATGGAATAAAAGGACGACGTATCGGTTTACCATAATCTGGCACAAATGATTTAGGGTTGGTGATAAGTTATAAGGGAATATTTACCCCATGTAGAGCACATTGTAATAATGCTATCTTGTATACCTTTTACCTTGCAAACCTCTGTGAATGCTGGTCAGTTTGGCGTATAGATAATATCCTCGACAGGGGTAATCACATGATTTAGCTTTGTGGGTCACGTGATATCGCGAGGGCGTTATTTGTGTTTTGTTTGTATACGCGTCGCGTGCGCGCGTTTGGGTTGATTCGGATTCAATAGCAAGAAAACAACTTGAGATGCTTTCGTTCCTTCAACGCAATCTCTGTTGCCGCCAAATGTGCTAAGTACATATTCCCAGTCGTGTCTTCACTTATCATTATCTTTATATATCATGTCGTCTCTCCAACGTTGCTCTTCCTCGTCCTCCTCGTCCTCAAACGCGTCGTCAACGTCTTCCTTGGTAAATATTTCAAGTTCAACGTCTGCAACTTCAAGAGAGACGACCGTAGCCTATGTACCTTATATCAGAAAACGCGTTGCTCCTATGCAACTGCAAGTTCTCCAGAGGATGTTTGACGTGAAATCACATCCTACAAGAGAAGAACGGCTTATTCTAGCCAACGAGATCGGAATGTACGTCGCGTTGGTCCACGACACGCTCCCATCCCTATACTAAATCCGTGTCACACTATCCAGGGAGCTTAAAGCTGTGACGAATTGGTTTCAGAACAAGCGCCAGACGGCGAAGAGAAAGGCTCTCGTATGGAACGGCCGTCGCGTGAATTTCACAGATAAACGGTCCAATTCTTTGAACCTTGACTTTGCACGACGTCCTTTCCTTAGTGACCCGTCAAATCCACGTCCTGTTCGGCCTACGATTTCTCTGGACCATATAGCCGAACTTTGCGAACGGCCATCTGTACCATTATGCAGCACCCCTTCTAAAGTTACTCGACCACCACTCACTCCTCGAAGCAGGAGAGCGCACCGAAATTTCACTACCCCCCCAAGTGGAAGAGGAATTTGGAATCACATGCCGTCATCGCCTATTGCTCCGCAATCATCACCCAGCATAGAGGAAGCACGATTAGCCGTGTTGCCCTCACGTTCAAAAACCTTCAGGTCGCTAGAGTGGGCATGCCTCAAAGCCAGGAGGCTCAAACAGATAGATGACGACGAAAATGATGAACTTCCTCAGCTTTCTCTATCCAACACCAGCACGGATAATGGCGAGGAGACGGATACGGATGTGGAGGAGCTTGTGACGCCGATAGCAAAAAATATACCTTTGCCGCCGTGCAACAAATTAAAACATGGGAAACGGACTTTGTCGTCGAAGGATAAAGAGAACCGTCCTGTTACTGTCGTTGGTGGGAGCCGCCAATCAGAAGATGTGGAGGCTGCTATGCTACTTCTTGGGTTTATGGGAAGACGGTGACAGCTAGAGTCTGAGGGGACTGTACATGGCCACGGAAATCGACTATACCTGAAGCTTGTAATCTAAAGCCACTTTTTATTCTTATTATTGACCATGTACATGATGTGTTATTTTGTAGGAGGGATGTATTCTTGTAGATGGGGCGGCACGATGATTTTTTTTGGTAGACTTCTTGTAGGACTGTCACGGTTGTTGTACTCTTTCTTCGATGGAGAATTGATTTTGGTCACGGGATCGACTGACGCGTTTGTGGCTGAATCGAACTCGAGGCTGAATCCCATTGCTATGTCGCCTGCCAGACCAAAAGGACCGACCACAAGATACTATCATCTTTAACCGCTCATTTTACACAAACTATTATATCGTACTTTTAATCTATTACTATCTAATATGCGTCCTCAGGTCCGTTCTACACGCACCTCACGTTCTACCCCCGCCCCTGTCAGCTCTATGGAGGACGGAGAGACAATTCAGAACGTGCCAGTGAAGAAGGGTGCTACCATAGAGAAGACTACGTTAGTCCCGAGCGAACCAGCTAACACCCAGGAAACTTCAACAAAGCGGTCTCGTCATCGCATGACAAGCGAGCAGCTCGTTTTCTTAGAGGATGTCTTCAAGCAGGATACTCACCCTTCGAAGCAGAAGAAAAAAGACGTTGCGGGCGAACTAAATATGTATTTACTTGTCTTACCCCTCGCAGCTTACCAGCTCTTATGGTGGATCATAGGAACTTCAAGACGGTCACAATCTGGTTTCAGAATAGACGGCAGATCACGAAGAAAAACCAAGCCGTCAGTGCCAGTGCCAGTGCCAGTGCCACTCCAGTGTCTGGATCTCCCGCAGCATCCACGGCCAACGAAGAAGACGCGGAAGATGGATCTGCCTTGCGGCGCGTTTCCTCGCCATCTGAGAACGATACTCTCACCACTAAGACGCCGGTTGTTGCATCAATACCTCTGAAAGACTCGAAGCGAGCGCCGCTATCTCTTGCGCCGCACGGTGAAAATAATACCGCACAGGCACCCAAAGGCTTTTGCATCAAGATCAAACCGCTCGCGCAGCCGCTTCAGAGTCGAAGCCAGAACGTCGAGCCGCCTCGAACTCGCGAGCTCTGGGAGCACCTTTCTTCGTCTCCTACGATTTCTGAATGGTCTTTCCAGGCTGGCGAGGACGTGGATGTCGTGGACGGTTTTGGGAGGACATCTTCGAATGAACCTCCTCAAGTCTTCATTGGAAAACGACCACGAACGCTGGAGTGGGCATGTGAACGAGAGGCGAAGCGCAGACGACTCGGGATGGGTGAAGACCAGCTATACAGTGCAACCACGCACTCCCAAGGCAGCAAAAGGGACACTCAAGAAGGAACCACCCCTTCCAAAGGGTTTCAGCAAATGGACCCGCATGCTGAGTCGGCCTTGTTACTGTTTTCGCTCTCTACAGGAGCACACACTGACCTGAGCGGTGGCCTCAAACATACAGCTGCTCCTCAAGACGTGATGCATGGAGCTTCGCTTCTTCTCTGCTTCAAACACTCTGTACGACATTAAGAACACTGGGCACAAACACGATACACACACCTCTTATTCTATACATCGATTTGTACGTAGCGTCATATGTGCAACTATAATTCTCCACTTAAAGACATACCTCAACGAGCCAAGGGAGGGAACACAGATGACGGTCGTATGAATTATATTATACTTAGATAATGAACGTGCTGATATGCGGGGAAACGTGCTAACAATGCAAACGATATGCTTCAGTAAGGCCGCCCGTTATATTCAGAAATGCAGATGATGCAGATGACATCCAAACCCAGCTGAATCAATGACCAATTTTTCAAATCCTGCCAATCACCCCAAGGAAAATCTACTTCTTTTCTTTCCAGCCTTCGCAGGTAGTGAAGGCGTCGATGCTTGTTTGGGTGTTGACGATTCTGGGTTTGGCGTTTTCGGTGGTCCTGGAGTACGTGCTGGAGACTTTGCGGGCCGTGGCGTCGAAGTGTTTGGTGTTTTGTTTGGTTGCTGTGGTTTGCTCGATTGATAAGGATAGTCGGAGGACCCTAATGCATAGGTAAATTCAGTGACAAGTAGACTCAAGGGCAAATGTGAGACGCACCAGCTATTTCCTTGAAGAGTGAAACATATGTATCTAACTCTTCTTCATCAGTGACTTTATCTACTCTTGGGTTGTAAGATTCAGGTTCGTCGTCGCTGACTGCTTCCATGTTCATATCCACATCACCATTCTCTTGCTCGTGCTTCTCGTTTTGCTCGTTTTCCGCCTCATTGTCCACGCGCAACTTCAAGAAGCCATCAATGAGAGGTTCGAACAGTGTGTGCATGGGTGGCAAGAGGTACGCAGGACCGTCGAAGATGCTACTCGTGTCACTGCCTTTCCACGGCAACGACGTGTCGACCTTGGTTGACACTTGCTCAGACGGTAACGGCTTGGATTTTTCAGAAAATTCCGTGATGCCAAACATCTCCTGGAATAAGGATCGTTTTTGAACCGCTGCTGACCCTTTGTTGAGTGCAGTCGCTGACGACCCTTTCCCGTCTGACTTGTCGATATCTTCGCCGATAAGAACTACTCCTAAGGACGTGGTGATGCCTACGAGAGAAAATGATGGACTCGTAGGAGACGGCAGCGCGAAGGAATACCAGACGACATTTAAGAGGCCAAACGGTAATTTTTGTTTTCTCTCTGGGACGTTGGACGATGTACGGAACACAGTAGCTTCAGTTCCAGATTCGGAGTCCGAGCCCGACGGACCGATCAGAGTAAAAGTGTCATGGTATGAGTGAGAAACAAGATGTTTGATCATACGAGGACTTCGATAGTGCCATTGAACTAGACGTTGAAGCCACTCAGCTATATGGTAGACATTTGTCGATTCATAAAAAACGTACCTGTTTGTGTAATAACATCCCAAAGAACCAAGTCTATGGATCCCACTACAGCTAGATACCGGCCAGTCGCACCTATGAAATGGGCAGAAAATACCACCTCGCACTCCGGGGTGATGAAAACGTGTCGGAGGATATTGGTGTGGGACTCGTACACAACCACATACGGGCCCAACGAGACTACCAGCAGGGAGTCGTCTGGCGACCATGTTACGTGCTTTGGCTGTTCTGATCGGAACGTAAAACTTGACCTCGCAGTCCAAGTTTCTATATCTCGACATCAGCATCGTTGGCCTCACTATATAATATAAGCTCAACTTACCCTCGACACTTCCGTTTTTATCTTTCGTCGTCCGAATCCTCCAAGTCTTGATATTCCCATCTTCACCAGTTGTTGCCAATTGCAACGACTGGGTATCTCCGGCTACATTACTGAAAGTAGCAGAAGTCACGTTCTTCAGACCGTGAGGCCGATCTATTCTCGTGTTCAATATCCAGAAGTCGGCATTTCTGTTCCACCACCAGAACTTCAGGTAAATTTCACCACGGAACGTCTCGTCTCCCTCCCGACGATCTATCGTTGCCATCCAGTCGCCTGACAAAGATACGACAGCACGTTCCACGCGCGAGGGCTCTAGAATCTTCTCATCACGACGAGCAACCCTATTGGAGGGAGACACTTCTAACTCCGCTAAAAGTGTTGATGATGAAGGCGAGTAAGCTTGTATTGATGATGGATGAGATGAAGGGAGAATAAGCGTTGATGACGGAGCATGGACAGCCAAAGGCGTGGATTTTGATGTTGATGGGCCACTACTGGATACAGTAGGATCTGAAGACGTATTAGTATATTAATATCGCTTTCTACTTGAGCACCCACCTATCTTTATTTTGGAGAATACTCGGGAAAGTTTGAGCGATGCCGCGCTGACGAATGCAAAGCTTGTATCTGCAAGACCAAGCAAATACTCCTCTCCACCGCCGGCTCGCGAAACGGCAATGTGTTTGATAGGAGAGCCCACTCTCGGAACAAACTCCTTCCTTCCCGAGTGTAGTTGCCAAATTACTAGGACAGCTTCTTCACCACCACTCAACAAATATGCGCCGTTTGGAGTGAAAGTCACAGACGAAATAGCATGTGCGTGCCAATGCAGAGTCGACGTCTGTGCCTTTTTTTCCACCCCAATGACCTTGGGCACATTTTGGTTCAAGCAGTACCATAGTCGAACAACACCCTTATCGTCGCCAGTGGCGAAATAGTCTTCCGATGGATGTACTGCAAGACAGGTTAGATGTTCTGGCGAGACATACTTCGTGAAACCAGATTTGAGCGCAGACGTCGATGCGACATAAGCCTTGTGACCAGCCACTGCCACTAGGTATGTGCCATTAGCAGAGACAGCAAGACCGTTCGTGAACCTTGTTTTGCCCACGGCAACGACCTGAGAAGATTGGTGTGCTCCGGCCTCTGAAGCAGGATTTTTTACTTTTAATGATATCCGAAGAACTGCACAACTTTCATCCTTCTCTACGATTTTAGCTCCTTTGGCGACTGCGGGTCCAACATAAGAAATAGTAGAATGGTATCACAAAATAAGCAACACGTACAGACTCTCCAAGGCCTAGCAGCTGCGACAAAGACACTATCTTTAATTTTTTCATGGGCGCAAATATGAAATATTGGTTGCGTGATGTTGATGGTTTGCAGAAGTATTCCCTCCAGAAAATCCCACAGTCTGATGTATCCGTCTAACGAGCCAGTGATGAGTTGGAACGCGTTTTGAGGGTTTATAATGGCAGATGTAATGTCGTCCGCGCACTGATCTTGTCGCTGGGGCACCGAAAGCGTCGAGATAACTTGACCGGTGGAAACTGAATGGATTTTAACGCTCGAACTGACGATAGTGAAGAAATAGCTAAAGAAAACATATTAGAGCGCAAGTCAGTACCTCCATCCCTTGGTCGATGATTAGGGACCACTTACCTGCCGTCCTTTGAAAATATAGGTGGGCGTGCGTTCCCACTCGTACTAAAGTCTGCAAGGGAGGTCCATCTCCATGCCTTTACATCTTCAGCATCTACTTGCTTTAGATCAACAGCTTTTTCTACAGAATTCGAATTCTGTGTTTCCTTCTTGTTCTCTTTCTTTTTCGCCTTTCCCTTCCTGTTCTTCTTCACTGGCTGGACAGCGTCAGAGTTTACTGGGCTTGGAGGTAAGGGAATGTCTTCTGGCTGCTTGCGTATGACTGGGGTGGAATCGATGGCTGTCGCTGCAGCCATGGACCTTTAGCTCAGGTTTTATACGGAAGCTGGCTTGAAGATGTCTTCAAAAAAATCGTCGACAGCCACAACGCCGGCGAGTGCCGTCTTTACCAAAAAAGTAAATTATGGTGAGCACAACCAAAAGTGTAACATTGCAGCTGCCATTGTCAATTCCATACACCTCTTCAAATGTACAATAGGACATGTTCAGGGTATCTTCTCGTACTTGTGGACATAGTGTGATACAACAGCATTACATGAGTTACTACATGCTCTCTCAAGAGTCCTCCCAGGTCTAAGGTATAAAATACGTTACGTAGGTCAATATTGCAATAATATTACTTTCCATCCATCCAAAAATCCCATTTCACCAGAGGCCTTATGTACTCCAATAGCAAAGGACGCACCAATATCAACAATCCTTGTATCCCACGAGCATGCGCACAGAGCGACATGGCATTTTCAAATCTTCCTCCGACGCAGTTCGTCGAGCCTCACTCATCGCCTGATACAACCGCTGTTCTTCCACCAACTCCGCCTTTGACAATGATCGCGAGGGAATCGGCCACCCAAACTGAGACAAGGAATACCATAGAGATATCCGTGCCTGCATGTCACTGCGCAGCGAGTCAGCGTGAGACCGTACGGAAGCAAAACTAGACAATACTCACTCTTCATAGCGGTTTATCAAGGTCTCGAACTTGACTCGACCCTGTAGTTTCGCAAGCTCTTCATCGCTCTCCCACCCAAGTGCTACCAATTCGTCCCTTCGATTCCGCATACGATCCACCAACTCTTCCCACATTGACTCCTTGCATGCGAGAACACTCTTGTAGGACCAATATAATTGCATAGCAAGTGACCGTTCGCTTAGCTTGTCGAGTTCTTCGAGTGGTACAAGTGATAGTGACGGTTTGGTCCCTGTGCTTTCTGCTGCAGAGCTATCAACGATATAGAGCGGGGCTTGCATGCATTGCGAATCTGATTTATTCGTGCCGAGACTTTTAGTGGAGGGTGACGGTGATGAGCTGTCTGCTTGACAGGAAGGATCTTGCGTGTCAGAAGTTGCAAACGTAGTGTCAGAAGTAGGGCAGGTGCTGCTGAATAGCGATGAAGTGGATTCTCTCGTGGACGTGGAGGTCGTGGAAGATTTCGTCGATGAAAAGGACACTGAAACAGGTCGCGTTTTAGGAGGGGTATCGTCATTATCCACATCTTCCGGTTGTGGTGTTTTCTCGTCCGGCTCATCGTCCGGCTCTAATAACGTACTACGCGGAAGTGATTTGGGCGGAGGCAAGGGAGGCGGAAGAGGGGGCATACGAAAATGCATAATGGGAGCTGAAATCACTCGGCGGAAGTTGGACGTGAAATGAATAGGGAGAATAGCTGAAACCGGCGTTAAGCTACGTGACCGTTGTCTAAACAGCGCCAATCACTTACCGGTAGGACGAAGGTTAATAAAGCGGTTCTCAAAAACTGCATAGTATAAGCTCTCAAGGAGGGCATGATCATGTGGAGGCTTGGTATCCTCCGGTGATGGCGGAGGTGGTGTTGCTGGCCGTTGCGATGACGAACTTGGGTAGTGCACAGAGTCGGCCCGTTTATTGCGTACGCGTAGTGGCGCGGTGAACCATCGGGGGAGAGTAGGGAAAACTATGTCTGGTGGATCACAAATAGGTGCTAGTAAGCTCTATGCGCAGGATATGTCGAAAAAATAAGTGTACGAACCATGCTCAAGTACTTCTGCCACGCCATCCGGACGAAGTACACGATTCACCTCCTATAAAAGGCGTCAGAGTAAAGGAGAGGCTGCCATAGAGGATCCTTACTTCGAATATCACACCCCACTGTTTGATGAGCGATGCCATGTCAGTTCGGTGAGAACAAGTAAAGAAGGCGATGAACGAACCTTGTTCTCGGGGACAGCCCGCCCTATGCTATGTATATGCACATGATCAAATTCATCATCATCGAACGGAAGTTTTGTCGTCAGACTGCAGTGCCAGAGGTTAACTAACTATCCGAGCATTTGATACACATGTCCAAAAACTCACAAGTTTCCATGTACCCACATGATGCGACTGGCAATATCCGGATCAACTAGAGACAGTGGTATTTGCACGTCCACGAGATCAAAGCCAACCTTCATCGCCCACTGTCAGCAACCCAATCTCCCTAAAATATGGAAAGCGAGTACGTACAAATTGACATTCAGGCCATTGCTTGGCTGCTTCAAGTATCCAAGTTCCAGCCTACAAGAGTGAGACTCGATTCAACCAAGCTGCTGATGTGATACACTAACAAGTCAACGTACCCCACACCCGAGATCAAGACAGCGTTTCGGGGGGCCGTCTGCGAAATCTACGATGGACACTGACTTCACGACATGCATGACGAACTGGTGGTCTATACTTTCCCTATACACGAAAGCATGAGCGCTGGGAGCCAGAGTAAGGGGGAGTTGCACAGGAACTCACAGCTCAAGGACGCTGCGAGCGTAGCTGAGGGGATAGGGAGCTTTCTCCGGATCGAAGGAATGATGAGGACTGCCATATTTCTTTGTGAATTCCTTGGAGCGGGGGATGCGTTTTGCACCTGTGGACTCGAATGTTGCGGTGGTGGTCGTGCTGGGACGAGGCGGAGGCATGTAAGGACAAGCTAGAAGGGTGCCCATTTTGATTGTCGCAGTCGGGAAATGTTTAAAGTGAATAGGCAGAACCTTAGGCGGGGTTATGCGAGGGATTATCAGGTCGGGATAAGTCTCAGCGTGGGAGCTGATACAGCGCTGAGACCAAGGCGTGTGGGAGCAACCGTGCACTGGTCAGAAAACAAGATATCCACAGCTGGACGTCAACGTATTATAATTATCGAGTCTTGCTGTTTGCGGTCTCGCTACTGATGAAATCAACACATCTCTGATATATCTCGCTTTCTTTAGCATCCGAAAAGCCTCCATGCCGTCATCTTTGTGTCCACCGAGTCCGTTAGTATACAACTTACGTTCCTTTTTCATATTCTTCACCAAATAATATCATCATGTACGCACTACATCTGTAAAATCCCAAAAACTCGCTTAGGCCTAAGCGCATTTCAAAATCCAAGGCTTCTGGCGCCGACGTCTCTGATTGGTGGAAAGAGTTGGGATTACCATATATATCCAGAGGTCTGAATATCCAAGATAGATTGCGATGAGGTTTGCGATATGATAAAGATAACGTTTTTATCAGCATGATAAGATGTAGATTGGCTGGTAAATACAATATACACAGATTTTGTATTTCTACCAGTACTGCAGAGCGGGGCTAGTCAATACCAATGATCATTCGGTGAATTCAGTCAAAAACGTATTATAAGTTTCCTTGTCTGAAAAATTATTGACGTAGAACATAGTGGGAATCTCGAGAGAGTTGCTGGCAGTGATGTTTCGATCCATGACGGCGCCAAAAACCGGTATGAGATCTACGGGTAAATGTATCGTATTCAATGGGTAAATACTGCCCATACGAAGCCTTTCTCCGCTGGCTGTGATCCTGTTGTGAAAGAGCCGCTCGACGACGTACATATCAACATCTTCTTCAACTGCAACGCTACCATTCGAATCCCTCCGTCCCCCGGAAAACCCAAAATTTTGCGCGTATACAAGGACGGGCGAAAGGTGCTGATCAAGGACGGTCTTCTTCGGCGCAATCGCCTGGAATATAATTTGAACTTGTAGGATAGGAGCAGCTAGAAGAAAATAAAATAGCGTCAATATCCTGGTAAAATAGCAAGCTTAAAACACTTACAAGCGAAGCTACGCCCATCAAAGCCACTCAATCTCACAGTATCGCAATTTCCGAGCGGCATCTTGGGTAGGGGGGGGTAGGCTTGAATGGTTTGCGCAGGCATCACGAGATACGAACGGAACATCGAATGTAACTGTATTTTGCATTTGTACCACACTCGGATGTGTGTGAATGGCAAGTTGTAGTCGTCCGGTCCTGAAAACCCATCTCCAGGCCGCAAACCTCGAGCGTAGTAGGCTAGGGCTCCTGGTAGATCGTCCAATGCGAAATGCTCAGCGGCATCCTTGATCGAGACAGATTTCATGTCTGGTTCCTTTGTGAGATGAAATGCTGTCTTCGCGTCGACAGACCTGATACCCTTCAAGAAATGATTCCGCATGGGCCGAATACTAAAGACGCGTTTTTCTTCGGGTAGAGTATGGGACAACCAGCTTGATTCGGGATCTACTTCAGCTAAAAGAGAGCTTTCCTCGGCCACGAGATAATTTATTAGAGAAGCTTTTCGGTGTCGCAAGACTGCGTACAAATGAAACATCCTTGCCTTTTCCAAACGGTCAAGAATACGAACACACTGTATCTCGAAGAAGAGCCGGCCATTCGTACCGCTAAACGGATGTTTGCAATGAGTGATTAAAAGGCGCTCGGTCACGTCGGCTGTGAACTGCATGATGGCCCCCATATTCCGAATGGCTCGAGCGAAGTGCTGTAAAAGCTCAAGCTTTGGGATGTTGAAGTGGTCGATGGTTGAAGAAGCGCCCCGACGAGCCTCGGCGTCCAATATCGCTTGCTTATGATCGTGAAATTCGGATAGAGAGGTGACCATGGCTGTGATAGATGATGGAGTATGAATGGGAGACTGAGCTTGATATATGAAGTCGACAAGTGCTCGGACGGCTCGTAGAAATTTGGGGGCTACAGCGCCAGCGGCCGTCGCAACGATCGTCCTCTGGATTTCGCGATGTTCGCGACCTGTCATTTGTTTGACGTGCGAGATACCGCTCCCGAAATGTTTGAATCCCACTCGTGAGTGTAAACTCCTGTAGCGCGCATCTAACTCATCCTTTCCAATTGCTTCTTTGCACCACAGTAGCACATGATCAAAGAAAAATTTGTGACAAGTGTGCAAAAGTTCGGGAACGAGAAACTTGTTAGGATCAGCTAGAGACCAGTCCCTCCAAAACGGCTGATGAACTCCACTTAGACCCTTAACCTTCGCATCTGGAAGATAATTAGCAAAGTCCCACGTATCGAATTGTATACTGTTTATAGCCAATAATGTATCGATCCCCAACCGCAGTCGATGTGGGTGATTGTCGCCAAATTCGTTCAAACGAGCATGAGATATGGGAGAGAGATTTTTTGTCGTGCACGCGATCATTTGCTGTTCTGGCAAGTCCGCAACCCAGGCTACGAGAGGTGTGTATGCTCGTCGAGCTATACCATTAGGATCGGACATCCAAACACCAGTTGCAGCTGATGCTTTGAGGTTCTTCATAATGATATCCATACACGTGTGCCAAACACGATCAGAGAGAACACTTTGATATTCCGTTCGACAGTCCAGAAACGTTGGAACGGGGAGGAAAGCAGTACATAGCCAAGAGTGCGACATTGCCTTCATACGCACGTCCGAAGCTATATTTGCTAGCGTGAGGAAAGTGGGGTGCATGTCTATGCCGCCTGTTCCCCGAGTAACTGTTGTCTTGTCGGATGCACCGACAATTCCTACAATAGTGGAACCTTGAGGAAGTTGATCCTGAAAACTTGATCAACAAAAACAACCAAACATAGAAAGCATAAACCTGCCTGAATAGCCCATGCATAATCACCTGTCATCCACTCACCATACTCGCGTTCTCCCTGGCTATCACATACTCGTTTGGGGTCCAGCATCATATGCCTGGCAAAAACAGGGTTCCCAAACAGCGACTTAACAACCTCCAGGCCGTCCCTGTAGAGCAATATCATTGGCTTAGCTGTCTTGTAGTTTTCAGCTCGTATTTCCTCCATTTTCCATACAGGTCCGGTCGGCAGTACTTCTATAAACGAAGTTAAACGGTAGGCAGAGCTGAAGCTCAATTTTGATGGATCCTTGGTCTGATAAAAATGAGTACAACAATGAAGATAGAATAACGAAGCCCGTACCCAAGCAAGTTTCAAGAACTTATCAATCTGCGACTGATTGAGTGTTTCCATCAAGAATTTCGCCAGCTCCCATTCCTTCTGTGATGAAAACGGCCAAAAAACATTGTGCGTGCGTTTTGAAGCATACTTATCGGCATTCATCTCCTCCAAAACGTTTGGTAGTCGGCCATAGTCGTATGCAGAGTGAGGATGATATGAGAATTTGAATCCTGGTGGATGGATACCCTGATTATCCGAGAGAGGCATACCCTCAGGCAAGTTCTTCAGCATTTCTTGGATATGATATTGATTGCCGTCTGAAGCAACGAGGGGGATTGGCACGCAAGAAAGAAAAGGGTCATCAAGATGATTGATGACTTCTTGCCAACTGGCGAATCGTTCGGAGCATCCTTCAGTAGGACAGCTGACGAAACTTGGATCCACATAACCGTTGTCTGCCATAGTCGAAGCTATACGTGAAATACTCGTCAACGCACTGGCCTGTGCTGGCCTGCCCACTCATCTTACAGAGTAGCACAGAGAGAAATGCAAGTCCTTCAAACTCCGACCACAATCTCTCTCAAACCCATCATGTCGTCCTGCGAAAGTAACCTCACCGACAACACTCCTGATCTCTCTCGCAGCGAATTCACTGTTAACTCCTCTGACAACGAGAATGACTTGCCTTCTATTTTTGAAACCGACTACAAAGCTGGCCTTCCATCGAGTCGAATGGGTGCTACCTTTCCCCATAACCCTCATACAGGCAAAGTCAAGAGTCCCACACGTTCAAAGATCTCTCCTTACACCCCTTATCCTCACATATCGGTATCTCCTACCAGAGGACTCGGAAAGAAGTTGCCTCCTGTTATTACAAGGTTCGAACCCAAAGTCAAATCTCAGGTTCCTCCTCTAGACCAGCCCTTCCCCAAAGAATCTGTAAGAATATTTCAATGTTTAGCTTACATAACCTAACGGATTACAGGCGGAAGCACTGAGCAAAGCTTTATCCTTCATTCTCTTAGATGAGGATGACTTGACTCCGAGCAATGTCTTAAGGGCATTCAAAATACATACAGCCAGAAGGGAGTTTCTACGATGCAAAGTGCAATTTAGTGCCTGGAGGATTAAACATTCAGCAGGAATGATGGGCCTTCACAAGAATATCTTAACTAGCAGCCGCGGGAGCCTCTGGAAAGTGGACAAAGAGCTAGCAGCAATGAAGCAGTTCATGGACGAGAATGGGATGAGCTATCGCGATCCAGATGATGAAGATTCAAGTGCAGAGAGCAGTCCTGGAGCTGAAATTGCCGCGTTCGACGATGATGATGACGGTGATGGGAGCTCAGACACCGTTCCGTCCGACGAATACGATTCCGAGTATGAAGTATTGGGGGATAAGCAGGGGGATAAGCTTGAACTTGAGGATGGGCGGTGCGAGGTTCCAAATTCTGATAGTGTTATCATGGTCTGTTATCTATTTTCCTGATTTCAAAGTCTCAATGTTAATTATTCTAACAGGATTAGGAAAACGCGATATGTTCCTTCGTTCTAGCTTAAATTTCATTGTCAAGCATTGCTGTCTGTCAAGAGATTTGTCGTTTGTACTGTTATCGTGCATATTCATTATTATGTAAGTTTGTACAGAACACGAGAAGTGCCTCGAGGCACTTCATCCAAATATAACGGTGGGAAGTCACCATCTCTTCTATCATCTCTTCTATCTCAACTACCATCATGTCGATGTTTCAGTTCCGAGTGGATATCGCGAGTTCAGGTGAGTTGCAAGATACGATCAGAGTCAAGGACACTGATTCATACTACGGTCTTGGGATGGAGGCGACAATCCGGACACAGGCGACAATCCGGACGAGGATGAAGGCGATACGAGTCAGGGGCGGGGTAGGGGGCGGGGTCGTGGCCGTGGTCGCGGCCGTGTAGGCTCTCAGGGGATAGAAAAGGTCGCCGAGCCTCGAAAAAAATCACAAAAAAAAAAGGTGGATCCCGTACGTTCTCTGCTGTAACTAACTGATCTGTTTGATCAGATACCGCCCAAACCTAAGAAAGGATCGAATGTGAATGCCGCCGGGCTCCCGCTCGCCTCACAGCTGGATAGTGAGGCCGATAGGCCGTTCGTACCACTGCGATATCGTCCACATTCTGTGTCTACCAGTGATATAGAAGCCATGGCCATCCCTCAAGCTCACCAGGTAGATCAACCGATGGCGTCTCAGAGTTCTTAGCAGATGTTTGATCAGCGATACCGCCCAAACTCTGTGTCCACCAGAGACATAGAACTCATGGCTCAACCCCACTCTCCTTATCCGCAGATCGATCAGCAAGTAGATTCAACCGTCGCCGATTTTTTCTCTCAACAGATAGACCAGCAATTTTATCAGCCGTGGGATTACTCTCCTGCTTCACCCGCGTGGGCCTCTTCTGCGCCCGCTGTTTCTGCACCAACGCCTTCTTACGATCCGCCTCTATTCCACCCGTCCGCAACGACGTCTCAAGATCCATCAGCGGCGCCTCTATTCCAGCCATCCGCGCCAACGCCTCCTCATGATCCGCCTCTATTCCACCCGCCCGCATCGACGTCTCAAGATCCATCGGCGCCTCTTCACCACCCACCTCCGTCCAACCACCCTTCCCCAATATCTTTCAGCCACACCATTCCGATATCTCATCGAGATCCGGTGCCAGGCGGTAGCGCATTCTTGAGAGTAGGAGAAACAGTTGAAGAACGTACGCGGGATCAGACGATCAGTTCACGGGTAATCCGAGTAAGTTCATTCTCAATTTCAATCATTATGTATTTACAGCTGCCACGAATAGCCTGTTGGCCCACCAACGAATGTCAACGACGACTACCGCACGCGGAATCGTCTCGCTCGACTGCCACCCACGCCCCCGCCCCCGCCTGCAACCACGGCCCCGAACCAACCAGCGCAAGGCCATCGTGGTCCGAACGTCTTTGTGTTGCCCAGCAACAGGGCCATCATCGTGTTTCAAGACGAGCATATAGAAGAGGGCAAATTACGAATGCAGAAGTTCATCTTGACGGAAAACGCCATGCCGACTGCAGCTGAAAAAGTGGCGCAGGGGAAAAAAATTCTAGGCGAAATAGCTGTCGCCAATGGTGCCACTGGTAAGTAACCTCACTTGCAGTCTATCTAGCTATACTGACAACAAAACTAGAGGGGAAGTTTTCGATTCCCAAGGAGGCAGTCGAAGATGTCGTATCGGTAGTGTCGGCCTTACGGTACCCTTGGAAGCACGACGCTTCGGGGACCGTAGAGTCCGATTTCAACCTTCGCCCCCCATTTTTCAGCCGCTTGGACCCAAAGATATTCAAGTCGTCATCCATCGAGGATATACTTGGTGAGGACACGCCAGATTTTCTTCACGAAAAGGACGAAGCGGGCAACATCATTCAATTTTTCTCTCATCCCGCCATCCCCAACCTCATATGGGCAACACTGTACAAGGCCCCAGGAATGCTGGGCCATATTCTCGGCGACCAGATCCTTCAGTCAGAAAAAAGGGCCGACGTCATCATTTGTCTAGCGGCATGTGCCATTTATGCAGCTCTCGTCGAGCACAAAACTGGTGTATTTGATGAGAAGCACTTTTTGGCGAGTGTTTACCGCCCTTTTTATCTCAAGTGTGTCGAGGATGTTAAGAGGGCTCGGGCTGCCAACAGCGAGCAGTTTGATTTTTATGAAGACCTCATCGTTGAACGCGGGCTTGCTCTGTAAGTCCTTCTCCATTATTCTTGTTATTTTTCTTACATTGTCACTTCATTTCTAGGATCTAAACTAGAATATCTTTCTCTGTTTCGTTGTACTTTCTCGGTGCTCATGTGGTTTGGCTTTGTACTAGTAGTCTGTATCGTCGAACATTCAAGCAATCAATATGTGAAATCTTATCTTTCTTGTGTGTGATTTCAGACTGAGTGTGATTATCATTCTATGATAAGTTCTAAATATCTAATCTGCTTCGGCAGAAATCCGTCCGTCCGTCTTTAACTATATGCGGATGGTAACGTACCAGATCTTAGGTTCAGATGTCATTTTTGAACTAATCCCATTTTATCTTTTAGAAAGTTTCTCCAACATTCTTTTTAGGAAATTTTTCAGTTGGATGTACTACCAATCTCCTTCCAGGACAGAGCCAGCCTCAGCGGGACAGAATGATCCTGTCGATTCAATGATGCCGTCCTTTGGCGGCTTGTAGGCGGCCTTCCTGCCAAAGTTCATTTCGCTAATGGCAACCAAACATATCGACAATAGCTCTGTTCAGAGCGTCCTCGCGTAGCTACGCTTAGCTACAGACTGTTTTCGCGTAGCTGCTGTACAGGCACGTCATCGCTACCCGAATGGCCTTACCTCAAACCCTACGGTATTTTTGTGGATAGAAACCCAAAAAATATTCGTGGCAAACCTGAATTTGCTGAGGCGGATATTCTTGGGAAAGCTAGTATATTGAAGTGCCGATTCAATCCCTTCATCGATGGGGACGCTCCTCCATGTGATGACCCACTAGCAGCCTTCAAACCTCGAGGTTCCTCATGTCATCCCACAGCGTCGACGACATCTCCGACAACGACAATCAGAGCCAACAGCTGTCTGGTGAAGGCCACAGCATCACTAAGACTCTTACAAGTTGCAAGACAGGATCAGTGCAGACTCTTGCGTCCCAAGGCAATCCCCCGGCTCCATCTCGCATTACTTGGTCAAATCAACGCACTGACCGCATAATGGATTGGCTCGAGAAACATCCTGTGCGACGTCAAATGCTTTTTTCTGATTCCTTATCTGTAGCTAGGGGAGAAAATCGGTCAGTTGTGAGGAACACCAAGAGCGTCAGGGTCCCAATTGTCAGAAGAATTGCTCGACATGTCTTCAAGAACGACTCAAAGGAAGAACTCCGCATTGCAGTTGACCATCACCGCAAGCAATTTGGAGAATCAGTGCAATCAAGACTCGACCAGTACGTATTTATATATTATTTTTAACAGACATAATGATATTAACATGATGAATACTTCTGAAGCCTCGGGAAAAAATATAAGGAGTGTGTGCGCACATTGTCAGGTACAGGTGCTGGATTGTCTGCTGAAGAGTTGGCTTCGTCGGGTTTTAGCAACCCTATTGGTGAGCTTTGAATCAGTTGGGATTTCGGAATGGAAGCATATAAATCTCTACATTTAGAGAAAGTGCGTGGGCAGTTCAGATGGTGGGATCGTCTGCATGCAATGTGGAAGTCATCGCCAAAGTACACATCACAACCCGAGTCGTCCCTGCCTGGCCAAAATCTCGAAAGTAGTGCTATGTCGCTGCTGTTCGGTGCAAAGGCTGATCAAGGTCCCATGGACAACGGCAACTGCCAGAGCAATGGTGACTGGAGCCTCATGGAATACGAGGATGGTAGTTTAGTTCAGACGTCACAACACAGCATGCATCACCCTACGCCTCAGCAGCAGTTCGCTAGTCAGCAGCAGCAATATTCGGCCCTCCCTCAGCAGCAGTTCGCTAGTCAGCAGCAACAATATTCGGTCCTCCCTCAGCAGCAGTTCGCTGGCCAGCAACAATACACTGGTCAACAGCAGCAGCAGTTTACCGGCCAGCAGCAATATGCTGGTCAGCCACAGCAGCAGTTTAACGGCCAGCAGCAATATGTTGGTCAGCCGCAGCAGCAGTTTAACGGCCAGCAGCAATATGTTGGTCAGCCGCAGCAGCAGTTTAACGGCCAGCAGCAATATGTTGGTCAGCCGCAGCAGCAGTTTACCGGCCAGCAGCAATATGCTGGTGTTAGCACTCAGTCTTTTGGCGGGAACCATGTATATAGGAACCCACTACCCTTTCCCGCCCATCCCTCTTTTTCTAGTGCATCATTTGACAGTTTTAACTCCTCGACTCCTTCTGTACACTCAGTTTCGTCGCTCAATTGGCCTCCCACTCTTGCACCAACCCCAAGTACACCAGCCACAATTGCTTCGCAATCTGATCATTCGCTTGTGACGGGGCCATCCACTACTTCAGTTCTTACGTCGCCATCCGCCACATCTCTTCCTGGCACGAGGTCTGTTACCGCTATTCGTCGGCAAAGTCTCCAAGCGAGCGCCAGTGCAATCCGGGGCTCTCAAGATGCTTCCTTGAGTCAGACGCCTGCGCGAGGTGAAGATGACTCCCTGAGTCAGACACCTTCACGAGCATCCAAAAAAGGCAAAGGGAAACGGGCGCGTGTTGATGATGCACCAAACAACCCAGCAGATGATGTATCACAGACTCGCCCCTCCGAAGCTGATCAGATGGCAGACTTCATGCAGCCAATCATTCAGTCTGCGAAAGAGCAAGAGACTGCAGCATTGGAGGTCAAGCGGCTGAAACTAGTTCACGGAAGCGACGTCATACGGTACAAGAGTCTCAAAGTGCAATCTAAAATAGACGAAACAAAGAAAGAAGAACAGATTGAGATCACTAGGTTGCAGGTGGAGCGGGATCTGAAGATGGAGGAGATGAGGCTGAATACACACAGGATGGAGAATGACGCAAAGAACAACATGGAGATGAAGAAATTTGAGTTGTTGGCACGCCTGGGCGTATTTGGAAACCAAGGCGGAAACCAACAAGTTAACATGTTACGTGGCCTGCTAGGATCCTCTGTTCATCTTCCCTCTCCCCCTGAGTTTGCTCCCTCGCAGATTGCAGACACATCTGGGGCTGCGCCATCACCTTTGGGTCTCACTGATATGCAGAGCCTCTTACAGACGTTAACTCCCTCTGCTGACATGAATTATGATGATGCTGATATGCCTAGTCAGTACACATCCACCTCATCCAGCCATCATCATCATCCGTCGGCCCAAAACCCATCCATTTTTCAAAGGGACTATCACAGTGGGGATGCTATTTATGAGAACAATGTATAACTTTTTGCTTGCGTGTAGATATGTCCATGTTGTTTTAGCAATGTTTATAGTGTTATATGTATGCTTACAATGTATGAATGAATGATTATACTGCATTCTCTGATTATCTATATAAGTGGCTAGCAAAAAGAGCGGCCGAAAGGGTGTCTCTCAGGTTCTCCGTTGTGGCCAGGTCTATTTCAAGGTCCTCCTGGTCCGATTCTTCCAAGTCCCCATCAGTTGACGCTTCTAAGCTATCATTTAGTTCTCTCCGCCAGTCCCTGTCTATCGTACTTTTATTTCCCTCTATTTCTATGATCATATTGTGAAGAATGAAGCAACACCGAATCCAAAGTTTGGTGTAACTGAGTCGGTGAACTGAGCTGACTTGAATTCGGAGTTCCTTCAGTGACTGGAAGCGAATTTTCAGAAGCCCGATTGCGTGCTCAGACCGAATGCGGACACGGGATAGGTAATAATTGAAGTGCCGCTGTCGGCGTGTCAGAGCCCCATTAGGCGGCTGCTTGAAGGGTGGGACGCATGTGGCTGATAGTGGATAAGCTGAGTCAGCCCAAATCCACTCCCCAGGTCCCAAGAATGATTCTGGTTGCGTTCTCAGGCCAGTGTCGAGATATGCTGAAGCATCGTGGATACTACCTGTGTGACCAACACAGTAATCGACAATTTTCAGATTATGTGGGAGAGTCACAACCTATATTACAAATAAAAATTAGAAAATGAAAAACAGTTTCTATCAAATAAAATTACCTGTGCATTAATGGAATAATTAGACTTCCTATCATAGAAAGTCTCTCCATAATGGCTAGGTTTTTGAAATAAATTGAAGGTTGTCCCATCTATGGACAAATACCCGTTTCGCCAAGCAGGACAGACCTGTCTCTCGACCCAACATTTAGCGGCTTCTTTTTCAGCGGGAGTTGGTGCCTTGATGACATCATCATGGAGGGAAATGATCGCGATCATGCACCGCTTTGTGCATAACTCAACGCCTCCCACGGAAACGCCAGACCAATCGGCAATGTCAGCCACCGAAGCCCTATTGCCATAATGGCCTAATCGGGTAAGGAATATGGCCAATTGGACCTCAACCGGAATTTGCTCATTATTTGAATTGTTGTGGTAAATAGGGTGGTGGCGTACTCGGGCAAGTATTGCGTCAAAAGTGGAGGGATATACCCTCAATTGATGTCGGAAACGGGTCTGATTGTGGTTTCTGGACCATGCCAGTAAATTAAATTGGGGCTCACGTGGTGCAGGCGGGTGCACTGTGAAAACGCGTGTTTTCTGAATTTGCTGACATAAGTGACGGTATTTAGTAATCACCAGCCTAATATGGCTAATCTTGGCGCGTCCAATACGCAGCTCTGACGGGATCCGGCTCGATATAGAAGATACCGACATTGATATATGGTCATCTGTGCTGTCAGAACTAGCCGAGCTGATGCTGTGATCAGACGGTGAGGCTGAAGAGTGGATAGAGGGGTCATCCTCGTCGTCATCATTGCTGACAGTGCGAGGACGATGGATTAGCTGGTGAAGGACCTTTTTGACAGTCCTATCTAACTGCTGGCGCCGTTGCTGGCGGATAGTCGGACGGTTTCGAGTGAGAGCTGTGGGCATGATGGGGTAGACTAGCATTTCCCAGATCTCGTTTTGATCTTATATACGAGGTAGAAGTGGTATTTTCGATGTATTTTCATTTTGTAATTCTAAACCTAGATGAAATCTACCCCGAGTTATTCCTCGGTTATCTTTACCGAACGCCAGGGGACTCGCTTCGTTAGTCTAAAAATCCTCTCTGGAGGACTTTCCCCTGGCTTCGCTTACACTCTGAACGCAGCTAATGGAGTAAGGAACCTCACAATAACCTTATGTACAGGTATATAGCGGTATAGGGATATGCGACCAACATGGGGCACAAGTCAGCAGCAATGCAAGAATGGAACATGCGAAGTTAAGAAGAAAGTACACATAGAGTAGACCCGGAAAGAGAACACCTCATACAACATCCTCTTTCCCGCGGAGAAGAAAGTTCAAGGATCAAAACGCTTCTACTCAATAGCCCAACCATTTTCGCCACATAGGTACCATCATGTTCTTGGACTTGATCAATTTGGCAAACCAGTCTCCCAGGGTAAACCCTCCAAAGTAACCAAAGTATGCCATTCCACCATTCTGCGAGACGAGATATCATGAGCACACTCCCCCCATCCCTGAACACAAAGATACCGCTCACCTTTCCAACGGATACTATTATTACCTCCGTGCTGCCTTTGTACTCTTTCGTGGTCGGTGCATCCGCAAGGTAACTTAAGACATTGGCGATGACAACTTCACTGTGTGCTTTAGTCTTCGCAGCTTGTTTCTGCTCGTTCCATTCGATGATATCACCAGCAGCGAAGATATTTTCGTGTGCAAGCAGCTGGAATGTCGATTTCACCTTGACAAAGCCCTGGCCATTAAGTGTATCTCCTCCAATAGACGTGATAAATTCGGTATTGGGACGCGGACCGCGGGTATTAACCTATCACACCGACTTAATGGCGTCGTTATCACAACACAGGAAAAGAACATACCACTAGATCAGCATTCTGTAACACTTTGCCGCTACGCGTTATTACGCCAATAGTACCTTCCGCGGGTATTTCATCTATGTACTCGTTGAAAAGAAGTTCTACATTCCGTGTACGGAGACGTTCCTCGAGGCCCTGGCACATCTTCGTAGGGTATGTTGGGTTGAGAAGCTGGCTGCCACCATGAACAATAGTAATTTTTTTAGTCTAAAAAGTCATTAAGAAGATGCATTATTGGTAATCAGGACTCCACGTACGGGGTGGGTATCTCTCAGTTCGCCTGCCAACTCTGTTGCGAAAGATTAGACTTCGATGAAAACGTGCCGCAGGCGAGGAATGCACGTACCAACACCAACAGCACCGCCGCCGACGAGTACAATATTCTGGGCTTGTTCGAATTTCTTGCGCCATAGATGCACGTGGGGCATCACTTCATCTTCAGGTAGTGGTATATTCATTGGACCATTCCATAGCGATCCAGATGCAAGAACGAGGACTGCGTAAGGCACGCGTTCTCCACTCGTGAGAAGCACAGCACCCTCGCCATCCTCTGCCTGTTCAATGCGTGACACGACACCGACCTTCGTCTCACCATTGTCATTAGTATAGAGCCTGTCAAGAGGAACAAAGGAGGTCTCTTCAAGTTTCTGTTCCCCAGAAACAACGATCCGGACACAGACTGGGAGCGAAATGGCGAAAGAACGAGGGTTGATTAGGATGACGTTGTAGTTTTCAGCGTCAAGTTTGGCTGAGAGGCCACTTGCAACTGCTGTACCAGAATATCCAGCGCCGACAATGACCACGTTCTTCTTTTCACTGGTGGTTTTCGACATTTTTAGTATGCTGGTGTTGAATGCAAGAATAGAGGGTGTGGGTATAAATCCAGTCTTCCGCCTAAAAGTAGTGAATTGGACCTGATAGTCATCTTAACGTTGACATGTGTGAATTTATACCTGAGCAAAGTTAACAAACTGTGGGTGGCGGTAAGTCACTGGCAAACAGTACTATGTATAAAATGACTAACCGAGTCTTACGCGATGTAAATGACTCGCGATGACAAATATTGCCTTTTGAGGTTAGGTGGCTGGCTGCTGATTCAAAATGATTGTATCTCGCAAACGAAAGTCAAATGACTCGAATCGCGACTTCTATCATCACATCCGTTAAAAGCTCTTGGATCTTGCGCTTTACCTACACAACATGCCTCGGAGAATACCAGCGTCAGCAAAACAACGTAGAGCCAAAATTCAATCGAAACGCGCAGTTAAACGAGGAGACGCACCTCCACCAGAACCAAAACCCAGGAAACCGCACCAGAAACCTAGACGTGGACCGACAGGTGCTTTGCTCGGTCCAGCGAATGCAAGCTTGAAAGAATCGTCGCGGAAACTGCAGTCCGCTTTCGTGAAGCTAGATCCTCATTTTCTGGAACAGACCAAGGATCTTGCCGCCTCACTTCCCCTGATAAGACCCATTGCGGTCGACGCCTGTCTTCTAAGATCAGGCAGTGGAGATGAAGAGGAAGATAAGGCGAATAGTTTGCTTGCAGTTCCCAAAAGACCAAAGTGGCGATTTGACATGACCAAAAAGGAGGTCGAATGTAATGAGGAGGGGTGGTTCAAAAAGTGGATATCTGAGACGGACGATGCTGTCCAACAATGGTGTGTAAGAAGTAGCCCCAAGGTGAAAGACGTTGAAGAAGGGCCTGATACTGAGAGCGATAAGGACGACATGAGTCTCCCAGAAGAACCTTCATCAATGCCGCGGGCACCGACGTACTTCGAACGAAACATCGAAGTATGGAGACAATTGTACGTACCTCAATGATCTAATACCACATCCACCTATTGATTGAAGCCGTATAGATGGCGTGTGACAGAGATATCGCAGATAATTCTGCTGTTGTTGGATTCTCGCTGCCCAATCCTGCATATTCCACACTCGCTCACGTCGTATCTTACCACCCGACCTATCAAACTCGTCCTCATACTGACCAAGGTCGATATCGCTGGCCCAAAGCGTGCTGATGCATGGACTTCCTACCTTCAAGCTCAATATCCCGATGTACCAGTCATACCGGTCGAAGCTTACGCTGAACGAGTAGGGGCCCAGGGAAAGTCTTTCTTTGAGCCTCACATGCCGCTACCATTCAGAGAACGTCTAGTGAAGACCTTGCGAGATGCCCATGCAGAGATGTTACGCCCTCCTAATTCCGAAAATGTTGAAAAGCGGAAGCCTTCAGTGAAGAAAGATGTTGATTGGGAGGCAGTCTTAAAGGCAGAGGGAGGATTGACGGGAAGTGTAGTCGGTGGTGCGGCTGCCCCAAAGCAAAAAGAGTCAAGTGAAGATTCTGATAATGCAGAGGACAAGAACGCAGGACATGGCTCAAGCGATAAAGGGAGTGAGCCTGAGTTTCTTACGATCGGACTGATTGGCAAGTCATTATTTTTTCAGCCGTAGTATTACCCTTCTGATGGTTTTGAACATCCAGGTCAACCAAACGTTGGGAAATCGTCCCTCTTGAATGCCTTATTCGGGCTCCACAAAGTGCGAGCATCAAGGACTCCTGGGAAGGTTCGTGTGCTTTACCCTCATAGCGGTTCATTCAATGGTGATACTTGATGAGAACAGACAAAACACTTCCAGACTCTTTTCTGGACTCCGGATGTGCGGCTAGTCGATTGCCCAGGATTGGTTATGCCAGCATTTGTGCCCATGGAAATACAGGTAAAACGCATTCCAGGCACATATCTTATCTTCTGGTCGTTGACAATTTTTCTGGAATGGTAGGTTCTATCTGGCATTTTCCCTATTTCTCGGGTTTCCGCTATTCCCTATTGTATCCACCACATTTCTCAGCTTCTTCCCCTTGAACGGATACTACAGCTGACTCACCCATCAACGCTCTCGCCCCCAGCACCAGACAAACGTACCTGGCGTGATGGGACCAGACCAGAGAGAAAGGCACAGGAAAAGGAGGTAATCTGGACTGCCATGGACATATTGACAGCATATGCCGAGAAAAAAGGGTGGGTCACTGCACAAGCTGGTCGGCCAGACATCAACCGTGCAGGAAATTCCAGTATGTCTCAACCACTCTTATATGGTCTACTCGAGTATTGACTAGATATATGCGCCAGTTTTAAGAGCTGTAGCCGAGGGCAGAATAAAGTGGGCATTTTGGCCGCCTGAAACAAGCTATGACATTGTAGAGGAAGGGTCTGCAAGCGAGAAAAATGTAGGAATCTGGGTTCCGGGTGGAACGCGGGTAGAAGATGAAGACGAAGAAAGCGACGAGTACCGGGAGGTAGTCGAGCAGGCTGAGACAGAGGAAGAAGAGAGTCTCAGTGACGCAGAAGACGATGAAGAGGTGGACGTCGCGAAAAGTGGTGCAATAGGCCGATTCAGTGCGTTGGTTGACTCGGAAAGCGAAGAGGAAGACGACGAAGGGTCTGGTAAAGCGAGTATGGGTCGATTGGGGGCGTTGGCATTGGAATAGATGTTATGTTCAGTACTTGTAGTCATCAGAGTGTATGCTGCCAAACTTGACCAAACGCGTCTCGCTGAGAGTCCACGTGATCAGAGTCTATTCATCACGTGCCCTTACTCTCCTCAGTTGCAGTACTTTGAAGGTTGACTGCAGCCAGCAATGTTCAATTCATGGTTTGGCAAATCCAGCAAGGCAAGCCCGTATTCTCCAGGTCTCACCGCTCACAGTCCACCACGACAATCACAAGATGAACCAGGGTTATCCCAGTCCACGCTTGAGCCACCTCCCTCAGGCCTGGCAAATCCATCTTCTGTCCACCTCGAATCACCGCTTTCATCAACTGACAAAATCACCGACCCTTACGATGCCCACACACAGATAAACGACCCAAACTCGTACTCTGGTCCCATCACCATACCCATCTCTACTGATCCCGATCCACTCATCTCGCCAGAATACTCGAAGCCTTCTCCCAAGCCTTCCGAGTCACCTCCGTCCCCACAGCCGATATTCACACCTCACGATGCCGTCCTTGCAGAGCTGCAGGGGCACCCGTCAGATGCCGCTGATTCTGGTGCTGCTGGTGCTGCTGAACACCCTAACGCCAATGAAGCAGCACGCCCCGTCAACGATGCACCCATGGGCCAGACAGGCGATCGCAACGCGAGTACAGCAGGCACTTTTTCCACCTTCACTTCCGCCCCGACACAACCACCAGCCACAGAAACGATCTACGATCCATTCAACGGGCAAAAGCTAGGCGAATATATGGCGAAGCAGCCCTTGGGTGGTGGCCCAGACCCGTTTGGTCGCGGGGTTCGAGACGAGGAGCTGTGGACGCATCTTTCTCGGATATTGGAGCTGCAGAGCGAGATTGCGGGCATGCATATTGATATGGAAGGTGTAGGGGCTCGATCGAAGAGGGCTAGGAGTGGGTCTGCTTCTGCGGCTACACGGGAGCGAGTTAATACAAGCGATCGGGGAGCAGAGAAAGATAGATCGAAAGAACACGGGCGCAGTGTTGGGGCATTGAGTGGAAGGGATGATGAAGACGAGGATGGAGGTGCTGCTGGAGATGAGGATACAGATCATGATGAGGAAGGTGAGGGGAAGCGAAAAAGGGATGAAGAGTTCGCTAGATTATCTGAGCGGTTCGAGGAGCGCAAGGGTGCAGTCGACTCTATTATGTACAAGGTAAGTGTTATGTTTAGATTTGACTTGGTTTCACTAAACAACGCATGCATCAAAACATTCAGCTGGATGATCTTTCCGCGGCGCTGAAGACATTCCATGCTTTGCGCACACCAACGGTCGATCTCCCAACTTCTTTGCAATCCCCAAACACATCAACTGATGCCTCTTCTTTACCTGCAATGCCGCAATTTCCACGCGATAAAGCAACTGATCCCCCCGTTCCCCCTTTCATCTCCTCCCCAGCATCATCGTTTTCGGTTCCCGCCCACGTCGCCAAATCAAATACAAAATCAAGTATCCTGGAAGAGGTCCAGCACATGGTAGATAGCCCGCTTGACATGCACCATGGATCACTGCCAGCTTCACGTTCGGGGACCAAGCATGATTAATGCATTCAATATAGATACAGCGCATCTTAAGTGGTAACGTGCATTTGAGTTGGATTTTCAAGTAACTTATACCATATTGTATTGATAGATAGTCCATTTGTTTTGCAGTAGTTTGCTGATTTTTGTACCACCATCATCGAGACTATTCATAGATCAAGTCGAAAGTGCTTCTGTGAGATGCTTCAGAGTATCGCACACAAACATCGATGTTGATTTAATAATCATAAGCTAGGCCGGCCAGCCTACATGTCTGAAACTACAAGCCCTTGGAAAGTAATATAATAGAGACTGCGGTAAATATATAGCATAGAGTCTTACATAGAACCCAAGGAGAAGCTATAGGAAGCGAGCTAGAAAAACAAAACCCTAACAAACCAAGCTGCTTGACATCCACTTACTCAACCATCGACTCACTCCCCCAGCGCGGCCAATGCAGCCCTCAGCTCCTTTCGAGCTTGTTCAGCATCTTCGTAATCGAGTGCAGATATAGCAAACCGACAGTGTTTCTGGGCTTTGGCGATGACAGAGGGCGTGAGCTCAACTGGGTGCGCCGAGGGTGCGGTATATGCAGCATATACTGGAGCGGGGGCAGGAGGAGGGGCGTAAGCGGGAATATTAGGAACGACATGATGATGTGGCTGCCTGTGAGGCGGAGATGGCGGGGGCGTCGAAGGGCCAGTGGCTGGCGAGGATACTACAGGTGGTCCAGGTGGTCCAGGTAACACGTGTGTAGGCATAAAACCTCTTGGAAGAGTTTCACGATCTTGAGACGAGCGTGACCCTCTCCCGCCATGACTTCGCGGGGGAGCACCGTTCTGCGAAGAGGAAGAAGAGGGTGGTATAGATAGGACACAGGGAGAAGAGGGTGGCATAACTAGTACAGGGGAAGAAGAGGGAGGGATGTAATCGTAAGGAGCACTCGTGCTAGTTGAGATCATGGCATGCGTAGGCGAAACAGGAGGTGATGGAACGGTATCGCTTGTTGCGTTACTCACAGGCGGTGAAAAGTGGACTTTTCGAGGTGGTGAAGTAGTCATCGTAGACTGGAAGTATGCGGCAGCGGTAGTTTCACGCTCTTCATCGCTTGTAATGTTCTCCACATCGTCACTCACCCACGCTTGTCGAAGTGCGCTCTTTCTGTCTTTCTGTCGAGCACGTCGTAGATCATCATCTATACTATCATCATTGGAAGTGAAAGGTGTTCTATCTGCCGAATCGAATCCAGGGGTTGCAGTGGTACTCCAAGTGCCGGGATTCGTTCCATCATTGTCTTCATTGGTATGATTCACTTCCAAAGATTGGTTTGAAGTGCGAGGCAGGTTGGCGCGTGTGATATCTCCTGGCTCCATATGGGGCGGGGGAGTTGTGCGCTTCGGTGATGTACGAGGAGATGTTTCCTTCTCGTTGAATTTAGGCGAAGGTGGCGAGTATACAACATCCAGATTTGATGAGGGTGGCGCGGAAGAAGTGAGAGTTTCAGAAGATGAAGACGGCTCATTTTCTGACCCCGCTGGACCAGGTGCTGGCTTTCTACCTTCGCGATAAGCCTTTGCAATATCGGCTGCTTTCCATTTCGAATATTTTATCTTCTCTCCATTCTATTTCAAAGCGATAAGAGAGGGGGCTAAAAAATGGGACAGTCAAAGGCACTTACAGACTCTGATATATCTGATTTTGGAAATACTCTGAGTACTTCCAAGAAATTAGCAGCGGCTAGGAATTTCTTCGCTGTCGATCTAGATGATTAGATTGTAAGAATGGATGTTCACATTCTTTTTAAACAAGACTTACCTCGTGGCCTCTCCCTTGCGATCTTCATTGTCAGCCATACTAAACACCTTAAGTGCAAAGTTCTCTACGTAAGCAGCGCTAACGTTCTCGATATCAACAGCATCATTGGGTCCTATCTCTTTCTTCAAACGTTCGAGTACTGCCAGTAGCTCGAAGAGAAGATTCCGTGAAGGGGTATCTTTGATTTTCAAAGATATGCCAACCTGAGCAGCGTAGTACGCACCTGTATATAACTGTGTGAGAATGAAAAGGAGATGCGGGTAAGGAGTACGTACACCAATATGCCACAACTGGGTCCTTCTTGACGAGTTCATCTGCTCGTTGTAGATACGGAGATATCGACTTGAGCTCTGCTGGAATTGCAGGTAAAGCGAGGGCGGACATGATACAGAAGCGATATTAAAGTGATAGATTTGATAGATTTTCAGGTGAGTGAATGCTGCGATCTTTTGCTGTGACTTGGCAGGGATTATATATGGGAAAGCTGGACTGTGGCTGCGCCTGATTCCTTGCGGAGTGAACCTCACGAAAGCAACGAGGACAGGATACTAAGAAGTGAAAGTTGTACCGGCTTAAGATATGGTTCAAGACAGAGTTCTGTCAGATGAATTTGAAGATAAAGTGCAAAACATCTTTCAACGAAAACTAGGTTTGGGTTGCCTTTTATGGAAATATGACGTCGGGCTGGTACCTTGTGCAAGGCGCTGAGTGGCTCAACCTCACTGTGCAGCGCTCAAATGCACCACAGTTAAAGATATACAGTAGAGCTTGTATAGGGATCGTGGATACACTCCGCATCGTAGGAATACACGTTGCTTGGAAAGATAACGTACAAGAACACTGCATTTAACGTACTCATCTCCGCGAAACATGATGCGCCAGTCTAGTAGAATAGGGGCATCTCGTACACCAGCTCCTTTTCAAGAGACTTGCGCAATCAAATGACCGTTCTTCTCCAGTGGCGTTTCTGTTACAGGAATATCTCATCCATGCCCAAGGCCACCTCATGGCAAAGGCGTTTCGCTCATCCATCCCACGTCGCTTGTATCAGAACTGTCTTCAGATCGAAGTGGAGTGGTGAAAAGTGGGACCATTACATATGAGTGATATCAACTTTATTCCGAAATGGCCGAAGTCCTTGCACTCGAAGAAAGGTGGTTTGGATTGGACTCCGAAGGATTTCGACTTTCTGATATCATCACTCGTGGAACGGGAATATTTGGACTAGTTTAGCTGCAGATAAGATGTTCACAAGTTTTATTTATGGGTTTAAACTTGCGAATAGGACGAATTTAATGGAGTATCAACCTGCGGCCCACTTGTAGCCCTCGCAGAAACGCAGCCTGATGGAGGCCCTCTTCTGCATACAACGACTATATTCTTGAAGCCCCTTCTTGCGAATCGCTACAAATTTTGATTTCTTGGTCAGCCCAACTTGCTGCTATCCGTAAAATAATTAAAGCTGACCGCTCTCACTCTCGGCCCCACGATTATCGAAGCAATCGCTTCTTCTTCGACCACCACCAAGCTGCGATGGCAGCACAACCGTGGCCCAAATACCTCATCCAATCTTTAACATCGGCCAATCAACCACAATTTACCACCAATGAAAGCGTTTACTATGACCCATACACCAGCTCCTCTACTATCTGTTCGGCCTGGAGGGTCCGTTCGAGATCTCCCCAAAATATCACATTCCAGAAACTCCTCGAGATGCGAGAGACGTCGTCTCCCTGTTCATCGTCGAACTTAACAAGCACCCTGTATTCTTCATAAAGGTCAAGCTTCCCGCCAGCTTGGCACTTGCCTCCAAACGAAAGCAGGCGGATGATCAGATGCGCGATCGCTTCCGGGACCTTAGCCACCTTTTAGTCACCCTCCGTCTCCCTGCTATCAGCGCATTTGGCACCTGTTTTCCCTTCTATGAGTACACAATACCGTAGTCCCAGTTGCCATACTCGCCCACCCTGTCATCCTCAATGATGTAGCCCCGGCCGATCGATGGAGCTGCGACCTCCTTGATGCGGATGGCATCGCTCGTGTCCGCCAGGTTGCCCAGGATGTTAGGACAACGTGTCAAGCCTTGGCCGATTGAAGTTTGAAGTACATACACCTGCTGTCGTTATTGTCGAATAGTCTGGTCCGACGTAAGGACCTTTGGCAGGAACCTCCGCTTCGACAGTAATAGAGAAGGCACCAGTGCATTACAACTTGGCATTTTGTAGCTGATCGGGAAAAAATCACATTAGGATTTCAATAAAATATTAGCTACTGTAAAGAAAGAATAACACGTACATGACCTCTACTATTGCATCATAACTAGGATAATTTATTTAGCATCTCAGGCCTGTACATGACTCTGACTATCCTATTTCTTTTTGCCCCGTGTTTTGTTCATAGCGTGACACGGGAGTTTTTTGAGGAGCGTGGTGGAATCGAGGCCGCACCTGCAGTGGTGAAATGGAGCGATGCTGCCAGGTTCAACTGTCGCCATTAACCGATGATTAGTACTCGATCGGCTACAATACTAAAACGATCCGCTGTATGATTGTATTCTGCTGGCCTGTGACCGAGTCAGCTTGCAGGTGAGGATCATCGATATCGGTAGATAAGATTAATGGCGGATATGAAATGGTTATTTGGACTCGTTTGGTACTGGCCCAAAGCCTCACTTATGCCTCAGTCTGAATGAACTCTTTGAAAGACTCCGTCACGATCATGCCTCTATTCCTCGAACTACCGCCCAATCATCGAACCCTCTCGATCACAGACTCATAGACTGCACATTTATCTAGGTCTTGACCCTGGGACTCCGAGGACTGGGTCAGGGAGTAAATTCTCCTAACTTCCAGAAGCTACTGGCTACATTGAAGAAGCCTGGGGTCAGGCTTTTCGTATGAAACCGCATGGTCTGACGGCACGTTGTCACTGAGCTCCTCGATAACCATACTGGTTATAATAAACACAGGCTTGTTTCCAATCCCTCTGACGCCACCCGACTGACGTAGGTTGGACGAGGTCAAAATCGAGTTTTCGCTTCCAGGATAGTATTTCTCCAAGTCTTGCATTTTTAATCGCATCCCTGGACGCACTTTGCCTGAACGTCATCCATGAATCTGACTAGCAGTCGGGAATTAAACCATATAGACCTTCTTCCGCACGATGGATCTACTTTACGCACCTGCCAGTGTTAGCAGACCCTTGCTCAGAAGTAATCTCATCATACACCGTGCTTTCAACGCCATACAGGATGTCGAACCGTGACCGATCTGCGGACTTGTCCATGGACACACCTGATTCATGGCCTCATTCCCTTCATACCGCTACGTCCAGCACTAACCCATCCCGTACCACTTCGGTCAGGAGCACCCTGAAAACCAGCAGAGGCCCAGACGATAGCTTTTCTTCTATATCTAGCACAGCAGAAACAAATAGTCATCTCTCTCTTCCTACCCTTCGCTCTATCACAGGAATGAGTGGTCTTGTTCTCGCTGAAGTTGGAGACTCTATGGTTGAATTCGACGTTTATGGACAAGCTGGAGGGTCAGGCTTCCGCGCTGGCCAACGAATAGCGCCAGACTGCGTCACACCAGGTGGTGGTTCGACAGATTGGGGCGCCAAGCCTCAGCGGCCACAGCCAAGGAAAGCCGCATCAGCAGGAGTGGAGAGTCTGTCAGAAACGTTGTCACGGAGCGATACATTCTTGGATATAGGTGCACCTGCTAGAAGCGCGGCCGAGCTCAAATCCTTGCTTGGAAATGCACAATCCCGACTGAAACCTGGTGCATCAATGTTCCCGCAGTCTCTGAGGAGGGCTGTAAGCACGGGGACAGGTCTCAATATCCTCGCTGAAGGTGTCGCTCTGGAGCAGGCAAAGGCTAGGGCACGTGTCGAGGTAGATATTGTGCTGGAAAGCGAGACATGTGTCCAGGGGGGCTATCTAAAAGGGCATGTCAAGATTCATGTGGGAAAGTTTTCGGTGAAGGATCCACCAGTGTTGCTTTCACAGGGGAAAGTGAGGGTGGTCGGTTTTGAATGCATCCCGTTTGAGAATAATCGCTGCATGTTTTATCAACATTCTGTGCCTTTCTCGGAGGTCATGACAGGGGCAGATATATTTTGTCGAACAGGGGAAGATGAAGATGGGTGGGCAGAAGCCAAGGAAGGAACGCATGTACTCCCATTCGCAATGCTGCTACCTATGGAAGGTAATTGCGGGACACCCAAAGGAAGTTTGAACGTCCACTCGGGTGTATGCCTGCGATATGTCGCAATGGTGTAAGTGCTTCAGGCTATTTCGTCGTTTCTTAGCTTACCTATTTCAATTAGCTCCATAAGGATCAAAGATGCACTCACTTCAAAGCAATCAATAGCTCATTTCTATCGTCATTGTGAAATTTGGCCGAGGCTCAACCCAGATACGGTCCTCGCTCCCGCACCGCGACCACTCGTGGCAGAAGCGTCAAAGTCCCTCTTCATGGGTGGTTCTGGCAAAATTAAACTAACAGCGAAACTTCATCGGCTGTACTGGGTGGCAGGCCAGCATTGCAGCGTGAAAATTCGAGTCATCAATGACACTAAGAAAGCCATCAAGAGCGCAACCATCACACTCATCAGAACGACAACCATCTTCCGGCCACATCCCCATCTTGATGCAGGAAATGGACGCACCATCGACCCTGACGCGTGTCAGACCACCACGATGCGAAAGCAGGTTGCTGAGAGCACTTTGGGAATGGGCCAGCGGTGTGTAAAGGGGCATGCGAGCGCCAAAGGCTGGTGGACAGGTGTAGATCCAGGAGAGGCACTGGAGTTTGCACATTCCATAGTGTTGCCGGTAAGTCGCACAATTTTCATATCCGCCAAATCTGTGCCTGAGCTGAGTATTCGAGTAGCAAGATGTCCTGTCTGTGGCCCGTGTCCGTTTACTGGAAGTCGAATACTCACTCCGCATAAGCGTGAGTGCAGGACCGTTGTCTTCGGACGTGCAAGTTACATTGCCCATCAGAGTCGTCAATTTCCTTTCCCTTGATCCTCCACATACCTCTCCTCGCACTCCACTCAAACAATTAGTTCCAAAACCACAGATAACCACTCGAGAAACATGGTATCGCAAGTCTAGACCTGAGGGAGGAGAGCAGTATATGGGGTCTGAAACCGTTCCAGGCATGAAGTACTCGAACCAGGATACAGACGTAGTCCCATTATCTGCGAAGCCGACCATGACGGAGTCGTTCGTACCAAATTCAGAGCAAATGGACCCAAGTACGAGCATAGATTCCGGATCAGTATATCCACCAACCGATACGGCAACTGAAACTGGGACTATCACCCAATCACGTTTTGAACAGAGCCCGGTTGAAGAGACAGATAACATGCTCCACAGGCTGGAGATAAATAACTCGTTTTCTCAGCTTCAGCTTGAGATTGGAGGTATTGAGCACGGTTCATCTGAATCAAATCCTGCAACGCCGACGGTATGTAATGCGGTTCAACACCCTCAGGGACCACGAGAGCAAACACTCTTCCGCATGCCTTCGTCCTATGGTGAAGCACCTCTGCTCCAGCCACAATATCAGTCCAGTTCAAGTGGTTCTGAGCCAAGTTCATCTTTTGCTCATCGAGTGCACAACAAGCTAGTCGCATTTGCAATGGAGGACGGCAATGCTTCTAGATCATTGGTCGGTCGCGAAATAGATGGTCGTCGAGGTCTGGCATCAAGGCAGAACAATACGAGATCGATGTTTGCAGTCAGCCCTACACGAATGCTGCCCAAGCCTCCATCAGGCATAGTGCACAAAGGATCGATGTCCGCTTTGCTAGCATCCCCTTCAGCCTTTATATCGGGATGGCGCTCGCCTAGAAGGCACGAAGATAGCGACGAAGAGGGTAGTGTAAGGCCAACTCCACCCTCTACCCATAATTCAGCATTTATATCTGGATGGCGCTCGTCCAGAAAGCACGAAGATAGCGACGAAGAGGGTAGCGCGAGACCACCTCTGCTGTCTACTCAGAAATCGAGCAATTCAGTAAAGGCCAAGATAAAGGAACTGGAAGAAAAGATGCGGGGGAACTGATCAGGGTTTTAAGAGGAGATTCAGGCTCTACATAGTGTACTCACATTCCCGTATTACGATTGAGCGCTTTAGTTTCGCTCATCTGACACCTGGCAGTGTCAGACTATCTAGACTTGCTAGCACAAGAACCAGTAAAGCCAACTATACCCACATGCTCTGATACACTTATCGTTGTTCTATGCCCTTTATTTGCATTCTTGGGCGCTTTTGCTGTAATTCAGGTGATGCAGCCAGAATCATTTTTCTGAATCTTATCCTTGGTGGTGAAAGCAAGAAAGTGTGACGGTGTGTGTCGTGACTGTGACATACGCGTCTTTTCCCCACTCACGCCCTCGCGTCCCCGACGAAAATGGCGACGCCGTTCGCGAACGCGGGTCGAGGAGCTGCACCACCAGCAACGCCTTATTATCGACAATATATCCCACCACAACAGACCTCACATCGCGTAGGGCCAACCGTCACCGATGACTACGAAAGTAGGTCTTAAAGCCTTTTAGTTCACTATATGTAAATTTCGCTAATTTTATTTTTGTATGGCGAATAGGATGGTACACAGAAACTAATCCCAGTAATCGCATGTTACTTTCTCTGCGCTCAGGCATCACCTTGGAAATTGCTTGGGCCCTAGATAGACTTTATAGGCTCTGCGACAATGAGCAGTTCGTCCTAACGGCTATTCCTGGTCTCGCAGACGCCCTATTTGACTGGCCCGAGTGGTACGTTGCAAGGGGCAACAAGGATACGGAGCAGTTCAATCTGTTTTCTTCTTCCAAAGATGAAGACCGCAAACGACGGCATGCTTTGGAATCTCTGTTCATTCTGCGTAACTGTTCCTCCAACGAGCCGAATGCTCAAGAACTCGCTAGTCATCCGCGTACGATGCCTTTGGTGCTCAATGCGTTACACAACTTGGACCCCGATATGGACATGAACGTTGAATTTGTCCTTCACTCGATAGAGCTACTGCAAGCCATTTCTTCCAGCCTAATATTACCCTCCGCTACATCTCCCCCACATACCGATCCGCTAGCGCCTCTGCAAAATATCACGGCCAACTCGTCTAACAGATCTCTAATCATTGCAGCTCTTGTTACAATCAACCTACTTTTTTCTAATCCTGCCAACCTGAGCCGTCTAAATGCGAATTCTCCAGCCCTGTCCGCTTCAATACGTTACCTGCCGCTGTTCGTAGACAAGCCACTAGTGGAGGCTTGTTTGACCTATATGTACACTCATCTTTCCCATCCACCTATGGCTAAGGCTTTCCTTCTCCATCCTGCCATGCCCAGTACAGTCAGACTTCTTGTGAGTCTACTAGTGTCTGAGCAGATAGAGGAACCAGTTTCGGTGGATATTAGCGGGTCAGTATACACTGTTCCAGCCCTGACGGTGACTACTCAAGACCACAACTTGACAAAAGAAGAAATGGATACATTGCTACCCATGCCAGAACCACAACGTTGCTACGAATGGTACAGTCTTTCCTTTTATCCATTTATTTATTTGCTAAGACAACATTCAGGATGAAAACCATGTTCGTGGCAAAACCAGAGGGAGAGCTCACGCAGGTGGACTTTTGGAACCTTTACAAAGACGTGTTCACGCCTCATCACGATAGATATCCTCTTCTCGTCGCATCAGACGTTATTAAAAATGTCACTGTCGTATTTCCTCAAGCTCAGGCGATGGTGCTTCCTGGGCCAGCCCAACGTTTTATCGTTCGAGGTGTTGATAGACGCAAAGACACGTCAACGACCAAGGAATTCAAATGTCACTGGGAACGAGACCAATGTACTGCCCCACCTTTTGACTCTCCTGGCGAAGTGTACGATCACCTTCTAGAGCATCTAAGTGCATACGAAGGTTCAGAACTTCCTTGTCTCTGGTCATCATGTCCTGTCCCTACGATGTCTAAAACACTTCTTCGTCCGCATATTCTGACGCATTTATCCACCAGCCAATATTCAGAAAAACATCCTTCACAAGATGACATGATTACGATGACCTCTGATATGTACCCCTATCCATCACCAGACCCGACCACCCGCCCTCCACCACCTCCGCGGTACACTGCAGTCACTTACCGGAGACCTATGATGGACCCTCCTACCACTTCGCTCACAGCGTTGCTCTGCATCCGTATCCTCTTCCGCGCTTCCTTCGTGTCATCAGACCCAGCGCCTCGCGTGGATGCAGACCATTTTGGCTTCCCAGGAGTAGTAGAGGACGATGATGAACCTGCAGAAGAGGACTTCACCGGGCCAGATAGTGACCGAGAGGGCGAGAGACGCGGACGGAAGGCATTTGTTAGCGTGAGGAGACTTCTTGAGGATGTGCAGATGCGAGACGAGGCTTTGATGAGCTGGATAGTGGAGATGATAGATGCTGGTATATCTGGCACAGCTGCTGATATATGAGATGGGCGGAGCTAATGAGTTCTGGTGTTGATTATCATTGGTGTGATTCAGATGATAGATTGGGAGGTAAAGGTTTTATAAATGGAGTGTTGTGCCTTAGGTTCGGGCTTTTCCTGCAGACACGTAGGTAACAGCGCTACAGTCATCCGACACTTGTGTAGTTTTGTCTTGTATCGTGCGCGGCGTTCCTGGTCTGCCTAAATATACAACCAGGCTGCTACCGTCAACGTCGATAGTACTCCCAGCTTTTAGACTTGACTCCTCAGCCCGAATAACATTGCCGTTATCATACACTTGAGTGTACGGCATAAATTAACTTGAAGTAAAATCGGATGAAGCCTTCTCGCAATTCCGTCCAGCTCAGCTCGAAATATGTCGGGACTCTCACCAAACTGTTCCAGGTGTGTTTCAATTATGATTGATACGACTGCTTGAGAAGCACGCTCATATTCACTTCCACTAATGACAATACTAGGGTTTCACTCCAAAACAGATAAGCCCAAACCAAAACGAAGAGGAGTTCTGGATCGATATCCTTTCGCTAGGACCTAATCTCGACTTCCTCACGCAGAAAATAAGTTCGCTCTCGAAGGAAGACTGTTTGCATACCCACAAGGTCCGCCCTTTTGGAATGCTCATCCTCCATCGGTGCTTGCCATTCTGATTACAGAGACATACGATTTCCCTAGTAGCACGTCTTCAGCTCCCTGTTCGCCGTCTGCCTGCAGCATGCACAACAGCACACGGACCCGGAGTTGTTGAGGACACACGCTGTTAAGACGCTCGCAGTCACGGTGCGATGTGTGCTCGCGAAGAATCTTGCTGGGTGGGAAGTGATGGAAATATTTGCGGGGGATGGACTGATTGGTAGCGACGCGGCGTTCACGGTGGGTTGATCCCTCTCTTCACTTTACTGACCAGTGTTCTTACAACTGTCCGTATAGAAATTCGCCACGATAGTCGATACCTGCATAGGGGATGGCGAGTTACCAGGTATGTCTGTTGTATATGCGCTCGTGTTTTGTGACCAGGTTCATGTATGTCAACTTAGCTAGTTTCCGTCACTCGGTGCTGCAGCTTGCTCTCATCTTCGCGTGTGGGATAAACCAGCTCAGTCCAGGTGCCTACCTCCTCCGACGAGACCTCTTCCCTTCGATCACCACGGTAGGTACACAGCTCAAATTCATGCACACAGACATGGGTGACCTTAACAGTACTATCAACGCAGTTCATAAAGTCTCCTGAGACCGAACGTTATACATTCGAAGCTATACTCCTGCTCTCCATCCTCGCCAACTTTCACAAATCAGACGCTGCCAAGCTAAATCCGTACCTACAGAAGATAAAGACCACGAATGACCAGGCGCTGATGCGCAAGTTGTGCTGGGCAGCCAATTACGCTGCTGATGCTGCTGTAAAGTCTGTCTCGCTCTCTGTCATCCTGGAAGACTGAGACTAATTATCTGAATGTCACGTCTTAGAGCGTACCGGGAAAAATCAGATGACTCGGTGCCGACCCTTGCGAAGAGTTTTGGCTCTTTGCTGACATCGTTACGACCAGATAGAGTATTGGCATCCGACCCACCTCGAGAGCTTTTCAAGGATCAGTACGTTACGAATCTGCAAGCTTGTCGTCTATCTAATACTACAAATTTCCAGGCCAATTGAAGCAGCCGTTGTGCTATTACCTGTCTTTGAGTTTCTACATCTGAACCCTCTATTTGCCAATGTCCTTGTAGAGTCTATGTCCTCTACCCGGGACGAGAAATCACAATCTACCCAAATCCCACCACCACCCTTTACTTTACTAACTTTATCATCATATTTATTGACACACGCGTCGTCGTCGTCGTCATCTCGCGCTATCGCATATGCAAATCTGTCTATCAATATGTTGCTCATCATGGCTGAGAACGCGACTGTTATGGATGCATTCTGCCAACCTGTGGCAGAGAGTATCAAGTTGTGTCAACAGGTAAGTTGCGCATAACTTTATTAGCAGGAGTAGGGCTGATCCCTTTATTCATAGAGGTTGCCTGTTTTACCTACACCTCCTAGCCCTCGTCCACCCTTATGTGCCTTGCTGGACTGCGTTGTACTATGGTTTCGCCATAATCTTCATAAGAAGCTTGAAGTGAATAATTATGTGTTCGTAGCACCTATAGTTTAAGTCAAGCGTTCGAATGCTAATGGATGCTACAGAACATGTGTTAGGATATGTAACCGTGTCGTTTGGTACCTGCAGAAGAAGCATGTTCGTCTTGGTACGTTGACTTCGAAATGTGGGGTGGGATTTGTTGATCTATTTCTGTGCAGAATATGAATGGGTAGAACTATGGACATCTATTATCGGTTTACTTGCTTTCCTATCGAGTAAGCTGGACAACCTGACTACGACAGGTGGTGTGGAGCAGTTAATTCAGGAGGTTGTCTACTTTCCTTGGATCCATACAAAATTAGCTGACGGTGCTTTAGACAGTGTGTTTTTTGGATTTCGCAGTCTGTCAGGCAGAACTTTACTTGCCTTCTCCGCGGAGCCTTCACGAATTTATTGCAAGTCGTTCTAAATTATCCAAATGCACCATTGTTGACGGCTTGATTTGAAGTATGAGCTTGTCCGCTCCTCATCTGTCCTGGCGAAAAAGAAATCGGTGCTCAAAACGCTTGGGATGCCGATAGCACCGTCGAACAGAAGAGCTTCTATGAGATCCGACTCTGCCGGCAAGGCCCTGGCCCATTTATTGCTTGTCGTCGAATTCTACGAGAACAAGTTGACGGCTGCTGGGTCTAAAACTGCGACGGATGCAATGCGAGTTGTAGCACGAGAGATCGAGAAGGAGGGCTTGCATGGAGTGGACAGCTCGCAGGAGACAGATGACCCACCGTGAGTGATTTTCGCATAGTAATATCCGTCGACAATGCTGAGACGTAAAAATATGTATTTAGAAGTCGGTCGGAGGATGTAGTCGGTTTCATTCGAACTGCATGTGTGGATGGGCTTATGTTGATGCCTTGAAGATGCGCTGTTTCTGTGGGGAATCCTAGAGCTGTATATGGTATGAGTAACTTGGGATTTCAGCGGCTCCCCGCTTCCGCGTTCGCGACTGGATTTGGGCTGGTTCTCTGGGCAATGTTGGCATTTAACTCCACGCACAATGCGTGTCAGAGGTGAAGTATAGCTGAAATACACAAATGTACACTGTAAGATACTGCAATGATGACTGTAGAGAGGACTGAGAAAGCGTGCCTTGAGAAGAGGACTGCTAAAAAGCCTAAAGTTGAGTCGGGTAGATAATCGCGTGGCGGTATTTCCTAAAAAGGTATATCAGGTGATCCGAGACGCGTTATCTTGGTGTAAAAAGTTTTTTGAGTAGACCCTAGCTAAATGGCAGCATCGACGGAAAGATATAAAGTCGGGCTCGAGTCTTTGCTCTTGTCCTCGACGGAAGAAACGCCATGTCGTCCCCACAAATGTTCTCAGTGCTCATGCTGTCTCAGAAAGGTGTAAATGGAGGTGTTGTTCCGTTTCCGCTTGTCCCGGCTAGCTTATCTGGCAGAAGCTAACGTATGTACTCGGTGAATGGAAATCTGGCTCGGTGAACATCCCTCGCTTTATTTTACCACACCTGCATTTTTTATTTCCTGTTATCTCCCACCACCATCGCAGCTTCCTGCTCGCGATGGCTCCCTTGAGAGTCGCCCTAGCTCGTCTCAGGCCATCCGCCCTTTGCTCTCTTTCTCACCCGTCCTCCTTCCGTCTTACCTATCTTTCGCGTTCTCTTGCGACAGCGAAGGCTCCCTCCACGCTGTTTGCACCCTTAGACACGTTTTCAGATAGGCATATAGGTCCTGACGACGATGAAGCTGCATCTATGCTCTCCAAATTGGGCTATGCGTCCATGGATGCTTTCCTTGCAGATACAGTCCCTCACAAGATCCGAGTTGCAGAGTCATCCATAAGTGATGCGTCCATTCCTGCGTGGAGTGAGTCGGAGCTGCATGCAAGAGCAAAAGAACTTGGCCGTCTCAATAAACCGCTCAAGAGCTACATTGGAATGGGATACCATAATGCTGTAGTACCCCCTGTTATTTTACGGAACGTAAGTATCCATGTATTTGTCGGTCTCAAAATCAATCTCTTATATCAATCCAGGTAATGGAAAATCCAGCTTGGTATACGCCCTATACCCCATACCAACCTGAAATAGCCCAAGGTAAATCCTCTTGACGTTCTTTTTGCCTGCGCTTCGGCTAATATCTCCTTCTGTAGGTCGCCTCGAGTCTCTGGTCAACTTTCAAACCATGATTACATCTTTGACTGCTATGGATATTGCCAATGCCTCTCTTCTCGACGAGGCTACTGCTGCTGCTGAAGGCATGGTAATGGCGTATGTTCACTCTAATCAGAAAAAGAAAACGTTCCTGGTTGACAGCGGTGTCCTTCCCCAAACGGTCTCCGTTCTCAAAACGCGTGCCAAGGGTTTTGGTATTCGGCTTGTTATTTCCGACGTTAACGCGGCTTTGACCGACGAAGCTCTTCGTGCTGATCTTTCTGGTGTTCTGGTACAATACCCAGACGTTAACGGTCAAATCAAGGACTTCAGTGCCCTTGCTGACTCGGTACATGCTGCTAATGCCCTGGTTGTATGCGCGACGGATCTTCTTGCACTTACCATGCTCAAGCCTCCGGGTGAATGGGGTGCTGATATCGTCCTTGGAAATTCTGCGCGTTTCGGTGTTCCTGCCGGTTACGGTGGACCACACGGTGCTTTCTTTGCAGTGACGGACAAACTTAAGCGCAAGATGCCTGGAAGGCTGATTGGTCGTAGCCGTGATACCATGGGTAACCCCGCATATAGGCTGGCCTTACAGAGTAAGTGTATCACCAGCTAGCCAAGAGGTATTTATCCTGACCTTTCTGGTTAATAGCTCGGGAACAACATATTCGTCGTGAAAAGGCGACGAGCAACATCTGCACGTCACAAGCGCTTCTTGCAAATATGGCTGCCATGTATGCTGTCTACCATGGTCCTGGCGGACTGCGCCGAGTCGCGAACAAGGTGCATGGCTATACACAGGTGCTCAAGACCGCTGTGGAACGACTTGGATATAAGGCCACGAATGACTCGTTCTTTGACACGCTCACTATCGATGTCTCTGTAGCTGCTAAGGACGCAGATTCGGTACATGCTGCTGCTGTTGCTGCAGGTATTAACCTTCGCCGAGTAGATGATCGTCATGTTGGTCTAACTCTAGACGAGAGTGTCAGCCCAAGAGACCTCATTGCTCTCATCAACGTCTTTGCTCCAGCAGCTTCCGCACCGTCGGCCTCCCTATCTGATTTCCCTGTTCCTGAAGTACCATCAATTCCTCTCGAACTGCAGCGCACGTCTGAGTTCCTCCCACACCCCGTGTTCAACAAGCACCATTCTGAGACAGAAATGCTGCGTTACATCTTCCATCTGTCGTCGCGCGATCTTGGGCTCGTACATGCGATGATCCCCCTTGGAAGCTGCACGATGAAGCTTAACAGCACGAGTAGCATGATCCCACTCACCTGGCCCGAGTTCGGCGCTGTGCATCCGTTCGCACCTGTTGATCAAGTGCAAGGTTACCAACATATCATTCAGGTGTGTACTGGTGTCTTTGTTGAGGCCAGTTTGATACGATTGATGATCTTTTTAAATACAGGAACTTGAATCAGACCTTTGCAAGATTACCGGTTTCCATGCTTGCTCTGTCCAGCCTAACTCTGGAGCGGCAGGCGAATATACCGGGTTAACGGTCATCAAAGCATACCATGAATCGCGCGGTGAAGGCCATCGCGATGTCTGCCTGATTCCACTTAGCGCCCACGGTACAAATCCCGCTGTGTGTATTCTTTCACGAAAAAATTGTAGAATTTGACTGATGTCTCTGTATAGTCTGCCATGATGGCTGGTTTGAAAGTCGTGCCTGTCAAGACACATGCAGATGGTAACCTTGATTTGGAAGATCTCAAGGCGAAGGCTGAGAAACATAAGGATAACCTAGCCGCATTCATGGTACGACTGCCTAGATATATGACGATATCTGTTTGCTTACTTGCATCTCAAGATTACCTATCCTTCCACGTTTGGTGTTTTCGAGGATGGTGTAACAGATGTGCGTTTTATAAGATTTTATTTGATTGATAGTATCATTTGTACTAATGGCGATGATGGTGCACCGTTAGGCCTGCAAAACTATCCACGACTTTGGTGGGCAAGTTTATTTAGATGGAGCCAACCTCAACGCCCAGATTGGTTTGACGAACCCTGCCACTTGTGGAGGCGACGTATGCCACATGAACTTACACAAGACCTTTGCTATGTAAGCAAAATCAATATGCAAATTTTACTCCTGATGCTGACTTTGATTCCCTGTTTCACAGTCCACACGGAGGTGGTGGTCCAGGAGTTGGGTATGTTTTGTCCTGGAAATCAATTATGATCTGCACTGAGCTCTAGAACGTGTAGACCGATCTGTGTTGCTGAACATCTTACCCCCTTCCTTCCCACTCACCCTATCGTAGCAACGGGCGGTGACAAAGCTATTGATGCTGTCTCAGCCGCTCCATTTGGCAGCGCATCTATCTTGTTGATTTCGTGGGCTTACATCAAAATGCTTGGCGGAGAGGGCCTTTCCGAGTCCACGAACATCGCTTTGTTGAACGCGAACTACATGGCGCACCGCCTTTCCAGCCACTACAACCTCAGGTTCAAGAACAACAACGGACGGGTAGCACATGAGCTGCTGATCGACCTTGCAGAGTTTGATAAGGCTGCAGGGCTGAAAGTCACGGACTTTGCGAAGAGGCTGCAGGTGATTTATCACGTTCTGCTCGTGCTACAGTGCAATGATGTTAATGCTTTCTTGGGTTGTGATTTATAGGACTATGGATTCCACCCTCCTACTTGCTCGTGGCCGATTTCAACGTGTATGTTGATCGAGCCCACGGAATCGGAGACGCTGGAGGAGATCGACAGGTTCTGCGATGCTATGATCCAGATCCGCCAAGAAGCAGAGGATATCATCACTGGCAAGCAGCCCAAAGAGAACAACCTGCTTAAGAATGCTCCTCACCCCATGGCTGCGATTGTCTTGTCTGATAAGGAATGGGATCGGTTAGTCTATCTCCTCAAACATTGGTGGGGCGTGCTGACACCCCAGATAGTCCCTACTCCCGTGAGGCTGCTGCCTACCCTATGCCATGGCTCCGTGAAAGGAAGTTCTGGCCGACAGTATCTCGCATAGATGATGCCTATGGTGACCTTAACTTAATTGTAAGTGTATTACAGATAGTAGCACTCCAGTCTATTGACTCCCTTGTTCCAGTGCGACTGTCCATCTGTTGAAGAGAGCGCTCATTCATAAGCTGGCTTTTCTACCTATTTTCCACATAGACTTATAGACTTTTCACTTCTGCATTTTGGGCGTCGGGTTGCTATTCCTCTAGAACTCTTTCATCTTGCGCATTGCTCAACCATGCGCTTATGTACTTTAAACAATTATTAGTGTATTGATCATCCATCGTTTGTCCTATATTACACCACCTATCCAGAACGCAAGGATTCTGGAAGCGTCGCCCACAACTCTGGTAAATATCGCTCAATCCGTGATCTCACTTCATCCGCCTGGTTAGTCCGAGATGCAAACGACACCAATATCCGTACGCTTTCAATATCAGGCGCAACGTCCTTCTGGTCCTTTCCCATCTCCAAACAAGCGGCCTTGACCGCCTCGTTAAGCTTCCCTAGTCGACACATGCACTCCAACCACGCGTTCCAGTTCTTTTGGCTAAACGTAAAGCCCAACTTCGACAGATTCATGCAAATCTGCATCGCCGTCTGCCAAGCCCCTGCAAATCCACAAGCATCCAGGATGATATTGACGCTGACATGGTCGAAACTTCCGCTAACATACACTGATTCCCACACCCTATAAGCTTCTGCAAAGCAGCCTGCCCGCTGGTAAGTATCCATGAGCTGATTCCAGAGTGCTGTGTCTGGTGAGACGGACGGATCGAGAGTGAGGTGGTTGTGCACGCGGCGAATAGCAGCTAGCAGATTGTCCTTTGACTGGTCTGACATACCACTTGCCAGTACGGCAAGCTGACGTAGAAGAATGGTGTACACCTCCACACTGATCTCGTTCCCAGCAGCTCTCATGTCCTTTACGATCTCAAAATAATGCCAAACAGAGGGTAGGTCGCTCTCGTTGCCGAACGAGAGCTTGCAGAACTCGTTCAAAACAGCTGCGTACGCTTTGGCGTCTAGTTTGGGGCCGATGTGCCGTCTGCACATCCGCTTATACACGTCGAAAGCCTCTGTGAAGCTTGACGAGCAACGCATGAGGAGGGTGAGGACGGCGGCGATGGCCATGGGGTTATCCAAAGTGACTTCTCTCGCTTGTATATCCTCTAGCAGAGACAAAGCTATAGGGTAGTATTTCTGCACGTTCGAGGAGGAACCCAATGTTTTCAGGAGAACGTTGTACACATTGGCATCAGGGCCACGAGAGTGGAAAAGAGAGTCATTGGTCGAAGGCTGCGTGGGGTCTATATCGGATGTTGCATGAACCAAGTCTTTGTAGATATCCAGCGCTCGGTCGATGGCAGCATCGTCAGGTTGTTTGAGTGTAGAGTGGCAGAGGGCACTGATGATTGGGTGGACGAGGGGTGTATCTATTCGTAGACCGGTGACTTTGACTTCGTCGTATATCGATAGCGCAGTATACACGCGTCCAGCACGAACAGCATTCCCGATCAACATGGACCAGTGCAGCAAGTCCGCTTCAACGCCAAGGTTTTTCTCTACGTATCGCAACTGTTCTACGTTCTGGGAATCCTTCAGAATGACCGTCAACGTATGGCGAGAGGGGGTGTAGCCTTCGTCCATCAGCTTCAAGCACAGCGACACGGCAGGTCTGACTCCTTTGCGCCCAACCTGCCTGATTATTTTATCATCCCATTCCCATGTTTGCCGACTTTGTGACCTCACGATGCTACCTATTCGCTCTTTATACGTGGATGTTATTTCCTCGGCATGTTCAAAGAGCTGGTGCTTGGCGAATCCTTCATAGAGGATATTTGCCATCACTCCATCATAGGGCACTCTGGCGCGTTGCATTGCATCGATGATTTCATAAAAGTTTTTGATGTGAGGCGCAGTTTGGAATAGGACTGCGAGAAGGATCTTGAATGTCTCGTTTGTAGGTCTACGGCCAGATCTATGCATCTTCATCACTGTCGGAAGAAGTATACCAACCTCCCCGACTTCTATACAATGCTCCAAGAACCAATGCCATTGCATCAGGGTAGGCGAGAAATTACTCGGCTTCTGAGGTAGAGTCATAAGCCAATGATGGAGAGTCTGTACATTCCCATTCTTTAAGAGACCACGAACGATAGCGTTGTGGATAGACGCTTTGACTTCGAATCCGAATACCTTAGACATGTCCGCAAGTATCTTCTCTATCAACTCGAGGTCAAAGGGTCTGGCAGAGACAGCGAGCGTGTTTAGGATGTCAGATATTTGGGCGCGGCTGAGGGGAGGTTGTTCCACGGAGTTCCTTAACGATTTTTTAAGCCTTGCATAGGCTATCATAAGAGCAGGATAATATTGGTGTACCCCTGCAACGTTATTCAACCATACTGAAAGATGAAGCTTCTCTAGGATATCTTTCAAAGGCAAAGACGGGCTTTCTACTGGTGTCGTCCATCGCTTCGCGGTGGAATGAAAGGGGACATTGATGGTTTTGGGACGACATTGGTTCCGAAGGGTTAACCTGTAGTTGTGACGGCTGAAAAGGACTGCGAGGCGTTCTACCCGAGGCAGAGCAGAACTAAAGGACATTCATGCGCGCCTTTAAACACTGAACTGCATTTTCAGTGGTTAGTAAAGTATTGCTGCTGAGAATACTCGTAGTACGCACCTTTGGTTTCCTGCTATAAATTGGACTTGGTGAAATGCAGATAAAATGCCGTGGGAAAACGGCCACGTAGAACATAGGCGCATTACAGCGAATGACAGGCAGCGACGTTTTCTTATTTACTACTACCTGGCCATGTCTGAAAAATTCAAGGAATTCATTGAGGTCCCTCAACAGTTCATCCACGATGGAAACCAGGTTTGTCTTATTGTCATGCAATTCTGCCAGCAATTACTTACGAAGCTGGGTCTATAGTTCATAACACGTTGCACGAAACCAAGTCAAAAGGGTTCGCTCTCGTTCGAAAGTATATGAAGCGGACGCGTGTACTGAGGCTGTTTTCAGAATTCACTCAAATATCCAAGGCTGTTGCTACTGGCTTCGTTGTAATGGGATTCATCGGGTATCTTGTGAAACTGATCCATATTCCTATGTGAGCAATTTTGCCATTCATTACATTTGCTCATATTTTCTGACCGCGTTTTCCAGAAATAATATCCTTGTGTACGTGCATCTCGTTTCAGAAATTGACCCATATCTTATTTCTACACAGGGGAGGCGCATAATCTACTTTCACTCCTTTTTATCCATTGTCCTAGTTTATTGTATAATCACAGGTGGAAAAATGGCGCATTCTATGTACCACTTGGGAATCCAGATATACGTCGCCAGTGTTTGAAATATATGTCAAGAGTGTCCTGTCCAAAACATACAGGCTAACCCACACCAGACATGCCAGCTCATCTGATGTTCATCTTCCATTTCGTGGGTACAGTGATAGCACTGCCTCGTGGAAGAGTGGTGTCGTGTCCGGCAGGATGCTTGTGACTTCTGCGGCATGTTGCATGCAGTATGATCATCAAAAGTTGATCCCAGACTTTTAGCTTTGGGATCACACCAATGTACTGCAAGTCATTGCACTCACAGGGCGGCTGCTCTGTGTCTTCGTTACCATCGATGCTGGCCGTTTGCGCATTACCCATGGGAACCATATCGCAACTAAGTCCTGTATAACTCTCGTGAGTAAAATAGAGATGGCCAATCTATCTAACCAACCTTCTGCATCCCGAAAACTATGAAAGATGCGAACGGCACTAATATAAAATTAATAATTTCATCAGGTAGTGAAAGAGTCTTGGAACTAACGAGCGGTCGGAATCATGTACTGCCAGGAATTTGGCAGGTCTGTTAGAAAAAATACAACGGCCCTACAGGACTGGTTAAGTTGTGTAGGCGGATAGATGATAAAACGTACGACAATGATGCCCAGGAGTACAGACAAAATAGCCCAATACGGAAGACTAGTGTAGTGGATGATTTCCTATCCACCAGTGGAAATGCACGTTTGATCTTATTCCAGCGACGATAGTATTGCACAGTAATAGCAACTAGGCCAGTACAAGTTATCAATCAGGATATATACATAGCATGGTGTTAATTTGAATTGCTTACTTTCAAAGAACACGATCACTATCATTATGGCTGCGCAGAACGATGGGACTAAGAGTTTTATCCTAAAGAACGGTGACCATCAGCTAATTGACTACAAAATATTGACAAATCCTTACATTGAGTCAGGCTCAAGCCAAATAGAGCAATATAGACCATTAGTTGGACGTGCCAATCCCTTTCCGATGTTGAACTTTTGTCAAAAGAGCCGTGAATCAGTGGGACTGTGACGAGGAACTAGTTCGGCTCGCATAAAGTACTCACCAGGCCAAAAGCCAACGAGAACATAAAGAGCACGATATATGGAGGTGCCAATATCTTTTACGAGGCGTCAGAGGAGTTTTTGGAAATAACGTCGAATGAACCGCTCATACCATGAAGAACCACAAAGGGCGCGGTATCCGGTCAATGAAGGGATGATCGTGATCTTGCCAATGGAAGGTGCTCCACGTCTGTGGGAAGGTAAGTAAAAGAGGACTACCAATAGCGGTGCCTCAGCAGCACTCACGCTAATGACTACAGATAAGGATGCAACAACCGCCCTATGAAATAATAATGCTCATGAGAAATCGAAATCGACCTGGGCAATGGGGGTATAAAGTGTATCTTACATTGGCGGCGCACCCTGGATCAGGGATGCTTGGACAACACAGAGTTGTTGTGAGGCTTTGCGACCGCCACCGTAAAAGCTGACATATAGAGTCAAAGACGAACTCAGTGATTCAAAGATAAACACGTACTAAAGGCTATAAACCACTGAGTAGATGATCCAAGTGACGCAGTAATTGATAATGGTTGAGCATCTCGAGATTCTCTTCGAGAAGACGTACGTGAAGGCGATAATCGGTAAGCCAACTTGACCACCAGCAATAAGTAGGAATAGGTAGATAGGAGCCAAGTTATGCAGATCAGGAATAACGTCGTCCATTTGTACTATGTTTGTTATGAATATTTAGAACGGTAAGTCGATTTACTTTCATGAAAACAACACGTACTGGTCAATATGGAGCGTCAATATCTGCAGAGCTGGGCAGTCTTGCGCACTTGAGATTGATGTGCCCCAACGTAGCCTAGGAATAAATGACCAGCATATATGTGACCACAAGGTCAACTGTGACAACGCAGTAATATAGCGTAGAGGACTGGTGTGACCTGCACAAAATCTTATCGGCCAGCAATGTGCTGGTGAAACCAAGGCGTATCAGTCCATATATATTAGCACTGCACATAGGATCAAAGGTCACTATAACTTGATCAGGGTACGTACCATCATTATGAAGCACTACCGGTGGGATGTTGCTCAGCATGAGAGGTCCCCGTATAGTCTTGGGTAAAGCCACAGTATCGCCATGTAAGCAAAATAGGGACTATAGATCATCATTCAGAAGCTGACACTGCCACCAACTTCACGCGCAGAATCAGAATCGACCATGCATCAAGAAGAAATGCATAGCCATGCCCAAGTAACCCGCAGGTTTCATGTAGTAGCCCGTGTCGCATTGAGTTAAGAATCAAGTACATCACGCTGTTTGCCTTAGCTGCATAGTCCAGGACCATCAAGACGGTACGAATTCATTCCTTTCGAGGTGGAAAGTGCCACGGAGATAATGACATTGGCGTTAACGCTCTACTATAGTGCATGATCGAAAAGTAAGGTGGGGTAGATAGAAGACCCACGTAGGTAAAACAGGACCATCTCAGCAATTAATCATCCGCTCGTGTTGATCAACAATAGTCCAAATCGGGCTGAGGGTTTGGCCAATTCCGTCACAGACTGGAATGAGGCATCAATCACAGGGACTCCATAAGTCAAAAGAGCCGAGAGCTTGTCACCGTGCTCTTTCGATGTGGGAGAAATGGAGGTCGAAGGGGACAGCAATGCTGATAGTAATACTTGCATTCTCATAATATGATCCGACGCTGCACGTTCTGGGTCCCCTCCAAGGGAATTTGATCCATCGCTCGATGTCTACCATATGATTAATCTTACGCCGCGAAGAACCTTTCCCAAGCGACTGACCTTAAATCGCAACAGTTCTAAAGCAGAATCCAATGGCGACGAGTTCATTTCCTTCACGTTCCAACTCGACGACAGCTTGCTGAGAAATGTCAGATCATACAGAGCCTGTAAGCCGCTCGTTTTGATTCCCCTGTCAGTAGTCTCGATGAAGGAGGAACAATATGACACGAGTGCTTTCTGTGCTATTTTGGAGAGAAGATGTGGTTCGTGGGAAAGACCCAGGCTATGACAACCTGTCGATAACGATAGTAGCGACTCTATGAGAGCTGCTGATGGGCCTGAAGGAGACTCTGGGGAAAATACTATTCAATTACCCGTAAAATGCGGCATTGAACGAACTCACGTGAAGATGACAGCTTGGACAACCTTATTAAACGGGTATACTCAGAAATAGCGTGCGATACCGTGTGATCCAACCAAAAAGCAGTAATACGGTCGTGAACGGCGCACGTTTTGGCTCGAAACGCTAAATGTGGCTGTCAGCTTTTCATCATTAGATGGGAGAGGCGGCGACGATCTTACCTTCTGCTGCCAAGTCATCGCAGCTGATCCCTGAGACGAAAGGAGACGAAAGTGACAACTCAGACGCTGTTCGGCTAATAAGCACCAGAGTCTTTATCCCGCTATCGACGTCTGGGACAAAATGTCAAAAAGGGGACTCTCATAACTGTACGAGCTTTGCCTACCGGATCGCTTCATTGCTTCTTCGGCAGCCAAATTCAAAGCATTCACAAGCTTGTCACAAAAAACCTCCGCATCAGGTCGATATGCCTCTCTCAGCGTAGCAGCTAAGTCTCTGTCATCGTCTCCCGCTGTAATTCGAGAAAAATCCCTTTGCAGAGTTGCGCTACATTTTTCTAGAGTGCTCAACACTGAGTCCAAGTATGGTGTCCGACCGCTTAGCTGCTGTCGCAGAGTACTTCGATACGTGAGTAGAGTGGCTTCTGATGTTGAAAGTCCGGCGCCAGCTGGGGGAAATGTAGGTAGCGTTGGTGTCCGAAACAAATGTTCTAATGGTGCACACTCTATGTATAAGCCAAATCAGTTGAAAGTTGAATTGCACTCGGCAAAAACGAAAGGCAAACCTTGCATTACTGAATCTATTATGGTAACTGACGATAGCTGCTTACAGAATGCTTCTTCAGCTTCCAGTAATACAGACTTCCAAATGGAAGTGACGCGATGACGGACGGCTTCATCCATAACGGTTTTGAGCTTCAGCTGCTCCTTCTGTTCAAGTTGTGAATCGCTCTGCAACCATTTCCTGAGAGATGTTCTGACACTCCACACATCCTTGACCGTGCTGAGACCAGAAAACCACTTCGTCAACGCATTTCGCGAACTATCCGCTGCATGCGTAAACCAGGCATCCAGCTTCTGAAACAAAAGAGCTTGTGGCACTGATGAGGATGCAGAATCCAAATCGACGTAAGGCTTATAAGAACTAATGTTTGCGGGAAGAAGATTGAATTGTGCAGCGGACGGCAGGCCAGCAAGAAGCGTCTGCGTGTCTAGTAAAAGCTCCGATGGAAGAGATGATAATTCCACAGTAGATGAAGACGAGTCGAATTGTATATGCTTCAGCACTTGCCCAATCATCGAATGCCGAGCCTCTTCGGAACTCTCTTGAAAAACATCTCGCGCGGTGTTAACGGTTCGTGACATAACGTCAAAAGCGGTTTGAATCGAAATTTTTATCATGCGAACTTGAACTTTGGTAGGTTTTACCCCAGACTTTGGTACAGTTCCCTGTGGAAGATGTCCATTGGCTTGACCATTATGTTGATTAGCAGCCGGTATAGATGTAGAAGGGGTTTCTGTAGTTTTAGTAAGGAGGGTCCCGAAGGTTTTTGATCGTTGTGCGAGAAACACAGTTAATGTTTCCGATAAAGGTCGTGAATCCAACAAATGAAGCGTCAAAAGAGTTGCGCATATATCCTGACCCCAACGTGATCAGAAAACGAGTGAAAATACCGTGGAAAATAGTACCTCTGATGGTCTATTGTATATCCTGAGGGACATCGTTGCCTTGTGGACGATTTGTGTGCGAAAGTGGGATACCGTATCCCATTGCCGTTGTATGAGGGGGAACTGTTCCTGTTCACGTCCACATGTCAGGAGCACGCACTTTCATGTGAAGTTGAGTACGTACTAGTATGTTTATTCCTTGGTTTATCCAGCTTTCTTCGTCTTGACCATCATCTTGTACCAAAGCGCGATGAACGACTCTCGCTAGAAGAAATAACCAAGCAGCATGGAAATACTTGTCTCGTTCAATCAACCGCCACAGATGCTCTGGTGCATCAAGGAGTAGCTTGACATGCGCAGAAAGCTTTTGTAGCGTTTGCAAATGCGTGTCTACACGAGGCACCAATGAGCAAATGAACCGTCTAGATAATCAGTTACTCACCATCTTTGCTGGACTGCGAGGCTCGTTTAGGTGTTGGTGATGGATTCTGGGAAGATGTAATCTCCTTAATCTCCTCTAATGCTTCTTTGACACGCTGTGAAGACTTTGAAATGGAGATAATGGAGGTAGATGCTTGCAAAAGGTCGCGATATCGTTCCCTGCGCTTTCCGAGTACAGTCAAAGCACGTTTTTGTACGTTCCTATCAGCACGCACCCAACCATGACACGAAGTTCCTCCTGTTTCGCCTCAGCATCAGCTCTGTAATTAATTAGTCTTGAGTATCACTATGAATGAACAGAAAGCTAAGCGAGAAAGCCTCACCTCAACTGTAACTGCACGGCCTTGACCTCGGGAATGGTATGTTTCGTGTACAGTTCATCTGGACTCAAGTGTAATGCATTATCAGGAAACTTTGAGGAGGTGTTTGATAGCAAGGACGAAGATGGTGGTAGTTTGGCTTTTGAGGTGGACGGAGAAAATGTCTGACGTGCGGACACGTCTGCATTATTCTTTGTTGGAGCGAATGACAGAATCGAAGCAGCAGATGAACGTCGAGCCATGGCAGTCCTCAGCACAAAATGAAATGCAGGTCGTGGTCGCCTGTGCTGATGCCCTTCAGACCAGTTTCGTAGCAAACAAGATCAGGTTCAGGTTGGCTTTGCAGCCCTACATTCGCACCGCTTTGAGAATTACGTAACATGGTATGTATTGGAGAGCTTAAAGAGTTGGCAAAATGCAAGACAGGATGGCATGACATGAAAGAGCAGGCAACGAAATGGACAACCCCCAACAATTACTACTTATAAATGATTTAGTACACTATCGTCTCTCATCACTGGAACTAGGCGAATCAGCAAGGTCTACCTCAGACGTTCCAGGGCTAGCTTTTCGCTCATCTGGGCGGGGAGTCACAGCTGCGGGAGGTGGTCGGGAGGGCTGAGATTGGGGTTGGGACTGAGATGATCCATTGAGAGACGGCGAACCAGCTGACGAGCTAGCTAACCGTTGATCTAAAGCTTTCAGCGCAAGAGCCCTGTAACTCATCGAATCAAAAAAACGGGCCAGAGTTCAACAATAGAATTCTTACCGTCGTCTTTCTGCCTCCGCACGAGCGCCGCCAGGTGTTAGACTGTACCCACCAGACTCTATATCAGCAGACGCTGAGTTTGGAATAAGGTGGAAACGCGTTGCAATGCTGTGCACTGTGTTTGCAAGGAGAGAGATGGGGCGACTGTACAAGCAGGCTTAGAAAAGAGTCTGATTAAGCCTAGAAAAGATACTCACTGAACCAAAGGAGGGAACCAGTAAATCAAAGCAAATGTTTCGCTACGGTCGCCATAAGTTTCTATTCCACCCACGGTATCCGATGTGTTCTTTTTGTAAAAGCGAAGATACACCCATGCCGCTAGCCAGCCAAATTGGATGACGATGTACGGGCATTGGAAGCCAATGAAAGTCATAATAGTAGAAAACGTAAGATAAGCCATTGGCAATCTCTGTGATGATATGTCAGATTGTGTCCTTTTACACTGAAATATCTAGAGGAATACCAACTTTTACACGGGCTTTAAACACGCCCAATACTTGAACTTGATGCTCTGGGATGACTTGTGTGTAAGCGACAAGAATACCTGTTATTAGTGCCATTTGACCATGATACTGCATTCCGTATCTATAGAGGACCAGTCAAACGAGATCAGTTTGGAAACAGCAAAAACGTACAAGAAAAGGTCTGCATTTGTCGTGGCTACGTATTCTATCCAGTTGAACGCAAAAGCGATTATATTCGGAATGGTGACGCAAACGACGATAAACTTGATTGTCTCAATGGCTCCCCACAGTCTTTCAAAGTACCGTAACGAGGGTGGAACGAAGAGAAGGGTGACGATGAGCTGCTCAAAAGGTAAGTTTTTTCAAAAACCCTGGACAGCTATTTTTACTGCGCACCTCAATAAAGCTCACTTCCACTAGCGCTGAGGTTGCAAATGTCCATGGATAAAATAGACTTGAGCCTGGTACGAGCGTAAGATATGGCACATAGATAGTATCACCCGTCCATTGTATCCAGAAGTATAACGACGAAACACAAATGGTGGCTGCCGTGAAAGCACGCGTTACAGGCGGTATTGAGCTGAGATACTGCAAGGGCGTTGAGAGAATGGCCATTGTTCGCCGGGATGTGCAATGTCGAACCAGCCCAGGTTACAAGCAAAATACCTGAGTTGTGTTCTGCAGGGAAAGGCTCAAGTTTTCTGTTGCCCTGCGGCACTGCAAATCGAAGCTCTCCGCGTTTATCCCTGTTTACAGCCAAATGTCAATCTTACGTCAGCGGCCCTGTCCTTCATCCCGTCCTCCGCCAAAACACAGTTGCCTTTACCAAGGACGTCCATGAGCGATTACGATTTCAGACCAGGTGGTTCACTCAAGTTCAAGAATGGCGTGGCAGATGGTGGTATCGTAAAAAAGTGCGTATTTCCACACCTCTTCGGTTTTTGCATTAACAAATGATCAGAAAGAAGAAATCCAAGTCAAAGTCGAAACTCATCGGTGAGAAAGAACGAGAAAGAGAACGGGTGAAGGAGTTGTTGTTCAAAGATGAGGACGATGTCACGTCTGGTTCTCCTCAAGGTAGCAGCAGGAATTCACCCGCTATAGGCGGTAGCAGCGACAAGAAAACAGAGGCTGAAAGACGGTTCGAGGATGTGCAAAGACGCAGAGTGAGTCGGTAGACACATACTAAATTTGATGGGCGCTGATGGAGCTATCAGCTGGCTGATAAAGTAGCCAAAATAGCCCACAAAACGCACAAGGATCGCGTTGCAGAGCTCAATGCCAAGCTGGAGTCACTGAGCGAGCACCACGACATTCCAAAGGTATGTTCTCCATCGTCTCATGGTCCATGCACATTCTTACAGTATTCCCACAGGTTGGCCCAGGATAATATCCGCTCGAATCGCTCGTACAGTTCTTTGGTTGGTTCTTTGGGGTTCGATATGCTAGTGGCGAGCGCAGAAGGACGATCACTTATTTTTCATGAATATTCCATTCACAATGCTACGTATCATGCCAATCGTCGCGATTATTCGTGTAAACTACAACAAGTGCCTGAGTGCCACTATATTGTAATATATTTGTTGTGCTTGATATAGTTTACGGATGCACGGCTCATAACCCCGTGGCTCCTTTCACTCTTACCTTCACGTCGCGTTCTGCAACAACATGTCTGCTGCGCCCCAGGCAGAAAAGAAAGGGCACGTCTGCCCTCCGTCAAATGCAACACGTCCTCGAGACCGTTGGGAGAGCATGTTTATATATTCCTTCATATGCAAATTCACGCAACTGAGATCCAAGGTCGAGGGCTTGGAAACACCTATGGAGTAAGCACTTTTTTCCATCGTACACGTGTTACACCCTCCTAACCCACGCACAAACGTCGGATTCATCGTAGTTTCGAAAATTCCTTATTGTCTCGTGAACCAAACCACATATTATCGAAGATTCTGCAACAGTTCATACTGAATCTTCGTCCCCAGACGCGTAACTTGAGGTGAGTGTCGTCCGGCGGCCTGTGATAAGGGAATGGACTTCTGACCACTATCACGATCTGGCAGTGGAGATCAGATATCAACTACAGTTGCCAGTGTTCTCGCAGACTACTTCAAGACGTCAGAGAGGACCGTTTTCTGGGATGATGAATTAAAGGCCAATGTGGACCCCTTCGAGGGCTTGCAAGGGGGCTTTTTCGCTGCAGACTGGGACTTCAAAGTACGTAATCTCCGCCCAAAATAACGCCGAGAACACGTTTGACATGTCATTCTCTTTGGCAACAGCTCAAAATCTTAAGGCAACTCGTGGAATTGCAGTTGACGCACGCCCCAGATATCAAGGGTGTAATCGACCGCGCATGGGGGGTTAGTCAAAACAAACATAAGAAAAAGGAGGATGGCACAGTCCCCACCGATACGATTGACACCAAAAGTCGGGAAAGTCTGCAACTTGTTCCTCTCGGTCAAGACTCTGAGCGCAAACGCTATTGGATTGCAGATGGTCCGTGTGTTTTTTCAATCATTTCATTGTCTTGCTGTTCGATTTCGTATTTGTGCCTATTTGTGCGAGGCGAGGCCACATTATTTTGGAGCGCACATATGTAACATACCGGCTCTCGCCGCCCGGTGCACATTTTGCATGCCGCTAACCGCCGTTCTAATCTATCTTAGATTCACCCCGAATATATGTATCTACGAACCCATGGAAAATTACTGCTACTTTCCAGTCGGTGTCTTCGACACGAGACGAGTATATTGCCACGATCGCGATTTTGGAGGATTCTGCACCCCCAGAGTTCAAATTCAAAAATGGCGAAAAGAAGTCCAAGTTAGAACTGGCCCACCTAGCACTCATCAAGGACCTCGAAAGTCGAGTGGGGGCCATTGACGCTGAAATAGCGGTGAGTATTACTTGCATCAGTAGGTAGATTTAAGTAGATAGATGGTTTCTGGGTTTTCGTTGATATTGGTATGTCTGGATCGTTTGCTGACGCTCTACTCAGCGAGTACAAAAGGCCCGCCGAAAGATCGAACAGCGTGCTCTGCTGCTAGCACAAGCAGAAATACGACAAACTCGAACTCGAAGGCAAACCAGACGGCCAGATTATGTCTATACCGATGCAGCAGACAGCGAGGTAAGCCAGCAATATTCTGTGCTTCTATTTCTGATGATGATCGATAACTAAAACATTATATTGAATCGTTGTTCAGGAAGAGGGTGATGAATATAAATACCAAGATGATGATGAATATGATGATGAGCAGTTTGAGCAGGACGACTTCCTTAATTTCCGCACCGATCGTCAAAATGCACGTCGAGCGTCGACAACAATAGTTCAGAGGCGATCATCACGTGCCGCTGCAACTGCTGCTGCCAAGCGGACTTCGCCAGACGACGACTGGGGTCTCTGGAGGGGTGAAAGGAGGTCAACACGTTTGGTTTCTCATCCACCTCGAAAACGGGCACGAACAGAGGAGAGCACCATGAGTGCGAGCTCTGGGAATGTGACTCAAGCTGCGCCTATTGCGCCCGTTGTTACTGAAAATGAAAATAACAACTCAAAAGCCAAAGTCAACGGAGCCGCTGCAGTCAAGCCTACAGAGATTGCTATGGAGCAAGTAGCAGGACGGAAGAAGAGCAAGTTCTGGTTCTACGCAGTGGAGCCTATCCAAGGTCCTCCAGGCTCAGGCTCGTCTGTTTTGCCTAACGGCACAGCTTTGTCGGGTGTAAACGGCCACCACAATGGTAATGCCGATACATCCGGCAATGGCAGCTATCTCTCAGACGCTGTCCAAGATAGTGACGTCGCGATGGATTTCCGACGTAGCCTTGAAGGTAGCCTATCCCCTGCTCTCAGCGTGGAATCCTAGCGTCCTAGAGTGTTGACGGTCTCTATGTTCTCTGCATATTTGTTCAGTTTTTTTTTTTGATTCTCTCTTCTTTTCTTCTTTTCCATCATATCGCATCCATACATACTCAACCATTTTTTCTCGCATCACATCATCTGCCAGGCATACTCTACCTCCATATTATTAAGTCAAATCCGTTACTATTGTCATTCCATCCGCTCCTTTTCGTCGGACCGTATTTCGGTATTGGCTAGTATCAAAACGAGTGGTTGGATATCATTGTATGTAGTTAGTTTGTCGGTGAAAAAATGATATATGTTATTGTCTTGTGTTAACTTATCAGGTACACTTGTTCCGTAATTTTTGTGGATGGTCCAAATGTAACCAAGGAGTACGTTGGGTCAAGGGATTCTGTCTCACCTGTGGACGAACCTTCCTTGTCGGCAAAATGATACTTCCAAATTGAGTATTACCTTATGTAATACACGAACCCACATTTAGGATTGCTCATTTCTTTGGAAGACGCGATCTTCTGACTTGCCTTAGACGCCATTTATGATAACCAGGACTGCTGCAAACGCTTTCTCAAAGCTGCAAAAACCGATATTCAGGTTTCAAGGATGCCTCTACGCAAAGAAATATGCATTTCACCGACAAGCTTCGTCTGCTATGCCCACCTTGCCCGCTTCGTCAGACGACATAGAGCTCGCATATCTGTTTGACCAACCACAAGCAGGAAGGAAACCATCTTTTACATCTCTCACCGGTATTTTTCGACATCCACAACTAACCACTCCTGCTGCATTCACGGCTCTGGCGGACTCGACACTGGTACGAGCCCATTTGCTGACTGAGCGAATACTACGAGCACGAGAGTCACGTACCGAACTATTCAAAGTGGTCAAGAACTTGGACAGGCTCAGCGATTTGCTATGTGGTGTAATAGACTTGACGGAGCTAGTACGAAATGCGCACCCGGACCCTACGTGGATTGAGAGTGCCAATGAATGCTACGAGAAGTTATGCGAGTTCATGAATGTTTTGAACACTAACGTGGGTTTATACGAGGTATGTGTCGATTCATGCATTTACTTGCCTTGGTAGCTAAAATAATATATATATATCAGGTTCTACACGCTGTCTTGTCAGATCCCGAGGTTGTAAAGTCATTCAGTCCCGAAGCACACCAAACCGCATTGATTTTCTGGCGTGATTTCAAGAAATCTGCCATCGACCTGCCGCCAGAACAGCGAGAAAGGTTCGTAACCTTGTCATCAGAAATTCTTTCAGTAGGTCGGCAGTTCGTAAACGAAGCTTCGGCTCCTCGCCCTCCGACGGCTATCAAGCCATCAGAGCTTCAGGGGTTAAAACAAAATGGAATGGGAACTAGACTGCAGCTTCAAGCGCGCGTCACTCAACGAGATCTTCTTGTATATCCCGGATCACTCCAAGCGCATATGATTATGCGGTCTGCCCCTGCGGAAGAACCTCGAAAAAAAGTATACATGGCTTCCCACTCGAGCACTCCAGAACAAATAGAATATTTGGAGAGACTGCTTCACGCACGAGCAGAACTTGCACGACTGGTTGGGTACGATAGTTACGCCAGCATGACTCTCAACGACAAGATGGCGAAATCACCGGGTGAGCCAACTGTATGCGCCACTTTTGGGCTGTTTTCTAATGTAGAATTTGGTAGAGAATATCAATCAATTTCTGGATACATTATTGGATCGCACAAACTCCTATGCGCGAAGCGCTTTGCATGCTTTAAGCTTGCGAAAGCAAGCCCATATCAACGCACCGACACTACCCATTATTCAGGCGTGGGATAGGGACTATTATTGCCCTCCTGAGCCTCCAGCACCACCTATCGCCTTACCTCCTTTAACGCTAGGCCGGGTGTTCATGGGTCTTTCACGACTATTTAAACATTTATATGGAGTTTCACTTCGACCTGCGGAAGTTTTAACGGGCGAAGTATGGCATTACAACGTACACAAACTAGAAGTATTAGATGAGGATTCCGGGGTCATCGGATGGATTTATGCGGATTTATTTGCCCGTGCGGGGAAGTCATGTGGTGCAGCCCATTACACTGTACGCTGCTCACGTCGGACTGACGATGATGACGAAGCTGGCGATCTCATGGTGGAGAATGCACAAGATATTCTTCGTTCATCGCAAGAGTTCGAAGAAGTAAAACGGCAGAAAGTTAAAGGGAAAGATGGTGTGTACCAACTTCCTCTAGTGGTTCTATTGTGCGAATTCGCACGTCCCACGATATCTCGTGGTCCTACCGTCCTTGAGTGGCACGACGTGTTAACACTATTTCACGAGATGGGACATGCCATGCATTGTGAGTCCTTGGCCATTTTTATTATATTCCTGGTTGTTGGCTGAATATATATCAGCAATGATCGGTCGAACAGAGTATCACAACGTCGCTGGTACCCGTTGCGCTACCGACTTTGTTGAGCTCCCATCAATACTCATGGAACATTTCCTAAACTCTCCAATGGTTCTCTCTCTTTTTGACCCTGACAGCTCGTCTGCGACCAGACAGATAGGCAACCATCACGAAGACCCATGTCGTTCCATCGACACCCATAGTCAGATACTCCTCTCCGTATTGGATCAGGTCTATCATTCACCAACCGTCCTCGAACCCCACTTTGACTCGACAGCCGCTCTTGCTAATTTGCACGATACGCGCGGTTTGATCCCTCACGCCCCAGGGACTTCCTTCCAGACACAGTTCAGCCATCTGTTCGGGTACGGTGCAACGTATTATTCCTACTTATTTGACCGTGCCATCGCATCGCATGTGTGGCGCAAGGTCTTTTCAGATAACCCACTCAACCGTGAGACTGGCGAGAAATACAAAAGGGAGGTTTTGCGTTATGGTGGAGGGAAAGATCCGTGGATGATGCTCAGCGCATTGCTTGGGGCTCCCGAACTTGAGGTCGGCGACGCAGAAGCGATGCGCGAGGTTGGCAGGTGGCGAATTGAAGATGAGGTAGCTGTTCCAGGAAGACACTGATATCTCAGAGGGTCTAAATGTTCATTCAATTTGTAGCATAGTTTACTGTTGTAAATAGACATCACAGCTGATTTCATAACGATAGACCTATCCTGTGAGTTAGTGTGCAGGTGGACTTCAGCGGAGTGTATATTTTCGGGAAGAACCCGAAGTGTCTGGGAGAGACAAGTCAACCCTCAACTCAACATGTGGCGCCATATTCCCAAGGAGCAGAAGATACTAGTGTACGAATTGTCTTGCATCCATGGCCTCTCGGACAGACATGTTAGCCGTTACCTAGGAATCAGTCAATGGACCATCAGGCACATCCGGAAGACCTTCCGGGACACTGGTGAAGTGGGACACCAACTAGCTTGTCAAGGACGGTCTTGTGCCCTTGCACAGCAAGCATAACCAACTTTTGTCACACCCAAAATCAATGAAAAAGTCTGAAAGTAGTTAAAATGTTTAATTGCATTTTGGACCTACAAGACTTTATCAGAATAATGTATTTTTGTTAACATATTTCTACATATTCACACAAAAATATAGTATTTATGGGAATATGTCAACAAAAAGACATCATTTTGTAGGTCCAAAATGCAATCAAATATTTCAGCTACTTTCAGACTTTTCCATCAATTATGAGTATGACAAAAGTTGGTTATGCTTGCTGTGTTGATGGCTTGGAAGCAAGTGTCAGTTTTTTCTTTTATTCTTCTGATGTGCTGATAAAACAAGTTTTTCGATAGTTCCTTGAAGGCTGCATTGAAAGACAGCCTGATATGATCCTCTCAGAGTTTCTAGATTCCATTTTTCTTTGGCAAGCACTCCACTGAATAGTTTACACCAATTTTCTCAAAGACTTGGGCTATCACACTTATCACACCAGCCACACTCGGTACACGGCCAGAGATTCATAGCCACTCCGCACAAGTTTCTCCGACGTAGCCCCCGTACATGTGGCAGCCCAGACTCAGCTCCATGTGTTCATCAGGTCCAGCTTTTTTTTCAAATATAACCATGGACTCTGATCCAGATTCCAACCGAGCACCTGATTTCTCAATTTGCAACCATACCCAGACCCCAGCTCAAGATAATCTTCAAATGATCTCCAACCCCGCTATCAAAGCTTATTATGACCGGTTAGATCGTGATATGCTTTGCCGTTGTTACTCTGTTTTTGTATTCATACCATAGTACTCCTAGATCAATACTAGTGCTTAATCTCTCCCCCATCTTTTCCAAGATGCCTATATCAATTGACAAAAGTAAGTGCTGGCTTGAGTTCATTGTAAAATACCAAGGCTGAAACATATCATTCTCGCACTGTAAGCATTATGGGAGCTCGTACACAATTCAGAAGGCCAGCCCCAATATAGGTGCCATTTGTGTCGCGATGGGCGCTTGCGCTATCCATGGCACCTACCCCGCCATGTACAGTCTCTTTTGCACCAGGCCCAAGCCGAGTATGCTCGCCAATATGAGCTTGATCAAGATCAAGCTTAACCTCCTGGATCACCACCTCTGGCTCCTGAAGCCTCGGTCTCCCAAGCATTTACATTAGTCGATAATGGCATTCGTACTTTGCTTACATCTTTAACAGGTGACAATCATTCCAGCCTACAGTCTCAGACACCTGCCAATCCCCTGCCATCTTTCCCTGACATCATCAACTTTGACTGGGGTCTACTCAACAACCCCTCACATGCCGCTCTTGATCTGCCACCTGAGCAGGAAGCAGTTGCCTCAATAGCGCAGGCTGCTCTTGACCACTTCAATGCACTCTCGGATTCCTCAAACGAAGACCTTGAATGGTCAGATGCTCCCAGCAACAATGAATTACCGGAGGTCACTGTGATTGGTAAGCCTCATGCTTTTTTTTTTCATTAGTTATAACTGTGACACTTTCCAGTCAACGATGGTATTGAAATAGCCAGTCATGGACGCAAACATGCTCGTACTGCAGACCATACAGCAACCTCACACCGGTGGTTCCCTTGGCAAGACAAGGTTGTAAGTAGTCCGCTCCCCCAATATGTTCCTCTAGCGTACCATCTACATTATATCACTTATACAGACGTATACCCTGGATATATTAATGCATTTACCCCGCTCAGTTTTCTCGCAGAAACAACTTGATCTGTTTCTCTGGCTGCTCAAAGTCAATGATGTGGATGATGTCCCGTCAGTCAAGACCATGCAAAGTCTTAATTCCGCTTTGCAGAAGTGCTGTGGCATTGGGACTATCGCTTACAAAGGAGCGCTGGGGCATCATTACCATGTGAACAACCTTGCTCATATTATATCTCAGGTAATTCTAACCTCATCTTTTCGAGCACGACACGACATTCCTATCCTTTTAACAGGAGATGTCAAACCCCAAGGTTAGGCCCCACTTACAGTTCTACCCCGAAGACAGTGGACTATGGCTCTCAGAGGCTCGACAGGGTTTGCACTGGCTGCATGAAGTTCCAGATGAGCAGCTCACACCTATGGCACGGCTCAACAGCCACAATTATTACATACACAAACCTGCAATGCTCTCGGATGGCCGTGTATGTATCCCCTTCCGCTGGTTTTATCGTACTCAGAATGGCTATCCAATGATGTTTGCCTGGTGCTGGGCCATGGAACCTGTAGACACAGACCACCAGCGTAGTTGGAAGGTCATCAAATGTGATGATTATGTGGTTTCGCAGAATGAGTTCCTCATGAATTTCCCGTGGCTTTGTCAGAATGTGAAGCAATATGATCTTCCTGACCCCAGGCTTCTCTCTGATACATTAAAAAATGAGATTGTTGTTAGTTTTGGTGATTCTGCACCTTTGTGCTACCTCTATATTTTCATTTCTTTCTCTATCTATTCCTCTACCATTCAGTATTGATTGTGACAGCAGTTAACAGTGGTAGCAGTGGGAAGTGTTGTGACCACACTGGATCACAAGTAGTAGTGAGTAGTGAACTTGAGATTAGAGAAGAAGTTGCCTTTGTGGCTGCTTTGTTTACCTTTGTTTACAAAACATCGGACAGTACTGCAGAGTCCAATGCTTCCTATTCTCTAGTTACTCACATTGGACTCTAGGTACTGTATACCTGTCATACTCTCTAATAATCAAGTTACTCACATTGGACTCTAGTTCCAGTCCCTGATAGCTCTCAGCAAGTGGTTAGACACTTCCCTTAAGCTTTGTTCTTAATAATTGTTTCCCCAACAACATATTGATTATTTTATTTATCAGCCGTTGTAGACTCCAAGACATCCTCAACTTCTGAGTGGGCATTTACAGATCCCAATGTTGGGAACCGATGACGTGCACTGTCGAAAGGGCACAAAGTGCTCAGTTTTCCAATATGGATGTACTGTGATGACAGGTCCGGTAATATGTCCAAGAAATGGAATGAACATAACAGTTTTCTGTTTATTCCTGCAGGTCTTCCACGATTCAAGGCCCAACAAGAATACAATGTACACTTTTTGTGTACATCCAACTTAGCACCTCCACTGGAGATGCTGGATGGTATTGTTGGCCAGCTCAAGCATGTCAACTTCTTATTACAATACCTGGACTAACAGTATCAACTTTCTAGCAACGCACAAAAAAGTGGTGTTTGGTCATGGGACTCTCAAACAAATGAGCCAGTCCTTCTTCTACCCTTCGTACTTGCTCTGTTGGGAGACAATCCTATGCAGAGTGAATTTGCTTGCCACATAGGACTGTGTGGCAAACTTTTTTGTCGTGCATGCTGGGTCAAAGGAACTGATGCTGCTACCAACATCCTCAAGTCAGCAGGCCAGTGTGTCCACCAAGAAAGCAATGGAGCCAAAAGTGATGCAGACAGCCAAATGGCCAGCGACGACAGTGCAAATGAAGGAACATCCAATCCAGCCAGTGAAACCAAAAGTGTACATTCAAATACAACAAAATGCAAGCGCAAACAAGGGCTGGAGACCATGGCTAACATGCTTATTCGTGTTCAAGATTTTGTCAAAGTATGCTCTTTTATTATGATGCAACTACCCATAGCTGATCTGTCAAATTCTATCTAGGTTGGTAAACCTCGAAACAAGCAAGAAACAATCACTCAGTTGCATGCCCAATTTGTTCAAGCATCCCAGCTTGATTCAAAGACAAAAGTCAACAAGATGCGCACAGAATCTGGTATCAAAGACACCTTTTAGAAGTATTTTATAGATAAGGTTGTCGGTTCATACCAGCAATTGAGAGGTGTGGCAAGCAAACAAGCTGCATTAGATGAGTCAATAGCATCTCTTCCCAACACGATCATCAGTCCTGTGTGGAGAACCAAAGGTAATTTCATTTGTGGTATTTTCGTCAATTTACTCAAAACCTTATGCTTCACAGGACTTGACCCACACCAAGACACGCCTGTTGAAATACTACATGTTGTGTTACTTGGCTTTGTTAAATACTTGTGGCGGGACTTAGTACAGCTTCAGCTTAAGGGTAAACTCGACAAGCTCAACCTCCTTGCCACCAGACTGTCATCTCTTAATGTCAATGGCCTTGGCATCTCACCACTTACTGGAAAAACTTTGGTACAGTATTCTGGTTCACTCACAGGGCGGGACTTTTGTGCCATAGTTCAGGTGGCCCCATTCGTCATCTATGACCTTGTCTCCAAGGAGTGTATGGATACATGGGTTGCATTATCCAAGTTGATTCCGTTGATTTATCAGCCAGAAATACATGACATCAATGCACACTTGGTCAGTGGCAGCTTGTTTAATATAAAGTTTTACTCATGACCGTCATTAGGACATACTCACAAAAGAAATAGAATATTTCTTATTATATTCAGCACAATGGACATGTTGTTGGTTTAACAAGCCAAAATTTCACATTTTTGTACACTTAGTACAACATATCCGTTGCTTTGGTCCCGCAATTCTGTTTGCTATTGAAGTATTTGAGTTGTTTAATGCAGTTATATGGGCCAAAAGTATCCATTCTAATCAACATGCCCCTTCTCGAGACCTTGCACGAGCATTTGCGCAAGGGAACCGCATTCGACATCACCTTAGTGGAGGCAAATTTGTTTATTTGCCTGCCTTACCTGCCGAGCACCCACTGGATGGCCCCATTCCCATGCAAGGACAACAATCTTTCTCTTTTCGTGCATCTGACTGGCGTGAGGTTGGGCCTGGCCCTCTATCACTAATTGCATCCCCAAATACAGTTTCACATTACTTGGGTATTGATCCCCACTTTCCAAAACTACGAGTTGGTAAGTCCTCTTCATCACTTAGTGATAGCCAGTTACTCGTGTTCTAATTCTTGCCACTACAGGACTTTGTGTATCCGACAATAAAGTCGCGCATTCATTTGCTTCCACCTTGACAGGGCAAAAACTCCCTCATGCAATGCCCGATGCTGGTTCCTGTCTTTGCAAAACCAATGATACCATTGTGCTCTCAAACGGTGACCAATGTGCCCTGGGCCAATTTGTAGTTGTCCGGCCACGAGGGTCTCTTGACCTCATTTATATGGCACAAGTGGAAGAAATTTTGCAAGTAAAGGGCACACCAAACGAACTTACACAACTCGCAGATGGCATTCTAGTCCAGTCGGTATCTACAAGTCAACACTCAGATGCTTATTCAATGCCTCGCACTATCTTAACTGATGGATGGGGTCTCCTACGTGTCTAGGCAAGTCATTACAACATAATTATATTTTTACATTTTTTACACATTCTTAGGACATTATGTGTACGGTCAATGTGCAACACAACTGTAACAACAATCTATGTGATACGTCAGGGATCCGCTATGTGTATTGAAGTGAGTGCGGACTGATCACACTCTGCCTACTGTGGCCCATAGGCACCCATTGGACCTCATCCTCAACACCGCCCATGTGAGATGCTGCACATGTACAGCATTTCCGAATAGACTTGCCTATCCTGGATATTGAAGAAGTTTTGACTGGGAGTGTGGCACGTGAAGTTGATGCACGGAGATCAGGTACTGCACAGAAGGTATTGAGTTCGTTGAGGAATGCAGGGCTGGGACGCCATTCACAAAATGCCACAAGCCCTGGTACAGTCCAAGCATCTCGAGTGTCACAGCTTTGGCAGTAGATACCTTGCAATAGTGGTTCTGATGTAATATAAAATCCTTCAGCTGCTCATATCAGTTCCTACAACGATAGCTTCTCGGGCCATTCATCTGCGAGGTTGCATTCCAGCTCAGTCCAGTTCCTACAATGATAGCTTCTCAGGCCATTCTTGTGGGAGGTTGCGGTCCAGTTCCTACAATGATAGCTTCTTGGGCCATTCATCTATGAGATTGCAGTCCAGCTCGGTCCAGCCCCTACAACAATAGTTTCTCAGGTCATTCATTTGTGAGGTTGCGGTCCAGATAACATTGTCAATGTGATTTGAATTGGCTGAGTTGCATGCTGCTAAATGTGGCCTGTTCAGCACTTTTGCTTCCGCGCACCATGGCAAGAAGGTTTGAACTTGCGAATTTGCTTCCGTTGACATTGAGCTGCAGGCTAACTAAGCCAGCAATAGTATACTCAATATATTCTAGACTGCATATTTTGTCAACGTCAATCATACCTTGTATTAACATGCTCTTTTTTAGGTTTCAATTGAGCCTCGTTTCTGATGTGTCGCCCACGACAATCTCTGTCTCATCGATTGCACTGCAACAACTCTATCACACAGGCTCAATCAAAACAATACTCAATGTAGTAATACACTGCTTCAAAAGCACCAATCAGCCTCCATTTGATCAAGAAACTGGCACCCCCGCAGGTAAGTACTTATAGCGTGCTTCATGTGCTCCACTTCCACTAACAGCTCTTTCACATGGAATTTGGCCAGAGCTTCAATTGCATCGGGTAGCGTCAACATGATGGAATTGCAGGTGTGACCTGCTGAGGTGCCGGGAAACGATTGAGGGGATGAGAGTGTCTGGAAGGAGTTCGGCTGTTGCTGGTCTGGTTTGAATCAAAGGTCAGTCTTGGCACTTATGATGTTGCATTTGGAGACACTCACTAGGTCCTGTATTGTTCGCGGATGTTTGTCCGCCTGTCAAAGCCCATGCCATGGTTTATCAAGTAAGTCATGCTTGTTATCAGAGTAAACTAACCACTCACGTGTTTCCAGTGCCAATCTGACATGTTTCGCAAGGCGGCGGCGCTTGTGGGAAGGCTCAATAGCCATGGCATGCGGTCTGAAACAGGTGAGTTGGGAGGAATGAGCCTTGTGGCAAGGCATTGAGATGCACCGTACTGAATGAATAGCAGATGACATGCGCTGCCTGCGACGTCGTTTTATGGTGACCGGTGTAACAGGAGGTGTGAGCATGGTTGAGAATGGGATAGTGAGTTGTTCTACGCTATGCAAGTCATAAATTGACGCATTGCCAGCTTGCAATCAGTCTCCGGGAACAATGAGCAAACACCAGCAAACAAAAGCACATCGCATTCACATTGATCACTGCGGGCGCATTGCGCATTTTTGGAGGGCTCACGTGAATTCTATCCAAAATGGTATAAAAATGGTACGTCAGGCTTCAACATCTCAACTCCCCGCTTAATCATGCCTTATTCACAAGAAAGCTCAAGGTTTACCTTGCCATCCCTGTGTCCTTTCATGGACTCGGGAGTGGCCCATTTTTCCCTTAGCCACCCTCGTATTGACGCTCTGACAATGTTTGGTGGAAATGCAGGAAATAGGCCACTGCTCAATCACACTCCATCCTCAGCACCGAACCCACACAACTCGACAAGTCCTTCCCCCTCAGCATCTCCGTTGGCGTATCACAGGAGCATATCCTCACCACACAAAGTGGTAGCTCCACATACCGATTTGGAAATGTGCACAGCACCCAGTTCAGCGCCCGGGTATATAATTCCGCCATTGTTTATTGACAGACTGGCTCGTGACCAGAAACTAGAGCCTGCGCAAAGGGAAAGCCTACATGATTTTGTCAAGGTACAGTTACAACATGTTTTGTGCTTATTCGTTCTGCTGATTCATATTAGCTGGGCTCACTGGAAGGAGGATTGACTAAACCAGACATGGCCACTCAATTATACCTCCTGGCAGCATTATTTGGCGAAGCGGCAGAACGGCATCGACAAGCCAGAGACAGCCCATTTTCTGGTGAAGATATCAGGGCCTTGTTTGCAGACTTGAAGATATGCTTAGAGGACAGTTTCTGTTTTACAGCCGAGCAAAAGGTAGTTGAGTATGGGCAACCGAGTCTTTTGTATTACTCATAGAAATTTCCTTATCAACAGGCCAATATCCAAATTATCGCACAAGACATCATCTTTCAACCCACCCAAACAAGATTCAAATCAATCAACATTGAAGTTGAGGTAAACCATTTGAAAAATCTCGGTACAAATTCTGCTGCTCAGCTTTTGGTTATTCAGAAAACATTACAAACAGAAAAGGAAAACATGAGGTTGATGAACGTGTTTGGTATACCGGCACAAGAACATCAGCTGGCAGCTCAAATAAAAGATGTCTGTTCAAGTGTTCAGAATAATTTTAGGCAGGATGTCAGTATAAGTTTATGCTGCAATCACTGTAGATTAGCTGACAACCTTCTGAGTCAAGATTCGAGACAATATCACTGGGCCAAAAGCTGTTGAAGTCGCCAAATTCACTTACAGCATGGCACTGAAATACAAAAGAGGGGGGATAGGTGACAAACTAGACACCGCATATACATTCCATATTGCGTTACTGGTATTTGATTTACATGAGTTTTAATTTATTTTCTGACAGATATCACTGCAGAGGCGTTTCGGCTATGAACACATGGAGCTCATCAGTAGCGCAGCAATAGAGAGTGAGGAATATGGAGGCAACTTGGATGATGTGAACAAACGGTGTCATGCACCAAAGTTGATTGGTAGCATGGACAGGTGTCAATAACGAAGCGAATATTCAAAAAGACTCGCCTTTGCGCCACACAGGCACAGTGCCACGTGGAATAGTAACCAATATTGCCTTTTTCGAACTTGTGGCTGATCAGCACCACCTCTATTAGGCGATCCAGTCACGCTCACCTTTGCTTTTCCATTCGGTACTTTCGGTACTTTCGGCATTTCGGCATTTCGGCAAATTTTCATGTCACCACTGGCTACACATTGCATTGCGCCCTCGCTTTTGTCGTTTCCCTTACCCCCCTTCCTTTGCCTAGCCCCACCATGGGCCCCTTCCTCTCCTTTTTATTCTCACCTGACAGTCGTTTCTGGATCCCCATTCTAATCCACTTTTTTGTCACCTCCACCCTCCTCCTCCTCATCTTATTTGCACCCCCACCATTTCTGATGTCACCACTTCCTATCCGCTTCCGTCGCCGATCCGTTGACTACCACATGCCACTGCTGATATCAGCAAAGCCCCGGCGGCCGGTTCAAATAGGGCAACAGGTCCATCTTCATGACGTCGATCTACCATCATATACTATCAAAACATCGGTCACTCGTCTTGCCTGGTTGGAGCGTGGGTGGGTAGTTTTTGAGCTGGAGAAGGATCATCCCCTTGTGTCGCCCATGTTCATTGCTGTCCCATTCACTTGGGTACACTTATCTTTTGTCCATCGTCTTTGCTACAGCTACACCTATCACACGCTGCCTGGGACTCACTTGTTCCAAATTGGAACTACTCCTCTCCCTCCCTCGTTTGATCAGGTGGTCCAACACAACCAGTCCATTGGTAAGGCCATGGAACTGTTGGATTTGGACTAGGTGGTGGACCAGTGGCTCCAGTTTCTTTTTCTTCAGCAGAACATTCATTTACAGTGCAATTATTTTTGATTTTTGAATCATTTTTATGGACACATATTTTTTTAGAATGCCTGACTGACAATAAAGGAACTGTGTTGATACTGATAGTGTTTTGCCTTGCCCTTTTTTTTACTGTATCTTCCCATGACATCATGATTTTCCTGCTCTCTTTTTGCTATTGGACTTTACTTTATGGCTGTACAAACCTGTGACATTACTCACAGCACTCATTGTTCTATCCCTTTCTTTTCCTTTTTTTGACAATCTTATCCTGTACTATCTACGCAGGATTTGTCAGCATACATTCCTTCCTTCATGTTCTTTCTCATTCTTTTTGCACAGCTATACTGTGCATAGCCTACTTTTCTTTTACTATATAAACCCCTGTATTTTACCTTGTAAAAAAAACAAAAACTCGATTCCAGACTTCTTCTCTAATCTTAAGTCCACTTCTTACTGCTACTTGTGATCCAGTGTGGTCACAACACTTCCCACTGCTACCACTGTTAATTGCTGTCATTGTCACTCCCCACTTTTGAAGTCATTGTTATCCCTTTCAATTAGAGTCCTTCTGAGCACTACAGTTTGTGCGTCAGGAGCCTGCTATCACTGGGAACCTCGTCACCTCGTCATCCTCGTCGTTCTCAAACCTACCTTGTGCTACGATTAGCAAGGTAGTGCTCGTCTATACTCGCCACAAAGCCCCTATCTTTCTATAAATTCAACTATCCCTCCTCCTCAAAACCCACACTCATACATCTCTGGGTTTTACTTTGAAGGATCCGCATACATACCACCCCACGAACAACCAGAGCACCCACTGTTCTAGGAGGCAAAGCCCATAAACAAGTTCCGTGGAATCTGGGAGGATTGTGTGTTAGTTTGTTTTGTGTGTGGTTTTCTAACAACAGTTCTCATCATCGACAATTGGAGCCCACCGCAAGGGGTGGTTTCCTTCAAGCTAAATACCAACCATTTCATCGCCATCACTGTCTAATTTATCATCTACACCTTCTATCTCACCCACCGCTTTATCTGTCCCATCCCTCTCTTCCAGTAACTCAATTTCTGTACCAGCTTCTACTCAGCAAGCTTCGCGTTTACCCCCTATACTTTTCACTATGAATCAACCTACTACTCTCTCAGTCATCACTATGCCAATTCCTGGCACTCGTTATGCTCCTAAGAAGTTCAAGGGAGACTATACTCGTGTCAGGGATTTTGTTCTCCACTATGAGCGTATCTGTCATGCAAACAATGTCACTGCTGACGATGAAAAATGCTCAGCCTTTGCGCCACACAGGCACAGTGCCACGTGGAATAGTAATTAATATTGCCCTTTTTGAACTTGTGGCTGATCAGCACCACCTCTATTAGGCAATCCAGTCACGCTCACCTTTGCTTTTCCATCCGGTACTTTCCGCATTTCGGCATTTGGTCGATGCTTCACACAAGAAGAAAATGGGCTCTCTGGACGATTTCAAGAGCTACATGAGGAAGTATGTTCGTGTTGGAGGATGGCTTCTTGCCAAATCCAAAATCACTCAGGACGTATTCAATCGCTTCTTCTGGAAAGGACTACCCAAAACCCTTCGTCATCGCGTTGAAAATAGACTTCTACAGAGAGATCCTACCCTTGATCTCTCCCAGCCTTTTGTCTTTGATGATGTTGTCAAGGCTGTAGAGCATGTCCTTCGCAGAGATCGCTTTGATGATGAAGATTTTGACTCTGATGATTCGGATTCAGACTCGGATTCAGAAAACTCTTCCAGTTCTTCGGACGATTCTTCTGACTCTGACAAAGAGGAAGAACCACCTCGTTATATCAGGAAAACCACCAAGCAGAAGAAAGAAAGAAAGCACACCTCTGAGACAGAGAAAGAGAGAAAGTTGTTGAGTCCTTCCAAGTTGAAGAAAACCCTTCACTCTTTAGACGAAGAAGAGCACACTGCTGTCAAACAGGATGAAGTAGAAACCCTTATCAAGAAGTTGGGTTCTATGACAATTGAAGATCCTAACTATCCTCTGCTCTACTATTGTGCTATCAAGCTTGACACTGATGCTCGACTTATACTTCGCCCTCCCACTTTCATGAACCAGTCAGCTAGACCATCTCGATCCTCTCAAGGAAGCAGCAACTTACCCACTCAGCCTACTGCTCCACCCACTGCCACTCTGCCTACAGCACCTCGTGTTCCCTTCCTTTGCTATGGATGCGGAAAAACTGGTCATGGAGTCAATGAATGTGCAGATATGCTTGACTTACTGTCAAAGGGAATTGTCAAGAAGGATGACACTGGTCGCTTTGTCATGTCTGATGGGTCTAGAATCATGCGATCAAGAGAGGAACCTATAGCAACTGCTATACATCGCACTATCCCCAAGTCTAACCTCCTCACTACGACTTCTTTTATGTCCATTGCTGAAGTAGCTGACTCTGATTCTGATTCAGATGAAGAGCCTGTCTATGCAGTGGATCGTCCAGACAGAGTGTCTAAGGAGAAGCGCAAGCAAGTCTTTGATGGTGTCTACATTCCTCCTAAACCAGATTGGGCCAAAGCTATAAAAGGAAAGAAGAAAGAAGAAGAGAAGCCTGCCGTTCCAACCATAGCACCTGCCCCATCAAAGCCACACATCTTTGATATTGCACAGCCTATCTTTGGTCCCACTAATGACGATGTAATCATGGAAGATGCTTCCCAGAACACCAAGAAGAATCCCCCTGCCGATAAACAGAAGAAACAGCTCAAGACTTCATCTACTCTTTCACAGAATCTTGACTCCAAAGCCATCATTGATCAAATTCTCAGCACCCCTATCCCACTATCTATTGGTAATGTCATTGGTCTATCAAAAGAAGTTTCCCAGAATCTCCAAGAAATGATGAAACCCAAGCGCGTTAATTTTGGACTAGACAACAAGCCCCAAAGCTTGACAGCTGAATCACTTCTTGCCATCACTCATGCCGACCTCATTCGTGTCCCTGTTACCTCTAATGGCAAAATTATTTCAGCAATTGTTGATTCAGGGTCTGCTCTCAATATAGTCAGTCGCACTATTTGGGAAAATCTCATTCGCCTTCCCATGGATACTAGTATTCGACCTGTAGTCAAAGATGCCAATGGAGGATTTGGTAGACTTGATGGTCTAGTCAACAACGTGGCTTTTTACTGCAGAGAAGTCAAAACTTATGCCAATATCTTTGTTGGGAAAGACACTGGATACAATCTACTTCTTGGACGACCATGGACGCATGGGAACTATGTCAGCATTGAAGAGAGACTTAATGGCCCAGGAAAAAAAGTAAAGGACAAACAGGTGGCCGTGTCACCCAGGGAGAGGATTTCTGGGGTCAAGTGGACTCGTGGTTTGTGAAGGGGATGTCAATTTGAGGGCAAAACCTGAAGGGTGCCGAGTGGAAAGAGTGAGTGACACAAATTTCATTTGAATGAAAATACTGAGGATAATACAAATATATGAGTGAAGCAATGAAACTCGACAACACCAGGTTCTCAGTGGGAATGGATACTGAGAGCAGCATGAACAGCCAATGTAGCAGCAGAGGAGGGGCATCTTCGACTCAGGATTCAGTGACTCATGCGGGGGATTCACTTTTTTCTTACATTTGATTCATTCATTCAGAAATAAGGATTTGTATTACTATATTATATAGTATATATGCTGTCTGCCTTTCATTGGGGAATGTAAAAATATGTCTGATTTGCGTTCCAAGGAACTCAGCATCTGAGCATTGGATGAGATGGTCTGTGCATTGGAGGCACATGACTGGTTGAAGTTTTTTTCAGTGGTTTGGAGGAGCAATATTTTTGTGCCCATTGTTCTTCCCATCTGTTCAGGTTGGTTCATCTTTACTGTGTGTCTGCCTGTGGATTTTTTCAATGTCAAGTTCTATGTCCTTCTTGATCCGCTGAGGATTATTATAATGCATTTGTGGCATATCCGTTGTCAATGATGAGAACTGTTGTTAGAAAAAAACACACACAAAAACAAACTAACACACAATCCTCCCAGATTTCATGGAACTTGTTTATGGGCTTTGCCTCCTAGAACAGTGGAGTGGTCTGGTTGTCCGTGGGGTGGTACGTATAACGATCCTTCAAAGTAAAACCCAGTGATGTATGGGTGTGGGTTTTGAGGAGGAGGGATAGTTGGAATATAGAAAGATAGGGGCTTTGTGGCGAGTATAGACGAGCACTACCTTGCTAATTGTAGTACAAGGTAGGTTTGAGAATGACAATGTGATGAGGTGACAAAGTTCCCAGTAATAGCAGGCTCCTGACACATAGACTGTAGTGCTCAGAAGGACTCTAATCAAAAGGGATGACAATCACTTTCAAAAAGTGACGAGTGACGATGACAGCAGTTAACAGTGGTAGCAGTGGGAATTGTTGTGACCACACTGGATCACAAGTAGTAGTGAGTAGTGAACTTGAGATTAGAGAAGAAGTCTGGATTCGAGTTCTTGTTATTTTTTTACAAGGTAAAATACAGGGGTTTATATAGTGAAAGAAAAGTAGGCTATACACAGTATAGCTGTGCAAAAAGAACGAGAAAGAACATGAAGGAAGGAATGTATGCTGACAAATCCTGCGTAGGTAGTACAGGATAAGATTGTCAAAAAAAGGAAAAGAAAGGGATAGAACAATGAATGCTGTGAGTAATGTCACAGGTTTGTACAGCCATAAAGTAAAGTCCAATAGCAAAAAGAGAGCAGGAAAATCAAGATGTCATGGGAAGATACAGTAAAAAAAAGGGCAAGGCAAAACACTATCAGTATCAACACAGTTCCTTTATTGTCAGTCAGGCATTCTAAAAAATATGTGTCCATAAAAATGATTCAAAAATCAAAAATAATTGCACTGTAAATGAATGTTCTGCTGAAAAAAAAGAAACTGGAGCCACCGGTCCACCACCTAGTCCAAATCCGACAGTTTCATGGCCTTACCAATGGACTGGTTGTGTTGGACCACCTGGTCAAACGAGGGAGGGAGAGGAGTAGTCCCAATTTGGAACAAGTGAGTCCCAGGCAGCGTGTGGTAGGTGTAGCTGTAGCAAAGACGATGGACAAAAGATAAGTGTACCCAAGTGAATGGGACAGCAATGAACATGGGCGACACAAGGGGATGATCCTTCTCCAGCTCAAAAACTACCCACCCACACTCCAACCAGGCAAGACGAGTGACCGATGTTTTGATAGTATATGTCAGGCAACAAATACGAAGCTATATAACAAAGCCCAATGTCTGGTCAAGTCCTTCCTTGAAGGCGGTGAATCAGAGTATGAGAATGAAGAGTATCGGTAAGAGCGCAAATCCAAACTAATATTGAACTAGAGAACAATACATCGAGTATATACTTCTCTATATAGTGAACGGCGATGGTCAGACCGAGAAAGGGAACTACTGAGAAAGTGGTCTGACCAGCTAACTAACCAATAAGAAAAAAC